TATAGTATACTTTGCAAGTTTATCAAAAAACAGAAAAATGTTTTGAAATGGTCAATATTGACCACTAAAAAATGAAGTGCTCAATTCCAGTAGGCTGCCATCTTTTAAAATTTCACTCAGGAAGTGATGTCATCGACTCTCAACTTTGCATATAACATAGGTAAGGAGCTATTAGAATTACTAAACCAGCTGAATATTTTTTTCAATTTGGTCTATGATTAAAATCCTTTTGATGATCTCTTCTTTAGTTCTAAGTTGACAACTCCTGAAAATATTTTTACACAGAAGATAGGGGCTTCTTGTTTAGAAGTGATTTTGTACTTCTTTCCTATACTGTAATAGACAAGGTTATAATAGGTGAGAGTCGATGACATCACTTCCTGAAAGAAATCTGAAAAGATGGCAGCTTACTGGGAATGAGTACTACATTTTTAACTGATCAATATTGACCATATGAAAACATTTTCCCCTGTTTTGCTAAATATATTACATATATATAATGTATGACACAAAAGAACAAAGACATAAAAGGAAACCTGGTCATTGTACCACCAATAATAGGTAAAAATAATATTGGTAATATATACCAAGTGTTTACTTTAATTCCAAGGCATCTGAATTGATAAATAAATGAAATCAGTACTTTATTGTATCTTGGGACAAAATACACTGTTTGAATGCTTAAGCTTGACATCACAGTATCAAGTGAAAGATATGTTGTTATATACAGCTATATATCACTTTAACTGACTTTACTCTTCAATTTGAAATATGCCTGGCCATTCTAAGAAAAAATGTGACGGAGGGCAAAGAGGGTGCATGGTATAATTGGTAATTAAGCTCTTCTAGAGTTTAAAGCTCCCACAATTTTTAAAAACGAAATGGAGAATAACATATGAAAGTATAGGATGGACTAATTGTTCTAAGAAAGTTTTTGAAAGTAACATTGCATGAAATATTTAAGCAAGAGATATGTTCCAAAATACTTTCAGGTAGAAATAAAGCTCCGTAATGTAAAAACAATGTATTCTCAGTATTCAATAATAACATTCTTTATAGGTTTTTTGGTCTTAAGCATATCAGTGATTATCCCATGGTTGCAAGGATATAGATCGAATATCACATGAAGATATATTTGATATGTGGATCAAGTTATAATATTTTAGCAAAAAATTCACAAACCATCGAATATCACTTTTAAACTATCGAATATCACGTCTTAAAGAGTGATATTCGGTGGTTTGAAAAGTGATATTCCATGGTTTCAAATTTTTTCAAAAAAAAATTTCTTTTTACATTTTTTAATTATTTTCAAAAATATTTAAAAAAAATTTCAACATTTTTTCACAATTATTTTTCAATTATTTTTTCAAATTTTTTCTCGAATTATATTTTTCACATTTTTTCGCTGATGATGATTTCTCATGGGATAAATTTTTTTTTTTTTTTAAATATCAATTATATCCACTCATGGATACAAATATCTTCACTCACTCGCTGAGCACACTCATGAAAAAATCAATATCCACTCATGGATATAAATGATATTTTTTCAAAACCATAGGATATTCCTATATTATCCCACGATTAATGTGTTATCTGTACAATAACAGCTATTGATATTTCTGATATTATTGAAATCTGTGTGATATTTTCCAGAAAATCGTTTATCAAACTCATATGCGTGTGATATCGTTTATCTCACGCATATCCGTGTGATATCACATTTGCATTTGCATTTCGTGATATCATTTTATCGCCTCGTAGATATCAAATATCAACACTCATTTGCTTCGCTCACTTGTGTCGATATTTGATATCAACTCAGAGATAAAAATGATATCACTCAAAATGATGTGATATTCTGTATTTATATCAATCCGGATGCTGAAGTCACTTAATAAATAATAACTAGTTGTAACTTCTAGTAAGCACTTCAAGTTTCAGTTCTAAATAAAATACAGTTTAGTTAAAAAATTGTTAAGAATACATACATTTTTTCACAATCACAATTTCACCATTTCTGACTGTATTTTGCATATTTTTAGGTGTCAATGGTTCAATGATTATTTGATATAACCTCCTGAAACTACTCTCATATATATTTGGTGGTACAGTGATATGGAATCCTGTCTTTTGGGGTCTCACGGAGTTCTTGTTTTAGAGAAGAAAATCCTGAAAGCTGCAGTTTAATATTATGAATTATAGGTGAAAATTGCACTTGCTACACTGCTTCTCCCATTTTTAGATGCTAATAAATCTGTAACTACACTTACTATGACCTTAAGTCTACTCATATATATTATTGGTATTACTAACTAGAGGCAGAATCAGAAATTATGGTAAATAAAAGTAAAATTTAAGAGATAAATTGTTCTGAATAGTGCATTTTGTCACATTTTTGGCGATATCTGACTGCACTTTGTGTCTTTTGGGTCTTTTTAAGAGTCCATGCAGATATGAATACTTGATCTAGAGCTCTGAAATTTTCAATACCAGAATTTGGTAGCACTATGTCTTGATATCCTGTGTTTGGACTCTAACCAAATCACAGTTGTTGAGAAAAAATTCATAAGTAGCAGTTTTAATTCAAAATTAGTTGAAATGGCACTCAAGACAGCTTTCCTCATTTTTGAAAGCCGATAGATCGGCAAGCATTTACACCATGATCTTGAATCTGGGCATACATATTCTTAATGGCACTATCTCATTGCCCAGATGTTGTGGAAACATTGTGACTTATATTCCATATGATAGTAAGCACTGAAAATGGACTTGTTGCATTGTGGCGGACTCCATACAAAACAAACATAGGGGTAGGGGGGGGGGGGGGTTTAAATGTTGATCAGTTCTGCTATTTTTTTGTGGCTTTTGGTCATATAGTAGATCATTTTGTCAAAAGGTAAGGGTGATCCGAGAAAAAGTTTGTAAATTGAAACAGCCTATTAGATTTCATTATGATACATTGCACAAAATTGAAATTGTATATATAAAATATGTAGAGTCCTATATTTTAATAATAAATGAATTACATTGTCAAGTAACAAGTGAAGATGTTTTATATGCATTGATTTGCTTTCTATCAATACAAGTTTTTAATTGTATGCTGCAAAATGATAACATTGACCACGCCCACTTTCCAGGGGTAGGGTACTATAAAGTCATATTAAAAATCATAAATAGTACATTATCATTATTATAATTGTATTACAATATCAAACAAAGCTTGAATTAGTTTTTAGAAAACAATTTTGAGCTATTTAAGCTGCCATCTTTTGCTGGAAGCTACAAATATAAGATACGTGAGACTTAAAAATGACTAAAATTGCGTATTTTTTCCTATTAATTACAATATTTCTGAGACTAATACAGATATCGGCCTATAACTTTAGGATATTATTCATCTTTGGACTAGTAATGTGTGCTGTAGAAAACAGAACAATAGCAACTATATCCTTTATGTTATGAAATAGTCTTATAGTACCCCCTGAAATCGCAGGAATTGAAGTCCAATTAGGCCGTGAAAATTGTTTTTACCACTTTAAAGGCCATCACCTTATATTTTCTTACACCTACTAGGTTACTCTAACATAATGCATTGCCAAAAGTTACTTCTTGCAAACTTCCGGCAAAACTGTGCCAGCATCTGATACATCTATATAATACTGAATTTGAAAAATTAGGAAATATGCATGCATTACCTCTTGTTCACACAGCTAGGCATAATATATCAAATTCTAGCCAATAGGAATTCAGCATTTCAAATAATATGCATTCTATATTAAACAACATAGTGCATGGCTATTTTTTTAGATTTAGTGAAATTGATGACCTTCATTGATTTCATAATTTCAAGTCAGCAGTTGAGTGAGATCCTATGTAATACTGCCCATAATAAGAATTTAAGCACTAACAATTTCAAAATGGCCTTAGTTAAGCTTTAATGTCCTGTTTAAGAACCCAGTTGAAAATGGATTCTACCAATACTATCCCACGTAAATGAACATGTTGAGATTCAATCAACTGGAGTTCTGAGAAAAGCCTTGGCTCTCAAGTTGTCTACAGCCAACAGGATATGACACAACAATTGACTCATATCATTAACATTTTATTGCCCAACACGTTTACAGTACAAGTCAGTTTATTGCAATACATGTACATGAGTATGACAATTTATGATATAACAATTAGGATTTAATCCATTTTTTGGATGGACTCTTGGAATTTTATTTTCATCAATTCTGTACAAAAAATCAAAAATGTTTCAACAACAATTGAATGTTAATTAAATCTGGGTTTGTCATCAACTGAAGCCAAAAGTATCATGATTGTGACATCAAAGTCCATAGATGTATTAGTGGGCTGTGAGCCCCCACAAGATGGTGTAGGATCAAATCCAGCAGTATATGTGCTACAAAAAAAGAAAACTAAAACAGATGCCTATTGTTTTGGCTAAAGTGAATAAGAGGGTGATATGTGAAGTAGAAATACCATAGAAGAACCTTTCTTGATTATATCTGATTGAAAATTTAATATATTTTGATTCTTTAGTCCAAATTGGAGTATCAGTCCATTTGGTGACCCTGTATGAACACTGTCCACAAAAAAGTTGGAGATTATAATAATATGTCACAACTTGTGGTGGTGACATAAAACGGAAAACTATACATGTATAAACTTATTTAGAGTCCCAGACTTCAGGCTATGACCATAAACCATCATAAGATACAATATTACTTGAAGCACTTGAATAATAATATAATGATTAAAATTAATAAATTATTCATAATGAACATGGGATTTAACAAGTAAAATTATGACCAATGCAGTAAATCATAAATATGGTGTCATTTTGACAGTTTCAGGACAGGAATAGGATTAACTTGTGCACCGTGCAAAAGTTTGCGTGAGACTCCCCATGTGGGAAGGGCAAGGTATTTCACATGCAGTATTGTCCCAAGGTGAGACTGGGATAGTGCTTGCTGTCTACAAAGTTGTATGTTTCCTTGGTTCACCAAAGGAACAGGATTTATTGGAAAGGTCTTTTGCAATTTGTTCCAGTTTTATGACAAAGATTTCATGAAACTGCTCAGATCATATTCATTGTCATATTGCTTTTCATCCCAAAGTTCACCTAAATTGTCCAACATTTTAGCCATTGATTCCTGTTTCACAGATTTTGATTCGTCAGATTTTTGGCCAAGGGTGCTTCCTTTGGTCTTATTGTCCAATGAGAAGAGGTCTAACAACTGGTCTGTTCCCATAGTTTGTAGACTTGAGTTCTCTTGACTGATCACAGTATTTGCAATATTCAGTTTGAACTTCTGCAACCTGGAAAATAATTCAGCCGTGCATTATACCACACAATGAATAGGGCCAGATGTGCAGAATTAAATGCTTTGTGAATAATATACCATGTTTTCATGGCCCATTTATTATCAAACCCCTAAGATCACATCTCTTTACATCCAAAGTTTAAAAAGAGTCAACTGGTTATACAGATTTATGTGGTGATTTATAGCATCTTACCCCATGATTTTCTCCTCCAAAGTACCACGAGTGATGAGGCGATACACATTAACCACTTTTTTCTGTCCAATACGATGGGCGCGGTCCATTGCCTACAATACACATTAATAATCATTAAAGTTCAATAATTAAATATGGGTTTTGTTGAGAGAAAAAGTTTGGCTTTGATATTATTATTCAACAAAAAACGTATCTGAACATGAAGTCATTATGATTCTGACATTTTAGTACCATAGCAGACACAGACATCGAGTAAGTTTCTGGCGAAAGCTGGAGCATAGATTATAAAGAGGACTGGAAACAAGATGGCAGTCTATTTCAAATCTGCCAACTCGTGTTGGCCTATTTATCACTATTGACTCAGTTGTTCATCAAGTTTTACTTACCTTAGATGCTTAGTAATCTATAAGTATAATATTGTTTCCAAAATTATTGTCATTTGCGATAATTAATACTGAAAGTACTTTGAACAGGTCAGCTGTCATTTGCTTGGCTGAATCGTCCAGTCCACAAAAACAGTGAAATTATATTAAAAATACCAATAAAACTTTAAAATTGAGGCAGATGCGATACAAAGAGACTGTATTAATACAGATATACAGGTTACAGTCACCAAGATGAGCTAATTTCAGGCGAGATTCGGGAAATAAAAAGGTAGGTCATTCTTGTTTCCAGTCCTCTTAAATAATCTATGCTCCGGCTTTCGCCAGAAACTTACTTGACGTCTGTGATAGACCACTAAATATACAAGTATGAAACATTGTATTTAAGACTATCAGTGAAAATGCACACGGTAACACATGGGTCAATGCAAACATTCAGAAAGCAGAAATTGGTCATAGAAATCTTCTGATAATTCATAAGGTTTCAAATGAAAACATGATGGGGCATTTGGTCCTACACTGAAAGAGGTTTTCAAATGTGGAAAATTCAAAATGGCTGTCAGAAAAATAGCAATAACTACACTACTGTTAGTTATGAATGTCATTTTTTGCTTTGGAGATAAAACAAGTCCTTTTTGGACAGAAGACAGTTTCATTGACAAAGTTGACTGAAACCTAATGACATGTATGTTACTAAAGCTTACTTGAAGGTCCTTCATTGGGTTCCAATCATGTTCTACAAATATGACAGTATCAGCTCCAGTCAGGTTCAAGCCAAGGCCACCTACATGGGTTGTCAATAGAAGCACATCTATGGACGGATCATTGTTGAACCTTCGAACAAAAATGTCAATTAATTGAAAATTAATTGGTTTTATGTGTGTTTTATGGGAGTATTTGATTGTTGTTACGATTGTCAGGAAGTAGAGTTGAATGTAGGTCAACGCACATGCGCAGAAGAACGCCATTTTCCATTCATTTCTTAATACAAGGAGAAAGCAGGTTGTTATCTGAGTGAATCTCGCCTGCCATCCCTCCCCCATTTACCACCCATGAATTATCCCCCAACTAAGGTGAGATCAAGAAATGGTAAGATAGTTATTGTTAGTGGTACATGAAGGTAAGCAACCAAAGTAATCACTATGGTATTGATCAGATGTATTATTCTATTTTTAGCTAATTAGAAAAAATAAACAAAAATGTGTAACAATAAAAACTACTCCGTAAGAAACCCACATAAACCAAAAAGACAAATAAATAACAATGCAGTTTATCAATTGATTAATGTAATGTCCAATCAGAAATTCTTACCTCAAATGCTTTCCTTTTCAAACTATAATTCCTTTTTTCAGAACTGTATGAAATGAGCACTGCATTTTTAAATGACCCATTTTGAAATTATATCAAAACATTTCTTCACATTTACTGAATACAGATAGTATAATATGGTTATAGCTATCATATCAAGAGAGATTTTTAAGGAATACTGTATCCATTTAGAGAAGTGGCCATCAAAATATGATGATTTTAATCACCATTTTATCTATCATGCTCCCTTATATTGCAATTAAAACGGTCCATTTTCACCATAGCAACAACTGTAGATGAACTTAACCAACCTGCTGACAAGCGAGTGTCTATTTCCTGCTGGCACTGTTCCATCTAGCCTTGAGTATGTAACACTGGGCATGTGACTCCTGAAATAATGTTTTACAAGGATAATACAAACAGGAGTATTGTGTCAGATTCATGCAAAAAGAATCTGAGAGATGATTTCTGATTGCTTTTGCAAATATTAAAGATATTATAATCAGGTTTTGTGTATTTTTCTCGTGTCTTACTGTGAATGAAGGCACTGATTTATCAATTTTGACATTGGGGGATTTTGTTCAAATATATTTGTGGAAATATTTCCCTTATATTATGTAGCTCCAATACAATGCAGATTGATAAGGATGGAAAATGAGTTGTGTGTTGAATTTAAAATAACTTACTTGAATAAATCTTTCTCTATGATATCCAGCATGGTTTTCTGTTGACAAAATAGTAAGACTCTGTGTTGGTTTACAACTGGACTCTCCTCACTCCCCTCTCCTATACCACAGTCTAACAACAGTTGCCTAAAGAGACCAAACATTCTCAATTAATAAGTAAATTAATAGTAAGACTCTGTGTTGGTTTACAACTGGACTCTCCTCACTCCCCTCTCCTATACCACAGTCTAACAACAATTGCCTAAAGAGACCAAACATTCTCAATTAACACTCATTTTGTTCTTTCTGGGAAAAGCCTTCAATTAATAAATTGAATAAGTTGTTCACTAAAAGTCTTTTTAAAGTGGCAGTAAAGGATGAAGTGTAAAATGCTGAGGGCAATATTTTTAATTAACATGTCAATGTGTTCCTAATGGGATCGTTTTGACTTCTGAAAGAAATGTCCAGAATCATCGAAACTGTAAGGGACATCCTATATACTATATAGTATTATACGAAATATTTAAAAAAGTCAGAATTCTGAAGACTTTTTAGAAAATGGGCATGCCAAGTCAATAAGTACTGTCAATGAATATAAATTCAATTCATTTTGCACTGTACAGTGCCATTGCAACATGTTTAGAGAATGACACATTTCTAATAAAAATAAATACAACCAATTACAATCTATCAACTCATGATTTCTCAACTCCACATTTCTCTAAAATCTGATCATCTAGTATTTCTATAGCTTCATTGTTACCTTTATCTCATGCTTTCTCTTCTCTTCCCCACTCTATTTTACATTTTACCATAGTATCAAATCATTCTATTGAGCAAAGTGCTAGTAATTAGTAAGACTTACTTGAGTGCAACCAGTTTTGCTGCATGTTGTATGCTATTAAGACTAACACCTGTTTGGCGCAGATTCTGCATGATGGTCTTGTATTGTGGATGCTGATTGGTTAATACCAATGAAGGATGGTTGCACACTTTACGGAGATATTGTAATGCCTGGAATGTTAATAGTTCTCCAATACAGCTTGAAATATATTCAATTTGTATACATTTAGATTAGGTATTTCGTAATTTCATACAATAATGTACCATGCAGCCATTTTATCGGTTAATAATTATCAACAATCACATAGCTTGCATGCGAGGTTGAAAACATAAACAAGTTATAAATCTCAAATTAAGTAGACTAACAGGACCAATAATTATACTTCCCTGGCCAAAAATTCTTTCAAGTGATTTAGCCATATTTGGGCCAAAGTTGCCCCCCCTGGAAATTTTTGAAAACTGAACCCCCCCTTTGCAAATCCTGGCTACGGGCCTGATAGTAGCAATGACTTAAAACACATGTGAACCTGAAAGACATGTGTAGTGGCTTGAAAGACATGTGTATTTACCTGAAAGACATGTGTAGTGGTCTGAACATTGACCTGAGAAGTCTGGCCAGCTCTAACACCGTCATCAACTGATTGTTTGGCACGACTTTTTGAGAAATCCTCGTACAGGGTTACCTGAAACAGCCATAAAGAAAGTTATGAGACATTCATGTACTGAACTTCTTCTAACAATTTCGACTTATCAATAAAATGGCAAAAACATCTTGTAAAATAAGAGTTTATAAGAAAATATTGAATTTATTATATTTCTTATTGCTATATAACAATTTCAAATGAATGTTATAAGCCAAAAATACCAAACAAGCACAGGTAACAAGAAGAATATATGTGGCACCTGTAGTGGACTGAGATCACAATAATAATCCTGAATAATTTTGGGTGGTAGGTCTTGTAACACGTCCTCTTTCAGCCTCCTTAGTAAGAATGGCAACACCTGTCGGTGCAGGGCATCCATAGCCAGTGCCCCTGCCTCTTGATCCCGCGATGAACTCTTGGCATCTCGACTCTGCAGGATCGGCTTTCCATATCGGGCATTGAATTGTTTTTCCGAGCCAAGGAATCCAGGGAGAAGAAAATCAAATAATGACCAGAGTTCAAGGACGTTGTTTTGTATGGGAGTACCTGAGAGAATCACCCTGTGGTTGCAGTTCAGTTGTTTCACTGCCTTAGAGATCTACAAAGTTTAAAGAATAATGTAAATTAATTGATTGTATCAACTAGGCATGGTAGTGGGTTCAGGTAGATCTGAACAATGCAAAAACTGAATGCAATTTTTAACAAAATACTCATCAGCTAGGAGCCAGTACTGAAAATCAGAGCAAATGTGACCACAGCATTAATGTCAATAAAAGAAAAAAGAATTATATATGTGTACATGTAAACATGATTCAAACTTTAATGCGACAGTTATTTCTAATTATTTTAAGGTTTCATAGCATAAGCCCTGTTGGAATGTTCAGCCAAATGCAGGCTCACCTTTGTTTTGCCATTCTTAATAATATGACCTTCATCCAGTATGCAGTAATTCCACTTCAAAGTGCTGCAACAAATCAAATAGGGTTAAGCAAGACTGGAACAGTCTGTTCATCATGAACAGTAAATTCAAAATTTGATCAGTTGTGAGTCCTTAACTGGTAGCAGTCTGGACCATTTTACCATTTGAACCAATAAAATGGTCCGCTATTTCCCCATAGCATGTATTTTGGATGAGTATAGTCCCATCAGCAGAAACCAAGGAAATGATGATTTTAATATACTTGCTACCAGACTACGCAGTAAACTAAAGCTAAAGGGATTAAGTGATCTACTAACTCTAAGATTCACTAAAATTGAAAAAAATAAATGCAAACCTTCATTAATGTAAATATTAGAGCTTCACATATTTATTAATAATTTAGACGATTCTTTTTTGAAAAAAATTGATTTAGGCATTTTTAACTTGAGAACTCATCGGTTGTAGCATGCTTATACTGACCTAAAGAATTCAATATCATTCCGGACAATATCATATGATGCTACAACAAGATTGTGCTGCTTAGCTTCCTTTTGTAGCCTGTAAAACAGATATATATATATAATCATTAACATGATACAGTATGTATAAGTCCGACACATGCAAATACACATTACACCAACTGTCATCACTCAACTTAAAGTTCTAAAACCAAACAGTTTGAATATATTTTACTTTGTCTTTGATGTCAATCCAGATTTAATACTGTAAATTGGGTAAAGACGGGTGCTTTTATTTAGCAACTCAAAAATTCTGAACAAGATTGCCACTGATCCATGTGGGGACCAGTGAGAGATCACGTGGGAGCCAATAACGTCACAACCTATTCGAATATTGCTTATTCAGCAGCTATAATGATCGTTAGCGTGAAATAATTTTCACAATACTGATGAGAAAACATGTCCAAATACATTTATCAAAAAATTCAATTGATTCCTTTAGGTCAAAAATACCATTTCATATCTGCTTTAAGTTGTGAAAATGGCTGATTTTGCACGAGGGCAACTTACCTTAACCTCTCATTAGGTGGACCTGTGTAGTGCAGAGGGTGCAGGTGCTCTGGGCTGACAAATTTCTCTACCTCATACACCCAATGTCCTGTCAATGTAGGGGGGCAGACCACTATAGAAGGTAGGGGTTTGCAGTCTTCAGAACCAACTTCCTATAAACAATCCAGAGATTAAAATGGAATATCTGATTTTCATGATTGTTAAATTTTTTTCAAATACAATTTTTCATTTTTCAAAATAAAACTGTAAAAAACAAATTGAATCTATGATTTATGGAAAATATATGACCTTAGATTTTATTCTGCTTTTTAATTGCTACTATCTTTTCTGGTTTTGTACCAAAGACATTTATACAGCCAGCTTGAGTCACAAACCTTGTATTTTTGTTGTCTATTAAAGTGGTCTCCAGCCAAAATGCATATAGATTGAAGTGTCTTCCCCAGCCCCATGTCATCACAGAGGATCCCATGAAGCTTGTACTTGTTCAGAAAGGCCAACCAGTTTACACCATCCTGCAGGAAATTGTTACAAATGTCAAAAGTACTAAGATATCAGAGACACAGTCATAATTTTAAAAACAACTATACAACAGCTAAGACCCTTTGTTTGTCAAACATTTAAGTTCCAGTTTCACAAAATGTGCAATGTTTTTTTATCTATGAAATCTGTTAGCCATTTGCAATACCTGTTGATATTTTCTTAATTCTGCTTTTATGGGAATAGGAACCTTGTAGTCATCTATTTTACTGCCATCTAGGAGCTGTTCCAAGAACTTCCTCTGAAGATCTTTCTGTTCAATTAATTTAGGCGCCATCTTTGGTGGGTCTGGTACACCAGCCTGTAAAGTGTAACAAGTACATGTATATATAATGGTGATATTAATTATGATGTTCTCTCAATGACATATTCTCTCCATAACATGTTCTCACGATGACATGTTCTCTCAATGACATGTTCTCTCCATAACATGTTCTCACGATGACATGTTCTCTCAATGACATGTTCTCTCCATAACATGTTCTCACGATGACATGTTCTCTCAATGACATGTTCTCTTGATAACATCTTAGTAAAACAGTTAATTGATTGAGTTAGAGACAGATATAAGGCTTATATTTTTTTTACACATTTTCAAAATTAAACAAAATTCTAAGGATCGTTATGCTTTTTCTCTAAGAGTAAAGTAACAAATCAACCATGAAGACAACATACCTCAAGGGGCATATATCGTATAAGAGTTGCAAAGCACTGTGTTGCCATGAGTCTCACACCAATGTTCTGGTCACTCATACACCCTAGGACTGGTACCACTAACAATACAACATATGGCACAATCTCCACTTCAAGGGCATTGATAATGTCTGAGTTATATTAAGGAAATGTCTTTTAATACATAATTGAAGAATCATATAACACACTTGCATACTATGGTCCAGTGTCCTACACACTTCTCATCCGCCTTGAATCATGTTTGGCGAAAACTTTACATGGGTGTAATCTCAGCGTAGTTTTACTAGGCAAACATTAGAACACCATTTTTGTAAATATTAGCCAATAATCATTCTGCCGACATAATGTGACTGATATAACTTATATTACTACTTATTGAGAAACAAGTTATGAAAGTTATTCTGTAAATATCTTTAATAATGTCAATCTAAAGGATACTTGTAACAGCCTCAATAGCACCTAGTCTCTTAGTATCATTGTGTGAGGCACTCAATAGAGGGAGAATGTGCTCAAGGGTGTAACTGAGAGTTTCACTGGTTGCTATGCGACTGAGCATCCCCAGACAACGTGATGCCATGTGGCGAACAGCAGAGAAGGGATTGTTTAATCTGGAGCACAACTGAGGCAATCTTGCCAAAACCTGTAAATTAATATAAGAATAAATTTTTTTACAAACATATTGAAGAGTTTGAAAAAATGCGTTCAAGTAGATATCATTTTAATGGCATCAAACTACTATTTAGGCTTTTCTGTGAAAATGCATAATTTACCTGTTTCAGTAGACTCTCTGTCAGAGATGATGCTATAGTCTCCAATACTTGAAGTGAATTGACTAACTCTATTGCTTCAGTTTTGTCTCTGGTTTCAGAATCTAGAATAAGACAATAATACTCTGTCCTAATTATCAAATAAAAAGCAACAGGGAACAAGCAGTCCTCATTGTAACCCAGGGTATGCACCAAATATACCCAAAATTATTTATGTTTAGTTTTTCATTAAAGGATGGACCACTATTATTGCACCCGACGATCAGTTCTAGACTGTGAATTGTGATATATGCCATGATCAATTGAGAAGGTTATAAACCATGGGTACATAATGCCTGGCTGACCGAACCAACCAACCTTCAATTTTATTTCATGGAGCAATCATTGGTGTAATTTCATATCATCAAACTGTCTCTAAAGTAATGAAGTATCAATTGTTTGCTTTAATCCTTGTTAATTTCTTTTTTATTTGATTTTGCATTTCAATCTTTAATATTAAGATATCTACCTTGTTTCTCCTCAACAGAGAGACCATGTATTGCTGTGACCCAGAAACTTGGAACTTCATCAGCAAGGCCATCGCCAAAATGTCCTGCCAAGGCAGTCAATGCAAACTGAGCTCCTCTTCGTTGTATAGAATTCTACATAAATAATAAGTTTTAATCCCACAAGTACCTGACATGTGTCATGTTTTCAGGATCAAGGTAGAGCAGTTCCAATTTTATATTTGAACTGGTATCTTATGCATGGCAAGAACCACACAGTGCTTCAGGAAAACCTGGGATGAAATATTAACATCAGGGAACACACACTTATTTTACAGTAGATAATGAGATAAATGAAACTGAGGCATTAAGTATAAATGAGGATATTATCTCAAGACCCACCTCAGGAGTTCCAGCAGTACATATTGAGTCTGTGTTTAGAGCTAAAGGTTTACGTCCCCTTGTACTTTTGGCACTTTTTTCAGCATTCTGAAATAAATTCAAATCTTGAATCAAAACCATAGTAGTATTATGAACCTTGCAAAACTATTGCATTTGAGTGGAACAGTTGTTGGGCAATTCAGGTTCAAATACCCATGTGATACTTTATTACCAGGGCAACTTGCATCATCAAGTTTCATTTCCATCAAATTCTAACAATTGCTCATAGATGGGAGACACCATCCGTACAAAGTAACTATATGGTAATAACATTTTGACATCCATTAATATTAGTACTCAGTAATCTTGGATGCAAACAATTGAATAACAAATAAAAATTACTAACCTTACTTATTGAATCTAATGTTAAAATTCCGGAGTACATATCTGCATAAGGAGATTGAGCAACAAGGCTTTCCTGACTGGTTGATATGGAAGGAGTACATGTAGTATCACTGCACAAAAATGTGCACAGATTTTTCATGATCTTTGCCGTAGGAGGTTGAGACCGCTTACAACATTGCTCAATCAACAGGGCCAATCTCTCAGAGGCCTGTTTCTGAAGGGGAACAAGTAGAGAAATCAAATCAATTCTAGATATCCATATAATTGCCATGTAGTTTTTAGACACTAAATAAAAAGATAAACTCATACTTGGGGAAGTAACATAATTTCTGAGATTAATATAAATCATACAGGTTCATTAAGGAGGCACATTGACCTATTTTAATTAGAACATGCTATTGACCATTACTCAAGACAGTGTTTTTGAACGACATCTTTGGATAGCAAGAGATGACAGTTTTGACAGATTAATTTGTTAAAATAATACTTACTTGCAGTTGAACATTTTCTTCTTTTTTAATAATATCCATGAGAGGTCGTACAACTGGGTTGAGTTTTTCTGGTAAGTGGTTGAGGATAACCAGAGTACCTGCTATACTCCCTTGGACCCTGGAACACAAAAGCAAAACATAGACTAAGGAATTCTTAACTTTACAAATTTTCTGGTATTCATCCAAGCAATAAAGCATTAGAGATGCAATTATACCTGATACTGAGTATCTGCTGTTCTTTACTGGTCTGTGTGACTGTGTTCAGTAAAGCGGAGCATCTGCTATCAAACATTGGGATGTGAGCTTTTGGTTTGATTTGATTCTTCACACTCTCATACACTGTGGTAGCCAGTAATGTAGCCTGGTCCAGAGTCAAGACAGCCCTGGAAAATATATTGCAAATTGCACTATCGAGCTGTGTCACTTTTATAACTAATAACAATAACTTAAAATTCTTTAATAAACATTGCATGTTCCAGTAACCCAAAAAGTCTATTGCAAAATGAGCTTAATAAATACAACATTTACAACAACTAGTTACTCATTAATTTACATCTTGGATTCCAAATACATATTATTCAGCAAATGCCATTAAATCAGACTTTGCCCTCTGCCTATTCTGATACCTCACTGAAAGGGATGAAAGGGCCCCTTTACCACGACATTTCTAAAACCCACTTACACTGCATAAAACAGGGCTTTGACATAACATAAAATTAACTGACCCTGCATTAATGATTGGCTGTACATCAACCCCTGCCTGCTTGAGACCTGCCATGAAGTCTTTACACTCATTCTGTAGCCTTGCAAACATTAGAGCTATCTCATCAAAGTAGATAGCCTCATTGGCACACTCTAACAACTTGCTCTTTATCACATCTGGACACTCCAGTATCTGTAATAACAAAATCAAGTTGTATAGGGCTGGGCTAAGATAATCATTTATGTATTTTTGAAAAACTAATTAAATTAAAGCTTGGGGCCGCTATCCCATGTTTGAACATCAACTGAACATTGTTTTAATGACAAACACTCCAATGTGCAACATTTTTTCGTTATGGAGCCTCTTTAAATATGAATAATTATGCGACTAAATGTCATATTGATATTTAATGTGATCCCTTTGATATGGTTGGGCTTAGTAAAGAAAGCTGAATTAACCTTTACCAGGTGCATGTTTTTGTTGCTTGACAAGAGTAACTTCACAATTATATCCAAGAATGCTGTTTTTGTGCTGAAATTGAGCTATTAAAAATTGAAATGAATTTAAAATTCATAAAAATTTCAATGTTGAAATTCATCATGAACGCACCAAATTCTTAAAATGCACCAAAAGTCTAGCTGAAAGAGCACAATTCAATCAACGTTTTTTGTTAAATTAATGGTCATCGATCCAGTTGGGTTATCCCTACCTTATCCTTAGTCCAATGTATGATCATCTCAGCAACTGTGAACCTTTGAACAGCAGATTTGTTGGTGAGGTGAAATACAAGAAGTTTGGCAAGAGATTCTATCGGAAGTTCAACACCCTCAGGGAGAAATGTCACTGGCTTTGTGATGTAGAATGACAGTTGACCCAACATTCTGAAATATTCAAGAAATATGTGGATTTGAAATAAGCATTTTCCTTGTTTTGTCAGCTTTTTCCTTTATCTTCAATTATAGTGAAGACATCATTAGTATTTGTCACATTTGAAAAATGTAGTACATATAAATGTAGATGTTATTAGTTATAAAGACCTGGTCTGTAGATGCATTTTGGTGTTTCTCAATATATGAGGCAACCAGGTTCTGGAAAGTGCATGCTATGACACCTCCAGTTACAAATATGATATTTCATTCATGATAGTGTAAGTGTAATAACAAAGCTACTGACCTAGTAGCTAAGAGGCGTGACCGTATAACTCTGATGTCCCGATCAGCCGGGAGCAGCGTAAATGACTCATACCCTGCGATGTAATCTTGTTGCTTTTTAGCAGGATTCTCACTGGTTTGATGTCCTCTACTGCTATGACACATGTCCTAAAACATGAATTGATTAAGTCAGAGACATATAAATATATATTATGTCTCTGATTATGTGCACACTACTACTAACTGTCATTCCTAATTCTAATTTCTGTGAAGTTTCTTAATAGTACTGGTTATAATTTTCTGGGTATATTCAAGAGATGTCATCTGTAAAATCATATTGCACCACAGTCCATGAAAAGCAGCTGACCTTTGTTCTGTGTTGAGCCTGTATTATGAAGTTTGGATCAAAGGGAGTGTTCAGCGGCTGCATCATTTGGCATAGGCACATATTCAACCAGGGACAAGCAGTTTGTACTAATATGTCCAGTGGTGATTTTTCCAACACTGCACACCATACCTATCAAGAAGAGGTCATTATATTCAAAATATTTTATTTTAATATTCTGAGTTGCATTTAGCAGACATTTTTAAAGCTAGAAAAGTTCACAAATCCAACCATAGAAATTATGGCAATATCTAGATGCCCAAGCTACCATTCTGATTTACCAGAATTAGCCTGTCATTGCTATTGAGGTTTCCCTGAAGAAAGTTGTTTGCAGAGTATCATGATTTAAAAAATTATTGCTTAATTATTATATAGGGTTTCCATAAAGTCTCATTACACTTAACAGACTTTGTATTGTAATTGTAAACAGACTTCATGGACACCCTGTTTATTTCAGATACATGCTTAGTACATCAAATTACTTTTGCTTGAAGCTTTATACTGAGCATATGCTAACTACATGTTAAGGTCTTAAAGTATGTGATAAAATTGTCAAATGAGTCATTGATGCCATGCTACATTAAATCAATGTCTACAACACTTCTGTCATATAAAGTCTTAAATGGTCAATTAAATTGCCAAAAGCCAGAAACTACACTCTACCTTATAAATGTGCTCAAGTAGGCTATCATTGTATTCTAGTAGCGCCCTCTGGTAGATATGCCTCAATGTGTCCAGGAGAATAGGTGGCAGCCAATCAGATGTGTTTCCAGACTGGCACAGAATTGTATGGAGTGTGTCGAGAGAGGCACGACGTACAGAACTGATGTTATGACGCAGAAATGGCCACAATCTTGGCACAAGATCTTGGAGGTTTGATAGACTGCAATGAATTGTTTTATCTAATAGCTCATCAAGATAATATGGAAGATCAATCATATCTTTTCTTAAAATATCAAGTTTAACTTGAACATTTTAGTGTAAAATAGACATTCCATTTCTCTTTGATTTTGATATTAAAAGATATTCTAAGGATTGTTCAATTGCAAGAGGGTGTGATGTATGGAATGTGAACCTTGTCATTCTTTAGGCCCACAAAATGCAAGGCTATGTCTTACAATAGGTTAAAGCAATTAACCTATTATGGGTTACCTTGAAGTAGACTGCAGAGGCTTGGACAGCAGTGCTGAGAGTAAGGTCATTACAGAATTTGTAGAAGCTGTCAAATCATCCAAATCAAGTAATATATCCCAGAGACATAGGATTAATTTAGGAACCTACAATCAGAGTAACATAGTTTCATAAAATATCATTTAACAATAACAGAATTCTTCATAGTGACTTAGACCTACTGTTTAAAAGTGAATTTTGGACGCATCACCATGTTATATATTAATACATGCAGAGTAATCAGTTATAATCTTACCTCCATTGGCAGAGTATTGATTAGGGAATCTATGACAGGTAGGAGTGCTGCAGCTGCCACAGCTCTAACATCATCATCCCCATCATTAAGACCTGCATAGACAGCCCACATCACCGATGGCAACAGTTGTGAGGTCATATCCTGACAAGTATAATAAAAAATATATCTGTATATTTTCTCTATGTTTATTCATCAAAGTGCATGCATATAATATGTATTGTCAGCACCTGAGTTGAAACAATCAATTCTATATATATTGTATAGATGTAATAATGTATCTGTAAAAATGATTTACTTGTCGAACAGCTAGCATGTACTTTAGTCCAAGCAGACCCCCATGTCTGACTTCCCACTGGGCCTGGCCCAATAACTGCATGATTATGCCAAGTACACCTGAAATACAAGTCACTTTAAGTATAGATACATGATGATACATGTACCTGTCAAATGCATGTACATGAACTCAGAGCCAGTTGCAGGGTTTTTAAAAGATGTATTTGAAAAGATGAGTTCTTAATGACAAGATAATGCCTACTTGTTGTCATGTATTGTGAAATATTTGGTGTGAGACAAATCAATATGATAACTACATGGTTAAAATCCAGACCCCTCTGTAAGAGTTTGGCTCTTAAATGAGGTTATCGAATACACCATACCTGCTATACCACTGGGAGCCATGTGACGTAAGACAACACCTAGAGTTTGTGCACAGTTCTCTCTCACTGGAGCTACAACCTCATCAGAGACATAGTCACCAAACTTATCTAGGGCAAGTACACAGCATAACCTCACAGAGAGATCCTCCAACCAACTCTGGTTGTCTGTGTGCAGCTAAAATATTAACAGAATATTATGATAGTGAATACCTATTAATTAGTAATCATCTGGCTATAAGACATAGTCACAAAACTTATCTAGAGGATGCATACAGCATAACAGACCTCAGACAAATCTTCTAATGTGGGTATTTTGAGATATCAAACGTGTCCCCTACCTCTTCTAATGTTCTATTCACCAGCTTGCCAGCACCTGCACCATGTAGTTTCATGATTTCACGCAGGCCGATTGCAGCACCGTGACGTACCTCCCATAGAGGGTTAAAGAGATCATTGGTCAGAACCTCACAGAATGATTCAAACTGCCAATCATCCAGCTGAAATACAAATAAATGTAATGAGTTCAATTCCCACCGTGGTGGAGTGACTTTTTCACATCAGCCCTAAGCATAGGATTTCATCCTACATTTTCAAAGAAACTTACATACAAGATGTCTCATAAGAATTCCAACCTACTGGTCAACATTGAATTATGGATCAGTTTTCTTATCCATACTCAAGAATCACTTTGCACTGGTTGGAACTAACTGGATTAGGGCCATTCATTTCCATTGTCCAATTACCTAGTACATGTAATACATTATGTTTCTTGTGAACTGTGGCTTGGAATATGTTCAAAGGCCTACTACTCTTGAAATAAATGTGGCTGACTTGACTAATCCAGAGAATATAACATTTAATTATGTACAATTTACATGAATTTGTATACAGCATTACCTCATCCAAGTCGATGATATCATTTGGCACATTGTCAATGACTACTTTGTTGTCATCTGCAGGCTGATCGACAACTACACTGCTGGTTTTACGTAGTTTAACAGCTGGTTCATCAAGAGACTTATTGTTGCTTCCACTGTAAGATATCAATCCCAATTATGGATTACAAGAGTGGCCACAATGGATTAAAACATGTGTGGCTATTATGGTTTAAAACATATGTGGCTATTATTGATGAAAACATGTGTGGCTATTTTGGATTTAAACATGTGTGACCTTTTTGGATTAAAAGATGTGTAGCCATTTTGGATTAAAGTATCATGCGTGTCCACTATAGAGTAAACACACATGTACAGTATGTGGCATAATTACATGGGACCATATACTTGCAGTTTCGACCACAATTTAATACAAAATATTTCAATACATTTCACATACCCATTGGTTTGGAAGTCTCTAGATATCTGTTTAGCAAGGAGTTTGGCTTTTCTTTTGGCTTTGTTGATCTCTCGGGAACTCATGTCTCCAGTAGCAACAGTAGACAACATCTGCTGTTCAACCAGGTCACCAACTTGCACCTAAATAGTAATTTAAGTTAAATATTCCATGAGTTTTTGTCTGGGAATATCACAAGATTACTGCTACTGCTAGATATTTTCAATACATGAAATCACAGAACTGATTCCTTATATCAGGATTTCTTCTACGATTATTGGGGCATTGTAATTATATAAGACCTGAACAGACACAATTTAACTTTTTACCTGACTTGGGCCTGGTTTAGCATCTCTGTTGCCATTAGTAACAAGATCTTCATCTGCAAATAAATCTGTTGTCTGCATACCAAGACCACCGGCGACATCTAGGCCTAATCTTTTGTTCAATAGTTGGCGCTGTTTACTCAACCGTTCCTTTTGATCAAGACCTATAACAACAAATGGAGCAAACTAATTGACAAGATATCACACAATCTTCAGCTCTCCCTCATTGAGCTGAGAGCCAACTCATCCCAAACATTTTATTGAAATATGTCAAAACCGCAGGTGCAAATCCAGTGAAATGGTTCCCATTACCAAGAGTTGAATATTTTTTTAATGTACCTGTACCTGTAGCAGTGTCTTCCAGTTCATACTCTTTACCAGCAGATCCCAGTAGAGATGCACCTTTCTGCAAGACTTTCCTGATGTCAAACTGTGACAGGACAGAGAACCTGGAATCTAACTTCTTTTCTGGCTCATTAACATTTTCTGAAAATAAATGAATCAATGTACATAAAAAGGTAAGGAAATACATGAGTATATCATCTCATCATATTGACTTTGCTTTAATGCAGGTTTTAAGTTCCACTGGGGGTGAATGTTTAGCTATCAATATTGCTGTACTGTGGGTTTTGAGGTTCATATTATATCACTTATATTTACATGTACCTTGATGTACTGCAGGTTTTGGGTTCCATTGGGGAACATGTTTCGCTATGGCCTGGACAGCTTGTCCTGCTGCTATTCTAGTATCCCAGCTAGAACTACATAGGTATGTGTGAACCTGTCCAATGCAAAATAAAACCAATACAAAAATGAACAAATTGATATATGGTTTTACACCATATCATTCTTCGAAAATATAATACTGACTGGGAGTCACTCAGGCTAATTAACTATTACATTTTCTAAACATTAACCAACAGTTTCAATAGAATGGGATCAACATCATGTGCACTAGATACAAGTACACAATTGGATATTTTAAACTTTAATTAATGTTTAAACAGGTTGAAACAATTGATATGTTATTAAATGGCAGAATGAGCTATCTAGGTGACATATAACATATGATCCCTAGGCAAACCAGGTTAAAAAACAATTGCAGGTAATTAAAGTCAAAGCAAGTTTGCTGTTTAATTTATCAGGTTATATAGTGGCACTTATATTGCGCACAATGTGTTCTGTTATATTGATCTGACTTTGGTATCTAATTACTATGTAGTATAATTGTGCATTATCTCACAAGATATTTTGTAACATTTCAACTGAATCTTATTAGAAAATGAACACTTTTCTAAAGCGAGCACCTCAAAATATGAAAAGCTTGGGATCTAATTTTTAGAATGTCAATTTTATTCCCGTTATCAGAATTGTACATGACGTAAAATAGCATTATAACATGAAACTATAGGGTTTAATATAGCGTATTTCATACCTACTGAGGTACTAGGTACATAACGAGCGGGAATATATAGTGTATCTAGGGAGCTATCACCAAGGCCCGGGACAGGGATGGATACACGCTGTATCCATCCCAGTCCCGCTCCTGAAAAAATATTTTGAAAAAAAATATTTGAAAAAAATTGTGGTCTATACCTTAGAGAGCAGGTTGTTTAGTTCATGGGGGTGCAGCCTCTGAACTTCCCCTAACTGCTCTGCTGCGGAGCGTCTTACAACAGGGGTACTTCCTGTCTCTAACAGCAGAAATAAACGATCCAACCTGTAACATTGATACATACATAAGGGTTATGTACTGGGAGGTTTTAGATATGGGGTTTATCCAGAGCGATATATGCATATCTACGTGAGGGACTGTAGGGACCGAAGATAAATGTGCATGTCTCACGAGGGATAAACCCCATATCCAAACTGACCGTACATAATTGCTTTATCCTATACCCAGTTGAGTTTCTAATTTTTTTTCAACTTTTTTTCAAAATGGAAAAATATGCCCTGGAGCGGGAGATATGGATGTTCTGGATATATGGAAACTTCAAAATCAGGATACGGGATATATCTTACCAACTTATCTCCCTAAAACTCTACTAGGCATAGGATAAAGACTTTTATTCATATCTGACACCTCTAACCAATGATATTCCTCTTAATTCCAATACACAAAATAAATGATTCAATCAATGTGTATTGTTTAATAAACCCAGACAATTGGGTTTCAACATGGACTTTCAAGAGAAAGAATTCTAAAATACCCAGGAAATTATTGAGGTATGGTAATTTTGCCAGTTATATGTGCCCCAAATTAATAATAATGGAATATGAAGATCATCCAACAATTTACTCATGATATGATTTTTATCCACTTATGGATATTGATATCTGCAGTCTCTCGTACCCTCACTGGTAATCTTTGATATCTGTTCTTGGACAAAAATCTTATCACTCATAATTCATAGGAATTCTCTATAGTATTAGCACAAACAATATAAATACATACTTAGATAGAGCTAAAATGTGATAATATACATTCATTACAGAATGAAATTCTGAGATTTTTAGGCAAATACATTAATTATCAGTTTTTTTACCACACACATCCTCCATGTAGTTCACGTTTAATAGTACATGTACAGTACAATATGATACAACACAATATTTTGACTACTTTTTTCATATGTTTTATTTTAACAGCTTGCATTCATTTTTCATAAATTTTAAAATGCAAAATAAAAAGAGTGAACAACTCGAGGACAAAAAATAGTATGTGCCCTTTGGTGCCAGTAGGTAGTTACCAGTTTCACCAACAGGTGGTTAACTTGGGTCAGATAACATGGCAGACATCAGGAAATCCCCTTAAACCTACGAATAATTATCACAATGACTTTTGAGGGGGTGCATCCCCCCACACCCCCTTCTAGATCCAATGGTGATTCTTACAAACTGCTTATGTTTTTCAATATTTTTTGGTATCTATAAAGTGTTCTACGTGAGAGGTGTTCCACTTAGGTTCATTAAACATTAAGTCAGTTGGTGTTGGGACTCAAAAGTGTTCCAGGAACATTCCTAGAGAGGCCCCTAGAGATGTTCCACTTTACAGGTTTCACTGCAGACTCTAGTGACCAATATAACAGATGTGCAATTTCCTCTCACTACAGATTGCCATGAACTGCATGTAAACATCTCTGGGCTCAATTGGATTTGTGTTTTATGCAACACGTTTGAACCAGAAATAATTGAACTTTTCCTTAGTTCGTGTGACGCTTACATAGTCAGATTAGCTAATGAAACAACTTTTTTGGGGTTGCCGCATTGGCCGACCTGTCTAGAGCGCCAGAACTAACTCAGCTGGGCGCTGACGTCATAACCATGAGGTTGTGAGTTCGAGACCTTGAGCTCCTTGTGTTTATTCACATGTTATTATTTTCATTATTATTACATGTATTATTTTTAACAATCTTTTCATTTGGATGTGAGGTAAACACCTTCAGTCAGAGGATTATTAAGGATTGGAATTAAATAATACATGAAATGAAAGATCAGTGATACAAGACAGGTGTCAATTCAGCGAGGTATCAAATTCAGGCTGATCAGAATAGTTTTTGATTTCGTTCATGCAGTAAAGCGAAATTCTCTATATACGCGTGGGCAGTGGGTACAGTTGTCTAAAAGAAGGCTTCCTTCTGAAGTCTTGATCGAGACTGATCTCCACACAATCAATGATGGAGTTAACAGTCTGTTCAAGGACCAAATTTGCCAGGCTTGATCATTCCTGGTTGTCTAATTGAACACTGCAACTATAAAGACTAGTCGTAGAGATCGATAAACGTCATAATGAATTAATCGTACAATTGGAGAACAATCTTCAAATGTTAGGCTATAGGCTAATCATGTAAGATAAATACCTACCTGGTAGCCATATTTCAATATGACAATGTCAAACTTTTAACATTTTAGAGATCTAACTTGGCCTTAGAAGGACGCTGGTGTTGACTTGTGCTGAGTGACAGTTGATTCAACGTGAAGGACAGCAACATCGGCTTCTACTCTAGGTGCAATATCGTCCTAATGAATGGGATATAACATCAAGGGGGCAAATAGGAAAATGGATCTGGGCCTCTCCAAAATTTCCTGAAAAAAATAAAAAAAATATCAAACTTTTTCAAGAGTTTCAGAGTTCCATCGTAGGTAGTGTTTCAGTCAAAAAGTGTAATAAAGTACATATAGTTGGAGGGCCTGTACTTACGAACTGATTCTCCACGATTTGCGCTGAAATTTGGCTTCTAAAAGTATCAACTTTGGCCTTGATGTGCACTTTTCAAGCTCTGTATTTATACTGACGTCCATCTTGAGTTTCGAGCCACAAAAGTACATCGTGCATGCGTCCTGATTGGATGACCTTTCGAAACATCATCCAATGAAAAGACAGTAACAAAGGTCAACTCTCTTTTCAGAACACTGAGATAAACGTGGCATATTCAGTAATGCCATCTTTATGACGTTTCGAAAACTTTTTCAACATTTGTTATAATGACACAATTTTATTGCAATGGTCTTAGTCTATCTTTGTTAATAATATCTATCAAGAATTAAAAACTAACTACACTGCAATCTGATTGAACCATGATAACACCACTGCATGATGAATGGATTAGTGCTAAGGTTGGATCAAATAGCATTTCATTTCCCCTTGCATGGATGTTTCCTTGATAAAGTTTAATTCACCAAACCCTTGTTCACCCCGGAATAGCCTGACTACGGTAAAGTCAGATACCATGGTCACAAATGGCAGACATAACCATCGCTTCAATTAGATTTTCATGAACTGTATGTTTAATAGAGCACCTAGACTAAATTCCTTTGGAACAACAATCAATCAAAGTGTCTTAATACTCATTGTACAGTTAATTATGTTCTACCATCGAAATAAAGTCTTTAATTTAACCGATCAAAATGAGATACGGGACAACGGACACTGTAATTACCATATGTCGTTGTCTTTCTAAATTACTCAAAATCAGATTCCGATGTCATTGACGATATCGAAGATGCTATATTGTGGCGATTCCCGACCCAATTTAATAGAAAATGGGATTTCATATGATACATTATCACAAGAGCTTAATGCATGCACAGAATTAGCGAAGATAAAATCCCATGAAATGAGGACCAGGTGATTAAACAATTGAAGCGACCGTTAAGTCCGCCATTTGTGAAAACGGTATCTGACTTTACCGTAGTCAGGCTATTCCGGTGTGTTGTTATTATTTTCAAATGTGAAGTATACACGAGTTTCTATGAGGTTAAGAAAAATGTTAATACTTCACAAAGTATGAAAACTGCCACACCCACTTTAGAAAACTTACCATTACAAAAAATTCTGAACCTACAGGGAACAAAAACAAACACAATTTTATGGATGAAAAGATGATTTAGTTTTTGAATTATTTTCTGCAGAATCTAATTAAAATATATACAGACATAAACAATTGAACAAGACTATCCCATAATTCTTAAAAATTTATTCATCTTTAGTTTTTTTGTGTTTTAAATACAAAACTTATAAATCACACAAATAAGAGGTTCAAATGTTATGTACAGATACTTTTTCAATACAAAAATAAATTCAATAACATCTTAAAATGCATTCATTAAAAATGTATGAACTTGTTAAAACATGTTTTCCATGTTTTCAATCAGGAAATTAAAACCAATAATATTTTATATTATTATATCACTGTCATATTCCTCACTCTCTGATTGGTCTATAACCTACACATGAAATAAGAAGCGATGTTCAACAGCTGTACACAGTTCATACACATGACTGGTATATATCAAATGATATTCATCAGTCACTACTTAGTCCAGTGTAATTCAATTTTACCTCAATCGAGTCAATAGAATGAAACATCGTTATAATAATTATTTATGGACTTAAAATCCAGACAAACAATGCACATCCCAAACCACTAAAAATGTTTTTATTTAAAATACAACGAAGATAAATATTAACTTTTTATGAAACATCAAGTTCCATTTGAATGGAAATATCAATAACAATTTTATAATGGAAACATATCTATATACATACATTATGTAGATTTTCTGTACATATATATGACCTGATGACCGAATTAATCTATCACCATTTACCAGTATATACATGTACACTCACTGTACAATGTACTTAATATTTAGATGATTGTGCCATATTTACAAATGGATTACTGTGCAAATAGATGTAAGCAGTCAATACTGTCTGTACTGTACAGAGTGTCCCAAAACATTACTGCCCAAAATTGTAATAATGAAGTCAGAAAGAAATCATTTAACTGTTGGGCATACTGTTTTTTTGGGTCACCTTGTTTATAAAGAAAAATGGAAGTTGGGGTTCTTTTATAAGGCATGTTCCCTTTTACATTACCCAACAAAATGTATGATCATTTAAAAGCTAACAGACACATATTTTTGCATTTATTACATATTCAATATTTTCCAGATCACATTTTAAAAATTAGGGACAGAGTGTTTCTGCAAACAACAGCATTACTACTGTACTATACATTTGAATATATTAACTCTCATGTACATTTTATATACATGCTACCATCTTTACTTATGTCAATGTATCATAACCCGGATATCATTAATCCAGAATTTTACTATATCGACCTGAGCAGTAATCCAGTCTGTGACGTCATAGTGGGGGCCATATTCCCAGTCAATAATGCATTAACGACTGGCAATTTTCCCCGGGAAATTAGATATCGTTCAGTGCAAAACTTGCATAATATATATGTATTCCAAACCCAAAAATAATATGGTTACATAACTTAAGCTTTGTTCAAATTGAGTAAGGTATGTTACATGTGTTACTTCTACGAGGATGATGAGCCATCTTTGTATGAATGAAAAGTGCACAATTCTGAGTATTCTACACCTGGAACTATAGGCTAATGCAAAAAGGTTGAGATTTTAGACCGAGATATTCAAACAAAAAATGGAAGAATGGTAGAAATCCCATATCATCTGTTGCATTTTGGTAAATTTCTTCATATAAAGCTGACTAGAGTAACTGGTAACAAAGAAACAATGAACCAATGAAACAACTTGCAAACTTAAGAAAATACATCTTAAACTCACTAACAGTATGAAATGGATTTCGGTTGTATTTTTTCAGACTAAATCATTATAAAACCAGCACTAAAGAGTTTGTGGTTCCACAGCTGTTCACTTTAAACACATTTTACTGTATTAAGAATGGTACAAACAGCAATTGCATTTCTTTTAAAAAATGCAATCAAAACAGAGTCCCTGAGAATAAGGAATTAAGGTGCAAGTATATATTAAGAGAATCATTTTTATGAGGATGTATCAAGTCCTAGTTGTTCTTCAGTCTACCATTCATGCATACATGATTCCTGAATTCTGATTTCAGTCGAATTATACAGTCGAGAGTGACCAGTCATTTTGCATCTGAATCAATCTGGAGCACAATGTTTTTGAGCTACTGATTTCAGTCCGTTATCACAGAGGATTTTATACATGAATCCAACCTTACATTGCTGGGGGCAACGATCCTTCCATTTCAAGAACATCTGGTAACAGCACTCCCTCAGATCCTTATTTGAATGCTCTATAGAGGCTAGCTCCTCTTCCGGTAAATTTAACGTCCGACCCAAAGATTTCCAATTTTGGTTTACTTGGCCAGATATATGCCATAAGGCATTGATTTCAAGGTCCCGTTTATTTTCCCTGCATGCTTGCTCATTATGAATACCTGACATTTCACTTGATCCCGTAAAAGACCCAGCAGAGTTTTTCCGTTTCCGTTTGCCCATAGGTGTCGCTGGAGGGCTACGATCTAATCCTGAGTGCGAGCCACGTTTCCTTGGGGGTGACATCAGCCCACTTGGACCTGGAAACCATCCACAATTTGTTAAGTTTCTGTTTAAAATACAACACAACATATCAAATACATATTACATTACCTCAATACAAACATAGCAGCAAGTAAAACTGAATCATAAAACATGAGAGACACTAGTATAAGTTCTGGTCTTTAGTTGGTCTAGTAAATACTTTGAACTTAACAATGAATAAAGTTAACTTTTCAATTTTCTATCATTGTTTTATTCTTTATATACTAGGGCTGGCAGGGAATGAAAAGAAATAGGAACGGAAGAGATTTAGGAACTTGCTTCCAGAATTAGGGATTATTAGGGACCTATTTTACACTATGGATCAGACAATAATTGTACCATGCCAGCCCTAGTATATATGTAAAGTCAACTGCAAATCAAAAAATTATTGAAGTAACAGTGTAAACTTCACCCTGGAAATTAACATCTTAAATTATTGAATCTGAAATCAAACAAGCAACAGTATTCAGCAACAGTAACAACATGTAACAAAATATTAACTATCTAATCAACTACTCTCATACATTTTAACTTAACAACCACTTCTCCCCCCTCCCCTTCCTCCAAGGAAGCCTCAATTTCAGACTTATTTGAAGTTGATTTTGTCTTTTTTTGCCGTTTTCTTGTTGTCACATGACCTCCCGGCCTTTTACGTTTAGGACGAGTTGGTGTTACAAACACATCATTTTCACTGGTATCATTTACTTCATCTTTGCTTGTACCTAGGAGTTCAAGTTACGGGTATATCAATATATCCCTCTCACATTATGAAAACAACTTATTCAGTCTGAATTAAAATGTCAGCTACTGTTTAATTAAATTCCAGCAAAATAACATTCTAGTGCTGAATAGTTTTATACTGATAATACTTTATAAGGTACTTATGAATGCATTCTGACTGCAATTTCAACATTATAAGAGAGAGAGAGAGTACGAGGGCTTCAGCTACACTACAAAAATAATCCTTTTAAATATAAAATTTATGCGAATAATATAATTGCAGCAAAAATATGAATGAAATCTTGAAAAAAATGTTGGAATATTGTGAGTTTCTAAGAGAATAAATATTATTTTACTTCACAATAATCATTTAGATTTAGCTATTATTTCTACTAACCTGGCATAGAGCCATCACTGAAGCTATCGTCAGAATCACTGAAGCGCTGTTTAAAGCCAATCTGGTCGAGATTCTCCCCAGTACTTCCACCATTTAGACGAATCTTCCTGCTGACTTCATACAGACCCTGCAGGAATTCCTCTGGGGTCCCTCCACGTGCCTGATAAGCACCAAGGATCATTGCGAATGCATCACTGGTATATGCAAGTTTGTGACGGATTTCGTGGTTTGTAAAACCAAGGTGTTTGGCAAATAGTTTCCAGTTATCATCTTTGGTGATATCTAACATTGCTGAAAACAAAGTAGACTTTGATATGAAATACAACATTTAAATAAAAGAATATGGATACCATGTTCTCAGAAAAATATATTACAGTAGCATTGTGACAAGGGTCCCCTCCATCCCCCTAAATCTTTTAAGGCAAATTGGCATTTTGATATGAGCAGTCACTTTGATTTAAATGCCCTCTTGGACAGAAGTGGTTGTAACTCTGAATCATTATTTAGTGGCCAATAAAAGTTGTAAGTTCTGACAGAATAATTTCCCCAAAAATTATTTATCTATATAAAGGGGACATACTGACTACCGTATTCACCGTAAAAAGCACCCAGGGTGCTTTTAAAATTGAAATTCCCATTGTAACCCATTACAAAGAGCACCCATATATGAGAGAAGTCAAAAATCCCCGGGAATTTCATGTATGATAATTTTTCTTGCCAAAAATGCCTCATTTGCAACGAAAGTGACAGAATATTTTTAAAATAATGATACGTATCGTTATTGGAGAGAATACGATAAAGATCGCTTAAATAAAGCAAGAATCTAACTATATTGACAGTCATTGAAGAACTCCCCAGCAGAGCCCCTGCATTACTTACTTGCGAGTTCCTTCAGTGCACTCAAGCTCCATCTATCTGTACTGTCCAATATCATCTCCCCCTCACCACCAGACTGAAAAATTTATGATCCAAATTCTATTTATTATTGTTAAGGCATGGTTTTTGCCAGGACCTCCAGGTATCTGTATAACCACCTTTAACATGATAAAATGTCCCAAACTGTAATTAAACATTTGTCTCAAAATATTTTTGCCCCGATAATGAAATTCCACACACCTGTTTGATAGGCATTATTTATAAAGAAAACAGTAAATCATTTGAGTAATTCATGAGTTAATGCCAAACAATTGAAGTCACTAGAGATCTAAAGCACTTTTTGTTCAATTATAGATTTATAGGTCATTTACTGTTGCTTAATGTAAGGTTAGTGCACTTAGGTTGTTCAATTACTGAGGTTAACATTAAGACAATCATAATCATAAATTTTGATATTGATCTTATACAATATTGCAAAAGATAAGATGAAAGGTGAACTTGATGTATTCAGTAAATCAATAATAAAATGTGCAATTAAAACAGAATATTGAAAATATAATGTTTTTATTTATTATGGGTGCTTACCTTCGTGAGATTAAACTCCAGTAAAGGTGTAAAGATAGCTGCAATTTTACGCTCGAGAAATACTTTACCAAAGACTCCTTTGTCAACAGATGCACCCTATAATAAAACAATTTTTGCATAGTTATTTGAATTGCATGCTTTTTTCACCCTGTAATCTCTATTCCAAACACTTCTTTTCAATCCTTTATTGCCCTAAGCCATCATAAGCTTTGTGTACAAAATGACAGGTCCCCATTTTACTATAGCTTGAATGACTCATTCATAGCTTGCTCATTAACATAATTTATGTACAGTGTTTAAGTGTGTGTGTTTAGTGGGCATGTCTTGGCATGCACACTCCAGGCACCAGGTCAATCTCCAGCAAGTGGTTCATCAGATTACTTCATATAGCAGTACAATGACAAACTTGCACATTCTAAAGCTCACAAATCTCTGGTTGGAGAGTAAGGTGAAGGGTTCTAGACAAAGGGTTCCAACTTCCAATGCTCATTTTGCACCAAATGATAAAGTACTTATTTTAGGTGGTCTTTATAAACATAAAGTAATACAACAAGAAATTCATAATAACTACATGAAAAATAGTTGTTTTGTTTCAAGGTTACACAAATATTACCTACAAAACATCATTTCCTGAAGCTCATTGCATTAATTAAATAACTGATGATAATCTAAGAGGTAGATGTTCAAAGAAAAAACTAATACCTATCATCTATGTGTAAAAAAGATCAGGAACCAAATCAAACTTTCAACTGACTACAACAGTACTATATTTTCTAATGTATCATACTACAGTGTTACACTGTGCACTGAACTGAGAGATACTATTACCAGACATAAAGTTGGAAATCTTCCAATTACACATTGTTAGTTGTTTTCATTTAGTGTTGTGCAAATGTCATGTTACACCAAATTTTTTTTCAAACACAAGTGCTCATATTCAACTCACATTTACAATAACAAAACAAGAAGATATAATTCTATCAAAATACTTTTCCTCTAAATTACTGTACTGTATTACTGTAAATTGTCAATAAAACAAAAGATTTAGTATATATTAATTAGCTGAGTTGATTGACCTACTGGGTTAGGCTAAGGCAAGGCTAGATTAATGACTTAATTATCTCTTATTCAAAGAGTGTAAAGAATCAAAATGCTGAAAACAATATTATAAGATCTTACCTTGAATCTACATGCAAATTGCTTTTCAAATTCCCGCCCGCGGAAATCCAGTTCAACTTTAGATAGAGTAATATCTTCTCCATGCAAAACGTCTGCCTCAAAGTCATTTGATGCTAAACGAATCTGCAACTGGCCTAAAACATTGAAACATTTACAATAAATGTACAGTTTTGATACTGCTAAGATTTACTCACTTCGAGAGCCATGTTACATTTTGAAACTTATGGCTCTCAAACGGAGAAGTGAACAGCTGATCAATAGTGACCTTTGAAATCGAATTAAGTCGATCCGCGGCTTACTTTTGGTCTCTAACTGTGTCTTACATCAGTATCATCAATCCGTGTAAGTATTGGAGCGCTGGAGTACTTCTTTTTCGATCAAGACTTGTAAATTGTTCATCGAGTGAAAGTTTTTTAGACCTATTTCCAATATGGCGGTTTGCTAGGTGCGAGATACGCAACGAACGAAATGAATTTTGAGAATTAGTTAGGTTCGGACAACCTCCGGAGATTTACGAAAATATCCGAGCAGAAACCGCCATATTGGAATTTGGCAGTAAAACGATTCACTCGACTAACAATTACAAGTCTTGATCGAAAAAGAAGTACTGTAGCGCTCCAATACTTACAAGGATTGATGATACTGATGTAAGACACAGTTAGAGACCGAAAGTAAGCCGCGGATCGACTTAATTCGATTTCAAAGGTCACGATCATTGAGCTGTACAAATGCTCCGTGGGAAAGCTATTATATCAAAATCCAAATAGCTTTCGCAGGAAGTAAGCTAAGATCACTGGTTTCCACCTGGTCTATATAAAGATGTTACATCTTTATAACAAAAGGGATGAACTTACATTAGTCTAAGAGAAAAATTTTCAGGTTTTTTATTATTTATTTATTAAGATTCATCATTTTCACCAACAAAGAGGTTGATTTGTATCCAAATTCCAAATATTTCACCCACATGTCAGTCATAAGCAAATTATAAGGCATCTCCAATAACTGAGTGAAAATTCCCTTACTTCAGCAACCTGGACGTTTTAACACAACGTAACCAAGGAGGGTTTCTCACTCTATCATTGCAGTCCTTGGATGTTAATACTCGTGACTGATTCGCTTTCCAGTAACTGGTAACTGAATGTCATACAAGTAAAATATTTAGATACAAATCAACCTTCTTCATGGTGAATATGATGAAAATAAAAATTGCTTCCGACAGAAGTTCATCATTCCATTTTGAACTCTGATCCATTTTGTTAGGAAGGCATTAACCAGGTGGAGACCAGTGCGGATTGACTGTAATTCTAATTGAAGTACTGGTAGCTTGATTTTGTTGGACTTATACTGATTTGGTAAGGCGATGAATCAGAAGATTTTACCGATTTCTATAAAGATTCTTCATCTAGTGAGTACATGAAGCTCTCTTTTTAAGAAGTGAAATCAAACTATTCATAAACAACTTGAGAGGATACCGGTATAGATCCAGCTTCAAATATTTTGGTTATTTCTGATAAAGAATGACAGTAAAGGAAAATGGATGAACTAGAAAACAGCAACTCTGCGGAGTGCGGTGGCAAATCCAATCCCACCGAATCAAACATATTTTATTCAATACCACGTCATTTTGGACACAACATGATTGCAATAAGCAGGAAATAGTAGAGTTGTATTGTCTCCTTTTGGAAAAAACTATATTTATGAATACTTATGATGTGACATGAAATTTACTTTTATGAAACTAACATTGAATCATTGCTCAGAGAGTTTTAATTCATCAATTTTCTGCACACTATATATGAGGAAACCCCTGAGTTCAGAGATGATTATAATTAATTATCTTATATCTCTCTTGTTTCACATTCGTTTGACCAAATTTCAAGCATCTAGTTTCAGAATACCAAACCTCGATGTGATGTTTTAATCGATTAAACATATTCCTTCCATCTTTCTTTATCTTGACATGAAATAACATAATATTGCTAAATACATCAGAAATTCACATATATCAATCATTCGAAGTGCTTTATAAAAAATTCTAAATTCAAAATTTGTTTGCGTCACTTCCTGTCAATTGAATAAAATTTAAGACAGCTTCTCTATATCCTTATGATCTTCATTCGGTGGGATAATAATATTCACCGATCAATGTCATCTCTTTACAGTTCATTCATATTGACCAATATTAAACCTTACCTGGTCTGACCATCTTTGGTTTGATTGTCCCTCCTACACGACATGTGTAGTTGCCGATCTCTGGCATCTTCTTGTCACTACGGTAACATATCACCTCCAGACCAAAGGTGCTACTACCTGGATTTTCCTGCATGAATGCTTGGCACATCATTGAGAATTGTACATAGGGGTAAAAATATGACACTCCAATCTTCGCTTCTTGTACTGAAGAACTAAGGAGATCCCATAATGCTTTGTACCATGAGAAATGCCTTATAGGAATGCATACAAAATAGTTCGCATTTTTATCACATTCTATGGTGTAATCCACATTCATTTGTTCCCATTGGAGGTCGTCTACATCTCCTGTCTGACTCTGCCAGATTGTCAACCCAGATGTAGGTTCAGCATGCAGTTTTCGCATTATTGCATGGCAGTCTGGTATAGGGAGCTTTATTATCACAGGGCTAGCTCTGTTGTTGAATTGACACCCATGAGGGCCAACTCTGACAACAGGAGTAGCTAATGCTAATGGTTTATCCCCATGTGCTATATCGCAGCCAAATGGTTCATCCCCATAAAATACTTTAATACTGGCATTAATATCAGAATTGAGTGCACCTTTTGGGAAGTGAACCTGCACCCCCTCTACTTCATCTACTTCCAGCACACCACCCAAATTTGCATCAATATGCTTCTTAGCCTCAGGGTATGGCTTAGCTGCTATTACCGTGAATAAACTGAAATGGTTGGTTCGTAGTTTGACACTATTCTTTTTATCATTTAGTTTGTAGTCTTTGTTACACATTGGCTGCCAATTAGGGGGGTCTCCTTCACATGTGTCACTACATAGACAGATCACTTGGTCATCTGAATCAATAAGCACTCCTAAAGGGATATGGATTATGGCAGGATCAGTATCATAAAATCTTGACCCATGAGGCTCTATGGATAAAACCTGACTTGCATGCACAGCACGCTCATCAGTATCTGGAGTATAAAATATATCCTCTAAAATATCTATTTTGAACTCATCTTGTAGAAATCCACATTTGTTATACTCTGGAATTACTACTGATACATTTTTGTATTTTATGAGTTTTGTTCTGTCCCGTAAAACTCGCTCTTCATAGTAATCTTCCGCTTCAGAGTCTGAATCTGAACAGTCATCATGATGACATCGTGGAGAACGTTCAGATTCCGTATCAATGTCAGCATCACTGTCACTACCATAATCCCCATAACAACTTCCAGTTTCTGGTTCCTCAGATAACGAGTCAGATGTGAGATCAAGTGAACAAGATCCATAGTCACTGGTCACAAGTTTAGATCTTGGCGGAAGAGGGGCATTTATTACATGACTGCTGGTTTGATTGGTCAGTCTTAAATTTTGGAGATCATTTAAAAAGGATGTATCACAGTCATCAGAAACTGAGACTACTGATGGCTTGATTTCAATGTGGAAATACTGTCTCAACTTTGGTAATCCTGACAGGATAACATCCTTTGGCACATTTGTTATATAGTTTTTTGTAAGATGAAGCTTTTGTAACTTTGGCAACTGTAATAGCTGCTTGTCAATCTCACAGATTTTATTCCCAGAGAAATTGATGGTTTGCAACTGTAGAAGTGTTGATAAACATTTTGGTATATAATGTAATCCATTGTGAGCTGCATCAAGGACTTCTAAAGAGGCAAGGCAACCTAACTCAGGTGGAAGATCTGTCAATTTATTCCAACCTATTGAGAGCACCTTCAGATAATGAAGCTTACAAAGACTTGCAGGAATCTCCAACAGGTTGTTGTGGCTAAGATCTAACTTCTGTAGAGTCTTGGTGAATGGAGGCAATAGTAGACTTAGCGGCAACTTTTCTAACTCTGCTCCTCGGAGCGAGACCTCCGCTTTACGAGACTTCTTAGCCTCGTAAAGTTCCCTATCTACATTGGAGGCCCCTCGTAGTGTGTGCATAGCACTGACTGACTGGAAAAGTAAAAATGCATCGTTTGAGGCAATGTCATACAAAACACATTTCAGTTCATAAAGTCTTACAAATTTAGACAAAAACATAAAGATATCATTCAATAAATGCGAAGACAACTTTTTAAATTTAAAACTGAATATGATGGCACTATCAATCAAAATACCACTGTATAGTAGGTGTGAAATGAATAGTCAAATACTTTTGAGAAAATGGGTTGGAGAAACTTGATATTTGAATGATAAAAAATGAAATTTGAGATATTTGAACATATTGACCGATTTGAATTATTTTGTTTGCTGCATATATTTACTTATATGAGAGACCATTGGATAAAGCATTTTAGATTTATGTGATACAATATATAAATTTCCATCACAAAAAACAGATATAGCGTTTTCAAATAAGAGCAATTAAGCTCAGAGGCTGTTAGTGTATGAAATTTGTTCCAATCGAGCCCTACAAACAGTGATCTCCCCAGGATTTTTTCTCAGGTGGGTGCAAAATTCTCATTTTCACAATTCAGACCTGACAGTTGTCCAATGTTGACAGTTTCTTTTAACATATATCATTGTATTAAATAAAACATGATAAATAGCCATCCAGTTTTAAAATAAATTGAAGCCACCAAACCATAGATCTATATATAAATGTTAGGGTTTAAAAAACTATATTCTAGCATTTAAATTCTATCACTTTTAAATCATATATCTGCTTCAAATGGGCTTAGCCCTATTGGGCCTTTGCAAATTCTTGACATACAGTCTGTTACACTGCTTTAAAACAACCAGTTGAACCAAAGAAATAAGTAATCTGAAGACTATTTTACAATAATATATAAAAAGATATATTCATTTTGCACACAAATACCATTTGTATATCTTGGATTGCATGTGAATTGGCTTAAAAAGTCTGTAACCTCTTATATTTTGATGCTTCTCTGCCATGTCAATTCCGAAAAAATAACACGGAGGATAGACCTCAAATTACAAGAGGACATAGGCATTGATCACTTCATGTGTGTTTTGGAATTTTTGGTGAGGTAATAAAACTAAAACTCACAATTCAAATTGTGATGTGGAAAAATGGTGGACATTTGATTTCAAATTTAATGATTACGATTTGACCCGTTATACATGCAGGAATTTATCTCCGGACGAAGGCCACGATACAGTGGCCTTGGAAGAAGGTAAATCTAGACAATATTGGAAATTATGGGCTTTCAGACGACCATGGTTAGGAAATGGTGATAGAAAATCCATGTGTCATTCACTTTTTTCCCAACTATATATGGGACAGAATATCAATGTTGCACTCAATCCTCCTTGCAGTGAAACAGACTGTCGACATAGGAACATGTAGCGACATCTATTATTACTGCTCTGACTGAAAGACTGTATTCTCAATAAAACCTTTCTGTTTCAGTCAGAACAGTAAAGACGCCGCTTCATGTTCCTGTTCTGCGCTCTTCTTTGGTGCACAGTGAGTTTGAACGCTTGTTCCTGGACCTGTGTAACAAATCATGTGAGCGATTTTATGTGAAACTGACTTGACCTACATTCAAAAAATCGTTGTCAAACAGCCTAAGTATTCGCAATATTCGGCATTTTTGTCATGTAATAATATCAGTTATCGCTAAATAAAAATATTTAGACACATACATTCAGACTCATACTTTCTTATATGATGAAGTTTTGATGCCAAAAATTTGTAAAAATTATGGAGACTTTCATTTGGTTTGAATCACAAAAACATTCGGGAAATATGTTTTTTCTTTGAAATCTAGACAAATTAACCCAATTCAAGATATTTCCTTGCATAGAAAAGATTGTGAAGAATACGTACCTTTTGTCATTACAGGTTGATATGGTGTATAACCATTGTAAATTTACTATAAACACATGAGTTTGTTGTAGTAGTGGACGCCATTTTCCTATGCAAATAAGAAGCGCGCATGTCAGTCAAAGGCTGATTGTGGGCGGGGTCAAATAATGATGCATTATGGGCTACGTGAAAACACCAATCATTTTGCCACCTGTATTAATATTAAAAGATTTAATTGTAGGGTCAGAAGCTCAAAGAATAGTTAATTAATATTTATTGAGCTACTGATCCTACTAAAAAAGAATCTGGCCGGGATCTATGGATCAACTGGATTGGTCAAAAGCAATCATGTGACGTGGGGGTCAAATGGGTCAATTAGAGTCTCATTACATTTGACGACGATAATCAGTGTAGCTAAATTGATACAAAAAGAATCAGTGAAAAAATCCTCTGGTATGAGTGAGGCTTAAGGTTGCCAAGAAAGTCAAAACGTAAAGTTGACCTTGACCTTGGCCGTGTAGTTTCTACCAATCAAATCCCTTGAATTTAGTCACTCCATATATGTGTTTATGCCGAGCGACAGTTTTGAAAAGTCTTCATTTTTATCATAGTCCAAGCCTTACTGAGGTGCAATGGGAACAAGGTTGAAACAAAGAGGTGTACCAACACTCCAACCTATCATAAGGACAAATATCACTGAAGTGGATGTTGGAGAAAGACCTAAACTTAGGCGTAGAGTGAAAGGGTATCGTTTTTTTTTATTTTCCAATATTTTCAATTAAATTTTCTAAATTCAATTTGAAATTGACATTCAGTCCTTGACTTGATCCTTCCAATCATGATTTTGGTTTTCAGTTTTCCTGTCTCGCACTCGGTCACTGAGTGATGGTCTCAATTACACTCTCAGAACTACTTTACATTTACTTCCTGCGAAAGCTATTTGGATTTTGATATAATAGCTTTCCCACGGAGCATTTGGACAGCTGATTGATTGTGACCTTTGAAATCGAATTAAGTCGATCAGCGGCTTACTTTTGGTCTCTAACTGTGTCTTACATCAGTATCATCAATCCTTGTAAGTATTGGAGCGCTGGAGTACTTCTTTTTCGATCAAGACTTGTAATTGTTAGTCGAGTGAATCGTTTTACTGCCAAATTCCAATATGGCGTTTTCTGCTCGGACATTTTCGTAAATCTCCGGAGGTTGTCCGAACCTAACTAATTCTCAAAATTCATTTCATTCGTTGCGTATCTCGCTCCTAGCGAACCGCCATATTGGAAATAGGTCTAAAAACTTTCACTCGATGAACAATTTACAAGTCTTGATCGAAAAAGAAGTACTCCAGCGCTCCAATACTTACAAGGATTGATGATACTGATGTAAGACACAGTTAGAGACCAAAAGTAAGCCGCTGATCGACTTAATTCGATTTCAAAGGTCACTATTGATCAGCTGTTCACTTTCCCGTTTGAGAGCCATAAGTTTCAAAATCTAACATGGCTCCTGAAGTGAGTAACTTTACATTGTTTGTTCAAGAAACCATGTATCTGCTGGGCTTATAGGGGGAAATGCATCAAACTTCGATGTATGTCGTTACTTCGTCATGGGGCTTATTTGAACATGGGGCCATTTTGTCCGCCATGTTTATTTTGAAAAATGTTAAAAATAATTTGAAATCTCCCAACAGTCCTCAGTTCGGTAATGTTCGTAGGGAATAAGAAGTAGGGAATGTCATGGAACAAAAATATTTTGGTACGGGATGAGACAAGAACTTCAGTTTTTCATCTTCTTCCGGATATGTTCGTTAGTGCAGTTGGGACAGTATCAGGAAATTGTGACATCCCTAATAAGTTGGTCAGAAAGTTCAATACATCATTTAATACAATAATGTGATAGAAAGAATATAATTTAGCGGGACAAAACCAGTATCATTTTGAAGAAAAACATCGTAACTTTCCAGTGGTGCAAGAATTTTCAAGATGAACGTAAAGCAAATCTGAAAAAAATCCAAATTTAAGTTTTTCAGTCGTTGATGTTATGAAAAAAATGATATGGCCGTTTATGCACCTGTATCCCCTCCCCATCTATATCAGATATATTAAAAAAGGCCTACAGGTGCATCTTTTGTTTACCATATTCTAATGTCTTCTTTTCTCAGGGCTGGACCACTTGGAGGGAAACGCGGGGCAATCAGAACTGTGTCTGCTACTAGCAATTCTACTCTGGGGACCACAAGCCCTATGCAATCCCCATCTCCAAGTTCAGATATTATCAATGGTGATGTAGAATTGGAGGGCCAAGATGTACTTTTCACTAATATCCCAAGTGGCAGAGAAAAATCAGCCAATAGAAGGAAGGAATTAGAAGAACGATTGCCATCTAGGAAAATAAATGAATTAACTTTAAAAATGGTGGTGAGTAAAGTATAGCTTGTACTTATATTCTTGTTTCTTGTTGAAAACTGTACTAAAGCCCCAGGTAAATATGAATTCCAACTTCATGGGTAAAATCCAAATCCCATGATGTAATGTAAGTAAATACAGTATATAACTTTTCTTAGTGGTATCATTCATGTAGCTATGTATGGCAAGGGGTTTCATGTATTAGCAAACTGGATGGTATGATCAGCTCAATACTCAGCTTAGAATTCACATGGTTTGATGAAGTCTGGTTGGTACCCATTTTATTTTCAAATTGTAGTTTATTGATTTAAAAGGATTTGTGCCCTGCACGAGGACTACAAGATTTGTGGATAATTTTAAGCACACAGTTTTTGAATGGGACTTTAAACAAGGGAGCCAAAGTACAAAGGCAATCATACAAAAAATAGTACATGCCTTAAACAACACAATTCATCGATACTTTTTTTACACATTGCAGAAGAGTTTAATATGAGTCAAATTCAACCAGAAAACGTTTTGAAAGTATTTTTAGCAAGGTCAATGTCAATGCTTTAACCTGCATAAGCAATTTACTTTGTGATAACATTACATGTAATAGTTTTTTACAGAAGGTCCATGTCGTCTATTAAAACCTTTATTAGCCATTCATTTGTTATACCATATAGATTGGCTATACTGTTTTCTGGTTGGCCAGAATATGATTTATCATGCCTAGCTTTGTCTGAATACAACATACAGTATTACATGTATACCGATAAACCCCATGTTAAACCTCCCATAACACTATCCTTTATTATGTTATAGTTGGAGGGCAGTCAAGAAAGTGACCTTAATAAGATATATGAAGTAGATGTTTCTGGAGTAAACATTGCAAAAATACAGAACTTAAACAGGGTAGGTATTAAATACAAATAGCTGCTGCTTTTTGAAAACAGTTTAGTCTAGAAAAGAACATTTTTTTGTCTTTTGGCATGGTTATTTAGGCAAGACTGATATGATTAAATAACTATCTTCTCCTTGTGCCTTGTACAGTCATACATAGAACAAAGTGAAACTAACGGAATATATATAAAGATGGTTGTTGAATTAATAACTCAAATGCCATTATCTGATTTAGTCGAAATTTTATAGGCTGATGCCTTATATTATACTGCACATGGATTGTCACGTCATATCATTAATACTAATTGATATTTGGTGTATATTTTGTCAAAGAGACAATCCTACTGTCTGGTTATTTTTTACATTAAATGTTCAAATTATGAGTCATTTGTAATCTTGTTTTGATGGGATTTGCAATTCCATTAGTTTTTCTAGTTTAAACGATGCATGTGCAATGTGCAGTGTCTAATGTAAAAAGAAAAAATGTTCCAATTTTTATTGGCCCACCCTGTAATGTATGTTTTCATTGTTTCAGTTGAAAAAGCTGAGGGTTCTGAACCTTTCCAGTAATTACATAGAAAAAATTGAAAACTTGTATGACAATACAGTAAGTATATAATCCCTAATCAGGTATAGATCAGACCTATAAGCTTATATAAGAAAGGGGTGCAAATGATCTAGACCCTTCAAGAAATATGTCCCCTTTTTATTATAATTCTGGGTCACTTTTTGAAAAATACACTCGTTGATGAAATTGTGAAAATTAAGCATTCATTTCTAAAAACCTTGTATCGCATTCAATGTGAAAACAATACCACTATATACCAATATAGACATAATAGTGTTTCCTCACCTTAACCAACCAAGCTGATTCATTTTCCTTTATTTTTTAACACAATCACACACAAATTCATATGGTGAGATCCATTATTACTCCTAAAGCTAATTCTTTGAAATTCCTAAATTTTAAAACTTTATGCTCCGAGGCCTCAAACACCGAAATCAAACAGTACTGAAACCCGAAACTCTGGGGTTTGGAGTATTATGTTTCAAAGTAAGGAGTTGTGGAGTATTGGGTTTCAGTGTAATGATTTTTGGAGTATCAGGCCTGTGTTTATTTTAATTTAATCTAAATATTATTTTCTTGTAGGATCTGAGAGAACTTAAGCTGTATGATAATGATATCACCACTCTAGGTCTGCTAGGTTTAACAGAGTAAGTGTACCACATATATACATTGATAATGATATCACCACTCTGGGTCTACTAGCACATGTATTAAAGGCAGAATCAGATCTATAGGGAGTGACAAAATTCAAGGAACATATAGAGTTGGCCTACCAATGTATTCCTTGCAATCTCAAGTATATTATCTCCCAAAAGATCTACAATATGTTATCAATTAGTGAAGTTGTTTTCAAAGTGTTAAAATGGGGAAAAATGTTTAAATTCTCCCAAATAATAGAAGTGGGAGCACTATTTATAGAAAAATGAATTATTGTCAAAATTGTTAGTTTTTCTCAAATGAAGTATTCGCTTTGGGGATTTTTAGATTAACATGATGAGGAATGATATTACATGTAGTCCAAGATATACTAAAATTGAAATGTTTTGTTTTGCCAAAAGTACTCTGATAACTCATTGCCATTGTTTGGTAGATCTGATAGTGCCTTTAAACTAAAGGTTTAGTTCTGTATATGATCTTACTGTTTTTATGGAATTGCATATGCATTGATATCAGTTATACTTATTATTACAAAATTAAAATCTCACTAATTGTATCATACTAGAATACTAATGTTACTTTCTAATCAGTTGTAGATGCATATTCATTTTATTTCCAGCTTAAAAGAACTATGTCATTTACAACTTCAACATAATAAAATAAAGTCTATAGGTAAGTAGATGTTCTGTGTGTATGAGTGTATGTCTATAGAACATAGCTGGTTTCACCATATTTTGACCTTTCATCAGTAACCAAAACAAAGCCAACAAGTATTGAATGCTGTAATAATTCATCACAATTTCTAATGATTGCAGGTAGAAATTTGTGCAAACTGCGAAAACTGAAAATCCTACGTATAGATAGTAACTACATATTGAAGTTGGAACCGGGGGAGTTTGCTGGATGTCCCGCTCTCACTAGTCTTGATATCAGTAACAATAGGATAGACAACATAGCAGTGAGTTGTCCACAAGATTAACATATTAGCATTACATAACACCATGGCAGTAAATCAGACATGGAGTGACATGGACTAGGAGGCGATTACTGCAAGAAAATTCAATAGATCTTCAAGATTTATTTTTTCAAAAGAAAGTTTACCAATAGTTTAATGAATAGACACATGGTATGGTAAAATCTGTTAGTTGTTAAGTGAAATGCTTCTAAGGTATGAGACATGTTTTACTGTACATTTAATCACACATGTTACACTTTCAGGCTTTGAATAGTTTACCTAACTTAGAGGAACTTGTCTGTGTAAACAATCGTCTCAGAACAGTGCCTGATTTACAGAGGTGTAAAAAGGTGAGTTTTGCAACAAATCTTGATGTCTTGATTAATTCTAAAAAATGGATTCTCAATCAAAAATGAGGATTATATAGTAATTATTATTAATTGATTGACCTGTTATTAAACAGTAATTTTTGCAAAAGTAAAACACATTTACATTGATAAAGACTTAAGTTAAAACCATTACAGAAAGTGTATTCCTGCAGCAGCATTTTTCTATCTGATTATCAATCTAAGCCTGCATTCAGCAAGCTCATTTTATGTACATGCACATATGTTGAACAATTTGATCATTTTCACTAACATGTTCTGAGGGAGAGAAGAACCTTTACATGAATAATGCATCCATGTAAAACAAAGCATCCATGTGAAACTGCATCTTTGTGGAACAATGTATACATTTGGAACTATGCAGCTATGTATTACAATGGGTCTATGTGGAACAAAATATCCATGTGGCACAATGGATCCAACATTCATGTAAGGCAGTAGTAAAGCAATGCTCCTGGGGAGAACAGTGCAGTTTACATAGAGTATGTTTTACTGTTTAATTTTGCAAACATTTACCTGCATTTACATTTGTTCTATATATTTCTAGCTCATTGATGTCGATCTCTCTGCCAATAGACTCACTGATGTATCAGGATTAAAGGGACTGCCTTGCTTATCAGTAGGTTGAAATAACAAATATCACACTCTTAACCTTAATATGAGATGTATAGATGAAGTTAAAATAATTATTATTTCATTACCAGCCAGTTTACACGCTAGTATTATAGTGATTTCAAACAAATGAACTTAAATAATCCAATATTGCATAGTTCAGGTAATACTGAATTATTTATCAGTATAACAAGGAGACATAAGACTGAATTTTCATTCTATAATTTGAAAATATCTTTATTTTTCAGGTTGTACATATATCACATAATAACTTATCCAGTGTTAAAGGTTTAGGAAAATTAAAGTAAGTTTATATTTATATGAAATCCATATTGAACTTTGGGTGGTCCATTGTTGTGTGTTTGTATATTGAATATTTCGACCAAAGAAAACCTACTTCAATTATTCAAACTATGCAAAATAGGAATTCTCACGTCAAACACTCAAAAACTGTTTTATGAAGTCAGCAAAATCGTTTTTTTCCTTTTGATATAACATATTTAATATATGACTTAGATTATTTGAACAATACTTAAAACTTCAAAATTACTTATTGAAAGATCAGTTAGTCATGTGATTCTACATTTTCAGAAACTTACGAGAACTGAATATTGCTCACAACAGAATAACAGACCTGCAACATATAGCTGACCAGTTCCCTAACCTGGAGATATTAGAGATTAGCGACAATAACCTCTCTCAGTGGAAACATATGGTACGTAAGATTTTCCATTGGTCAAAAGTGAAGTATGAAATCATTATCAGGGGGCCAGGTCAAAACAGTGTAGGGGGCCAGGTCAAAATATTTATTTCTTCTCATTAAACAATCCAGACTCCCTCTCCCTGTTTGTTATACTTTATGAAACAAAATCTGTTGAAAGCCAATGTTATTACCAAACATTTTTCCATTGTGTCCCCATCAGAATTGATATCATTGATATTTTTGTGAAGAAATGACACCTAGCCATTAGTACTAAAATATCTAATGTGCAGTAAATACAACAGATGCTTCAACTATATGTGATGAACTTTGTTTGCTTTTTTAGAAAAATCTTTCAACTCTTGAATGGCTGGTGGAGCTGTATATATCAGGGAATTCACTTTGTAAAACTGACAAACCATACAGCCATACTGATGTGCAGGAGATTCTGCCACATCTTGAAATATTAGATGGGGTGAGTCATGCATTTTAGTCTCTACCAAGCTTTTATGTATTGTAGCCCATTTGCACTGACATACACAACTGAGTAGGGAAATTGATAATGGACAGAAGGGGGGGGGGGGTGTGACTATGGATGATTCATTATTTTGATTCATATTTGATACCTCTGATGTCAAAATCTGATTGACATACAGTGTGTCATCTTCACCATGCAACCAGCCCAACCAAATACATCATAACTTAAATCAGTATTTTGAAAATTGAGTTCTCTTTTTATGCAGATAAGTATGCTGCATGAAGAGCAAATTGATGATGGCTAGGTAATAGAAAGAATAGAGCATTTTTATATAAAAGTATATTTGTAAGTATATTTCTGTATTATATTATATTTATTGAATATTCTAGGCTCATCTAAAGAAGTCTGTGAGTCAACCTAGGGGGGCCACTCCTCTTATGAGACCAATGTCAGCTAACAGTGGTAGGTTCCATATACACATAACAAACATAACATAGGACTAGTGATAATAACTTAACTACCAGCCATATTCTGTAGTTTAGAAAAAATCTATGGATTTTCGTGATATCATTTTTAATCCACTTGTTGATATCAGTATCTGGACGAGTGAGCATTGATAAAAATGATTTCACTCAAAATCATGGGATATCCTTTACACATTAAACTGTAGTATGTTCAAAAGTGGAATATGTGAATTTTTGAAGCTATGATCTTCTCAACATGGCTCAAGATATAAAGCTAAATGCCACAATTCTTCCATGTCATTTATAATCAACACTGTTACATAGTCGTCCTCTTGCTTTCCAGTTGTCAGTGCCAGACTGGTAGAAAGTCAGCTGAAAAGCCTGGAGGCAGAAATAGGAACATTTGAATCTACATTTGCAGAAAAGTAAGACAGTATTGAACAAATATTGTTCATTATATTGAGGTGAATACCTGTGCATCTTTCACAAGTGATATTCCACGAAGCCAGGAGGAATTTCATTAAGAATCCTGCATCATTATTATTCTTTATTGGCTTTAAAGGCATTCATGCGTTTACTTTCCACCCTGATAACTGCTCCCTTGTGCATCATATGTACATGTTCGTAAATGTTTGCATGCTTTCTGGGCGATAGAAATAACAAAATATTGTTTCTGAGATGAGATCAAATGACTTTGACATATTCTTCACCATACCTATTTTGTAATTTAACACAAATAGATATACCATATTAAAGCAGATATCGGATATAATAACACATTCTTTGATCGAAAAAATAAATGGTTATAATACTGGAAGTGTGTTCCCTGATGTCGGCATGTAAATATTTATAGCCATGGATTCAGTTTTAAATGCTTCTGAATGATCTTCAAATAATTACTATGATTTCTATCAGAAATGTTTTGACTTCCCCACTTCATTTACTTGACTAGAAAGTTTATCTCACTTCTCATTTATCGAAATAAAGATGATCTGAAAATGATATAGCTTTTCAAGGTTCAACAGCAACTTTGAATGGCTCTTCATGCATAGTTTGAAAATACAATCATCAGAGAAGGTTTTAAACCATGAAATTGTCTCTAAAGCTCAGCAGGAGATCCAAGACGTCATTTCCATTGTTCTCTGCATAGCCTTGGATCTCCTGCTGAACTACGTGACTCAGCTAATATGCATGTATAGATTGTAATGCACATCGTACTGCCATACATGTACAGTATATCAAAATGTGTCGATCTTGCAGCATTACTGGTTAATTTCAGCTCCAATTGATCACTTGTAGCAGATTATCTTATAATATCTGTACATCTGTCTGCAGGTTTGATGCCCTAAAAATGAGTTTTGACACATTGCCAGTAGAGCCTCCTCCCTCCAGTAGAATGAGTGGTGCAGGCAGCAGACTCTCCACAGCTAGCAGCCTAGATAGACCAGTCAGCAGGTGTAGCAGGTACTCATGGATGGATATCTTGACTTTAAATGAATGGATGGGTGGGTGCGTGGGTGGGTGGATTAGTGAGAGTGAGTGAGTGGTTTGGTGAGAGTGATTGATTGGGTGGGTTTGTGGTGGGTGAGTGAGTGGTTTGATGAGTTTGTTGGTGAGTGAGTGAGTGAATGTGTATGGATAGGCTTCTGCTTGTAGGATCAAATAGATCAAAGCATGACATCCTTCATTGAGGATTAATTCTATGCTGTACATGTATTAAGCTAGTTGATCCCTAATCCTAGCATTTTCTTAGCTATTTTTCTACAAAGAATAGAGTCCCCTGGATTTTGATGTTATCACCATTTGAATGTTACATTTTTGCATGCCCAAACCAAGTTGTATGTTAGTTGTAATATGTAATCCATGCAATATTCTGCTTTTGTTATTACTACATTTTGACTTGTTGAGTTTGTTTTGAAATGCCAGAGTCATTGAGTGTTTCACTGTAATCTCTTACTTTGCTGCTTTCTTTGCTTTATGAGGTCTGATTCCTGGTATCTGCAAACTCGCTCCAAACTGATGCATGTTAGAAAGAAGTGGGACACTTTTAAGGTAAATTCTCTCATCAGGCAACCAGGGTGTCGTTTTGAATCAATGGGGAATAATTGAAAATTTAGAAATAACTACAAGGGAATTCTAGAATTCTGAATGATTTGTTTTAGATTTAATTTTCCATTATTACCATTAAAAGAGAGAATTTACCTAACATTTTTTTTAGCTTTCTCCAGTTTAACATTGATTAATTGCTATTTATTTCACCATTGTTATTATATACAGTACATGCACTGTTGTATTTTCAGTCGGTCGAGAATTAAAGATGCCAAATCATTTGCTGAACAACATTTCAATTGATGGATGAATGGTGACCAGTGCAAAATGAAAGCTTTAATACTTTAAACATTCAACTTTATCAAAACATCAATGTGGACTGTAGCGTATTGCTGTATGCCTGGTGTCAGCACTAGCTGATCAGAACAGAGTTAAGATATATAAAAAAAATGATTGGACAGTCTGAGTCTAAGGCACATTGTGACATCTATATAGTATTGACAGAGTGGAATTCACAATATCCTAGACAACAAAATTCACAATTCTATTTAGAAAGTTAGAAATTTTTCTCTATCTCCTGTTTCCAAATATAGTATTTACAGTTGGATTCCTTCTCACTCATGCAGTGGTGTAAAACTGTATTGTTCAAGGATGTTGCTGGCTGAGCAAATCACATTTCTATGAATGCAAAATATTAACTAAAGTCTTCAAGACTACTCACATTCCGGAAGTGTTACTTCAGTACAAATCAGCATTGTGAACCATTGCATTATGCTTGGTATTTAGTGGCATTATTTTGATTTAATGGCATTATCTATCAAATTTTAATAATATTCATACCATACTTTCATCTATATTTATGGATCTGGTTGCAAGGATCACTAATTGCATTTAATTGTCATTTTCATGCCGTTAGTTTATGGTTTTGTGTAGTGTGCTATGTATAAGAACATGTACATTGTATGTACAAATTGTAAAAATAATGATGTTTAAAAATACAAGATTTATTTATAAGAAACAAAATATTTATGTTGATTTCATTTGAAGAAAATAAATAATGCAAATTATTCCACAGTTACTGGGATATTCATAGGATATAATGACAAAATAAAATTGAAAAAAATATACGGTAACCATATATTTTGGCAAATTTTCTATTGCTACACTTGCATGTGCAGATGTTATATTCATTCTTGGATAAAAATCACTCATAGAATATCCCCTATAGATTACCATAATTTGAACTACATGAACTGCTTTAATCAACATTTCTGGTGTTCATTCTTGCAATTGATCTTCAATGATATCGAATATAGGATGCAACATAACCACCAGGACTTATTATTTTGATTTTGGCCAATTATTTTATTCAATGCATCTGTATATAAAGGAAAATATGCAACAGGGCAACTGATCCAGAATTCAAGTTTGATATGCAGATATACAACACTATGACACATCCTGATCACAAGCCTTGTTTAAGTGGATAACAAATGATGGAGATATCTTCATATAAAATAACAGGAAATTGCTTTAATGGTACTTGAGTATATATTTTCTGTAAGTACTATTCCAAAGTCGATCAGATTCAGTGAAAATAAGTCTATTCAGTATTCAATCTTTGAAGTTCCCTGCCTAGAGTCAACTGAGAGACAATAAAGGGTTTCCTAAAGGACCAGCCCAATGTAATAGCCATCTTTTGATCTGGGGGAGAGTTTGAGTTACTTTGTGCAAGTTTGAGTCTTTTTGTGCAAATTGCATGAAATGAGTTTATTCTAACATTTCTTAGGGGCATGATTGCACAGTCACATCTGCCACACCACTCTGGTTAGGGGCCTGAAGATAACTATACAACCAGATAATTAATTATTTTTTATTTGATAAATGTAGCATATTTTAAGTTGTAGGATTTAAATTAAATGTACCATATTTTACTACCCTTTGCATTCGTTTGACTTCACTTCTTAAAAGAGAGCTTCGTCTTCACTCTTTCAAACTAAAATAAACCTGTGAACTCACCGCGCCAATCAGTGTTCGTCGGCCAAATTTGACCGACGTTCTATATATGGTCATTCCTTCTGACGTCATCGTTGAGCCCGGAATTGACCAATGCCATGCGCATATTTAATTAGAACGCATTTGGCGTATGGTTCTTCAAGCTCGCTGAATGGTGGAAGAAAGTGATTTATTACCCAAACTGTCACCGGTACCCGTCGTGGGGGCGGGGCTACTAAACTGTAATATGGTCTCAACTAGGCAGAGTGTAGTTTAACTAGACTCTGCACGCAGGGTAATATTTTACGAGAGCAGTAAGGCAAAAACTGACTATGGGCCTGTCTAATCTGTATGAATCCTCATTCTCAATATACAGACAGCGTTTCATTGTATTTTGGAGTGTTTATTCGCATATGACAATATTTTTAAGTATAAACAAATTGTAAAAATAAATTTAACATTGATATTCAACATACAATATGGACCTATTTACATGAATATAGATGGCACTTGCAAAATCATGTCAAAGTGTAGATATCTTAAAAAGTGATTCTTCTTACATGTACATTGGAAATTCCCCAGTTTTTATTTAAAATGTACAACATCTAACATTATAAAACATTAAGCACATTATTCATAGGGTAATAAAATCAGGATGTAATGTTGTTCATGCTTTTAAATTGGGAAATCACAAGGAGGTCTCGTTTGTTAAAAGTCAATGAAAATAAAGGCAAATTGTTAATTGTTGCATTTATCTGGTAACAGTGAAACCCAAACTTATATTTCATATGGTTACATTGACATGTTTTATTATGAAGGCTATAATAATACAATAAGTAAAGAAATACAGAAAAAAGCGAAAATAAGATATTATCTATACTTTCAAGACAAAACTTGATTATAATTGAGTCTTATTTTAAAGTAAACAATACATCTTCTTCGACCAATCAGGTTAATCATGAGTAACATGCTAAACATAACATTCTGAAATAAAATGATGTTTTTTAAACAAAACATTACACTTTGGCATACTTTTTCTACAGCTGTTTTACAAACTCTTATTTCCTTTAAGTTCAAGCTCATCAATTAAAATATGCACCAAGCAGAAAACAAAATCAAGCCTTTTCTAAAAAAGATCGGGAGAAACAGGCTGTTGACTAATAGTGTTGTCGTCATAAAACCTGTACTCAATTTCCTCCAGTTTCTGTGGGCCATGATTGTGGTCCTGAGGTACATTATACTACCCTTCAAGTTATAAAAGTGAAAACGTTTACGCTAATCAATAAACACTAATAAATCATTGATTATTGATGAGATCAAATGATATGGATTCAGGTCATAATCAACATGCTGATTGTTTACAGGTTTAAGGCACAATGACCTATGACTGTCAACAGGTTGTGGACTAAGAACTATGTTGTAAGCCAATGGTATAAATCATTTATACAAAATAGAGCTTTGAACTACTCTTCTACTCTTGACTTCCTCAATTAAAAGAAGTGTACTTTAATAATCTAACCTATCCATTGCTATAGTGTCATATGTACAAGTATGAATGTACATGTGTCTGTCTGGCAGTGTTTAAAGTCACTCAAATCCTTGACACTTGCATTGGTTGAAGAATGTGTTCTAAGACAGTTCAAATTAACTTTTAAATGTTAGTCAACACCATTCAAGGTTTGCATTTCTTGTATTCTTGGACTTTTTACTTTGACAATATTCCATCGTTTTACACGTTGAACAGATTTTTGTTTATTACAGCAGCCCTTCTTGTCCCTCCAGCACATGTAGACCTTCTCTGTGATGAAAATGATCACCATGGCAGTGAATATGATCATAAAGATGATGATGTAGGGGGAAAGCCGCGTGAACAGGGCACAGTTAACAGCATTACCGTCATCTGTATCTTTCTCTTGAAGGATCACATACACTGAAAAATATAAAACATACATGTAACAGTCTTAAACTATTTTGCATTTCAAAATGTTTGTATTTATAAATCAGGTGAGGAAGTCTAATGCATATAATACCAATGAAGATTAGAAAGTTTTACAGTCCCATGAGCTTTATAGAGAGTGGCTGCTACTCTACTACAGATATAGCATTCACAAGTAAACTTAAAAAAAGATCAGTGCCATAACTATCTTAAAAGCTGGGGTCATCAATATAAACTTTACAAAATTCAGAATACTATGATCAATACTTTATTTACAGATAAACAGCTTCATCCATGCTGGGTAAATAAACAAGTCTGTTAAAGTTAGTAGGATGTTGTTTAACATTCGGATGTGGATCCTCATCAATAACATGAGATCACTAAACAAACAAATAAACAAAATGGCAAATGAGCTCAGCATATATTCATATTAAAAATATCTCCATCATTATATTTGCAATACTTATACCATTTAAGCTGTCATTATTTAATCTGATTTATCATTGGTTGCTTCTTTCAGTCAAATTATGCTTACTAAATATATTACATAAGTGTACTTAACCAAGTTTGTGTTTTTCTAGTTTTAGAGTATCATGTCATCATGGGATTTTCACTCAGGAACTATTACATATTTGATAATGTGCCAGGTATCTCATAAATATATGAGTGTCTAACTGTGTTACCATTTCTATAAACACTGGGAATCAATGGTGTAATAGACATAACATTAATTACAACTGCCTTATCATGTTTATGTTTTCAACTTAAAAATTGGAGATCATAGAATTTTATGAGATCATTGACTCTGCTACAGAATTTATATCTGTTACATCATCAGCTCCGGTTTTTATCACCCCCTTGAACATTGTACTTTTGTACTAAACATACAGATTTTATTATTAACAACTTTTTAGACCTTGATTAATCTTATCAAATAATGTTATTGATACAAGCTCTCTCTAACTTCAAGATAACAAGCTCTAGATGACATGGTTGCTTCTTGAAATTGAAATCCTAGCATCCTCATTATAATTCTCATGTTTCCCTCGATGTATTTATTAACTAGCTTATAGGCCCTCCACAACAATCTTTTTTAAAATATTTATAAAATACATAACAGTAATCTACAAATAAATAAATACATACAATGTACTTATGCCTTGCAGACAAATGAACAACAAGTTGCTGGAGCATAGACGTAGCCAGGGGGTGTGATGGAATGCAATAGCATGAGATAGAAGAAGAAAAGAGCTTTAAAATGCTTTTTATTTGAAGCTTCTAGCTCAATTTTGAAGGAAGTTGCATCAATTTCTGCAAAATTCAAAAAAAATCTTATTTTTATTTTGAATTGGTTATGCAGTAATCGCACCCCCCCACCCCTGACTGAAAGCTGTCTACAACCGTGTGGACCATGGACATTATTGGCATGATCTGGTTACACAATAATAGTTTAGGTTCTATACTCTTGTATGAAATTGAAGAGCAAACAATGATTCCATGTAACCTTTTTACACATTCAATAATCTATAAGTCTATTGGTTTTCTATTCTGTATGTACTACCCTAGCTTAGTATACCTTGTAAACTGAGCTGATAGCCTGATATGCTTTGATATCAATACATCCAACCTGTTATAATACAGCCAGAATTGAGTATTCAGAGTACCATTTTTAATGTTGTAAATATTCACTCCAGAATTTAAATTTAGCACTTTTTTAAAAGTGGCTTCACTGCAAAACATATAGACACAATGAAAATACAACAAATGTATACCATCCCAATGAGAACCCAGGTTCCTAATTTGTGCCCACGATAAGGGCATTTATGACAATGAGATTTGTGACAACGACATTCCTGCCAGAACACAATAAATAACTTAAATATAAAACTTACCAGCACAATGTTTGTAACACCAGACTTTTGTAGAAATATCAAGGTGGAGTTTTAACATGCATGTTGCAGCACAATCCCCACAAACTTGAGTTGTGATATTGCAGTATTGCGTTTTTGCATCACATTTGATTGCGCCGCATTCCTGAGTCAATGTTTCTTTCTCACCAAATGTGTCTGATATAGTCAAAGGAAGTGCTGCACTATACACTGCACATAATCCAACAAGAAACAAAAACATAGTACTTTCTGATATTTTCTCCATCTAACTATTATTTTTTTCGTAAATCTGCAAAGTGTTTCTTGTATACTATTAACTCAAATAAACTCAGTATATTTGTTATGTAAACACTTGTTCATAACTATTCTAATCAATTTCAATTGCAAGTGTCACCTCAGCGTTAGCTCGTGTCAACTAACAAACTAACACACTTTCTTTTTACAACCAAATGGCCTGATTTCAAGTCTGACAGCTTGTAAACAACACTCACAGCTGATTCAGTGCTTGGAGTAGAATTTCCTATATACAACTAATAAATCCAGGGACTTTTATGACATATAGGAGTAATTGTGCAGGAATAAAAAAGAGCATTATTCACGAGAAGTACATTTATTGAGCTGCTATTGTGAAATCAGGTCGAGATGTTGAAATAGGATGTTCCACGTGTTCAGGGACCTCCACATCAATCAGTACTGTACTGACTGTGTTTTATCATTAAGCCATCAGCACATTGTAGTCTCAATAGAAAAACTTGACACTTAGACAAAATTTAAGAGATGATTGATTCATAACCGCAGACTATAATTTTCAACACAAACTTATTCTGGAAAAATGAACTCTATTGAGAATAAAACCACAGGGAAGATAAACAATGATAGAAATGAATCTAAGACATGAACACAATTCTAACTGTTAACTTTGAAATGAAATGTGTGTGGATAATGTTATTTCAGATATCAACTAACATGGCCTGGGAGGACACTGGATGAGGCCACCCCTACACAAAGTGCAGATAATGTCAACATGACATCTTGGCTGGCTGCCAGCTATTGCTGCAAAAAACAGCTGTTCTCGGGCAGTTTATGGCTCTACAGGTATACATGGAGTAAACATTGCATCAATTGAAACCTCTAATAAAGCTAAACTACACTATGGATACCTGATCTCAGCGTGCCAATGAACGTATAATGAAGTATTTGTCTTATACTTGTATGCATGGTGATACATATTTTATGAAAATCCAGGTCTCAACCCTTGAACTTATTCAGTTGCTATCTTTGCCCTTGGCACTCAAAATGTCAATTAAAATATATTTTACATTTCAATTCAAGAGATCAACCATTTGAATTAGTTTGACTTGATACATAATTAATGGGTAAATTATTTTAGTGATAATTCTGCTTTCCATACTTGTTTGTATAATGTAAACAGTGACACATCTCTCAGTGCCACTGCTATAAAATTTATTGTCAAATAAATAATATCAAACAATAAGTTTTCTTAGATAATATTCTTAATAAAATCAATTCAGGAGGTTCTTAGATATAGAGTAATCTCATAAAACTTATTTATCAAGTTGTTTTTGCTGCCTGGGGATTCCTTCTATTAGAACATGGGACTTTATGATGTTACTGCCAGTGTTAGTTTTATGAGATAATTTACTCCAGATATTTTCTACTTGTATCTGTTAACTCCCAAGTCCAGTATAAGTGTTATTTAAATTTACACAAATTCCACACATCACTAAAATCATATTATAAATAAGTAATCCATGCACAATAGTCAAGGTATCAACAATATATATACTGTTCAATAGACTATTGATTTTTCTTGCAAAATTCCAATGACTCATTGTAAGTTTTGTGATCAGCAAATTCTTATTTGCTACTCAGCTCTTATAATAAATCTCTCTTGCAGATGTATTTTAAATCACATTTACTGATTTAATTCAATTTCATTAACATGTATTTATACATTGAGATTTGTTGAAAATGTATACACAGATCAGATATATGTATCAAATGTATTAGATCATAGTTTCTGTAATACAACTATTACACCTTGAAAAACATTGGTATTAAAAGAGAGAGGACTTTGAACAGGTATACTTTATCTTTTATAGATTTGAATGTCAAGATCTTTCTACAATGTTAACACTGACTAACCACTCAAAATAGTTCAGATGGAAATCCCTAATATTATTGCATTAGGTTAATAGGTGTATTATGTTACTGTGTTCTGCTATAAATCTATGTGAATATGTGGAATATAGAAGAGCACATTAAATATACTAAACCATTTAAATCATATTTTTCCATTTAAAGCTAATAAATACTGGATTGAATAGAATAAAAAATAGCTTGTTTATGAAAATAATGTTTATTTTTAAGGAATGACATACTTGTTTTCAACACTCCCACTCTGGACTTTAAAATGGGAATACCACTCCCATGAATCATAGCTTTTTGAATGACTACTAAAAAAATCCAGACTAAGCAATCTCAGTAGTATATAAAACAAAGACACCACTGAAAGTCTGATTTCATCAACAAATTTCATAAAAATGAAGACATTCCTTAAAATCGGGTTTGTTTTGCTACTCCCAGTTCTGAATTTTATGACAGTATCCACTGATGATAATGCTGACATCACTAATAATGCTGACATCACTGATGTAGACAAACATTGGATCAGGAAATGTGGAGGAAAATCCCAACTTGAATGTGATCAGCGGACACATTTCTGCGATGACAGAGTTGACAAGTGTAGTAGATGTACAGACTTTTGCTCTGAGAGTAGGGTCAAGGGACTAACACAATTGGAAAAACGTTGTTATGAAGTTTGCCCAGGTAACATATGAGATGGAGGGACTAAAACATTTTTTGTTTGATAAAATTACAAAACAAACAAATATCAAAACATACAACAAATACTTATGAAAGAATTACTTAATCAGTTCAATGTTGAATAGTACTACATATTGTAGTATATTATCTGTTAAGTTCAATACAAGAAAATATAATTCTTTTTTCAAGATATTATAGCAAAGGCTGAATGGGGAACATTATAACCAACTTAGAAATCTCAATTTCAATCTCAATGCAAAGTTGATGTACAATTTTTGAAACCATATTTTATAATATAATTTTGCATGTACATTCCAATAATGATATCACAAAATTAAGAATGATGAAAATGAAGATTATTTTGACTCACATTTTGTTTATTCCTTTTATCTAATAGCCTAGATATTTCCAATAATTTAATTGTTTATATCATTTCAGTTTGGTTGTACATAGAACAGCAAGAGAAAATACAGGAGGAAAGTAAACCAAACAGCATTCAATCCTCAGGACAATCTGCCATAAACACCCACTTCAATCCATTAGCAAGTTCATCAACTATAACGATTCCACCATACATAGTAATAGGCTTACTGATATGTTTCGGAGCACTGTGCCTATTTGGAACTGTTGCATCAATTGTAGCAATTTTCGCAATGAAGTTATATATTACTAAACGAAAGGAGGAAACCACAAAGGAGGAAGAACAAAAGAAAATCATGAAGACTGCAAAAGGACACAATATCCACAAAACAAGTTCTGTCATGGGAGGACATCATTTTACAGGTATGTTGTTATATAACAACGTATTTTGAATCGGTTGTTAAATAAGCGAGAAATGAACTCATCTATGCATGAAAGTGGTTCATAGAAACCAATGGTACAATAATATCTAAAACACAATATATTCTTCTTTTCAATCTAGATAAGACAATCAACATTGGTTTATTTTGAAAGCTTAGCATATTTAGAAAAAGTTGAATTAAAAAAATTTTGAATTTTTTTCAAATCATGTTTGCAACCTAAATAATAAGTTTTGCACTGAATGGTTGAATATTTGATTATGAAAAAAACTTACTTTTATTTGAAAATTGGCGAAAATTCGAATATTTGAAAAATAAAAATCGGACAATTTTTTTCCTTAAGTTTTTTTTCAAAAGTCTCTAAAATAACTTTTAAAGTCATGAACAATAGTAAATGAATGATAAGAACATATTTTCAAACTTAAGATGGTGCCTGTAAAAATAAATAACAGTATTTAATTTCCAGAAGTACAGCGACCTCTTATTAATCCAGAAAGATCCTACAATGACAGACATGATAGAGACACTCATATTGAAATGGATCCCATTGGAAATGGACATGTTTTAAATTCTGACAAAGGATTGGACAGTATAAGTGAACAAACTGAAGACGATACTGAATTGAAAAGTAAACATGTAAACAATCACTCTACTAGATGAATCTCAAATTAATATACGACCTGTATATTCAATGTACTACTTATATATGTGCCCAATGTGTCGATATATTAAAAAAAAAAGGGTAGGGTGCTTCCTCTGGTGTGTCTGAGCGTTAACATCAGCTACCTCTAGTCAGATCGACTAACAAAACAACCTTTTTTGGGGTTGTCAAGTTGGCCGAGAGGGCTTGAGCGCCAGCACATTCAGGGTAGGCGATTGGCTAGGCGATTGGGCGCCATAACCACGAGGTTGCGAGTTTGAGACACGTGTGCTCCTTGTGTTTATTCATTAAACGTGTTAAATATAATTATGTTTTATGTGTCAAATTTTCACATCTTTAAAATAAAATTGCATCACAATGTAAAAAATATGAAAACTTTTGGATCTATTTTTCAAATGAATAATACAATGTACAAATATTTAATAATCTATTGAGGTGAATACCTGTGCATCTTTCACAAATGATATTCCACGAAGCTAGTGGAATATTATCTTGTGAAAATGTCACAGGTACATATAAAATTAGAATTACAGTGGACTAAGTCGGACTGGTTAATATCATTTGATATTCAATGGTCATGTCATGTGACTTCTGTTGAATATCGCTTGTTATTTTTTAATCATGTGTAGGACATGGACCAATCAGAGAGTGAGGAATATGTCAGTGATGTAATAGAGTAATCTATTTCACATTTATCTATAACATTCATAATTGGTCTCCAACCTAAGTCTCTGAGTAGAGCATCTCTATACAGTACATGGCAATATATAACTTTGTATTAGTAAAGTAACAATTATCATTATAAGAACTGAATTACATGAAATATGAATTCAACATTAGGCAGAGGTAGCCCTCAATGTCTTGATCAGTGTAAAATTGATGAACTATTAGTCTATTTGAGTGAGTGCAGTTTACTTTAAATTCTTTATGAAGTGTGTCAGCATACTTGAAATGGCAATGTAACAGGTATCATGCCAGTTATTACATGGGAAATCCATACATACATAGATTTTAAGGCAATTTATAGGTAAAAATGACTCAATATACAGGGTGGGCCAAAAAAACCACCCCCCCTAGTCAATATTCCTGATTAATATTCATTTTTTAACATGCGCACCACCAATGATATGCCATTTTAAAGATAATTTAATTTGCAACAAAATGATATGTAATAGAACAATTTTCAACAACCCTGGCTCGAGATATAACTATTTATGTGACATGGGGGTCAAAAAACACCTTTTCAATTTTCATCAAATTCGCGAACAATTGCCTATTTCTACCAAATTTTACTATTCAGTTCAAAATTGCAACATTGTCATGAGTCTTTCATAATTGGGTATTATTATATTGTTTTCATTCAGTTTCTGAACCACACATGCTCCATATACATGTATGCTTATAAAACTAATTCATTTCTTCTTCAGTCTGTCTAAATATGGCTCAATAGACCCCCCCAGATCCATCTTCTGATCGGATTATTCACTTAAAGTGCAAAAGCCATTGGTATAATTGAGGGATCTCTGCGGAAGTTCCATATCCAACTCCTAATTATTCATTCTTTATGTTTGTCTACACCCCTGATGGGATAGGGATCTTCATAGTCCAACTGTTCTAAATGCCCCAAGTACTATACATGTAATCAACAGGACATACTCTATATATCAGTAAGCAAGAAAAGTGTCATTTGCAACAAAAGGCTAATCAAATCGAGATGACATTTTTCTGAAAGGATAATGATGTCCACTCAGTGTTTCCCTAAAAGGAAAGACTGTGCAGGTCCTGTTTTTGTTGAACCAGGAGCAAAAATATACTCTGTATATTAATGAAATGATGTGTTAAAAAAGGAATACTCAAGGATATAAAAAACACTTGAAAGAAATTTCATTTTCTGATAGGACAGTGCTCCATCACAGTTCTAATGTTTTTGGAAATTCGAAATGTCACCATACAAATAGCTCAGACAAATGGCTTACTGGCAGTCCAGATGCCAATAATGTTGATTACCATACCCGGGGGGCATCTAGAACAGATAGTATTTAAAGATATTCAGCCTATCTGGGATGTAGAGGAACTAAAAGAAATAATAACTAGCAGTTGAATGGTACTTTTGCCTACATCCAATTATGCCATCAACCAATGGCTTCCGCATCTGAGGCGAAAATTCCAATCAGAGGATGGGTCTGGAGGTGGGTGTATTGAGCCATACTTGGACACACTAAAGAAGAAATAATTTAGTTTTATAAACATACACTTGTATATTAAGCATGTGTGGTTCAAAAACTGAATGAAAACAATATATAATACCCAATTATGAAAGACTCATGACAATGTTGCAATTTTTAACTGAATGGTAAAATTTGGTAGGAATAGGCTATTGTTCGCGAAATCTATAAAAATTGAAAAGGTGTTTTTTGACCCCCATGTCACATAAATAGTTATATCTCGAGCCAGAGTTGTTGAAAATTGTTCTATTATATATCACTTTGTTGCAAATTAAATTATCTTTAAAATGATATATCATTGGTGGTGTGCATGTTAAAAAATGAATATTTATGAGGAATGTTGGCTAGGGGGGTGTTTTTTTGGCCCACCCTGTATTTGACACTCTTGTAAATACCAACATGGGATCAGAATGATTCATATTAATCTGTTAAACCCTTTTACAGGCTCCATTATTCAAATTTGGAATGAATTTTTTCTTGTTTTGGCATAAATTGATATAAATTCTTATTCTTGAACAAGAAGCAATGATGATGAAAACACTGTTTGTATTAAGCCTGACAACAGTATCTGCAGACTTGATCTTAATCAACATGATAATGCTAACAGTGTTACATGAATCAGCTAACCAGAATGTCACATTCCCACTTGATAAGGTGATAAGATCTCTAACTTCTGATAGTAAGAGATACAGTACATCAGCCACATCCACATCTGGCCAATTCTATTCCAAGCACAGGTAAGTGACATCAGTGAGTAAGATGATGGGTAAGAGTGAAGAAAAAAGTCATTTACTGATTATAATTTACAACATACAGGGTGTCAAATAAGTCCCGTCCCCCCCTCTACAGCCAAAACCAAGATATATGGTACCAAGTGTGATATATCATTGGAAAGGTCTTCCAAAGTTACGTTGATTAACATATATCTGACACATGTCAATCAATCTCACAAAGTTTTACAGTGTATCAATTGAGGTGACCATAGGCCTAGAAACATGTCAATTCGGCACATTTGGCAGGATTTTCAGAATCGGGTATAAGAAAGGTCAAAGGACCTAAAAATGACTACATATGTTTATGGCAATGAATTTAACCAATTTCTGGATAGGGGAGGATGTGTAGAAAATAGAGGAGCAAGGTAAGTGGTGAAAACATTTTTGTAACCAGTGGAATGTGAAAAAGATTAAATTTTTGACGTATTTCTGAGGTCAAATCCTTGTCATTTTGAAGCATAAAAGCTGCTGAAAGGAGGGTATGCTAACTATAAAAGACATCATGAAAATATAGGTGAAGTTCATCCAAAATACTTGAGAGTTGGTGAGTTAACATAACTTTGTATGATCTTTCCAATGGTATATCACACTAGGCACCATCTATTAAGGTTCTAGCTGTAGCAGGGGGGACAGGACTTATTTGACACCCTGTATATGAATTGATACCTACATTATGACTGTGAAATTGTTTCTGAATTATTAATAAAAATCATCTGATAAATTAATTAAACACAAACACTCTTCAATATTTCTTACTTTTTTCTGAGCATACATGGTTACCTACCTATGTACTGAATTTGTATTTCTAATTGCATTAATAGTTTCAGAATATCAGTATGAAGGTGGTCCTTTGCTTGTTTGTTGGTAAGTAACCCCCTAGTTACAGCATGGGCTTTCAATAATTGAATATATGTGGTTACAGGAAGAACAAGTTGTATGATGTATTAAAAAGAGAACTTCTCATAAAAAGAAAATATTCTGTTCTTGCCTGCAATGAGCCATGTTTATATTTTATATTAAATATGTAAGCGCCAACAGGACGGGTACTAATATCCCAATCCGAGACCATAAGATTGAGGGACATTTCGTACACCTGTTTTCTTGCCTTGCCTACATGCTTCTGCATTATTTTACAGCTGTCATTGCCTGCATTGAAGCATGCCATGTAGAAATTGACAACAGGAGTGGCTATGAAGTTGGCTGGACTCTAGTTTTTGCCAGTAAAACCAATGGATATGGTATGATATAAGTTCATTATAACAATGTACTATGTAGGAAAGGTCTTTGGTAAAGTGTTTTTCCATACTATGAGTGTCAATATAATTGTACAATGCATTGATTCCTTCATTTCCTTGCTTATACTATTACTGTATCATGTAATTCAATAAATGAAGTTTATATAATTAATATGTATTTACTTGAACCTACAAACATCACCACTTCTTAATTTTGTCAACAAAAGTAGGGTTTGAATGATGGAATAGAAAATGTTGATGTTTACGTAGGTTTGGTTGATAGTGGCAAACGACACACACATAACTGCAACACATGCCTGCCCAGAGACATCTATGTGACATGGAACAATGTCAACTGCTACATCTATGTGAACTGTGTTAGTAAGCCAACCATTGAAGTGAACATCTTTCCCCAATCTGGTGGAAGATGGGTGATGAATCTAAGAAACACAGCAACTGGGAAAACCACGCAGTGTAAGTATACTCACCAATATAAGGTATTACTTATGCAATTTGTCTGTTCACAAATGCTTGTTTATTTTAACTTCTTAAAGTCAGACAATACAGGTCGACTATTTCTAATAAAATAAATAAAACTGTATATTAGAAAATTGGTATAATTAATGAAATTCATGTGTGACTTTGTTTCAGGCCCCATGCCAGCACCAAGATCCTATGTTTAACACATGTAGCAGTTCAACAGAATTTGATTGTCATGATTTTCAGAATACAAAATACAATAATTGATTAACAATAATAAAAAAGTGTTAATTTATAATGGTTTTCTGAAAATGCAGTAAAAAGAGTTATCAAATATTAATATATTACTCTAAAGATATTGTTTACCATATGAAGACGAATCCCTTAGAGGGAAACATAGGTTAAGGAGGTGATGGTTCAACTAATAGTAATATTGCCTCCTTTTGTTGGCTATTTTGAATTCAGCAGCCATTCTCCTTTTTGAGTAGAGTCTTATGTCCCTAAGGCATCAGCATATAAAATTTGTCAACTGTGAGTTATCAAAGATTACATTATTATGTAAAAAGGTAGCCATTTTGAACAAAGCGGCCATCTCAAAGATTCCAACTTGTGCAATATCCTACATCCCTAAGGCATAGTATATAATAATTCTTTCCTAAAAAAAGCAAGGAAATACACACATGCCTTCATACTTTATTCTGCACAAGAAAAACAGCATAGTCAGGTATGGCAATTTTTTTATCCCACCGAACGTATCTGAGAGGGATATAGAGAAGCCTTCTGTCCGTTCATTTGTTCGGTCGTCTGTCTGGAATAACTCAAATGCCTGTTAACGAATTGGGTTCAAATTTTATAAGCTAATGGCTTATGGAAATAGCACCATTGCTTGAAAAAGAATTTTCAATATGGCCTCTAAATTCAAAATGGCTATGATGACTCAAGTCAAAGGACTTGGTTCAAATTTTATACACTGATGCCAGGGACATAGGACTTGAATAGAAATTTTCAAGATGACCACTGATTTCAAAATGCCCACCATTTTTCCTAAAAATGTAATCTTTGATTACTGAAACATTTGTCAACAGATTTGATTCATATTTTATATGCTGATGCCCTAAGGACAAAAAGCTCTCCTGAAGAATAAATTGGTGACCATTTTTCGCCCAGTCGACGGATTTGGTTCAAATTTCTGTATGCTGATGTCCAAAGGACAAAGAGCTTTGCTCAAGAATGAATTTTGATGGTGGCCGCTGAATTTAAAATAGCCACCATTTTTTCACTAAAAAGTAATCTGTGACAACTCACATACCAGTTGACAAAAGTTCAAATTCAAGAAATCCGGATGACTGGATCTCTTTAAATACTCTTAAAAATTATTTTTTCTCAACCACCATACCAAACTAGGGAATATGTATGAAGCGAATATACCACCAAAATTTCAAAAAGTAATATGCATTACTTTGGTTTGAAATGAAAGTCTAAGATTTTATTGTGGACATTTTTTTGCTTAAACAGATCCAGTTGTCCAGATTTCTCTTTTTTCAATGGGGAAATAACATGGGGAGCACTAATCTTAGGAAAATTCAGTTTTCCTTTAAGAAGTATTTGATTAATCAAAATTTGGAATAGTAATGCAAAAAACAATGTAAAAAATGATTGCACTTTTGGTCAAAATGAGGGCAACATCATTGGAAAAGTGTGTTGATGGGTTGATTGCTAGCGAAATACCTCCAAGTTCAATTGACTTTATTATCATTGCATACACTGAGATAATGAATAGATCTAAAAGATAAACCTGTCTTTATGTTTGGACAATATGGTCTATTGAGCATCAAACCCATTGTCTCTTGTTGAGCAAACAATTGTATTGCCAAGCATATTGAGTCAAGGCAGCCAATCAGATTGGAGCAAATTGGAGCAGGTTATTTCAATTTCATTTCGAATTTCTCCTTACGAAACAGGAAATTAATGACTGTGAACAATCATCAAATTGATATTGTATAAACATACACAAAAACTATACTATACACTAAAACAACCGTTAATTTGAATTATAGACCTACCAGATGTTTGAAAATTAAGGAGTGTGAGGTCTAAAATTCAAATTAACGGTCGTAGTTGGCACCGTGTGGTAAAGAATTAGTCAAAGCCTCAACTTTGGTAAGTGATGATAGACAATTATTTTACATCAATATCATGAAAATATTAGGGGGTTACTCTAATATGGACAGTTGGATGAATATATAGACAGATGGAGGGATAAACTATTTGTGTTCATTGGAATAATCAATCCAACTCATCAACTCATTCAAATTTTCATCATATGGTGATTCCAAATGTGAGAATTGCTTCTAGTGTTTAAATATATTGCATAATATAAGATAAACATAATACTGATAAAAGATAGCTGTGAGAGATACTTTGGTATAAAAGGCTAGGCTCACATATGTCTTCATTCTCATACAGGATCATTTCTACAGGTAGGACCATCATATATTTCAATCATTAATATATTTAATACTAATAGGATACTTTTCTTGAATATGTGTAAAATGAGCCATACTAGCAGTCCTTAGAGTTTCCAAGCTTTTTTCTAACTACATTTACCTAGTTAATATTATATTTTCTTGCTTGTGACATTGATACTACTTTCTTTCAATGGAACTATCCTCTTCTAATTTGGTTCTTTCTCTTTTCAATTAAAAAATGATTGATTGTTACGATTTTGACATTCCAGGTATCATTAGAGATGAAGGCTATTGTGTGTCTGCTCGTTGGTGAGTAACACTTTCCTGAACCTCGCACTATTTTTTTGTCTGAAAATCATTATGAAAGCAACTTTTATCACTCTCATACAAGATTTAGAACTACAATTTACAGGCATATAACAATGCATACAGCCCATACTGGTTATATGTAGATAAGTTCATTCATTACACTTTCTCTCACATGCATTGAGGTATGCTTTTACTTACTTTACCACTACCCTTGTCAACATTAATTCATATTTACGCTATACCTTACAGCTTTCATTGCCTACATTATGTCATATCTACGCTATACCTTACAGCTGTCCTTGCCAACATTAATTCATATTTACGCTATACCTTACAGCTGCCATTACCTTCATTATGATATATCTACGCTATACCTTACAGCTGTCCTTGCCAACATTAATTCATATTTACACTATACCTTCCAGCTTTCATTGCCTTCATTATGATACATCTTCGCTATTAACCTTACAGCTGTCCTTGCCAACATTAATTCATATTTACGCTATACCCTACAGCTTTCATTGCCTACATTATGTCATATCTACGCTATACCTTACAGCTGTCCTTGCCAACATTAATTCATATTTACGCTATACCTTACAGCTTTCATTGCCTACATTATGATATATCTAAGCTATACCTTACAGCTGGCCTTGCCAACATTAATTCATATTTACGCTATACCTTAAAGCTGCCCTTGCCTGCATTGAAGCATGCCATGTAGAAATTGACAACAGAAGTGGCTATGAGATTGGCTGGACCTTGGTATTTGCCAGCAAAACTGAGGGATTTGGTATGCTATCATAACCTTTTTTACTTTTCCCAATAAAGTTAGAGGCATTTGATTGTATTTTAATGATTCTTAATGCTCAAACAGTTAATATGAATATTTTATTGTCATAAATGTTATAACTCAGATCTTGAATTCAAAATATAAAATGAGTATAGAAAAAACACAACAAGTTACGAGTAAAACAGGACCAGAACCAAACAGTGTCAAATGACAACATTCTCCCAATCCCCAAACAACCATAATAAAATAATAATAATGGTCCAACACTACCAGACCTTTAGATATTCCAGTTTGAAGTCATTTCAAACAAGCTCTATAAATCCCTGTCTGAACATAGGTTTGGTTGATAGTGGAACCAGACACACCCATAACTGCAACACATGTCTGCCAAGGGATATCTACATCACATGGAACAATGTCAACTGTATGATCCAAGTGAACTGTGTTAGTAAGCCAACAATTGAAGTGAATATATACCCACAATCTGGTGGTAGATGGATGATGAATGTCAGAAACAAATCATATGGATACACATCTCAATGTAAGACACTCTCATATTTTCACACTAAATTCTAAATATAACCAATTTTGTGCATGGCTATTTCATCAACTAAATTGTCAGTTAATCAGAAGGAATTGAATAGAAATCCACTTCTCTCATATCACGCAAATCATTTCTCCCTCGCATTCATCTCAAATTCAACATGGAAGAGATTCTAAGAAAATGACGTCATCAACTAAAATGTGTGAAATTTAATCAAGTATATGTACATTCTTCATTTCAAATATTCACTTCCAAGTTCTAAATCAACATGGGTGAGTGCATGGCCTAGCAGTCATGTAGAAGTTTTAAGACATTACCATTTTATCTTCCTCAGATGACAACACATTTTAATAACCTAACTGGTTGCTTTGTATTATATGGGCATTATAGAGTGTTATGGTTACTAAGCCTCTTCTGATAATACATGCAATTAATAATTAATATAACTGTTATGTATTATATTGTAGGTCCCATGCCAGCACCAAAATCACTTCTATAAGGTGCCAGGTCTTGAGAGGGAACATTCAAAGAGACTTTGAGGATCAATAATTGAGCAAGCAATATATTATATGAAATGTATGAAATATACCTGAAATAAAAAATATTCTTAATTTTCCTGAACATTCACTTCCATATTATGGAACATTCTCCATTGGTGACACTACTTTGTGGAACTGTACATTTAGTCAAATCTAACAAATTAAACACCTCACTTGTATGTTTGATATGGTCTTAACATTTGTTATCAACTAAGTCCATCTTCATGGTCTTACATATCATACTTTACTTTTTATGACTAAATTACTCAAAGTGACTCAACAGAAAAAGCTCAAAGCTCATGCTCCTCATCCTTTTCACTATGTTGGTCACATTCATGTCACCATCATCATCCCCCAAAGCCCTTACTATGTAGTATGTACCTAGATCTGAATTTGATCCTAAACTAAATTGAAAACCTTGATACCCTATGAAGTGAGGCAAGAGACTGGCATCCTTGTGCTAATCCTGTGAGCTACCTGTAAAGTTTAAATTTAAACATCCTGGTAAACTGACTTACCTGCAGAGTTATATTTGTCCAGTAAGTTCAGAGAGCCAGATTATCTGTTTTTGCAAAGAGCAAATGGCTGCATCAATAGTTGTACACCAGCTGGACAACTCATTGGATGACCCTTCAAGTTCAATAGTTTCTGAAAAAGATGTCTATTATTGAATATTGTCTATACTTTTCTGTATCTGAGCAATTAGAATAATCACACAGACTTAAAAATGTTATGAGTTGCAAAAATCAATATTTTTAATGTCAAAACATGCATTTTAAACTTGTCTATGACTCTTAAAACAACATTCTTACCATATCTGTAAAAACTTTCTTTCAGCTTTTTAATCTCTTCCATATTGGGCAGTGTAAGACTGTGGTTTGGGGAAGACGGTTTAAGAACAACAACCAGTGGATTTATGTTGGCATTGTGAAGTCTTCCAACACACTCATTGATTCCTGGGAGCAAAACATGTGATCCCTGAAGAACATAGAATTAAAATGATTTTTAAACAAGTGTGCAACAAGTTTATTCATCAATAGCTGAAAAACAATACCTGAACAATACAACATTATAAAATAATATGCATAACTGAAACATATACGAGGGTTGATCATAAAGTTCTCATAATACCTTTCTAATTTCTTTATTTTTCAATATAATCTAATGAAATTTTCACAGAATGTGTAGCATAGAATGTCTTATTAATTCAGCAAAAAACATTTAGTTTAACAGAAATATTAAATAAGAAAGGGTTGCCATAGTAACGGGAAATCAAGGCACCCGGGGCAAATAAAAATAATTGAGAGAATGAGCTTAATCAACCATGTTTACAAACATAATAAACTCTCATGAATTACCAAACACGTTAAAATGTTAACTTGAATATGTTGTAAAGTGCTTTAACAATTAAATAAATCGATCGTGTAAATTGTGTGATGTAATATATTATTATCGGGGGTGCTTTCATGCTCCATTAGATGTGATACCAGAGTCTGAGACTCAAAGCTAATGATCAGAAATGACCGAGTAAGAGATTGTAATAGAGACAGAGATCTTCATAAAAATAAAATTCATACTGATAAAATGTTATGTTAAGTTTGTAAGATCCTTTGGTCGGACTAAACATGGTCTAAAACAAATATTTTGCTAAGACATCAACAAAATTACACCCTGTGTGTGGTCTGTACATGTTAAAATGAACTAAAGGGGCAAAATCAATTTTCCTCAGGATATTTGACAAAACAGTCCTGGGGTCTAACAGTCACTTCTAATGAAGCGTAACAATCATCCATTATGAGATCACACAATTCACATGACCATTATAATAGTTCACAACAGTCAAGAGCACATATTATTTGACAATTTAATGAGTTTGATAGCTTATTTGACAACATATTATGTATTTAAACATGGTTAATGGGGGCTATTCTAGCTCGTTTTTTATTTGCCCCGGGTGCCTTGATTTCAAGTTACTATGGCAACTATTTCTTATTTAATGTTTCCGTTATTCTAAATATTGTTTGCTGGATTAATAAACCATTCCATACTGCACATTCTGTGAAAATTTCATAGGAAAATATTGAAAAATAAAGAAATTAGAGAGATATTATGAGAACTTTATGATCAACCCTCGTATATACTCTTTGAGTGTTTAATCGTTTAAGTGTTTAATTCTGTGTCTCTAAAGATTATTTTTAAATGAGAAATAATTCTTTGATCTTTTACTATCGGATTTGGTAGTTCAAACAAGTAACCAAGTACAAGAACTGCATTTTCTATTGTTGCTGACATTCATTTCACACTAAAACTCCCATTAAACTAAAACAACTTATACATTTGGGTTCATTACGATCTTAACTGCAATATATATTTGAGATGATCAGATGGCGGTATGACAATACTTGGCTCTGGGTTTTAAGGTCAATAATTACTTGCCTGCTGCATGGCTTCAAGAATTCCCTCCTTCTTGATACAACGGGCAACCTCTTTGTGATACTTATAGTATATGACACTCTTTTGCAGAATCATGTTTGCAAGCTCACTAGCACAGCACTCAATGCTTTCTGAAATATTAACGTAAAATAAAACATTCTGAGTGGATTGCTCAGAAATGTTGAGCCACCATACAGATTATCTAGAGCACTTACCATAAGTAGGAAATACAGAGCAACTGCTGTAGTTAGATGATTTAAGACTTGATTTAACAGCTGTCAAAAATGTCGAGCCACGAAATGCAGCCATCAAACGGATTGACTAGTGCACTTACCATAAGTAGGAAATACATAGCAACTGGCATAGTCAGATGATATAAGACTTGATTTAACAGCTGTTACTACCTCTTCTGGTCCAAAGATAATCACAGGACAGTTGAAACAACCTGGAAAATTAACATACCATAGACTTATAACGCACATTGATGACATAATTATGGATCAATTTACCATAAGTAGGAAATATTTTGAAATCCATAGGATGGGTATATAATATCATTCTTATTCACCTGTCATCAACTCCTCCTACAGGCATCATTGAATGCACCCTCATAAATATATGCAGATATCTAACTCCATATCATTTAATATTTGTGTATTATTCAGGGTTATGTAATCTCATCCCTCTTATTTTCTATTGACAGTTTTAAACATTTACAAGTGAAATCTTACTTTTATAAGGCAGAACACGGCTGTAAGGGAGGTACTCCGATTCAAAGGCATGGGCTGAAATTAAATGTTAAAATTGCTCATAGAGTTTAAAAACCTATCTGTGAACAATTTATGTTTTAAATAATGTTCAGGTATCATGAATACTGGTTAAAGAGCATTTATTTGTGATAAATTGTGAATACCCCAAAATTTTGTCTAATTTATAAACAAAGCATTCTTCGATGAACCAAAATGCTATAAAGTGTTCTCATGTTTTCCTAGTTTTTTAAATGTTCAAATAAGAATTCGAACATGACTGTATTCATGCCTTCTATAAACTGTGAACAAATGTTTTACCAACTGTATATTCGCTGACACACCACCTGGTAATACGATTAATGTGTGACATCATAATGGTGGGCTATTAAGTAATGGCAGCCAAAAATGATTATTCGAAAAGTTTTGGTGAGTTTCCATGTTTAAATCGTAATATAGACCTAAAAGCAGGTGTTGAGTTGACAAACGCTTTTGAATTCGCACCCTTCGGTCGTGCAGGGTACATAATGTTTGTGCCTAGCCCTGCGGTGTCCATCTATATTTCTTAAATAAGCACAGGATTTCATTCTGTGTTTTCAATAACTAATACAAACCTTTAAATAAAGGACTATCATTGGTCTTCTTACTCTCTATATTTGCCAATTTGCTTGCTTTCTTAATGACACCTTTTCGTAATTTGCTTCTACGATTGATGCTTCTCTTTGTCTGGTCTGGTATTTGTCTTGAAACCAATCGAAAGCTATTGGGTTTTCTAGCCATGGTAACATTCTCATTGGTGCATGCAGACGCAGGCTTTGAAGTGCTGCTGGAATTGATTTGACCTGACAACCCACTCAGAGAGTACAGCTCCTGTTGACTCCTGAAAACGTAAAAGAGCTCTCTCAAAAAGGGTGTAATTGCACATTTTATTTTCATCATTTTAACCTGCAATTCCTCACATTCAGTTTCACATCAGTTGAAATTCCAATTTTTTGTTATCTGTTTATAAGTACTAGCTCAATGAGTTTACTCTCCCCAAAATTAATTATTTATTTACACCATTTTTGTAAATAATTTATAAATAAATTCTTACGACGATGTGTTAGGAATGAGACCAGAATCCATTGCAGAACCAGTGCTGACATCTAGTTGAACGGCTTTCCAGCATGTGCCATCTTTATGCATGCTGTCTAAGATGAGGAAGATATTACCACATTCAACCCCCAACATGTTCATAGCCAGGTCCCTCTCACTGGGTTCAAAACTATAGTTAGCCCTACAAGATTACAATGTATGTTTTAAGGTAGGTGGGTGAAAATGTTGAATTGTAAACCTGACATACTAAGCATGTTGCTATATGCTGATGATGTTGCATGTGCGATCCATGGTGTTGGATCGCACCAACAGAATCAAAGCTGCAACAAATGCTGAACTGTCTTCATGATTAGATATTTAAGTGGCGACTGACTGTAAATGTTGAAAAAACGAAAGTAGTGTACTTTAGGAAAGCATGTTAACAGAAACAATATTTGCCCTAGGGGATGCAAAAATTGGAAAAACAAACTCTGGGAGTTGTTATGAATGAGACTCTCAACTACACTGAAATGGTTTCAACTCTAGCTGATGCAAGTTCTCAATCCCTTGGTGCTCTTATTGGAAAATATTATTCTATAAATGGACTTCATTATTTGACATTCACAAAGATGTATAATACAACAATTATCCCCATTATGGTTTACGCAGCTGGAGTTTGGGGCTATAAAGAATATGACAAACCAAACACTGTCCAAAACCATACCATAAGAACATTCATGGGCTTAGGGAAATATGCTCCCATTTCGGCTCTGTATGGAGATATGGGTTGGACACCGCCATATGTTAGACACCATGTTGAAATGATTTGTTTATTTATCTGACTTAGTAGAATGCCAAAAAAGGATTACTTGACGAATATTTGATTTTGACTATGCCAATGCTGAAAAAGGTCATAGAGGATGGTGTAAATAGGTTAAAGATATATTTAAAAATGGTAACCTTAGGTTAACATTAAAAAATGTTAAAAAAAGATTATGAAATGAATCGCTTTATACATAAATGGACAGTTCAAATAAATACAATGCCAAAGTTACATACATATAAGTTAATTAAACACAATTTTGGTATAGAGGATCATATAAAATTATTTTGATCGAGGAATCAAAGATCTGTTCTAGAAATCACTCGGGTACTCTTCACCTGAACATAGAAACTGGTTGATATAAAGGCCTTGCTGCTGAACAAAGACTCTGTGAGGCATGTAAATATGGACAAATAGAAACATTTTCTTCTAGAATGTTCTTGTTACAAGAATTTGAGAAAAACTAATAATATCAGCTCTTGAAAAACAACAAAAGAATGTATAAATAACACACTGTAATTATATGTACATGTATGTATTTGTACAGTGCCTCATAAGCCTGATAAGGCAGGGTGCCATAGAAGCGTGTACATGTAATAAATAAATAAATACTATTACACCTGAACCTGACGTAATAATATATGAAATGTTTGTTGTATAAACACATGCAATAGGTGTAACCATTGCTTGGAAATTCCCAGGTGCAGCTTATTTGAAGTCTTGCAAGCATAGATAGAACCAATAGATGCGCTTGACTAATTGAATAGCACTTGATATTTGAATTCAGATACATTCATAAAATGGGAAGCTTAACAGAGATATTGTAATTGAAAACATTTCAAAATATTTAGGTGATATGACAAGTAGAAGAATGTATTTATCAAAAGATTGTGTTTACATCAATATTCAGTTAGTAATTGCTCCTGTGGCTTAAGGAGTAGTTATAATAGTATGTCACATTTGATAGGTAATAGCTTCCTTATACAAGTTCAAGTAAATAAATATGGAATCACATTAAAATTAATAATCACCTGACAATGAAGCAGTCAGCTGTGTTCCCACCAGCAATGAAACTCAGCGTGTCTTTATATCCTAAACAATAACATGAAGTATAAAATATTATAAAGCAACAGACTGATTGATTCAGATTGACTACACAGTGGGCCAAAAACATAGTTTTCATTCTGCTGCTATTGTACAGACATAAGGGATGTAATTGCCAGTTGTAGGATAATATTTGATGGAGCAATTTTACAGTGAACATAAGTTTAATATGAGAATCATCATGATGTACAATGAAAAATGTTGATGCTTGTTTTGCCCATCCTGCATATTTTATCGAGAAAAAAAATGCAGCAAATAATGCAGCATAATAATCCCAACGATCGAAGTTCAGTAGGGATATAAATATAGTGAAACTCTCTGTCCATTTGTCTGTCAGTCCATCCAACTGTCCAGAAAATAACTCTAGTTTACTCTATACTAGTTGCAAAATTGTCAGTTTGTCTTAAAGTCATAAACTTTTCTAACTGACCTTGTTCATTTCTTCTGACACTGAGATTGGCTTGAGCAGAGCATTGTTTGATGATGTTATGGGTTTCCTCCAGTGTAGCAGTTGTAAGTTTGTATGTGCTCATCTCTGTTGGAGCTCCAGGTTGAGGAAATGCAATCTATGGGCAACACAGGTACAGTGTACACTACATGACTTGAGATAACCTTCTTTACATTTTACATCTTTACATAACATCAATAGGAAAAACATATTAATTGTTAAGTAAAGTCAAGTAATGATCACCCTTCGACTACCGGTATTTAACTAAAATGGCAAATTTATCATTCATTATCAGCCATTCAGAATTCATAAGAATTTCATGTCTCTGTGGTTAGGGTACCCCTTAATGACATTGGTAAACTAGTTACCCTCTCAATTTGATCTCTCTGGTTAGGGGACCCCTTAATGACATTGGTAAACTAGTTACCCTCTCAATTTGATCTCTCTGGTTAGGGGACCCCTTAATGACATTGCTAAACTAGTTACCCTCTCAATTTGATCTCTCTGGTTAGGGGACCCCTAATGACATTGGTAAACTAGTTACCCTCTCGATTTGATCTCTCTGGTTAGGGGACCCCTTAATGACATTGGTAAACTAGTTACCCTCTCAATTTGATCTCTCTGGTTAGGGGACCCCTTAATGACATTGGTAAACTAGTAACCCTCTCAATTTGTCTCTTTGGTTAGGAGACCCCTTAATGACATTGGTAAACTAGTTACCCTCTCAATTTGATCTCCTATCTTCAGTCCACTTTCATGCGTTATCATTTTATGTATGAATATTCCACTAAGATTTCCACCAATTACAGTGAGTGATTCCTTCAACCATTTTGGCTCAACTATAGCTGCTTGTGTCTTAATGGTCTTCCTTGATGGAGACCTGAAATGGAATCACAAACATATCCATATTAGAGGCCTTTAATCCCTTGAATATCAAAGACAAGGAAATAAACTTGTCAATACAATAGGAGAGTATGACATGTGCCATAGGGGTACTAATCTGTTGGAAATTCTCTTTGTGATTTTGACACTTCCAGCGAGGAGACAATGTTCTATTCATTCATGGAGCCATCTTAGCAAACTTATAATATTTACATACAAACTTATAATATTTACATACACAATTATTTTTCTGTGCTGTGCCATAACAGGTAGACTGACCCGCTCATAGTACTCCACAATGATGTTGGATTCATCATTGGCTCCATTAGAGGCAGATTGTGGTGGGGGAATACCTGAAATGAAATTGTCTATTTGAAATGTTGAAATCCTTTAATGGAAAGTTCCACACTTAATGGTATTGTTTAACACAAATAAAGGTGAGTGATATATCTTACCATAAGAAATAATGTTTTTTGATGGTTTTATGAATTCCTCGGGTCAAGAAGTGAATTTATCTGATTGTTTAATATTCACTGGGTATGGTTTCCCATGAGATAAATGGACAGTCCTATGGATTTTCAAAAATATAGAATATATCCACTCATTGATATCTCTCGTGGATATTTTTTCAAACTCATAGAATAATCCTATAATATTTTATGTTTACCACTATCCTCTTCCTCAAGCTCTCCATCATAGTTAGCATCAAAGTAAAAATGGTTAGCTATGGAGTAGAGGGGTGGCTCTGAGCTATCTGTATCAGAATAGGAATCCCCATATGAATCAAAATCTGCAAAGGAACCCTCTGTTGATCCAGCAGGAGACTTGTATTTCCTTGAACCTGAGGTTTGGGCAGTGACAGTGTCTGAACGTTCCATGCTGTATACCCCATTGCCCATATCCAGGTCTATAGTTTTTGGCTCACTCTGTAAGCTGTAAGTGCTGGCATTAACATTTCCATATGATGATGTTGAGGGTAGGGTCTGGTATTTCTTATCTAAAATGAAAACATTTAGGCAAATATTTGTACGGTCAAAATTGAGCATTATCCTCGGAGTGTCCTTTAATGAAACAACAAAGGCAATGCAGATTCAATACAGGGCATTAGCCATTCTTTCATGTAGTTTTCACAAATTATTTGACTTATGAGTAGCTTACATGTGGCCGATACAAACATATAACTATACAATCTGAGTGCAGGAAATAACAGAATTATACACAGTCAACTATTTAACAGTAAAAATACAGACCGGTCAATGTACTGTTGGTGGTTAACCAGTTAACTGATTAAGATCTGACACTACTAGACTCTCCAGACAATCTAAATTACCAAATTATTACCTTGAATAACTTACTTGGTGAACATGGTGATTCATAGCTTAGGAGTCTTTGAGGTGAACAGTTTGAAGGAAGAGTATAGGTGTTACTGTATACATTGCTGGATTCATCATCATTCATGTTACCTGTAAATACAAAGAGTTGCTTAACTTGCATTACAAATTATATTTTAAATGCTTTCATCATTCTTTTTGTAAAAGACAATTTATATCCTACAAACTGTTATAACTTGTCATTGGATCAGTTTTGGCTTATAGACTATATAAGAGTCCATTTGCTTTTCAATTTAGTCTTCCAGTGAAATGTTAACAGTTTCCATATCCTCTACAAATGTTGCATATCAACAATATACTGTACAGTATTGAAGTTGGTACCATTAGATTGATGAGTTTTACCTAGTCTTAGGAAAACAGCATTTACTGAAATGCACCTTGAAAATTTAATTGGGAAGAATTAATAAAATGGCAATCCAATTCCTATAACTTATTGATCACCTTCCATTGAGATATCCATGAAGTCAGCAAATGGGTCTGCTGAGCGAGATGGTTTAGCAGTCATGTGTGGAACTTTATCTTTTATCAAAGGAGACTTCTCATATGCAGTCTTGTACTCTATTACTTGCTGAACTCTTGCTCGAGTTGGTGTCTGAAAACAGATACTTTATACTGAACATAGTATATGGATCAAAAGAAGTTTTCTAAAAGTATAATTAAATGAATGAAATTGAATCCCTTGGCAGTTTAAACACTTAATACTTTAATGCATGGAATGTTTAGTGTTTTCCAGGTCTAAACAAGGTTGTTTTAGACCAAATTACAGAAATGTAGTTTAATATATATATTATATATCCCAAATATGCTATTTCTGTTAATAAACCCAACTTTGAGAAATGTAATGAACATTATAATCTGCATGCATTGTAAACTGTCACATTTTGCAGCAAAACCTTTGAAACATTTCTACCAACTTGCATAAGTAAAGTCCAAAAACTTACTGTTGGAGGATCTAAATAGACTGTTGAATCACTGAAATAGAGCGAAGGCTCTTCTTGCAGGTCAGCAAGATCTCTATAGCATCCATTAGTCAATGAGATGGCTGGTGAGGGTGGAGGCTGTAATGCCTCAGTTAGTTTCTGCTGCAGTTGGTTACATTTTGTTGACAGTTTCCACTTGATTTCTGTTAAGCAATCTCGGTCTGCAACAACTTGGCGATTTTTTTCTTGACAGTCCAAGTGTCTTGCAATTGCCTTTAATAAAACAAAACTATAACTCAGATGACCTTTTCCCTATTCACACATACACATGATATATAATATTCCATCCAATCAGACCCCTGAGAAAAATTAGCAACAGGCATGTCAACCTGGGAACACCTAAAACAAGACAATTTAAGGCAACTGAAATATACGCAATTCACAAAAATGGGTGTGACTTCAATTTCTTCAACAAATGTGGGACAGTTGGACGGCCTGTAATATGTATTATATATTTAAAAACAGATGATTGGTTATTGTTAGATTCAGGGAATCATTGAAGTCCAGGCTAAATCACTTAATCTAAAGTGGAATTTATTCTTTGTCCTTTTTGGCAATAATCTCTTACCTCATCTCTTTCAGACTTGAGCAACTGTGACTGTTTGTAATAGTCATCTTTACGAAGATTACACAAATCTATCTCTTCTTTGTATCGGTGGACTTCACGATTTTTCAATTCTAAAGCCTCAGATGCCTTTACAACATAAAATTCCAAAACAGTTGAGACAGCATTTAGACACTTTAGTACCTCCAGTTGATATAGATTGTTTCTGAACATGCAATGATCTTTCTAACATATTTGAGTTATTTAATTGAAATAAAATAAAACTTCATTTACTATTTTTTCTGAAAGAAAGGCTTGCAGGAATGTGGATATTATATCCTTAAATCCAAATGAAGAGTTTCAGAAGATAATGTTTCAAAAGATAATGTATGAGACCCAAAAACATATGGATTATGGATTTTCACAACACTTTTGTAAATATAATTGATAACCTTTTCATCAGTGATCATACCTTTTCCAACTTATGCTGTAAATCTGCCAACTCTTGTCTTAGGTTGAATATCTTTTCTGCGTAATGCCCATTTTGCTCTTGTACTTCATTGTAGTTTTCCTTTAAGATTTCTAAGTCCATCTCAAGCTTCGTGTTGATAGAATTGTCTACATTACTCCACTAGGAAAAATGAAAGAAGAAAACATAGTTTTAACTCCTTCAAAAAACATTTAAATGTGTTTTTTGCAAGATTTATAGATGTCAGCCCACTATCTAGCCTTGCCCAAGTCGGTATTTTTTACTTATCTGATCTTGAATTATAATAGAAATCAAGATAAGTAAAAGAGACCGACTTGGGCAAGGCTACCCACTATCCACCCTAGTGCAATAATGATGTGTTAATGAAAAGTGCAGGACAACTTTAGGCTCTCTTTTGAATTATTGGGTTATGTTAAAAAAGTAATACAGACTCATGGAACATGTGGAATGTGTTTCAATACTCAAAAACTACATGATATACATACAGTATATATAGGCTAATATATACATATTCATATCTATACTATCTTGTATATGTGTCAGTGGACACAGTGTCTTTGTATTATGTTGAGTCCCAGTGAACATAACATGTTTTATAATCTATATTAATTATATAAGATACTAATCATATAATCATATAATTAAACATACTTTGAGAAATCTTTCATTGACATTTCTAGCCTCCAATGCAGTCTTAAGTTGCAGGTTTTCCTGGTGAAGTGTCTCATATTCCTCACTTGAGTGAAGAATCTGGAGTTTATCTGTCAGCTTAGTGGACTGTTTACTCTGTAGACTCAGCTTATCTATAACATTATATTACAATCTTACAGCATACACCTGAATATTTATAGTGGCCTCGACAGACTATTTTCCGTCATTCTGGACATTTGTAACTATATAGACTATCATATCATAATATGATTATAATAAATACCCAAATAGAACAAATGTCTATAGATAATGGGTTTAAGTTGTCTTCATACACAAAAACCTAAACCATGTATATGAGTAATAGATAAGTTTCCATCTGAGAGCTGTGAGGTACTTAACTACTTATGCCGTGGATGTCATGTTATATTGTTATGTTACATTACATTACATTGAGTAGCAACTGGCCATATAAAACTGTTGTTTTCCCTACCTTTTGCTTGTCTCAGTTCTTTGTTATATGTGTCTATCTCAGCTTGCAATTCTCTATTTTGATCCAGGGTCTTATCACGCTCCATCATATACATATAGCATCTGCTCATGTATTCTTCCTTCTCATTGGCAAACTTCACAGAATCTTGCAACAATTTTACTATAATACAATGTACATGTATATACGAGGGGTGGTAAATGAAATGTATAGAACTCTCAACTTCTTGTAGCAATTTACTGAGGTCATCTTTCTTTAAGAGCAACGGTTATAAGACAGGTCTGGAGTATTTGATAAATCATAAACACAACTTTTTGATTCTGACACTGAACAATATATTCAAAAATTGCAGTATCAGCATATGAGCCTGGCCATAGGAAAACCGGTCTTATCACAAAAATTAAAATTGTGCTACAGAGCCAAAAATGTGCCCAAGATTAAGAGGAAAATGTGCTAAATTAAAATTCGACTTTTTGGTCTATAAATGCAAGGAAAAATTGTTAAGACATAAGTCATGGCTCATTTGAAAGGTCTTTTTTTGCTTTTTAAGATAAACAAAAAATCAAAATATTGAAAAATCTGTGATAAGACCCCTTTTCCTGTGGCTGGCTCATATATAATTTGAACAGTTGTGATTTCAAGCAATCTACCCACTTTATAGTAAACACACCTTTTCAACATGTTATACCTCTTAGTGTTATTCCAAATTCTAAGTACTGACAAAAATAACATGATTTGCAGTGGAAAAGCTAATCTACTACTGACCCATCTGGTCCTTCAGTTGATCTCTCTCTGCCACCACAGTGTTATATTGCTCCAGACTCTTACACTTGGCTTCGAGTTCAGTCTAAAACGTAGGCATCTTTTATAGTTGCATGTAATATGTTTTGCAGTGATTCAAACCTCATAAGCATAACAAAAACGTCTATTTGCCCAAAGAAGTGGCTAAAAACATGAATTTATGGCCGAGTTTTTTACCTTTAGAATTTTTGTTTCATATTCTGCTATCTTAGCCTCATTTCTCAAGTCACTGAATTGTGTCTTGACTCTCTTGCTGACATTTCTTTCTTTGTTTAGCATTGTTGTTAGATTGTTGCAGACTTGTATGAGTTTAGAATCTGGTCTTACACTAGGCTCCTCATCATCTTTTAAAAATACATGATCATTCATTCAACATACAACATCTCTGTTTAATAGGGTATAGAATGGTTTCATTAAAAATATCATAAGTAAGAACAACAAAAATCACTTTTGAATTTTCTAAGTACATGAACAGCATTTAATAAACATTTGGATTAACCTGGTGGTGGCTTTGGCTCCTTCCCAGTCATTTTCTGATACAAGTTTGGATTTGTGTATTGTAGTTTATCTGTGAATATGTCATAGCCTCGTTCGTCTTTTCTTCTTAGAATGTCCAACAGCTGACCTAAATAGAACAAAAACAGAATTTAAGTTTGAACATAACAACCTAATTTGCAAGAAATTTTCTCCAAATTGTGTATTAAAGTTGTTTCATGCCTGGCTTCATACCCATACAGAGATCGGAACACAACTGGTACTTGATATATAATCCTGTAGTTTAGTCAAAATGATTTGATTTCTCACTAGAATTTGTCCATTTGAGGATAAAGTCAACAACACCTGATCGACACAATAGCAGCTGGTAACTTAGACTTTCGCAAATGGAGTATGGAGATATAGGGAACATTTGGAAGTATAAAATAGCAAGCTGAATTCAGTATTTCAGTTTCAGCCAACACAATTATCCAGCGGCCTATTGTTGGTGGCTAAAGGCTGTTCTATACAGATCAGACAGACTTTGAAAGAGGTGATTAGAAATAACCAGGAAATAAAGTAGTCTTGTCTCATTTTGGAAAGATTTACACCAATGATCTGGAGCTACCCTTTTGCTACAGGGAGTACCATGTGAAAATAGTACAGCAAAAACTATGACTGTGATATGACCTAAATTGGAGATGTACAAGATGTATAATTAATTGAATACTAAATTATGTTTTAGAACGAGGCTAATGCTATTGATTGAAGATCTTATATAGAAGTACTGGGACTATTTTAAATAGATTACAGAAACTTTTTTTTAACAATATTGTTTGTACCATTTCTCTGTTGAGTAGTTGAGTGCTTTTGTACATTCTTGCATTCCTCTCCCTCATCTTGAGTAAACACCTGGAGAATACAGAATGCATCAACATTAAACGCATCTTGCATGTATTTAATCATGGACTTCCGTAATTTAATCATGTACTAATAGTTGATAATTTTGACCAATATGAGAATATTTTTTCTTTTTTGGTTCAGATATGGTCATTCATCAAATGCCAAACTCCAATGTCCACAATTATAATACATGTATGTCTCTTTCTCATATATGACTAACCAAAATACTGCCATCTTTACCCCATGTAAGCTATTGCCATCTTTTATCATAAGAGTTTACATAGGAACAGATACACCGTTGCTATGAGAATCTTTGCTCATTCTACAAAACTAAGCCGTGACATCATAGCAATGGAGCTTTGTTGCCATGCATATACACTCAGGAGCATATACAACATTCTCTTAGACCTCTCAATATAATAATTATACAAAGGAAATTTTGGTTGATTTAAAAAAAATATTACCGCCCAAATAGATAAAAATTAAGATAAATCTTTAATTTCATTAACAAGATACTTTTTTAAAATCAACCAAAATTTCCTTTGTACAATCACAATATTGAGAGACCTAAACATGTTTATGTCATTTTGTTCCAATAAGGTTCAGAAAGATATTTCATTTCATTCTGAACATCTGATGCCAAGAACAAAAGAAGTGTCTGATGTGTTTTCTAAAACAATATAGAGAAAAATACATTTTTATATTTCAAATTATATTGTTACCATTCAAAAGATGACCATTAAATTGAAAACGTGTAAAATTTTCAGAATGTTTTGATGACTGGTTTAAGAGAATATGTGTTCAAAAAGTTCACCATATCGATACCAATCCTTTTGAAGCCATCATTTGGAGGATGGCATTTAAAGACATTTGATTTACATATTTATACAAATATAAAGACTATATAATACCCGGTTACTCCTCAGATGGTTGATGAATATCTCAAGGTCCAACTCCTGTACCAGTGAAACCCTGTGTTCTTCCAGGATATCCTGCCAGTTTCTCAGGAGATCTGTTGGTTTCGACATGTTAACTGAGTTGGTTTCATTACATCGTTGTTCAAATATTACTGAAAAAGATGTTCTGCTTGCTTATCTACTCACTGAATCTCACAGTAACAATCTGGCAGTATAGCGATTGTAATGTTTTTCACTTGAATAGAGCAATTTCACGATATGACTGGGAATAAACTTCTTCTAAGTCTTGATGTATCAAAACAAGGGGGGGGGGGGCAGATGGCATTTCAAATAAAATGTTAAAAATGTGCTGTGACAGTATTTATCTAATCTTCAAATGCCCTCTGTTGTATTGAAGAGAGAAAATTTGGGGGGAACTCAGGAACATGTCAGAAATGAACATCTTGAGGTTAACTGGCAAAATTGTACACTGTTACTGTAAACCTTGAAAGTACTGCATACTGAGACCAGAGGTCAAGATCAACAGTACTTTCAAGGTTTACATTTGAGGTAAACAATTTTGTCAGTTGACTGAATAGCAGTATCTAGTAGCGGTCAACAGTACACATTGTTTATTATAAATTAACCAATCTGAAGTGAGAATTTCAACTAAAGGTACTGACAAAACTTGTTATGCATTTTTATGTATACTTAAAACTTGCTATGTAAAAGATATTTCAGTTAATTGATTATAAATAATACTTACCAGAATTGGCAGTAACATCGGTTGTCATTTGATTATTTTTTCCTAATTTTAATTCTTAATAGATATTTTAAAATCAAGTTTTACTCCGTCCTCTCAGTTATATCATACAATTCGAACCACACAAGTTTACAGTTATACTGACTGAGTATTAAGCACTTTGCTGATAAATGATTGAAAAGGAGGAAGTAATTTACTTTTTTATATTTGGTAAGTCAATAAACCTCTGCATTTTAATGATATACATTTAAGCCAGGCCACAGGAAAAGGGGTCTTATCACTGATTTTTTCATTATTCTGATTTTTTGTTTATCTTAAAAAGCAAAAAGCGATCTTTCAAATGAGCCATGACTTATGTCTAACAATTTTTCCTTGTATTATATAGATTATACATTTTCCTCTTAATCTTGGGCACATCATTGCCTCTGTATCACTATTTTAATTTTTGTGATAAGACCAGTTTTCCTATGACCAGGCTCATTTACTAAATTCAGCATAATATGTGATGGTTCAATTCTCAGTAATGCACAATGTGAGCAAACTCAAATCAACAAAAAAAGATGTTTCTGGTTTGTGTAAATCTTTGCATTTGGCTCAAACCTTAAAAGGCCTCTCAAAATCACATCACAATATCTAAACAAGGCATAATCCAATATGAGTTCATTGCCTGAGTGTAGATGAAATTACTTCCTGTTACACCCGTATGTGTGTTTGTAAAATAAAGCCATTAACTTCCTTATTCAAAGATCTAGACAATTAAAGGGATGTTTTGAGAAAATTGTCACAATTTACGCTCTCCTCATTCCATGGCATGCTTATTTTCAAAAAAATTTGATTTCAGGATATCCATTGATTTGACATATTTGGGAAATATTGAAAAAGTATCTAGCTTCCTCAATCCAATCAACAAAAACTTTAACCAAAAGCTTAGCTGATAGTCTAAATACAGATCTAAATATTCACTATTTCAAAATGGGTCTCCGTTTAATTTGATTGAAGCTTGGCCAGTGTCTTGCCCCACTTAAAAAAATGGAAGAAGTTAAACCAATTAGTATTGATCTATAAAAAGATACAAGCACAATGCCAATAAATGGGATTATTTTGTTAAAACTTTTATTAACAGCATGGTTATCATGATCTCAAAAGGGAAGTAAAATTAAATTGATTTCATTCACATGATTGGTCAATAAGAATTGAATTACTTTTTTGTAATAAATAATGAACTTTGACCAGACTTCCTGTTACTCGGCTTTTATCATAATAATAAATAACATTGAACAATTATCTATCATATTCCTAAACTTATATTTCACTAATCAGATGTAACATAACAATGCTGCTTCATCCAAATGTTTGTAATGTAAATGTAAAATACTTTCTTTGTTTATGTAATTATAAAGAGATTCAAACAAAGATTTTAAAACTATTTCTAATTTACAAATTGAAACAATCATAATTCATCTAAATCAAAATTGGATTAGAAATTGTCTAAAAGTAATACATAGTTATCTCTAAAATGTGTTTCAGCATTTACTCTACATTTCACACTTACAACATTACAAGATGTCCCAAAAGTAAAAGGACTGGTGCTGCTCTTTCATTAATACACTGATCATATTTAAATGTTCACAGTATACTCCTTGCCTGAAATGTCACTTGTGACTAAATATTCATCTCGACAATGTAACTACTTATAAAAGCCATCAGTTTAGGCAGCTGCAGGCATAAGAAGTTAGACTTTGTTATCTTAGACTATGCAGTCTTTTCTCCTGACTATGCCATATTTCACTTCAATCTTTATACTGAATTCTGTTCTGCTAATCTGTTGGGCAAGCTCTTTGTAGACAAGAGCAAACCAATTGTCAAATGTACCATTCCTGACATGACAGCTCATGTGTTTGAATTTTAGCATATGAAATCAGGTCTTAAGTTTTGTTCCATATTCAACTGATGGGATTTACATAATGTTGAAAGACTCCAACACTGCTGTATTTAAATATGCTGCCCTGATACTGTGTTGTCATGTTACCACACCAACCATAACTCAGTACAATGTTGTGACTATAACTGAATCACAATACATGAATGAATATACTATGCAATTGCATTCCAATCCAGTTACCGTTGGGACACCCTTTATATCAAAACATTGCATTTTCCTCTGAGGTAAAGCATCAACATGAACTTGATGGCAGACCACTCTATGTAAAGGGAGCAGAATATCAACATGAACTTGATGACAGATCACTCTATGAACAAGGAGCTGAATATCAACATGAACTTCATGACAGATCACTTTATGTAAAGGGAGCAGAATATCAACATGAACTTGATGACAGATCACTCTCTGAACAAGGAGCTGAATATCAACATGAACTTCATGACAGATCACTCTATGAACAAGGAGCTGAATATCAACATGAACTTCATGACAGATCACTCTATGTACAAGGAGCAGAATATCAACATGAACTTCATGACAGATCACTCTATGTACAGGGAGCTGAATATCAACATGAACTTGATGACAGATCACTCTATGAACAAGGAGCTGAATATCAACATGAACTTGATGACAGATCACTCTATGTGCAGGGAGCTGAATATCAACATGAACTTGATGACAGATCACTCTATGAACAAGGAGCTGAATATCAACATGAACTTCATGACAGATCACTCTATGTACAGGGAGCTGAATATCAACATGAACTTCATGACAGATCACTCTATGTATAAGGAGCAGAATATCAACATGAACTTCATGACAGATCACTCTATGAACAAGGAGCTGAATATCAACATGAACTTCATGACAGATCACTCTATGTACAAGGAGCAGAATATCAACATGAACTTCATGACAGATCACTCTATGAATAAGGAGCAGAATATCAACATGAACTTGATGACAGATCACTCTATGTACAAGGAGCTGAATATCAACATGAACTTCATGACAGATCACTCTATGTACAAGGAGCTGAATATCAACATGAACTTGATGACAGATCAATCTAAATTTCACCTGTCAATCAAATCTGGCAATGAACACTTTAGCTTGGATTGCTGATTCTTTTTTCAGAAGACATATTTTAGATTTGTGAAAATGATTTATGTATTCTGTCATAATATGTGTCAAGCTTTTATGAATATTCTTAATAATTAATAATTTAACCTCTAAATGTCATCAGTTATTTTGTATTCTCCTCCATTTCACGGAAGAGTGTACATCCATACATATATGTCATAAATATCTTTATTTACAAATTAATGAATGATACATAAAACCATTTATATGTAGAAAATGTTGCATTTCTTACTTATTTGTGCATATTTGAAGCAGTGAACTTAAATCAAATCTTATAAAATAATTTCATTAAAATGTACATCTTGATAAAATAGCTGACATAGATACTATTTACAATGGTTTTAAATACTTAAATAGAGAAACAATGGTTAAAGTAAGGAATATACAAATGAACATTTTGGATAATTTAGAAATTTAACCACTGACATAACTGAACATTGTAGCACAGAAAAAAGGGAATTGTCAAAAAATTGAAATTAGTAGATGTAATTGCATCAGCAGAAAACATAAATGAAAATCAAATTGAATCTAATGAATAATGTGAGTGGGAGGTTAGGGTGAACTCATAATGATCTATCATCATGATTTGCTGTTCTGTAATACATGTATATGCTATATAATATGGCTTGTTTCTTACTCAAACTTATATCGTCTGTGATAAATTATGCATTGAGATTTGAGGATCTATAAATAACCAAATTTAAGAGTACATAAATACACATCTTACAATGTATGTAGTTATATAATAGTTATACTGTATCTTAGTTTTGTTGTGAGTGTATCTATGATAACAAGAGACTAGTATTATAAGACTGAACAACTTATAGACTGTCAATTTATTAATTGTTTTGTTTATCATTCAGAGCTACTAGAATCCATTTTTTCGCGAAGGAGAAAATTTTGCGGAATTCATGCTTTTTGAATTGAACTGAAAGCTTACCTAGTATTGTTTTAGGCACGTGTAGATCATTTGAATCATTTGTAGCTCTCTTTTGTAGCGATTCAAACAGAAAACTTTTTTATTTTTTATTTCTTGAAGTTGGTTTGTATGGAACATCTAGTATGAGTCACAAAATATGTGGAGACTAAGATACTCGTTTTCTATTTTCAATATATTATCTCTGTGTTGTCACTAAATTTATCTGTTGTTCAAATACATGTACACATTAAAAAATATGGCAGTTTTATTTTGATTATCACGCTATTTCGACAAAAAATGCTGCGTTAAAATACAGAATTTCACATTTTGATTTTTTTCTTGCAGAATTTTGCATTTTGTAGCGCAGAATTCTAGTAGCTCTGATCAATATATGATACTCGTCACATCTGTATGTCTTGCAATGACAAAATTAATCTAAAGATTTGAGTAGAGACCTTGTTTGTTGGTCAGATTTGCAGTTATTAGTGCAGTTTGTGTGGTCATAATGTTAATGAATGTAACCTGGATGTGACAAGTGTATGAAAATGAGTGTATGCAACTGAGTGTATGAAATTGAGTGCATGTGGTTGTATGAAAATGAGTGTATGCAACTGAGTGTATGAAATTGAGTGCATGTGGTTGTATGGAAATGAGTGTATGTAACTGGGTATATGAAAATGAGTGTATGCAACTGAGGGTATGAAATTGAGTGTATGTGGTTGTATGGAAATGAGTGTATGTTACTGAATGTATGTGATTGTATAAAAATGAGTGTATATAACTGAGTGTATGAAACTGAGTTTATGTAACTGAGCATTTGTCTGTTATAAATGTGAAATGTAAGTGTAGAACATTATCAAGATGTTTTAAACATGGCAAACAATACATAATCTAGTGCAAAAATCAGTTTCACATCATCATTAAATGTAACTCATGAGTGAAGTTTACATCATATAAAACAATAATTATAATTTTAAAACATTTCATCTGCCATATAATGAGACAGTAAAATACTTTAAAACAAGGCTCATGACTGATGATAAATCAAAAAATAAAAAGCACCTCGTATGTTTTAAACATGGCAACCCTGGGCAATCCTGATATCTTGTAATTTCCAGATATATTTGAAAAGCCTATTTTCTTCTACAAACAGAGGTTTTAAAAGAATTTCTGTTAAGAGGCAAAATGCATAAAATAACAGGCAGAATTATTGAAAATCATATTTTAACATGGATTCAGATGCAAAATTCTTCATAACAACTCGTAAAAACGACCAGAAAAAATTGCCTGTTGTCTTGTCTGATACAAAAGAACCCTCACATATAAAATCTCAAGTCATTTCTCACAACCCTGCATCTACAGTATATTGGTTCAAAGGTACATATTATCAATGTATGTAACCCTGTTTGTTTTTCACAATAATCCCCTAATATAATGAATCTTTCCCACAGCAGCAGCATCAGTCTCTAGTTCATCATTGCTGGCAGCTAAGCTGTATTAAAGTTAAAGTTATTACTTGAAAACCTCATCTCAATCTTCATTTGGGGAGCATCGTCTAATTCTCAACCTGTCATGTGATGCATTAGCATAATCCTATTGTCTATTTTAGGGATCAATGTCAATATGTTTCAGATTTCAGATTTAAACAGCTGCCGTCATTTTGACAATACTTTGTGGGGTCTGCCCAGGGCCTCCTCTGTTGAAACGTTTGGCTCTGAAAGTGGAAGAAAATTGTAAATTTTCAATGACTTATGCTAATGAAATGGCTTTGGGGGTAAAAGACAGTATTGATTTTTGGTACTCCAAGGGTTAATAAATCAACATTATATCTCAATAGTTCATCTAAATGTTATAATTTAGAAGAAGATGTCGGAAATGTCAATGTAAAATGGTAAAATTATGTTTTTTTGAAGAATATTGATTTATAGGCCTGACAACTAAGTATAAACCTTATAAGTTACAGAACTGAATGACAATAATATTTTCAAATATTGAGCATGATAATTCATATGAATTTTGAACAAAACAAATGGACGGTATTGTTTAGAATATAAATCATGTTTTTGTTTGGCTTTAAAAGAAAACACCATAATGCTACATACATCTGAATTAGAATAGAATTAACAATTAAATTATGACAATCCAAAGTGAACAATGTTAAACTCATCAATCTTCAGGACCGGTAACACATAATAACATGATACAAATTCCAAATACACATAACGACAAACATATAGCAATTACATGTAGTAATATCTTCATTGCCAAATTCTAAACAAAACTTCTGTATAGTAGAGAGCTTTCGATATAAGTTATTTGGAATACATAACACAAACCTGTACTTGCACAAGTCAGGTATAGCAACTCTGGAAACGAAGATAACATGTTTTAATCCTTCAAATCACAACAAAATATTCGGCAATAGTGAGTTCCAGTTTCAAAATATGATTACAACTTAGAAATTTATTCTACCATTGCTGGAACATTCACAAATGAAATCTCTTAATAAGGAAACAAGGAAATTTTTTCTAATGAAATGTAGTTTCCTGGTTTATTTGAGAAACCTTCCTCCCCAGTGGTGTTTACGTCACTTAAAAGTTGAAAACTTATATCGAAAGCTCTCTAAATGTTAATGTTTTTACTGATAAGCACTGGATTACTATATTAAAATGACTTCTAATAGCATTGTTTGAACTTTTCTAGCAACAAAGGTATAAGGTTATACAATTTGTAAAGCTGAGATCACATCTATAAGTTTTATCATCTAAAAAGCAGCAAATATTCTACATCAATATATTAAGGCTATTTATGCAAAATATGGTCAGTATGGATGAAAATCAAATGCACACATAGATCAAATACCATGAAAAAATGAATCTAAACAGAATTCATGACATTCTGGACATTTGTACCAAATATTGGCTGTAGAATAGTCTTGTCCAAGCATTTGTAAATCCTATAGAAACACCTAAACTATTTATCAAGTGATAGAAAGGGAAACAGGGGACAAACAGATACTTCATTTATGATCACTGCAAAAGTAATTTCCTACAAGACATGGTGCTTAACAAATCATCTATGGTTAACCCTACTGGATAAAAGTCTAGTACTTTGCTGAGTGAGTCCATATATAATATATATATAGTGTGGAAATTTTTTTTTCACAAAACTAATATATATATATATATATGTATCTTTTATTAACTCTGATATGTGATATGTTTTGAGCAAAAGCTTCTGTGAAACAGTGCCAGCTTCCCATCATTACAAATGTGAAAATCATTACAAACTTTGTTATAAATGTTATAAGCGGATTTAAATTTAAATTGCTTTTGAACCATCAAAAACATTGCTATCACCATCATTAAAATAAATGGATATACTGTATATATATTTGGAATTAATTTAATGTTTGATGCGTTTCCTGTGAAAGGTTCGCTGTGAGACCAATTACCTGCGAAATAAGAGCTAACCTATATCAAACAAATTCACAAAAACGATCTACATGTATTTACCAAACTGCACTTCTCATAAATGTGATCAACAAAGAGATATGAAGAAAATACAATGATCAATAAAATCACAAGGGATCAATTAATCAAATTACGTATCCTAATATTTCCTGGTCAACATCTGCATCCAAAGAAGAGTTCTACTTAAACATATTGTTTTATGTTAAATCACAAGGAAGTCAAATAGATGTACTGATAAATTCTAAAATGAGACTGTTACAACAACTCCAAACCTAAATGGTCATTGAAAAGAGCAATGCATATTTTTGCTATGTTAACATATGGATATGTATTATAATTCAGACATTGGTATCTAAGACAATAAAGCTCTTTGGTAGAGATGTGTAATACTAGATGAACAAGATGATCTAATAAAAACAATGCAAAATATATGGTGATCTAAAACCATAATAAAGTAATATTTGCAATGCTAAATCTGTATGGTAATCTAAAAGCACAATAAAGTTATATTTGCAATGCTAAATCTGTATGGTAATCTAAAAGCGCAATAAAGTTATATTTGCAATGCTAAATCTGTATGGTAATCTAAAAGCGCAATAAAGTTATATTTGCAATGCTAAATCTGTATGGTAATCTAAAAGCGCAATAAAGTTAAATTTGCAATGCTAAATCTGTATGGTAATCTAAAAGCGCAATAAAGTTAAATTTGCAATGCTAAATCTGTATGGTAATCTAAAAGCGCACTAAAGTTATATTTGCAATGCTAAATCTGTATGGAAATCTAAAAGCGCAATACAGTTATATTTGCAATGCTAAATCTGTATGGTAATCTAAAAGCGCAATAAAGTTAAATTTGCAATGATAAATCTGTATGGTAATCTAAAAGCACAATAAATATATTTTCAATGATAAATCTGTATGGTGATCTAAAAGCACAATAAAGTTATATTTTCAATGTTAGACCTGTATGGTGCTGATGCTATCCTAGGGCTATATGATGGTACCATTCCCCTGTTGCAGAAATACAAGCATGTGCAATTATTTAAGATTATAATTATTGCATTTTCAATTCAGAATTCTTCATGAAATAAACCAGCCAGTTGTGTTACATGCTGCTGCTAAATAAAATCCAAATGATGTTTTAGTTATGGTATATAAATGACTGAAACAGCGGGAAAATAAAAACGTTAGGGATAAATATTTCAACTCAAAATGCAACAAGCAATGTACAGGGTGTGTCAAAAACCACACAAGAACACTGAAACATTTTATAGCAATACTGTTCTGAAAATATTTTTATTGGCCTCTTTAGAAGCCTATCTGTACCTGACATATTTGTTTTTGTTCAAACAACAATTTTATTTGATGGATGACATGTATATGAAAAAGTACATACTATATCAGGGACATTACACTTGAGATTTCAACAGTTATTAAGGACCTACTTGAAGTATGATTCTAAAACAAAAGTCACTCTATGTGCCCAAACTTCCCCCTATCGACACACTTCACACTCATGTTATATTGTCACACTTGTGTTATTTATGCACACTGATATTACAACCATCAAACAGGTTAAGTGTTATACTTGTATTTGTGTAATGTGGTGCATTTGAAGAAGGAAAATTGAAACACACGATGTCACCTCACCATAATAAGTTAATCATTCATATAGATATTATGAAAAGTGCAATATTTTGCTTTTTTCCCCATTTGAACAAAAACATGTCTGACATCCTCGTATGTGAAGAAAAGCAATATTGACAAGTATCCATTAAAAAGATGAAACAATACAATGATCAAAAGGGAACTTGTGTCAAAAATGCAATTCCTAAGACTTTTGGTCAATCTGATTTTAGTAAACCCTGCAAACCATATTCAACATTCAAACAAGCAAGCCCATTCTTAAAATGCCAAGCTTGACATATTATTATTTTACACTTTCGATGATAATCTGGCACTTTTATACCATATAGGATACCTTATATCTTACTATTTCTAACTATTATTTTGCATTACATGACATTTTATTCATGGCTGCCATGCTTAGCAGAACATGTTAGTATATAAGCCTCCACCATTCTTACCTATAGTATAAATATAAAGAGAGGAAGGGAGCTTCTGATACTCAACATTGCATCTTCATATCTTAAGTTTGTGACCAAAGAATTCAGACTGATTTAAAGCAGTATTTGTTTTCAAATACATGCTGCCTTTACAAACAGGAAAAGAACTTCCAATAAAAGATTCAAGAGACAATACTGAGTTCTAATAAATAAACAGAGCTCCATCTTTTAAACAAAAATGATATCAAACCCACAATTTCCAAAATATCTATAGTCCTTTACGATAAACATTTCCAAGAAACTATAATCAATATGTATGAGCAATTATTTTGAAAATCATGGGTTTTTATCACCAAAGGGCGAATGTAACATACTCTGCACCGTTGGTACTATTTGGTACTTGGGGAAGAAAACCCTAGATATTCTATAAAGGAGCGCCGTTTACTAGGCGTTCTGTTGAGGTTCGTAGATAATGAGGGGTCAGGAATTGCACTGCCATTGGCTGTTGTACTGTAGAAATATAAAACAACAATGATTGTTAAATAATGGATATTGTAACATACAAATCAATGTGTTACTAAACGGCTAAGTACAGAGCCTTAATTTTATGATTATATTTAGTCTGGTGATATTCAAATTATTAAAATAAGCAAGAAAATACTTATGCAAAAGTGTAACATATTATCACAATCTGATTGATAGTACACAATTGTTCAAGGCAGTACAACTCAAACCAAATCATAACAATATTAGTCCCTTATACTAAATAGAAACGTGCCATGAACAGAAATTCAAGAAGGAATATTTCACAAACATGCAGGGTTTTGTAAAACACATTCCAAGTAAATTATAATAAATGAAAAAATAATAGTACTAAACAATAAAAATAATAATTTTATCTTTTAAATGAAGCTACGTTATAAAATCATGTCACAGCTTTTCTTTCAAGCTGATCACTCAATGCAAAATGTCAGAAGTTCAGAATATATTGTTTTAAGCATTATGGCAATCGTGGTAAATAATAGAATCATTCCATTATGCAAAATGCATTCATGAGCATCAGGTATAGTGGGTAAAGGATACCTGCTCCTCTATGGCTGTACATGTTGGTGAGTATAAATGAGCATGAATGAAATGTTCTTGTAATTATGATAGGTTGGGTTCCACATATGGTTATTGAAACGCAGTATTCAGGTATTGATGACTTTTTAATATAGTTTTCAGCTATAAGCATATTTAATTATTCATCTTTGCATATATGTTGAATGTAGGCATTACTGAATGACCATGCTTGAATGTATGAATAGAGGGATGCATGAATGGATGAATAAAACAATATCTAGCATGAGCTGTGGATTGTGCTATAATCATGAAAGCAATTCATCTCAGTATTACACTTCACAGTTTTTCATCAAATATCCGAAGAAATTTTTTAAATACTCACATTGGTAACAAAAAATCTCAGAGAAGCAATAGCTTAAATTGTTGGGTTGTGTTACAGTGTAATTAAACAGGGATGTGTCAGATAGTGCACAGAACAATATGTTTAATAAACATGAAATACACAAATGAATGCAATGAAACAAATTTGTATTTACCTGGGTGATTCCATGGGGCTTGCTGACCCAGATTTGGTTCTTGGCTGCTCCTTTACAAAATTCCGACATGATGCCAACTTTGATTCTAAAGCCTGAAAGAATAATGTACATGTATTTGCATTATTTTACTTTACAAGGCCTACATTTGATAATTTTTGCTTTGCAAGTGTTTGAAACGAAGTTTGATTGAGTCAATGTAAGGCACTCATCTTGTATGTTTGCATTTTCAAAAATGGGAGTTCCAATAGTTGAGTGAATGAATCGTGTGTAAAATCAAACTTTTGAAATAACCATTAGCTAATACACTGACAGATTTAAATAAAACAGACTTGCTTGAAACCCTTGCATTACCCCTCACTCTTTTTAAAGCACATGAAATATATGGAAGTAAATTAATGACAATATTGTCTTTAAATCTTTGGCAACATCATTAGGAGGTAAATGGAACTTACTCCAACTTTTCTAAGTAGATCACCAACTATATTGAGAGCAGATATTCTGGCTGAGGGTGTCAATGGTGTCCCAGTTCCTCCTATTAAACTAGGCTGAGATTGAGAGGGTGCTAAAATGTAAAGAAATGTATACCACACTTGGTACTGCATGGTTTGATTCACACACACTGTACAGTATCAGATTTCATACTGTGTACTTTACTTTAAATCAATGGTTACTCATTGTCCAATAAATATTTCAATACATATTGTATTAACAAAATGTCTCAATTTAAGAAGACAATATCCAATGTTACAGTTCTATAATTTGTAATTAAAAATACTTTGCTTTCTTTTTTAACTCACAGCTATACTATTGCTTTACTGTGAGATTTTCAGGAAAACCAAGATAATTTATGATTTTACTAGAAATTAATACAAATATGCTTACTTCTAGGAGTGCTAGGTGCTGTTCCAACAGGAGTAGATGGTGGGCTCATCCTTTCTAACTTAACATGTTTCATTTCCTCATTTAATTTATTAGAGTCTATAATGTCTTTTTGTATAACAACTTCACTTTTTAAAACAGGAGGTTTTGGCTCACTGGGAGACTTATGGATCTCAGTAACATCTAGTTCTTGCCTCAGATCTGAAACATATCACTAAGATGAACTTGCATGGAATATTACATGGATAGGAGGTTGTGACAAGTGCTAGCCTAAAGCCCATTTTAGGCTAGCATAAATTTTAGTATTTTAAGAGTTTTTACTAATTTCATGTATCTTTTCATTTAGTGGTCCAATTTTCAGATATTCAAAAGTTCATTCACTTCAATCGATGGCCCCTGACTTCTAAAATTCTACTACACATTCAAGTGTGTAGTGCTTTCTACTTGGATTACATACCTCTTGCTTCATCTTTTAACCTCTGCACTGTCACAGAAAGATCTGCTTTTTCATCTAATTCATTTTCTAAAAATGCATTTCTTTCTAAAGCCTGAAAACAAATGAAATACATTTTAGAATTTAAAAATGTTTTACTCATTAAATCTACTTATCTGTTTCATATGCAATGTATTAGAAGAAACAACTTACATTCAAACAAGTGATGCAAAATGGGAATAGAAAATATTTTAAAGTGCACTAAACAGATTAATGTGCAACTGTATACGTATAAAACTAAACTGATATTTCACACTGCATAAGTGTGTTTGCTTTATTTTGAAATTACTCTAAATCATAAATGGGATAAATTATCTTATTGTTGTTACACATACTACACAGTGTAGGCTCTAACTGCTGGTCCAACGGACATTGCCAGCAGACTTGCAAACGGACTGATGAAAATTGAAAAAAAAAACACATTCTGTTTGACCAGTGAGGTTTAGATGTGAATTGTCCAACCACCAGCTTTGTGTCAAGTGTCAGCTTGAAAACGACCAAATGAAAAAAATGTTTGTTCATTGATTTGAACTGTCAGTAAAGGATTAAACTTACATATTTTCCTTCCTTTATCGACAATTATACCAAGACTACGACAAATATTTTTGTTTATTTTATTTTCACGAGTAGAACTGTTCAGCTATGTTAATTTCTTGCCATAGCGAGTGCATATAGTTCGTACGTTACTTACCTACAGTAAGACATATTTATCCCCGGGAATCACACAAGATTCTTTAAATGCCAATATCTTTGCACAGTTTGGGTTAGTTTTGAAATACATTTTCACTTCCATATGACAATAGCAGTGTAACAAAGCTATCCTGTCTGCAGTTGCTTCTAAGGACCATTACTGTACATAGTAACTAGTAAATAGTTACTTTTGAGAGCGAGACTGTTCGACATTTCAGTCATGACAAGTCGTGACAATAGTCAACACCAGGTAGATGAAACTTTCAGCGTTTGCTCATGTTACTTGGTTCTAACTTTCTGTGTTGACAGAGTGAAGCTATTTGGCCCATCTGAGTATTTTGAGGGCAAAACTGACCAATTTCAACAAATCAGTCAAGACTTTGTGCTATTACTACGGATTACTTGTACACGTTTAACTAAATTCTTAAATTTCTTCTTTGATATTGGTTTTGAAATGACCAGTGGATTTTGATACAGACCAGTTGATTTTGAAAAATTGCTGGTCAATATGACCAGTGCATTTTGATACCGATTGACAACTTTTGAATTTTACCAGTCCGTTTGACCAGCAGGGGATACTTCCTTAGGGCCTACACTGATACTACATGCATATTCATACCTGGTTTAATCTCAGTTCAAAGTCTTCTAATGAAGTTACTGTAGCTCTGAAACAAAATAATAATTGTAAGTGAGGGGTCGTGGGTTTGATCCCCACTGGGGTGGACTGACTTTTTAACATCAGCTCTTAGCACGGACATTGAAATCTATTCATCACATTAGGAGTGAGAGATCAAATACAAGTTCATAACATAAATGTCATACCTGTTATCAATTTCTTATAAGTGCATACTGCATAATGTTTTCATGTTAAAACATTTTCTATGCTACTGGTCTGGCAAAATTACATATTCATATACAGGGTGTCAAATGACGTTGTGCCCCCCTTCCACAGCATTAACTAGGAGAAGTACACATACATTATATATATCATTAGAAAGAGCATTCAATTCTGGATAAAATGAACCCTAGATGACTAGGGTCAGATATTGCTACAAAGTTTCATAAGCATTTGAAATGCACCAGTATAGTGCTATTTTTATTGATTTTTAAGAATTCCTGCATAGACCTTTTTGGTATTGGTGAATACCCGAGCAACAACTCTGACTTAAATGCTTCAGTTCAAATCGAGCCCATATTAATGGATAAAAAAGAGCTACTTATGGAACTTGAAGCTGAAGAGAACAGATATTCCATAGATATCCTCCAGGAGAACCTTAAAAAGTATTGAGATCTCTGCTCAAGACATTGCTCTTTTCAATGCCCTTTTAACTTGATATCCAGCCTGACTGGCAGCCGTTTAAAGCTGCAGGAGATGGTCAAACTCTCTTTTAAAAGTTGGTTCAAATTATGTATTATTTTCTATCATCCATCTTCATCTTTTCACACTCTAAGAACAATTTAATGCTCTTTCCAATGGTATATAGTATGCATGTGTACCTCTTCTAGTTTATGCTGGGGATAGGGGGCACAACGCCATTTGACACCCTGTACAAGTACTAAAAGTACTATAGTAAACCAACCTTTTGGCACGTTCTAAGTCATCATTTGACTGCTCTAGCTCTCGTATATACTTGGTGAGTTCATCTTTAAATGCCTTCACTTGTGCAAGTTCATCTTCTAACTCTGTCATAGAGTGATGGTACGTCGATTGAGTGCTGGTTAGTTTATCCTGGAGAAAAATAAAACAAACTGCGCCATTATCATCCATATGATTACTGGATGTATAAGAAATGGAAAATATCAAACAATTCAATATATGGGTTTGTATACGTGTAAAATCAGAGGGTACATTATTCAATGACATTGACATATTTTCAATACTAGGACTACATCTTACACATGTATATTATATAATGGCCATATCCTAAATGGTAGAGACATTTTATGATTAATGAATTGGTTTTGCCTAACAGATCTTCTGATCGGTTTGATTTCTTTTACAATTCATATATCACCCTTGGTGAATTAATCAAAAGGGGTACATGCTACTGACTACAACTTAACATAGATTTGTGCAATAATGTTTTAGGAAAAGCCCCATCTTTGTATGTATAGGACATAGTTCACACTATTCTGATTATTAGTATTAGTATTGATAAGATACAATTGAATTATATTTGTTTTCAAATCAAAGTAAACTTGTTATTATTATAGCAAAGTTTATTAACAAATAAAGGGAGATGATCATACAGAGAACAGATTGGTATTCATAAGGACTTTGCCTTCAAATATAAGATAATATTAAAATTATTTTCAACTATTCCTCTTTTTCTAGCTTTCCATCCTCCGATCACAGGGCTTCAAAATCCAGAATATCTTCTTTCTCTTTACACCCTGCTATAAGCAGTTAGCAATTCCCCGATTAAGAACTCGCAATCTGATTGGCTGTCGCAACACTGCGACAGAAATCATGTATAAGTCATTGCGCATAATTAGATCACGTGATTCAGTTAAATCGGGCGCGTCCAAATTGGTTATAGCAGGGGGAAGAAGGAGGTACGTATTCTGGACACCTGCTTAGGAGGATGCTAGCTTTCATAAGTCAGGATAACACAAAAATACACCTAACATATTATTTTTGTAAAAGTGCTGCCTTCTTAACACATGATATTATTTCCTCTAAAGCTACTACTAAAAATATCATTATTTCAATATTTCCTACATTCTTAGTCACATTTAACCAATTTCATAATATTTTTGTTTCCTGTTTAAATACATTTAGAAATCATAATTTCTTATTAACATTCTATCAAATCTGACAAATATATGATATTCACAGTATGTTTTTTATTTTGTATGTATATCATGAGCTAGCATTCCTCATCTTGAACTACAAATATGTCTAATATCTACATACGTCACAAGTTTTATGAGTGGATTGCTCCTTTTTTTCTCACAAATGTATCAAAACCAAATGTATCAGTCATGCCCTTTCAACAAATTATGCTATTTTTGATGTTTCAGGTAATATATAAACAAAGATATCAACACTTCCAAAACAAATCAAGATTCTGCAAGAAGCTTTATATTTTGCCTTGAATGATTATTACACACATATACAAGCTGACATGTATAAATTCTATAGACTAAAGGATCTTAGTTCCAAGTTATTCTGCAAGGGTATCAGAATCCCAACTTCCAACGTGGAACTAGAACTAGCATATAGGATGATTTGCGTCATGTCTGTATCTTTATAAATAACTGATGTGTAAGGAAAATATCTCAAACGCTTTCCTATTTGCTTCTGCTATATGATACCAAACCTTACAGAGAATACAGGCCAGATAATATAGTACAGTTTACATGCATATCCCCTTGCTCTTTTTAGAGATTTAATTCAATGGACGCAGGCTAACAGTACAGAATGATTCTATAGCAGAAAATATGTTCACTTGTTAGTTATACTGACTTTTGATTAATTTTCAATTCATAACAAATATTTGTAACTGTCTGACATAATGATACGGAGCACCTCTTATGTAATCATGATTCAGAATACAAGTACAGTAGAACATATGTAAGTAAAATGCCCTTGGGACCACAAAAAGTGTTCCACTTGTGAGGTGTTCTACTTACAGAGGTGTTCCACTTAGCAGTTTCTATTGTACATGTGAACTATTAGATATGTATATACAAAAATGAAACATGATAAGTGACTATGATTCATGTTATTAAAATGTGCTATGAACCTAAAACTTCAAATCTAATAAATAATCATAACCACTTTTTCAAATCAAAAGCACACTACATGTAAAATGAAGAACCAAAAGGATAATCAAATACATAGCTGAACAATCACTTGAACCATCACTCAACAATTAATTTTAAAAGCTATATGTTCAAACATTATACTAACCACAAAACCACCATTCTGATTTATCAGAGCCTCTCTTTATCTTATGCTTGAGAGTATTCCAAGAGATAGCACAGACTCTGGATCCCAAAATGCGAAACTATTGGATTTAACATTATACTACTACAATATTTGCTACACTTAAAAATCAATACCACATTCTCTCAGATAGTTTAACATTGATTATTACCACCTTGCCGGGCCAGTTCTAGGGGTTTTAGTGCTAGTTTAGAAGGCATTGATTTTACTATATCGACCTGAGAAATGTGTGACGTCATAGTGGTGGTCCATATGGACCGGTCTAGAATATATTCTGGACCGGCAATTTTCCCTGGGAAATTAGATATCGATCAATGCGTAAGATTTTCTTGCTGTTTCAGTCCCGGTCGTTAACGGTGGTAATAATACTAATAACGTCATTTCTGCGAGCAATATAGTGAATTATTGGACCGAGGGCCGATATTTCACTATATTGCCCTTAGAAATGACGTTATTGTACTATTCCAGCTCAGATTTGCATATTAATTAGTAGACTTTTAAGTCTGTTGGATCTGTTATGACAGCAATCTATTAACCACAACATTAATTTGTTGTGCCTAAGTTAGATGCATTTATCTTTTCTATGAGTTAAGTTACACATTATCACATAGCACAGATAACTTAAACATATGGTGAATCTTTACATATATCACCTAGTTCAATTCATAACATACCCACAGGGTAAATCAGTATAAAAGGTGTATGTTTACAAAGGTGTACCAGCTTGGACCTATTCAAGCTAAGACATTCCAAACATTTGTACATGACAAAATACTAGGCCACATACTACGCAGTATCTAGTACTTCAGTCAATGTCAAAACATGCAAATGGAGTATCTAAAGTGACATCCTATTTTGTAATGTGAGACTTCATTTTGAGACTTATACTGAACCATGCACAGAAGAAATGACACATAAGTGTTACACTTGCAAGTACTAAGACTTAGAGGGTCATAATAATTCAAGTGTTAATCAAATTATTATTGCAATGTACTTGTTACAATAATTAAAGTTAAATCAAATTTAAAATGAGACAAAAAAATGCCTGAAGTAATCTCTTAGTTGAAGTCATGGTCCAAGTCATAGACAGCAACAAAAGAACATATAATAGTCTATAACATCAACAACAATACAGCAACAACAAATTCATGAACATGTTTTATCATTTAAGGATACCTTGCAATACTTTTCAGTACATGACAACAGTTTTTCCTAAAACCATTGATTCATTGACATAGACAATGCTATTTAAAAATAACATTTTCCAAACTTAAGTCATTGTAATAATTTGGATGTAAGGTCCACTAAAACAAAATATTGAATCTAAATATTGAATAGACTGTTTATCTTTTTCTGCCATAATTAATATATTGCCTCAAGTATGAATGGATCTAATTTTAACCTGCAATGTCAGAATGTCAACAACAGGGTCAGATAACAGGTGTACGGTGGTCATTCACAACATTCATATTTATTGCTAACTGTTTCTACTTATACATGTCACCTTCGAATTTATTACCAGTTTCACTTTTTAAATAGAATTTGTAATATGGCTTATCATACTAATCATGATTAAATGTATTTGAACTTTTGAAAACTAATTCAAGTTTTGAAATTTGATATCAATGTCCTTATGAAGGTTATGAGTTCTTGTACAGTAATTCTAATATTGTTATTAGGTACTGACTAGTTTAAGAAACACTCTTGTAAAGCTACCGTTAATCTACAATACAAGCAACATAAATTCCTGGTTTCAATTGTGTTGGAAACACAAGATTTGCTCTCTATAAATATTCAATTTCTAAAACAAACATTACTATTAATCAAATATACAGCAGGTCATTTCTGAACACAGTATAAAGAACTTGGGCACTTACCTGTAAATTTTCAACCTCATTTTGTAACCTTGAATTCGCTGAGGTCAACTCTTTATTCTTTGATTCTGCTTGGTCAAGCTGCATTTCTAGCTCTTGTTCTAATTCCCGACTGCTTATTTGAAACTCTTCTAGTTCTTCCTTTGTATCTTCCAAACTGAAAATATTTCATAAGTGTCTACATTTTGTACCCTTTGCATTCGTTTGACTTCACTTCTTAAAAGAGAGCTTCGTCTTCACTCTTTCAAACTAAAATAAACCTGTGAACTCACCGCGCCAATCAGTGTTCTTCGGCCAAATTTGACCGACGTTCTATATATGGTCATTCCTTCTGACGTCATCGTTGAGCCCGGAACTGACCAATGACATGCGCATATTTAATTAGAACGCATTTGGCACATGTTTCTTCAAGCTCGCTGATTGGTGGAAGAAAGGTCAGCGCGTAGGTCAAAAGTGATTTATTACCCAAACTGTCACCGGTACCCATCATGAGGGCGGGGCTACTAAACTGTAATATGGTCTCTACTAGGCAGAGTGTAGTTTAACTAGACTCTGCACGCAGGGTATACATTTTGAAAATAAAAGCTTTATATGCAATTAAGTATAATTCTCTAAGGGGCCAGGTCAATATTTCAATGTACATCAAAAAATGCTATTTATTTAGTTTACGGAACAAAAGACTTTGCAAAGGGACTGAAATGAACAGTATAAATAGGGCTTCAGAGCCGAGAGTTTTTGGAACAGAATTTACTTTCAAAATAAGACTGACCACAATACTCTGTATTCAAAGTGAATATGGTAGTCTATATTAAAATGTCAATCAAATCAAACTGAAAGTGGATTCATTTTCATCTCTAAGTTATCACTGTTACCCCTTAAGATGTGCAATTGACTGAATTTTCATGTGTATATATCCTCATAAGATCAAGTTCATGATCTAGTGACAGGGTTTTCACTAGGCTTTTAGATTCTGGAGATTCTCCGGAGTCTAATGACTTTAGACACCTTATGCTCCAGAGTCTAATACTAGTAGCTTTTCCAGAGTGTTTTTCCTGAGTCTAATTTCTTGTGAAAATACATAAAACTTGATACGAACAAGGAATAGGAGTCAGAAACCTTTTAGAAATGTGTATTGTGATTAAAATAGGAAGATAATCTGAAGTGGTATTTTGAAAAGTATACAAAGTAGGATATATCTGATCTCACATGGGGGAGGAGTAGTCACAATACCACAAAAAATCTGGGGTCTAAAAAGGTCCATGTGCAGTTTGACAAGTGATTTTAGACAGTCATATCTTTCACCATGAGTGCTTTCTAGGGATGAATACAGTGTTTTTTTCAAGTGAAGTGCCCATGATGATAAAAATATCAATCAAACAATCCAGAAAATTATGGATTGGGACCCCATGAGTATTCAAAAAGGGGTCTAAAACTCCTTCAAAAGTAGAATGGTATTGAAAGTCTAGTTTTTGAGATATCAATTTTCGTCTCGATGACCAAAATTATGCTGAAAACAATGGATAGCACGAGTTTTCCCTATGGGAAAATAACATGGGATATGTGGTTTTTAACTTCAACACATTTCAATACCAATCTCATTTTCAGAAGTTGTTAATATAGTTTAGAAGAAACTTTCAGTATAGTTAAACTGAGAAAAACAAGATCCTCTTTTTAGAAAATAAGCCTAACATTTTTCAAAAGTGCCAAGGTGGGGTCCTAAACAATAATATTTCAGAGAGTTGGATTGATATTTTATTATCATGGGGACTTCACTTGAAAGAAAACATATTGTTTTAATAAAAAACACTGTATTTATGGCCAGAAAGTACTCATGGTGAAAGATATGACCGTCTAAAATCACTTGCTATACTGCAAATGGACCTTTCCTGGTGAGAACCCGGAGTGAATTTAACCACTCAACTTAAGGGAGTAATTCAAAATACTTGGTGAGAACTCAAACCAGAGTGACTGACATTGATAAACCTATTGCGCATTGCGTTTGCGCATCCCAAATCAGGGGGACAGGCCAAGGAATGCAAGTACACATGAACGTAATCTATATAAAAGTAGTACATTTAGAAGATTGGATTTGTTGATTCGGATATAGAAAGCACAGATTCTGTTAAGGTACACTGTTGAAACTGGCTCACTTTTTGTGTTAATTAATTTCCTACAAGATGAACTGAGTTTGGGGGTATAATCTAAGCTACTTTTGTTTCTAGGTGGTTTTGACTGACCCAGAAGTTGAATTCTAGTCTTGCCTTATTAACAGCGTAAATAGCTCTCTGTAATAAATATTGGGTTTTACATTCAAATTCATATCATTCATATCTGTTATGTTGGGACAATTACTCAGATGCTTGGAGGTAGTTTCCAGTTTCGCCACCAGGTTGCTAATTCCAGGGAAATAACATGGCAGGGTATTACTAGTTCCCTTAAACTTGAACATTCATCAGAATTATTGATTTTCATATTACCCTGATGTGTCTAATACTTATACCATGGGCTTTCAACGAGACAAGAAAAGATATTTCACTTTTTGTGATATTACAACATGGGGTCAATGGGGAGTCTCCCTGACCTTCAGCCCATTTCACTGTTTTATTTCGTCAGTAGAACCCCAAAAATAAGAAATCAGGAGACCATTGTGCAATAATATATGGAAAAGTACACTCATATTGTACATGAATGACATTTGTATATTTCAGATTATCTAGTTTTTTGTGCAATAAGCCTATGCCTTCTTGTATATTAAAGAATATCAGCCATGCTAATCTTTTTGAAAATACTATGGCAGAGAAGCATCAAAATATAAGAGGGCATAACTAAATTTTCATTAAGTTGATGAACACTTAAAACCACATTTCTAGATGTAATTTTACATGTTGATTCCAAATATGACATCAGTTTGCCCGAATTTTGAATTTGACGTAAATCAAGATTATTTCTACTCGCAACTAGGTCTATTGTGCAAGATTTAGGACCATGCCTGAATAAGAACCGTTTTCGAAATGTACATGGACAATCAACAATTCTAGCAATTGGAAACAATCGTACTTACGCTATTTTGAACTCTTCTGCTTGTTTTCTCCAAAACATGATTTCATCTTCAGGAGTTTTGAAACGTTTATCGTCCATCTTCAGTTCTTTAGTTTATCAATTTGGCCTTTCAGTGCTAGATACTCCGATCAATTTGCTAACAGAATCAAAACTGTCATTTCCTGTTACTGAGCCAAGAAGGCTCACCTTTGAATACTCCAACCCTTGAGCTTCAATTTGTTAAAATGTACAGTAAAGGCCTAATCTAGCCTACAATGTCTGAAGTCAAAATCCAAGGCTATTCAAAATGAGTAAAATTTTATGAAAAAACAATCGATTACTGGTAAGGTTAATACATCGTCTTGTTAATATAAATGCAATATTTTGAATATTATAAATACCACCTATGACAATATATTATAATCCGTTCTCCATTCCTTTGAATATTGACATATAATTAAGAAAACTCTCTCCAGTTTTTTTTCGAATTTTTCATTCCGGAAGAGATACTGAAAGTAGTTCTTAAATTCTAAGTTGGAAAAATTAGTCCGCATAAAGTAAATATGCTATTTATAAGATTTTTAAGGTAATTGTGCATTGATGGGGAAATAATCGGATGAAATTCATTATCATAAACTAGCAAAAAATGCAAATAATAGGATAATACTTATCTGACGTCATATGATATATAGAACTATATTATAGCGGAAAGCGTAGCAATAAATTTTAAAAATAGACGTTGCAAGTCTCCGCCATGATGTAAGCTGTCCAGATAAAAACAAACATTTTCCACTGATATTTTCAGGACTGTGAGTGTGTGGGAAAGGAATATGTTTGTGTTGGATGTAGTCTAACATATGAGGAAGAGGTAGGACTAAGTTTTAATGTTTGATCTTCACTCAATTAATACTATTTACAAACATATGTAATAGCAAAATTTATAGTCTGAATATTTTTCGTAACCTATCTTTAGATAACACAAGAGATCATTTTAAAAGAATAAAGCCTCGTGTGAAGGAGATGTTTGCAGTGTTGTAATGAATTGTATTGATAAATAGGAATGCTTACTTTTAACGCAGTTGTAATTTTCCGAACGTCAAAAGTAGAAAAAATCCAAACATTTTACCACCTAGGTCACGGACATCTAATACGTTCTTCGAACGGGAATGATATCAATAACAGGTAGTATGTATCCAACAGACCGAATATAATATTCGGTCTGTTATGATTGATATATTTCCTTTGGAAATCGCGGTGATATTTTTTGCACATAAATTTCTCGTTTATTACAAGAATGTTCACCTTGATATTAAATAATGAAATGTTCAGACTCACCAAATCTTCAGGATGTGTTCATAAGTATATCGCAGAATCAATGTCAAGGATGTTTGAGATCACGAGATCCAAACGAGATATGCAAATTTTTGAACTTTGACAACACATGACCACTTGATTACCTCGGCCTTCTTCATGAACATTTCCGCTCTATTTACTATAAATGAAGAAAATTAATCGGGATAATGATAATAAATGACTAGATCTAATAAATTCCCGCACAAATGGAATTTATCAATACGCTTCCGTAATGTTGCTCCGTCCGCTCCACGTGTTATTGTTTACAAATAGACTGACGTCACTGGCTAAATCTCGTTTATCGTGAGAATTGGCATTGCCAAAATGGCTTGACCTAACCAATGGCGCTACAAGAAGCGTCTGTACATTTTATGAATATCTTCAGTAAGAGGACAATATACCGAAAAAATAATAATGTAAGTTCTTTATAAGGTAATCATTTTATCATTAAACAAACTTATTTGTAACATTTATACAACACCACATTTTACAATAGGTGACTTACAGTCTGAATATTTATTCAGACGAAGGATACAGTCTACAATAACAGGTCTGGCATCCAGATCCAAGTATTTTTCAAGACCGCCGACTCTCATGGGGCTATTTATCCCTATTGACTCAGTTGTTCATATAAATTTACGTACCTTAGATGCTTTGTAATCGACATAGATAGAAAATATTGTTTCCTAAATTGTTCTGAAAAGCGATGATTATTACTAAATGTACTTTGAACAGGTCGACTGACAAAAAAGTCGGTCTTCCGGCACAAGGTCACGTGACCTATTCGGGAGGTCACGGGAGGTTACGAGAACTAAATTCAAATTTCCCAAACAATCATCATTGAACCAATCAAGTCGAGATAAAATTGATGACGTCACCGCCATCGGTCAAGGTCAGGTCAAAAGTCATCCATCTTGCCATTAGCCCAGCGGATTCTTACCAGTCGACAAAAAACGATGAAATCACGTTAAAAATAAAATATACACTTTAAAATTGAGGCTGATTGAATATGACAAGACTCCATTGAATACAGCTGTGCAATTTACAGTCACCAAGATGAGCTAATTTCGGAGAGATTCAGGAATTAAAAAAGGTAACTTCATTTTTTTCATCCAGGTTTCCCAACTTCAAGAATTTGAAATCCCAGAATCTCCTTTCGCCAGAACATTCTCTCTGACTGTGACCTAGGTGTCTCCTTGGGCATCTGGATTTATAATTCCATTTAAACCACGTACATATTTTAAGTATCCTTTGTCATATTAACTTGACATATAATAGACTTGAAATAATAATTCGAAGTCGAGAATATTGCAAAGAAGATTCGAAAATAAAATGTAAAAATGTTATTGTTAGAAAAATGGTAGCCTTGCCCAAGTCGGTCTCTTTTACTTATCTTGATTTCTATTATGACCGCCTTGTACCAAAGAGAAAGCCACATGCTTTACCGACAGTTTGTTGATGTCGGTAAAATTTGACCAATCAACGACGGCCCTGTAGCGTTAGCTCATTGTAATGCACGGTCAAAAACAAGCACACTTTTTACCGGGACTTTTCACGAACGAATCTGAGCACGAATTCATCATAAAATTACAAATATTTTATCAGATAAATATCAATGGGAGTTTAGTGGATGCTGGGGCATCGATCCAGAGACATAATATATGTCTCTCAGTGCTCTCCCCAGGATTTTTTTGTTTGGAGGATTTGTTATTCTTTTAGTGCAAGATTTAAGTATTTTGTAACATTTTGTGCAACATTTTATGATTTGGGAATTTTTTGTGCAACATTTTACAATTTTGGAACTTTTTGTGCAACATTTTAGAATTTCCTCATTTTTTATTGCAACATTAGTGAGGCGCACCAAATTGCATTGAGGAGCATTTTGGTTTTAGAAATACATGGAGGTGCTGCGCCTCAGTGATTTCAATTTGGGGAGAGCACTGTCTCTGATCGATCGGATAACAAAAGGTGAGAAGATTTCAACAATAAACGTTGAAACGATCGCTGAACATGTAGGCTGAGATTCAATCGTCGATCGACGACAACATGACCCGCTACATTGAACTAGGTTTTCGTGCATTTTTATCACGAAATCAGTTTTAAATCAACATTGAATCGCAATTAATTACATAATATATTGTAACTCTAAAGAAACACTCGGTCAGATCATTGAATTTCAAGTCGTAGATGGGAAGTTTGTTTTGTTTATGAAGCTCAATCTGATAACGTTTTGATTGGTCATTCAGCCTGAAGTCACGTGTCGTGTCCACACGATATCTGTCAATCAAAAAGGTTTCGCGATACCCCTGATAGCATAGGTATTATGGAAATCTCGAAACCGTTGAATATTTCAGCATAATAACAGCGGAGATGTATTGGATTGTACAAGGCGGTAATAATTCAAGATCAGATAAGTAAATAAATACCGACTTGGGCAAGGCTAGAAAAATGGGCACCTGGAATTTTGCTCATATGTATGGTCACTTATTTGTAGTAATGACAGACCGTTTATGCTAAAGTGTGCATTTATATTTGAAATACACATATTGTTCTTACTTTAGTTGCTAAAATAGTGAATTTGTAGCATTTTATTGTGAGCAAATATAATGAAATATTATCCTAACAAATGACTTTCTCGACATCGTTCAAAATTTTCAAGAAAAAAATATCATAAACAAACAGAAATATCTACCCCGGATATCTACACAAGTTCCATGAAAATGCTTTATTATGTAATATATCAACACTTGGAAAAATGGTAGCTTTAAATAAAGTAGTAACATATTCCAGTAACGTATTTCTATGGGACACCTAGGTGCCCTAGGTGGTATTTAGTACAACCCCATTTTGAACTGATTAAGATCTTTAAATTGTGTAGGTCTGAGTACCCGGACCTCTTAGAAAACATCCAAACATATCAAAAAGTGAAGATGGGTCAATTTGATTCTCGTTCTCCGAAGATATTAATAGAATAGTTAAATGTTCGGAGTTTTTTTAATGCTGTAGATTGTTCACAATTCTAAATCAAGAAGTCGCTCGTATTTCTGTTGTATTTAGGAAATCATGTTGCCGAAAATCAGTGCACAGTGTTCATGGTGTTGTTGTAAAATTGCGTATATGTCGTTTGAAACCCTCTCTAACGCAATTTTATTTTAAACTTTTGCTTGAGGAATTAACTCATTTTCATCAATTAATATTAACCCATCAGGTTTTCTACTAGTAAACTAACATTTAAACCTCAGTCCATTGTTGTTATCACTTACTACTATACCCAAGTGAGATATGGCTCTTGCCTCAGCACGAGCCAATAAGGAGGAAGGGGTGGGGGAGGGTTACTCACTTCGAGAGCCATGTTAGATTTTGAAACTTATGACTCTCCCACGGAGCAATTGACAGCATAGATCCCAGTTCTTTTGTAGTAGGATCAGTAGCTCAATAAATATTCCTCCAGATGAGACACCAAGAAAATTTTGGAAATGACGATTGTGATTTCCGAAAAATGTGAGACAAATCATACCTCATTTGAAGCGTCTTGTTATTATTTAACTTTCTTAAGAGGCCAAAACAGTGATATTTTTTATCTCTGGGCTCTTGTCTGTCCAAATCTGAGTGGTGCTCCTGTGATTCCAGAAATGTGACGTCAGAATTACAATGATATTTGGATTGGAGACACAAGAGCCGGATCAAATGAAAAATATTTACCATATTAAAAGTCAAATTACTGCGTCCACACTTCACACTTTCTATTTTTCCAAATTTTCTTTTGAAGTTTCCAGACAACACAGGAGCTACAATTGACCTAAATACACACATGCCTTCATACTAAAATTTTGTACCAGAAAAAAATACGTGCAGGTATATCAATGTCCTACATCAGTATCATCCATCTATGCAAGTATTGGAGCGCTGAAGACTTGAAAATTGTTCATCAAGTGAATGTTTTTTCGACCCAATTCCAATATGGCGTTTTGCTGGGTAGTGAGATGCGCAACGAACAAAATGAAATTTGAGAATGAGATTTTTGAAAATTCTGAACATACAGAACAACTTAAGTAATTTGATATTCTGTTTTTTTAGGTGGCAGTTTTGAGCTTTTTGTCCTGAAAACTAGTACCACAATGCCATGTGACACATTCAGGATGAACAAACTCATATTTTTAAAATGATATATACTTAGTTCAACATATTTTTGTATTTTTAGGAAAGAAGAAAGGATGAAAAAGAAGAAGGATCGGAGATATATTTTATTCTACCTATTTACCCATACTTTAATATGTCAGAAGTTAAACATAACCTAAGCCATAACTCCCCTGGTAAGTTTGATTAGAAATGCTTTGATGGAACTAAGAAATTTATACGTTACCTGATATACCTCAGATGTTTTCATGTTTTAAACATGACATGAAGTTGAGAGCCTGTCCTTCACAAAGTTCAAGAAATACTGAGGAACGACCAAGTATTAATACATCAGAAAAATTTATTATTATGATGATCTATTCTAAAGGATGTATTTTGAATTTTCTTAATGTTGAATTGGATTGTATTGAAAGGATGTTAATCTTCACTTCCTTCAATAACTCTATTAGTAGAATGCTCTTTCACTCTTGTTTCTAGGCACTGATACACCACAAGATGACCCCAAACCTATAGGCGTATTCTGGGATATAGAGAATTGTACTGTGCCTAGGGGGAAGTCAGCTCTAAAAGTGGTACAGAGGATCCGAGATTATTTCTTTATTGGTCACAGAGAGGTAGAGTTCATGTGTGTTTGTGATACTTCCAAAGAAAGCAGAGATATCTTACAAGAACTGAATGATGCACAGGTATAATGAGAGATATTGTTTCATTCATAATTATTGTTATGTTATTTATCATGTTATTTCAACAATTGTCCTTCTTAATTCGTGTGGCTTGTCTGGAATTAAATCATCTATTTTGCCTGTGTGACTAATCAAAATGTAGAATATTATTAAAATGTGGGATGTCTTCAGGTGACAGTCGTCCATATCAATGCTACCAGCAAGAATGCAGCTGATGACAAGTTACGACAAAGTTTGAGAAGGTTCTCCAGTTCCTTCCCTCCTCCTGCTACTGTAGTACTGATATCAGGTCAGTTTACAAACTGAGATTTACGCCATTTTGATTTTGTGTTAAAAAGAAGTATATAAATTGTTAAATTAGTCATAAGTTAGAAAGATAGGAAAATGTTTGAATCAATTGTTAATTAAAATATTTTCAGGTGATGTCAACTTTGCATCTGAGTTATCAGATTTACGCCATCGTCACAACTTTGACATAGTTCTTCTCCACCGCCCTTTGACCAGGAAAGCTCTGCTGGCAACAGCACATCATTGTGTTGAATTTGACCAATTTCTAGCTGATCTTCCCCCTAGGACACCTACCAAGGTAAAAGCTTGATTTCAGTCATCTTTGATAACTAGCACTTTCTGGACACATGCAAATAACAGGACCAATATTATAGGAATATTATTCTTCTACTACAACCTTTATTGGCCTAGAAGTTTCTATAATGTTAATTCTTAATGTTAATTCTTATCTAATCTGTGAATGTTATTTGCAACTTTTTCAGTTTTTAGCAAATCCAGTTCAGATTAGTGAGCTGCTAGTTACGTCCCTTCCACAGAATGAACATTACAGTCGCATAAGACGTCGCCTCAATATTCTCTCAGACAACTGTGGTGGTAAAGTTATCAATGTTGGCAAGAAGTCGGCCTTGATCAAGTTTGCCAGCCATGAGGATGCTTGCAGGTAAATATATGCTTCATACAATAAGTGCCTTGAATTCTCATTTGCCCAACTACCCAAAATGGTATTGACCGAAAGCAAACTGTTTCTGGAAGAATAATTCTCAAAAATATAATTTTGGATCTAAATTGACATTTTGATATCATATTAAGCTTGGTAAATCATGTGAATAATGAGGAAGTCGTAACATTTTGGTTGCATATGCAGTTTAAATGTTGTTGGTATGCCTGCTTCATTTTGCGTTGATTTTAACATATTCATTCTATAAAAGGCCTTATATATCAATATAAAGTGTTTTTCACACCTTTTCAAAGCTTTAATACAGCACATTGCCGTGTATCTATGATATTGATCCTTATTAATAATTACCAAGTATGTCTTTTTGTCCACCAAAAAGTGCTGACACATTGTTATGGTTTCCGTTTTTTGTGACAGTGATCTGTGGTTGGAGTTCAATGGGTGTCGGTTGGTGATACGCGGGTGGTGGTTGGCGTCTAACTAATTTATATAACTTCCAATAACTTAACACATACTATAAAGACTGACTTCAGTTTTTTTTTTTAAATCATCTACAAGTTTTCAGAAGTTCAAATCTGACTCTATAAGATTTGACCTTTTGATCTTTTCAAGGTCAGAAAAAGGTAAAAACAAATTCAAAAGGTCTTATTTTTTCAAATTGACCAATTTCTTTTCAAAATCATCTACAAGTTATCAGAAGTTCAAATCTGACTCTAGATTTGATTGACCTTCTCAATATCAAAAAGGTATTTTTTCAACTTGCTTCAAATTGACCAATTTTTTTTCACAATCATCTAGAAATTCTCAAAAGTTCAAAGGATAGGTATCGCTATGGTGAACTGAATTCAACAATGTAATTCTCTTAAACCAATTATTGAAAACATTCTGTAAAAACATGGCCCTTCATGCAATGTTGACTGATGGGCAACAATTTAATGCAAAAATTATTTATATATATATGTTATATAACTGTTAACATTTTTTTGTTTTTTACTGCAATTGTTTCTTGTTCCTTTCTACCAATTCTTGAAAATGAAATAAAATGTCTTTCCGAACATTGTTGGAACAAAATAACAAATACAACATTTTCTTAGACCTCTCAATATTACAGTTATACAAAGGAAATTTTGGTTGATTTTACAAAAAGAATGCAAAAACTTAAAACAAAAACCGTCAAAATAGATAAAAATTAAGATAAACATTTTATTTCATTAATAAGATACTTTTTTAAAATCAACCAAACTTTGCTTTATACAATTACAATATTGAGAGACCTAAACACATTGTGTTTATGTCATTTTGTTCCAATGAGGTTCAGATAGACGTTTCATTTCATTCCGAATATGTGATACCAAGAACAAAAGAAGTGTGTGATGTGTTTTCTAAAACAATATAGAGAAAAGGATATATGTATATTTCAAATTATAATGTTACCATCTAAAAGATGACCATTAAATTGACGATTTGTAAAATTTTCAGAATGTCTTGATGACTGGTTTGAGAGAAACGCGTGTTCAAAAAGTTCACCATATCGATACCACTCCTTTGCCTATAGATTTGAGCCTTTAATTTACATTCTCAAGGTTAAAAAATATTTGACCTTCAATGACCTTTTCACTATGAGTATTACGCCATCAATATCAGTTGGATGGTATGGAGACATTCATTGTGAGATTTGTTTTGAGGAAATCCTAACAATTGCCAAATAATTCCACTTTCGCTATTAGAGCACTTTCACGTTTGATTGGAAAGCATATTTATTGTATTTAATTGATGAAAATGAATCTAATTGATGATATTCTTAAAAAACTCATTTTATTGTTTTCTAAGCCTTTGATTTAGATAGCTAATCCATCCTTTAACCCACCCTGAATATGATCTAGATTTTTTTTTTAAAATACATTTTTCAACCAGATCATCTCCCATATTAGTTTCCCCAAAACATATTTTTGACAAAAAATATTTTGACACCTAATTTTTATTGATAGTTAATCATGATTTCTAACTTTTAATTGGTTAACATAGCTATATTCCCATATAGTCTAGTCATCCCAAAGTGAATCTGTATCATTTTAATTTAAATTTTGGAAATGTACTTGTTCAGAACCGTTTATTAGTTTTGTACATGTATGGTGAAATATTTAGAATCCAGAATTACTTGGGGTTAGCTGAAATCAAAGATTTATTGATATCAAAATTGAATGATACAAACTCCAGTAAACATCATCTAATGCACCAGTGATTTATCATCGAACCCAATGTAATCTCTAGCCATTGGTTTGTTAGCGAAGTGTGCAAACTGCAACCAGGCTACTCATGACTCTGGGTCTTATTTGTTACAGTTTGTTATTCTGTGGCCAGTTAATTGTAGCAACAATAGGAGTCTGGTTATGTTATTATTTCCTTGTGGTTATTTTTAAATCCATTGCTCTGTTCTGTACATTAGCTAGAATATCACATAATACTGAGTAGAGGGACTAATTTGTGTAAACATCACTCACATCATTCAAAACATATATACTTATGTTTAGCCCTTACAAATTAGAAGACTATTTCCATCAGGAATTTGTTCTTTGTGAGGATTGAAACTCAACAAGTTTGATTCTGAAAAGTACAGACAGATATTTGTATTTCATGTACATGAACTTGTTTATGAAAAGTTGCATTTGATAATTTTACTTTTGAGAAAACATCATTTTCTGTTGGGTGTATTACATTTTAAAAAGGGTTTGCAAACAATTAGTTTGACAAAATCTAAACCAAGGGTATGGTCAATTTGCCTCAAAAATTGAAAAATATCATCACATGATCATATTCACCAATGAGATTGAACTATTTATGTCACATGATCATCGAACTTGTATTCAGTGAAATGACATATAAAAGCAGTCCATTTGGGAAAACATGCACTGGAGGAGTTTGTGATCTGGTATAAAAAGAGTTTATATCAATTGTCTTGATATAAAGAGAATTTATATCAATTTTAGTGAACTTGGAGACCTGTATCTTACTAAGCCAGCAGAAAAGGCATGTATATACAATATAAATATATTATATGATTTTTTCATCGCAGTCTGTCCACTTACAGCTTGAAACTCTTTACAGATATTGCTGGTGGCACATGCCATGCATTCTTTTTTTGTTCATATTTATTTGCAGGAACTTAGAATTATCTTTGTTTTGGAACATGTTCACTTCACTGTACAGTCCAAATAACATACCTTACATAGTACTGTATCACCCTGTAAACATCATTTCTGAAGGATAAGGTCTTCATTTTTATAACTGAAATGCTCTATATTCTGTAGAAATGTTAACAGTTTGCTGAAGAATGATATATACCAATATATGCAAAGAAACTACAATCATCCTTCAATTTCCTTGAAAACTTTGGCCCTGAAAAATAAGAAATTTATAGTTTATATGATATTCACCATGTGTTATCTTACGAGTATGCAATATTATCTTTGATGCCCTAGGTTATATTGTGAGACTCCGCCAAACACAACAGTGAAGACATTATTCACAGGAAAGAAAATAAAATCTAAAAGGTCTTTCCAGTATCAAATTCCGGTATTGCATAAAAAACGAACATTGTGATGTTCTAATTTTAGTTTGTTGTTTTTGACAAGTTTATGTTTACCATTTTAATTTAGGCTACAGTCCTATTCAAATTCTATCTAGCACTTTGAATTCAAATAATAAGCAATCAAATGACCATATTCCAACAGTTTATGAAAAAAAGAAACATATGTACAAGACCTAACTTTTGTTTCAATTTCTTTTCTACATCCGGCATACTGATAATGCAATCGCTTTGAGAACGAAGATGAAGAAATTTACGGACAAGCATTACCATATACATTTGGGGACATAAATAAATGACAGGTGGATTTCCTGAAGTGAGGATTTCCCATGTTAAAAATAAGAGAATTTACAAGAGGCCATACATCAGTGGATGAGATTATACAAAATGTAAAATATACAAATTTTAAGGTAACTTATAACTTAATCAAAAAATCCAAGATGGCCGAAACCAGGAAGCACATGGCATTTGAATATAATCTGACCATAAAAATTAACTGTCTTTTGGTTGGATTTTCTCTCAATTTTTTAGTTACACTTATCATTTATATAACAAGGCTCACTGTGGTAATGCAAATAGAAACAGTAAACATTTTGGAATGGGAATTTGAGTCCTCTGAAAATGTGACAGAAAAATTGACAAAAAGAGTAGCACGGCAAAGGTCCCTGAACATTTTTTTTTCTAATTTCTCTGAAACATCCCTTTAATATAGCCCAAAATGGAAGGAGCTTTAGAATTTTGAAATCTCTCATACAAATTAAAAAAAATAGAAAAAAAAACAATTTGAGAAGTGTACTTTTTTCCTTATTTTGATCCCAATTTTTTTATCGGGTAATTTTTCAAATTTCCGTTGCTCCTTCGTTTTTGATATATGTTTGAAGTATATTTTCTGAAATGTTCAGATATTTCGAATCAGCGGTTTTTCACGGGCTACTCCTAGAAAAAAATCTTCTCAAATTCTTTAAACGGCACTTTTTTTCTCAAACTAAAGTTTTTTGTTGTTCTTTGAAGTCTTTGTAATGATTACAGTGCACAAGCATATGCACAAGCATATGTGAAATAATAAAAACGACTTCTCAGGAAGAGTTTGAAAATTTCAAGATTGTGAAATGTTCAATTTTTTCTGAAAATCGATTAAGTTAACAGTCACCTTAAGGGTAAATTTTATCTAGACAATATTGGAAATTATGGGCTTTCAGACCACCATAATTAGGAAATGGTGATCGAAAATCGACCTGTCATTTATTTTTGTCCCCAACTGTACCTGAAATCGCGAGTCCATTTATAACACTTTTCAATGCAAAGAAGTGTAATCGATGTACGAGGTATTTAAGGTGCTATGGAAGTTACCAGGAAATGACAAAACAAAAAATGTCAAAACCATGCTGGATTTTGAAAACTTTTTGAACCAAAATAACGGAGTTCTCTTTGGACCTCCAGTCAGTTTAACTAGTTCCACATATCATTTACATGACTGGGAACACAATGAAAATGGTCAGAATGACCATAAACATGATGAAATAACCTTTTCAGCCCTCTGAAAATGTGACTGAAAAATAGCTAAGAGTAGGTGCTTAGGAAAGGTCACTGAACAGAATCTTTTGACTTTTTCAGAAAATATGCCCAATATATTGCTCTAAATGATATCATTCTTAGAAAAAGAAAAAAATGAATTTAAAATCGATCTATTTTCCTTTTAACTACAGCCATTATTGTTTCAGACGATTTTTTAAGATTTCAAAGATTGTATCATTTAGAGCAATATGTTAGACACATTTCCTGAAAAAATCAAAAGATTCTGTTCATTTACCTTTCCTGAACACGTACTTTTAGCTATTTTTCAGTCACATTTTCAGAGGGCTGAAAAGGTTATTTCATCATGTTTATGGTCATTCTGACCATTTTCATTGTGTTCCCGGTCATGTAAATGATATGTGGAACTAGTTAAACTGACTGGAGGTTCAAACAGAACTTTATCTTGGTTCAAAAAAATTTCAAAATCCAGTATGGTTTTTTTGTTTTGTCATTTCCTGTTAACTTCCATAGCACCATAAGTGAAAATATTTATTGCACTTGGAAATTGGAGGTGTTCCTCACTATCTATACACATTTTTATGCATTTTAGGTAAGGAATTTATGTACCAATACCGTTCCAATATTAACCCTTTCTGTCCCGTGTCCCAAACCGAAGCATCTTGACCAAATTCGGTCCAATATCGGGAAACCGTGACACCTCTATAAATGATATGTGAAACTAGTTATACTGATTGGAGGTCAAAACTGAACTCTGTTATCTTGGTTCAAAAATGTTTAAAATCCATCATGGTTTTGCCACTTGCTGCATGTCATTTCCTGTTAAGTACCATGACACCTTAAGAGAAACATGTGTTCAATTCAGTTCGCCATATTGATACCAATCCTTATTTCTCAGAGCCAGATTGTACATTATGTTTCCCCTTGTAAGCGACCTTAATCCACTCTGGCACACAATTGTGAATTATATTTATGAATTATATTTTTTCTACTATCTTATAGGATCAAATCTATCTTTTCAGGGCAAGGAAAAGGATGAGTGGGGAGGATGTTTATGGAGAAAAGATCAAGGTAGACTTTCCTAAGGGGCACAACAAGCCACCTGGTCTCCCCGTCAGTGGTCCTGTAAATGATGTCAAGACTGAACATATAGAGTGTGCCACTCCAAGTAAGCATTATGTACTTTTATAACATGGAAATTTGTGATATTTTCTACTTATTGCCTACTGTCTGTCAACATATTGGTGGTACATTGAACAAAAACACAATAAACAAAACAGTCTCCTTTGGAACCTCCATTGAAATCCATTCTGACAACCCTGAATTTTGTCTCAAATGACCACCATTTGCACCTTGCGTGCTATAATGTGTGGCTGATGGGCAGGTTGATGTCTCTCTTAATTTTGTCTGGTTTTCAGGCGAACCATTAGAGGGATTGATTTCAAATTTTCAAATTTATCAATGATTTAATTCTGCTGGGATAGCCAAACCTTTTTGTGCCTAGCCCTAAGGTATTTATTTCTCGATTTGATACCCGATCTTAAGTTTATATTACAATTCGACCATGAAAATTCACTAAAATTTTGCGAAATCGGCACTTTATTTCCAACTTCAGGTGCACCAAACGAAACACATAGTACAAACCAAGTGTTGTATCGACGAATAAATACGGGGTAAAATATTGATTTTGTTGACAGTTTAAAGAAGGCATGAATACAGTCCTGTTTGACTTTTTTTCGCACCTTTAGGGCTATATTGGGGTAATAATCAGTTTGTTTTTATTGTATACCAGTTGTGTATTTATTTCAATGCTTGTTTTTAGAGACCCCTGAATTAGTGAGAAAACCCAGAGCCATCCTTGCTAAAGCAGCGAGTCCCTACCAAGGTTACCAACAGAAATCCACATCCCCATTATCATTTCGCAGCAGTCCTAGGCACTACAACAGCAGTCCCAGGCAGCGTGTAGGCAGCCCAGCTTCAAACCAGCATATTCATTATTATAATCGCACCAGCCCAAATATGTATAATCGCATGTCCCAGGGTCATAGGTCATACCCTGAACAGAGATGCTATACTGATGCCTTTAGCTACAGCACCAAGTCAACTGCAAGACCATATAATACAGGATATGGGAGTGCTGCCTCTAACAATACACTTAACACAGATGCTGAAATTGAAAATTTGAAAGGTGTTGTGAATAAATTTACGAAAGAGAGTAAATCAAGCAAAAATCTTGTGTCGCTCCAGCAACAAATCTATCAGGAGGACCAGTATAAGAATGCAGAACTTGCAGCCAGTCACAACCCAGATGCTTATACTGTAGCCAATCAGAAGCCAGATCCTAATGCCGTAACCAATCAGAACCTAGATGCTATTGCTTTAGCCAATCAGAACCAAGATGCTCATGAATTGGCTAATATCAACATGGGGGCATCAGCAATATACCCTCCTAAACATGTTAAATTCAGCTATGAGAAAACTGGCTGGAGTCCAGGCTATAAGACACCTCAGTATCAACCTAGTCCATATCAACACCCACATGTCCATAGGGGAGGATTTCGGAAAAGTCCTGGAGCTACACGTCCTAGATCTGCTACTGGATACAGGTACTCTCCCCAGCCCCAATATCAGCCAAATGGATGCTATATGAACCCTGCTGGTGAGGTGGTGGATTATAATGGCTATCAGCGGAGCAATAGCTGTGAGGCTTTATTTCAACCTATCAGAGCAAACTCTCCTATGTCATCCAGCAGAGCCTCATCAGGTAATCTTTCATTGCATTGTCTTTGCTAGGGATGTGGAAGTTTCCAAAATTTTGAATAAGCTGAGACCATTTTTCTTAAAAAAAAAGTAAACCATTGTCTTGTTGACCAAAATGTATCTACTCCAAGAAGAAAAGGTTTGTTCAAATTTAACTTGTCTATGTAATTATTGTCGTAGAGAGCCCTCAAGTTGTTCTGGAAGAAGGGATGGTAGATCTCATGGTCTCTAACCTGGACTATAACATCAGTGCCAGGGAGTGGAAGAAAATACTGTATACTACATTTCAACAGCAGGTTCAGGTATATGCTAATCACTACTATAGATCGGAAAATTAAAACAAGAAATGTTCTAATTGCATGTTGAAATGAGAACACTACATTGTACTGTATATAGAAGTAATGAACTGTAATACATACCACCAAAGGATATTGTTGCTTTGTTTGACTGTTGAATAATGCATAATGACCTTTATTATTATATTGTGGTATGGTTATAATTTTAATAACTGAAAATTTCAGACCTACTGGCTTGCTCTTATAGACCTCTATAATGAAGTCCATTAATACTGACTTTCCAGGTGCTAAACATAGTTATCCAGCCACAGCCAGACAACACAAACATTGCCGTAGTCCAAGTGCCAAGTCTCGATGAGGCTAGGTTCACTATCTCTCAGTTCCATCGCAAGAAGATTGGCTACAAGCGCATCCATGTCTCATTGATGACAACTGATGTCACAACATCTACTGCAAACATAAGGTAGTTCACATTATTTTGTGAGTGAATAGAATACTTTCATTCATCAAACCATGCAATAACTCAAATATTGTTGACCTAACTATGTTTATGTTTTATACACATATGCCCTAAGTGAGTACAAGATCTGCTCCCAAGTTGATTTGTAATTGCTTCTGGTTTCTAAATAGTTGCCATTTTGCAACACTTTTGTTAAGATTTATAAAATTGTAAAATATGATACTGCATCTGTAGTATTAGAATTTTTTTTCCATTTTTCAGAAATGAAGTTTATGCATTGTTAAGTGATGTCCGAGACAATACATTGCCGCTTTTTAAGTTCATTGAGTTATTTGAAAAAAGGTAAGAAAGCTTTGATCTAAATCTCTAATTGCTCATGTCATTTTCATGTCGCCATCCAATTATTTCACCACCATTACTCTGCCTTATGACAGTTTGGCACATTTTTATGTGTGTCATTTTTCAATTTTTGCTCTTACTGGAAAGTGTGAAGAGATTTGTTGAAATTTTGTATGTGAATGTATTACTTCATGTTTTTGCTCGAACTGGAAAAGTAACAGAGTGATTTTGATAATTTCTTTTATGTTAAATACCTATCATTGCCATTTTGAGACATGATTTCTAACAGTGTTAGCTGACACTGAGCAGATGTTAGATGGGATTTGCTATGCCTTGGCGTTGCCGTTATCTAGTTGCACATTGGTGTAAATACATGTACTACATTCTTAATGATCAGGGATATACAATTTGCCCAGTCCATCCATATACAAAGGTCAGTAATGTTATCTTACTGCAGGTACCATCAGACAATCAGTGTGTCTGAATTGTACAAGATGAGGGATTTAGTGGAGATAAAGGATGAATCTGGGGCTGGCAGGATGGTGTGTCTTGCACTGGGAGTGCTTCTACCTAATAGGAACTCAGGCTCCCCTGCAGATATGGAGGTCAGTGGAGTTTTAGGAAAACATGAGTGTTTAATTGTTATCAGAGATGATTAGAAAAGTTGTGAGAGAATATCTAAGATTTAGTATTTGAGTATAGCATTTTGAGTATAGCATTTTGAGATTATGTTATTTGGGCTTACTATTCTGAGATTTTGTATTTTAACACACCAATGATATCTAAAATGAAATCTGTTATTTATGTTGTTGTTTAACTAGGTTCAGGAAATCATGGAGTCCCCTGTGTGCAAGGTACACTGTATTGAGGGTACAGATAGCTACATGGCTTCCATGGAGTCAGCTAGTCTGCCCAATGTAATGCTGTCATTGAAGGGATTTGCACCCCAGGTCCACACCCTACTACTTAGCCATGATGGAAACATGCCCCTCATGAGGTACCATATACATCTTTTGTATACATTGTATATAGTCACCATTTGTGAAAGTAAAGTCTAGTACATGTAATTTGAATGCAGTATATCTTAGATTTGCAGTTGATTTTGCATTCATTACTCTTGTGGCTGTTTATCTGTATTCATCTGGTATATTGTGCCATAGTTCTTATTTATATATATTATATTGCTTATGTTATGCACTTCACTCCAGTTTCCCAGTGTGCTATGAGGCAGAATTTGGCGTTTCCATCCAGGAGAAGTCAATGGGTGCCCCTCTAGAACACCTCATAGCCTCTATCCCTGGTATACAGATATCTCTCTCAAAATGTGGCATAAAGAAAGTTCAATGGGCAGAAAATAAACCTCCTCAAACTATTGGTGAGTTAAATTACTAGTATTGGTTCTTGGTGCAATTTAAAATTCTCATGAAAGCTTTTGAATGATGTTTAGTCAGTTGTAGTAAAACCCAAAACCATAGATTGTGTTGATATGAAATTAAATGATTTTATCGCAGAGTTTGGAAGGTTTTGTTCCACACCATTGATGACCCAGCAATTGATGCAACTGAGTCGAGAAGTCGTAGACCTACTGAAGAATAGCCCTAACTGTCGCATGCCATTCAGCAAGTTCATCCCCTCATATCATCATCATTTTGGTCGACAGTGTCGTGTAGCAGATTATGGATACACAAAACTACTGGAGCTTTTTGAGGCAATACCCCATGTTATTCAGGTAGGAGTACAATCACTTAGTGAGTTGTAATGTATCTGATGTCATTGAGTTATAGCCATACTCCAAGGTTTCTTCCTTGTTAATTGTAGAATCCAAGTAATAAAGTATGAGCAATAGGCCTTATATCATTTGAATAGTTTGACAAATCAAGAGCGGGAAAGTAAAAAAAGGAGAAAGTAAATATTTAATACTCAAATCTGTGTTCTATTTCAGTGTTTCTGTGTCACCACCACAAGTGGTGACAATTTGTTATATTTTCCAACTTTTTTGTGGACGTTGGTATTCAGCATATGGCTGTCAATGTTCAGCATCTTACAAATGGCAGGTCGTGACATTTTGCATGTTCTTTTAACACACCTATACAAATGTTTCCAGATAATGGGCAGTGGTAATAGACGCATAGTAACCCTCACAAACAAAGCTCAGGTGAAGAGGTTCACCTCTGATATTCTTCGCATCCTAAAGTCTCAAGCTAGCAAGCAAATCACATTTTCAGAGCTACCCCTAATATACAGTAAGTAGTTATTCAAACTGAGCTGTAAATGACCTTGTTAAATCTCTTTTTACTTTAACACTTCAATACTTCATTGCCTTACTTTAAACCAGAATGTTTTCTTTCAAAATTGACTTGACTCAAAATTTTTCACTCCTTCACTTCAATTTCAGCTTCTCTATTCATATCCTATCATCACACATTCTTTAATATTCAGAATAACTTCTTACTCATTCCATGAACATAACTTTTAGCATACATGTCACGGTGAAAACTGTTTGGAAGATGCAGGATGAGGTTTGTTCCTGAATAAAACCTGACGACTACTCATATACTCTAGACATATACATATATCCTTTGGATAACAACAATATATAATCTTCAGTTCACATTTAGATCACAGTTATGTATTGTTTTGTTATAGATAAGGTGATAGGTAAGGATTTTGACATCACAGACTATGGAATGTGTTACCTGGAAGATATGCTAACACAACTTCCTGATACAACTATTATGGTGAGTGTTTATATTACATATTGTCCAACCAGTATCTGCATATATAACAAATAAATCATGAATGTAAAGAAACAATGCTAGCAACTTAAAAATGATGGGCCATCTTATTATTTGCAGGTATCTGGTTCAGGCCACAACCTTGAGATTGCCCTTCCCAGACGTGACCAAACCCCTGATGAGATAGAGAGAACTCAGCAGTTTGGCCTAGAGGTGGTTGATTTGTTGCGTCATAGCCCGCAGTGTAGAATGCAGTTCAACAAATTCATCCCTGCCTACCACCACCATTTTGGCCGGCAGTGTAGAGTTTCTGATTATGGCTTTACCAAACTTTTGGAACTATTTGAAGCTATACCTGAAGTTTTGCAAGTATGTTAAATTTATCATTGTAATTCTGGTCTTGTCGCGTATAGGGATATAAATAGTGAAATACATTTAATAGTTCATTTTCCACATTAGTTCACTTTCCACATATCATCGGGACATTCCTTATCATTTAAGATCCAGAGCCATTTTGATTCTGGAACGATGTAAACATTGCAACTACAGAAAATCAAAATTAGACCCAAACTAACAGTTCAGTACCTTCACGATTAATCAAAATCAAAATGTAGTGACCCGTGATGCACCATATTTCCAAACATTCAAGAATTTATTCATACTAAATTTGTCTGATTTTTTCATTCAAACTGAAGAATCGTCTGCATGTAGTCAATTAGATGAAGTTTAAACCACTTGATTGTTCATTTCTATACATTACAAAGCGTTGCGCTTTTAATTAACATTACACTCATTAGATATTAAAAATAGCTTTGGCTAGAGGTCGCATCTCGTTTATTAATTATTAAGGACAGGACCCATTGAATTACATCAGATAATTTTCCAGTAGTGTAAGTTTACGCATCATTTATGAACATCGGTAATAAAGTATCCCTACAGATGCATGTCTGAGTTGATTTGGATTACTAGTACATAAAATCGTAAAGACTGAGAATTAATGATATGTTGAAAAATCTTTCGATTGATTGAATGCATTAATTTTCACCATTACAGGGCGTTCAGTAAGTAAAGCTAATTTTGCTCTCAAACTTTTATTTTTTGTCACTTATCTTTCAAATTTTCAGTGAAGAAGCATTTGACATTTTTCTAACTACCCTGAAAAATTAAATAAGATATGATGAATAATAGCAAAACAATGGTTGTCATAGTAACGTGAATACGGGTTCTGCGGAGCAATTTCTTACTTTAATAAAAATGTTATAATGCAATGAATTGATTAAGATTAATGCTGCATATGTCTTTGTTTGCTATGGCTGAAAGTCACGACAAACATAACAACAACATACACAAATATCATACCATGGCAACAGTAGTCTATGACATCACAGACAGATGATACAACAGATGGAATGATCCAGAATGATCCATCAGACACTGCTCCATGACATCATCAAAATCATGGCTGCCAGGATTGCCAATGGAAGCAAAATGAACAATAAAATGAAACAACAATTGAGAAGTAGCATCAGATACAATGTGTTGCTAGGGAAATCCAAGCAGGATACCATTAGGGATATCCAAAAAGCATATGGGGACAGTGTGCCTCAATACACAATCTGCAAATGGTATCAGAAATTCCAAAAGGGGTATTTTCATGTTTGAAAAATGATCTGCGTGGTAAGATCCACGCAAATATCCATGAGCTTCAGAATGCCGTTCAACGTTTGCTGACAAAGAACTTTCCAGATGGCTTCCACAGGATATATCAGAAGTGGATAGAACGACATCAGCTATGTGTGGAAGCTAAGGGGAACTACTTTGAACATGAAATAGAATGCTAACTTGAAAGCAGAAATATGGAGTAGCCACAGAACTATGGTTGAAATATAGACAGGACAGAAACTAATGTTAACAAAATCTACTATGCTGTGAACTTATAAAATTGCTCCGCAGAACCCGTATTCGCGTTACTATGACAACCACCATTTTGCTGTTATTCATTATATCTTGATCATTTTTTCAGGATAGTTAGAAAAGTGTCTGATGCTTCTCCACTGAAAATTTGAACGATGATAGACAAGAAATGAAAGTTTGAGAGCAAAATTAGCTTTACTTACTGAACGCCCTGTAAAACCTCTATGTGAGGAGCCTCGAAATGTGGCCTGAAATGGTATGAACTAATGCATGGAACCTATCGAACATTGAACATTTTTTAACCTGTAATGATGTTTAAGAAGGTTTTCACTGTATTGACGACCTTGCCAGAATGATTTTGTCTCTCCTAAACACTACACACATATTCACTCACTCATATTCTACTCGCATTCGAAAATAGCGTTCGATTTTCGTAATGCTAAAAGCTACACTCTGTAGTAATATGTAGAAATAATTTATATTCTAATTCATTACACTCAAACGAATATAAATAAAACATATAAGTATATACAGTACTTGTATAAGCTTTGACCAGAGAATTATGAGCAACATTTTAAAAACAAAAACAAAACTGAACTTAATTGTTGCATTACTATTATTTTATGTTTTTTGTATATAATTAAACAAAAACTTAGAAATTCAATTTTATACCAACCAGTCACTTGTTTATAATTGCTTAAAGTTGATTTTAAAGTCATTTGAACAATACTTTTTGTTGACTAGTATTAAATGTATGTCATGTAAATTTGCTAGTGTTCAGTACTATAGCATAACTCGCTGGGATTAGCTCAGGATTGTGATTGGAGTGAGCAGCAATTTTTTTAGACAAAAAATCCCCCAGTTGAAAATATTCCTGCTGAGAACACTGTAGACCGTACCATAGTTTCATAAGTTCTCTAAATTGGTATACTGGTACATTGGTATATTACTAATGCATAATGTTTTAACTATTGTATATTTCTAGATGATAGATGAAGATGATGATAAAATGCTCTGCCTCACAGAAGATGAACTCATCAAAGTTTTGGTTGGTCAAGTTTCAAAACTTCTGCAGTCGTGTCCTAACAGGAGAATCCCTGTATGTGAATTCATGGCTGCCTTTATGAAGTTCTTTGGCCACAGCATCTGCTTGGCCGACTATGGTGTCACTAACATCATCAGCCTTCTAGAGAAAATTGATAGTATAACAAATGTATGTATGTTTTATTATATACCTTTACTTTGTGTTGAATTATGTGTGCAAAACTGCATGTCATATTTATTGATGGTCATATAACAATCATTAAAATGAACATGGTCATATAACAATCATTAAAATGAACATGGTCATATAACAATCATTAAAATGAACATGGTCATATAACAATCATTAAAATGAACATGGTCATATAACAATCATTAAAATGAACATGGTCATATAACAATCATTAAAATGAACATGGTCATATAACAATCATTAAAATGAACATGGTCATATAACAATCATTAAAATGAACATAAGGCCATAAGTATCAAATATTCAAACATTGTGATTCTATTTATGTGTTACCAGATTGAAGAAGTTGATGGAGTGACCATGTTAGTTCTAATAGATCACAGCCACCTTCAGCGCCTTGCACAACATGTCCTACAGTTATTGTTTGATCAACCTGGGGGTGCCATGCGGGTTCCTGAGCTGTGTATACGCTACCAGGAGGCTTGCGGTACCATGTGTGATATACGAGAAATAGACGCACAGCTCTGTAATATCGTAGAAGTAAGCAAATGTAGATATCTTCTTGATTTTAATATTTGAAATGTGAAATGTAACGATTGAGTTGTTAGTTGTAAATTATGCTACTGTCCAATGATGTTTACCATGTTAACCATTTAATTGGGATCCTACTATTATGTATAGTTCCTTTGCAATTAACTGATGTTCAGCTTAAACATAAAATATTGCTATTTATTATATCATTGAAATCTTTCTCGCTTTCTCATTGGATAAGAACCGATCACATGATTAAAAATATTAGGGTGTATTTCATCGTTTCCTGCAGTCTCCAGCCGCAGCCTCGTTTTCAACTGTATATACCACGATGTATATACCACGGAGTATATACCACGGTAGAAAGTCCCGGATGTTATGTTTTTTTATGACGTCACAACAATATTGTAGAAAATACTTGGATACGCACGGCAACAAAACTTCATTGTTATAGCTTATAATTGCAGTATGAGCATGGGTACTCATAGCAATTGTGCATCCGTTGCCATGTTCTTGATGTTTATAAACAAGTGATGTCACAAGTCATCTTGCACGTGTGACTTTTGAGGATGAAAGATGGCAATATCTTGCATCTAAGAGTGGCTGTAGTTAGAGTGGTTATTCTGATAAGCACATGTATTGTATAAATATACTGAGGGAAAGATGAACATGTATTCACCTCAATAGAATGGAATATTTGGTATATATTTTCTCATGTCAATTGAGAAGCATTTAATTGACATAATTATACACTTAATATGACATTGTTCAATGTAACTTAGAATCATGAAATATTGCGTCAATTGAGGAGTTCTGACATTTTCATCTCACAGCTATTCTATTTTAAAGCGAAAAACGAAACAACGATTATTATTAATTTACTTTTTACATTGCAGGTGGTAGGTAGCTATGAAACAGGAAGTGTCAAACTCTGCCCGATTCAGATGTTCGCTCGTGACGTGTGGACACTGCTACGGGCTCAAAATGGCCGCCTGTTGCTTCAGCACTTCGAGGCAATTTATGCAGATCACTATGGAAGTAGCTTGATACCTGCCACATATGGTTACCCCAGCCTCCTTGCCTTGTTACAGGCCATACCACATGTAGTTAGCATCAGAGGCAAGGGGTATAGGAGAACTGTTATGCTGAACCAAGACTTCTTAGGTAGTATTTAGTTTCTCATATATTTTCAACATTTTGCAATGTTTACCTTCTGATTTATGATAAGTGGTTACAATATTATTAGTGTCTATATGGTCTCCAACTTTTTTGTGATGATGGTTGACATTCAGTGTTTGTGAAAACGACAGGTGGTGACATTTTACAAATTAATGCCTTGTTTCTCTATATTGAAATGAACTCTCTGAAAAAATGTTGTCATTGAAGTTGTATTTGCAGGTAAACTTGGAGAAGTGTTCTTGCTAGGAAAACTGAGTCAGTCTTCCAGTGAACGCAACTCTCCTGTTGATACTAAGAAGCCTAGTTCCAAGTCCAGTTCCCCAGATTCTGGCATCACAGAACTGCATGGTAAGTGTATATATATGTAGTGCATGTAGTGTGGTGTTTTCTGTAAAGTGGATTGCTCTCTAGGGGCCCCTTAGAGGTTTCACACTTAAGTTGTCACTTAATTCATTTCTAGCTACTAGACCACCTCCCTACTATTGTTTTTGCTATTTTAAGGTAATAATTCTAAATTCGAATGTGGACTTTTATGTAAAATTAACAGTCTTTTATTTTCACCCTCTAAACAAAATTTATTGGTGGTAGAATTAAATGTGAAACATAAAAAGGGTTCTGTTTAGAACTACACTTTTATTTTGATTGGAAAGATTTTACAAACAATACATCATTCTTTTCTTTAGAGGATGACAAGGAGCTTATAAAGATAAATGATACAACACGTGTCAGGTCTCCCCTAGAGCTCCTATGTGCTGGTTCACTACCATCTAATATACCCTCCCCTGATCTGCAACCTACAGCTGTCCGCCCCGACCTTATAAGGTTTGAGCCTCAACTTACAGATGTTGAAAGTAAGTCATGTTATAAGTTTATCCAATTTTGTAACAAAACTGGTTTATTTATATTTATTCAAAAATATCTCAATAGAGAAACAAGATTGCATAGTGTCTAATGTAAAAGCATCTTTGATCATTCATCAGTATATGATTATCTTGAGCACTATTGATAATTGAAGTTGTTGCACATCTTATTTACCTTTGTGACATTTCTGTTTGATTTTTCAGTATTATCTTCATTTTAGAATTCTTTATACTATGTATTATTATGTTATACAATGTTAAGTTGTGCTAAGTTAGTGTAATGTTTACTGCCTATTAAATGCTTCATAAGAGTTCAAAGTTACAAAATACTATTTTAGTATTGATGGCTGGTTTGACAGTAGAGGAGAAGTCTGGACAGAAGACACCTCTTGTGAAAACTCCTGTTTCTGAAATGTTGGATTTTGCTGCCAAGCTCCTCCCAGGACCAAACCAAGAAGTCTTGTCAACTGACAATAATGCTCCTACTAACAACAAGAAAGCCCCCTATACAAGCACAACATCGAAATATGAAATTCATGATGATCTTCAAATGATAATGGCTAAAGCTGAGCCAACTATTTCATCAGGATCAGGTTCAGATGAATCTTTCTCTAAGGGGTCTCCAAGAAAACGTCGTATTGCAGCAAGGTTTAATGTACCCATTGAGCCCCCAAGGAACTCTTAATGCTACCATTTGTAGATAGCAGTGTTATAACAGTAGCATAGTATGCTATTGTGTAATACAACAGATACATAGCATATGTGCTATACATTGGACAGTTGCTATGCGCTAGCATCAGTTGAGTGTTATGTTTTTTGTGCTATGCAAATACTTAGCAAGTGTAATATATGAATTATTTTGTTAATTTGTTTTGCACATAAAATATTGTTTGATTTAAAAATCAAAGTCAGGTATGGTTTGTATAGCCCATGTGAATGGGCCAATGTGTTGTTTGATTACAAACTGACCAGTGTTTTAAACAGCATTACTCTGCATTTTTGCAAACCAATTAAAATGCAAGACTTCAAATACATCGTGCAATTGTTTATACATGATTCATGTTTTTTATAATTTCATTATAAGAACTACATGTATAAACTAAATGTTCTGCTTGAGTTAATGCATGGATATTGAAATGTTATTTTGCCATATTTTGTTTCAGATTCTTAAATATAGTTAGGCCCCAACAGGTGAAATTTCTGTTTATCCAGATTATCTGGGAAAAACTAACCGTGACAAAGCCTTAATTTTACTCAATAGTGACAAAGACATGTAGATATATTGGATCATCCTCAAAGGGTAAAAAACTGCTATATAGACATTTAATTTGTGAGGGCCTTATTTTATATTTTTACAGCAATCTATCTACTTATACACCGCAGTATAAATGTAATACCTCAAAATATGTATGTTTAATGAAAACATAGGTAGATTCATATACATCTGCACTGTAGTTTGCCTCAATTATGGCATATTATATGAATGCATCCATGCATTACATTTGATTTATATTATGTAAGACTAACATATTTACATGCATATCTTTGATTAAGATACTAGTATAGTCCACTAATTTACTAACACATTAATGTTTGTGTTGTCATATGTCCAGCAAATTAAATGTACAAAAACCAGGAAAATGGTTGACAAAATGTGAATTTTTGCATATAGAATTACATTGTAAATGCGTTTGCATGGAATGAATGCAATTTTGATAGGTGCTTCGAATGTCAAACTGGAATTGGCGAACCAATTTATATGATATTTATTATTATTTTCAATTAGATTTGGTTGCTATGGTTAGTAAATCATTCATGATTTGATGTTTAGAAGTATGAAAATAATACTTTTATTTCCAGGAGTATCTGTAGATGCTTTACACAAAAATATATTACATGGTATATCTAGTTACTGCACTGTACATGCTGTATCCTAGAAAGATGAGAATGATCTAGTTGCTATAGATACTACACACATTTAATGTGTGTGTATTCTTCAATACATGTATTTATGAAAATGAAAATGAAATGTGTACATGCAAATTAATGTCATGAATTAATAACATAAATATGAAATATAGATTGTATTATTGTTATAGATGTTTTTGATAATTTTATACACCTTTTAGTGAGTATTGATCCACAATTTGCCCCATCCTGTGAATCAAATTCAGTAACATCATTATGTGAGAAAATCCTCTTCAGACTCCAACATTAATTTGAGAAATTACTTGATAGTAAAGGTTATTATAAAATTATATTCAGATAGTTGGTGTATCATGGAATGAATAGAGGTTATTTACTGGAATATGGGTTTTATTCTGAGGGACAATATGATATTTTTCTTTTCATGAAATCATTAGTTTAATATTCATTTCTAGCTTTTTTATGAAACAAAACAATGGAGCCACACGTCTCCTCTTTCCAATGATATGTCATTTGTTCATATTCAATCATGGACCACTGAATAATCCTTGTTTCTTTGCACATGGGTGAAAATGCCCTTGTGCCAACTTTGAAACATCCTAATTCAACTGATCTTTATTATGCAATCGGTTAAACCATTATGTAATTGGGACTGAGGATTAACTTTTGGTCACAAGACTTACATGACATACATTTCAGACTTAGTTCTACGAAGAAAAAATGATTTCACGTAATGTGTTTATAGGTATCCATGATAGTTTAGTAAACCGCACATCACACATGGAAAAATGTGGCATTATTAAAACAGTTAAGTCAGTTAAAGTCACAATCAGTTTCTGTTACTTGTGCAAACTACTTTCCATGCCCATCATTTCTCTGCAAGTGGATATTGGCTCCTCTCTTCATGTCACGCAAAGCTTTTTGGATCATTTGTGGGTTCTGACAGAAAGCAGCAACTTTGTGATTCTCTGTCGTAGTGTACAATGTCGAAAACTTAGTCCCGAGCAGATTTTGGGCCATTGTGCCAAAGGAATGATTATTCGTTGGTCCATGGTCATATATGAATAAATGACATATCATTGGAAAGGAGAGACATGTGGATTCATCGTTAACTAAATGGAATCAATGTTGGTATCACTGGTTTTGTGATTTTGTAATGTTTTTGTTTGTTGGTTTTTTGAGACACACCATATATCTAGTCTACAAAATCTGATCAACTTTATGACATTTTCGGGTATAAAAACTTTATGGTATAACATAAACACATCGATGTAAAAGAATTCAACAATACCTGTCATATAATTGTTCATTACAGGGACGAAACACATGTGCTTATTGCTCAGATTTCTATGACTTTGTCCATATCAGAGCGAATGATGATAGTACAATTGCCAGTGTTAAATAGGCTTACATTGCTTCATCTTTCTTTTATGTCTCTATTTTCAACTTTGTTTGGAAAATGTCATCTTTCACATAAAAACATCATTGTAGCACACAATATCAACCAAACTGAACAAAATAGGAAGCTTTGCTTTGTTTGGCAGAAATTCATGGGTGTTGAATATGATTTTCATGAGGAGGATTGGGAGGGACAATACAATTTTTTTTCAATATCAAAAACATTTGGGGGTGTTACCAGAAGAAGTGGGTAGTATCATGGGATAACACAAAGGATAGACTGCATTGATGCAATTCCAAAGTTCCATTATTTCGACCTACACTGCAAAGTGCAAAAGTATTTGCTTCATCAACAACCATGGCAAACCCTATCAGTAGGAGCACCAAAATCTTGAACTACATGTAATGTAGTAAATTGAAAATGAGTAGGCATACTGTATGTTTTGTTTGAGCATTGTTCCAGTCTTCTTATCTATTGGAGTGACACATGAAGAAGCTTGTAGACTTCTTCAAGTACCTTAACCTATAAAACTTTATCAATACATTTCAAAACCCTTTCAAGCAAGTCACATTCAGATCAGTTTTCATTTTTTCAAAATTACTTTTGCAATAAGAAATTAAAATACCCAGTATGCCCAGCTATCCAGATTTCGAAAATATGAATAAAAATATATATATGACAATATACTCCAAAGAAACCTACTAAAATGAATAAAATAATATGGTATCTTCTGATGATCACTTATGTTAAGGTGGTCGAGTTCTGTTGTTCAAACAGAAGTTATGTCGCAAGATATCTTAAGGTCTGTGGTCGGGTGAAAAACAGTGCTGTTAAAATATTTCAAAAAGTATTTCTTGACCTCAGATGTATATATTGCAATTTATGTAACCTGCTGTAGAATGACTAAGCTAGTTTATTATATATTGCAATGAATTTGAAATGTAGCATTTCTGGAATTTCATAGACAAACGTAGTTGTGTTTCAGCATTGGATAAAATATTAAAAGGTTAGTGTAAAGATTCATATTTTTTATACATTTCATAAAGTTTTTATCAAAGATACTAAATCTCATAACCAAATAATTACCAGGAAATGAAACTTGCAATCTCTTGCTTTATAATAGATAGCTTGAAAAGTTGTCAGAATGGACATTTAAAATCATTAGGCAAGTGCATTTGTTAATAGGTGATTTTGTTTACCTGATAACTATTCTTACACTACACTTTTATAGGACAGACTTGAAATAATTGAGAAATTATACAATGATTTACGAGTGTCTGATATCATATATATTATAGGTTAATTCTGTTTTTATGTGCTAAACAAATATTTTTAGATCTATTTACTATATTGAACAGGAGTTCGTAATCTATATAAATATAAGTTCCAAGATAATATCCTATTTTTGAAAACATGTTATTTGCAATTTGTAGAATAAACAATAGTACTAGTGTCAGTTCTGCTAAAACTTGGTAGTCTGTTGTTTAAAAATATTTCAGGAAATACAAATATTACAACCTTTGTAGGATTGGTAAAGCGTAGAATCTGTAGTGACAAATATGGCCATTAGATGGGAAATATGTGGTAATAAATCAGGACACTGGGCATTCTGGGTAAGTACATCATGTAAACATATGGGTGAGCTATTGTTATTTACTATTGTAATAGTAATAGTACTATAGTAAATAACAATATTTACTATTTTTTCATTGAGTGATAGCTGAGACCATCATAAAATTTTATTTTAGTATCAGGTGATAGTTAATCCTCCTTTATAATTTTAACAAAAAAACAAATTTGATTTTGAACTTGTATTCCACCATAACATATAAAAGATATGTACATGGATTTGCAGAAATATTTGTATTGAATCACAAAAATTACATTTAAGTTTTCAACATGTGGATTCACCTTAAACGCTTCCATTTAAACTAAAATCAGGTATAAAGCAAGATTAGATAAGTGAGTGTAAAACAAGAGATATAAAAGAGAGATATGTATGTATGTGTACTTACTTAGTGATAACATTTGGTGTTGTAAACAACCACTTATCAGATTTTCACAGTACAAAACCAGTACATAATATTCAAGATTTTGCTTTTGATTGTAAATGAGTAAATAACAGTATTTTTAACAGTATTACCATGTACACATAATAAACAAATGAGAACCTCATATTTTTGGAACAAACAAGTTTCAGGTTCCATTGAGGACCAACAATTCGCACAATACAATACTGAGCTGATTAAAAATCTGATATACAGTAATTGGTGGAGACTTCCCACGCAAGAACAAATCCACTTGAGTTTGCATTTAATCCCAACTTTTGTACAATCTAGATTATGGCAATTATGGTATCACTTGATTATACTGGTACTTTGTTCATCATACTGAACTTTTCCATCTGGTTCCAAAATGGAGCATAACTAAAGTTACAGTAAAATTGTAATGTCAAATATTAATTTGAAACTGGGAGTTTGCATCACATCCCTATTGTCTGTTAACCTTTTTCATTGAAATACCACTAAAGATGCACTTTTATTGTGTTTTTATTCTAGAAAATATATATTAAAACAATTACAATACAGCTAAAATACTATTTTCCAGGACAATAACTACACTATAGCAACTCAGACACCAGATCTTACCCAATGTTTCCAGAACACTGTGCTTGCATGGGTGCCCTGTGGGGCATTGTGGCTGAGTGCCCCCTTCTATAGTTATGTCCTCCTGGGCAAGGACAGGATATGCAAGTCTTGGTGGCACATGAGTCGGCTCAGTACATGGAAAATGGTAGGTTGTCTGATAAACAGCTCAGTGGAAGTTTATTCTGATACTCATCACATTGGTCATCACAAAGGTGTGGTAATATATTGTTATGTCTACCATTTTTTGTGGCCAGTGTTTGGCATTCAGAGTTATGTGTTAGTAGTTGGCATCTGTAATTAATTGTTCCATTTTTGTAAAAAATTGCAGGTTGTGATGTTGTGTTTTGTTCTTTTTGCAAATAGTAAGAGGGAGATTGTAAATTCAAATTATATGGAGAGACTTTAAAGTCTAAGGCCTTACTTCTGTAATCTGTATCATTTTAACATATACTTTGCACACAGCCTCACAGAAAACGTGTCTATATTATGAATGGATTTAAGCCATAAAATACATTATATATATTAAGATTGGGGTGAACAATGGTTTAAATATGACATTTCAGCAGAAAGGGGAGGCACTGATTCCCACAAAACCTCTCATATTATCATAAACAGTCATTGACTGATATGTTATGGATTTTGCAGTTCCTGGCCACCCTGTTGCTGCTACTTGCCTTATTAGATCTCTTCAAGACAGTGTCAGACAATGCAGGGGGACTCCAAGCACCAACTGCCCTCCTTATAACCCCATTCATTAGAGCAATCACAATGGTGAGAATATAATGTAGTTCAGTTGAAAGCTTTTTTTGAAATGGCTGTTGAAATTAAAATACATGTAGCAACAATATTAACGATTTATTTTGATTTGACAAAATAGCAACCATTTCTTTTAATTACATTGTATTTCTGTTAAAAAGATGAATAATACTTGACTTGTTTAATTTGGTTCATTTTTAAATTGTTATATGTATCATACATGTAGAATATATACACTTCTACCTATTGTTTCTAGTGTGAAATTCAAACTGAGAAGTTATTTTGAGAAAACATGTTTTGGTCAGTTAATTTTGCTCCTCCAATTTACAGTTTATAGAAGAATTTACTTTTTTATTACTCATTTCTCTGATATAGTTTTTATATATAAAACTTATGATTTCTAGGCATTGGCCATATTCTTCATCTACCAGGAATTCACGAAAGGCTTCATAACATCTGGTGTCATGTTCATCTTTTGGCTGCTAACAGTTGTCACGGCAATAGTGCCCTTAAGGTCCTACATTCTGCACATAAAGGACGATGTGAGTGTTTAATATTTTGAGCAAACTGAACCATTGAACTAAGATTAAAGGCTTATTGGGAGAATACAAACTTTTTGCATCTAAGTCACAATTGCTCCTGCTTTTTGCAATGGGAATGCATTTATTTTAACGTGGACTAGTATCAATTTTTTATTTTGCTTTCAATTTCAAACCAACTGACCATTGCATCCTGTTTATTTATATTTAGGTGGAGTTCATGGACACATTCCGTGAAGTGACTTTTTATGTTGGCTTCAGCTTGTCTGTGATCCAGTTTGTCCTTGTGCAGTTTGTTGACCTTGAAGCACAGGGGTTAACCTCCAATGAGGAGCTACCAGAGGAAAGGCAGCCCTTGCTTTCTTCCACCAAATCTACAGATAGCATCAAATCTCATCAGTTGGTAAAAGAGGTATGGTATTCCAGATTTAAAGATTATGTAGAAACATTGATCTCCTCCAAGTGTCATTTCAATGTACATTTGGAGCATAGATATAATTTAATTGTTCAATATATATTATCTCACCCATCAAAGTGCAGTAAATAGGGTTTAGAGAAGTCCTCCATTCATCTGTCAATTTGTCTGAGCGATAACCCAAATACCAGTTGCTCAAGTATGAATTTTCAATGTGGCTCAAATTTAAATGGCCGCCATTTTTCATAAGAATTGTTAATTATCTTTGATTTTTCAAATACAGGTTGACAAATCTTACAAGCTGATGTCTAAGAACATAGCTCTTTTCTCGAAGAAATTTTCAAAATGGCCTCCATTTTTCATGAAAACAATATAATCTTTGATATCATAAATACCAAATTTGGTCCAAATTGTATAACCTAATATCTCATGGGAATAGCTAGAACCTATGTTCTATGTAGGGTTTACATAAAAAACATGATTTTTGATATCTCAAATACTAGTTGTCAGATTCAGTTTATATTTTATACACCAATGTCTATGGGCATAGAACTCTGCTCAAAGGGGATTTTTATATTTTAACATGGCTGCTGAATTCAAAATGGCTATGGCTACAAGCCATGTAAAGCTTATGATTCACAAAGATCCATCTGAGCGACAGAAGAGGTCCATATATATTTGGCCCACCCTGTATATACCTTAATGTTTATTTATTCCAGTATCCTTGTCCACAATTGACCAGCTCTTTCTTCTCAAGATTGACATTCTGGTGGTTCTCAAGGACGTAAGTTAGATCTGGTCATTTGATTCTTTCTTTGTTGTAAAATGTAAAAAAGCAATATATTGATTAATTGATATTTGCACATACATATACTCTATTTTTACTTTGATACAACTATAAATATTCATATCATCAGATAAGTTGATTACACACTTGTAGTATTTTAATTAAAATCTATTTTGAAAATATGACGACTTTAGTAATCTCCCCTTAACAAAAACCAAAAGAGAATGAACTATTTTATTCTTATAGGATGATTATAACTGGTTGGAAGAAAACCCTTGTTTCATCAGATTTATGGGATTTAAGGCCTGCAGACAGAAGTTTGAAAATTATTAATGATTTTCAACAAGCTTGGAAGGAAGAATTGGGAAAGGCAAAGAAAAAGCTGTAAGTTACTTATAAATCTATAGTTTATTATTGGCTCACATGGTGACTCCTGAGGCTATAGAATTACCCAATCATCTGAATTGAACAATACATTTCGAAGCAAATGCCAAAGACATATACGCAATTTGCGTGAAAATTCCAAACAAACTGTGTTCATTTTTTCGGCATTTGCTTTTCACCGCTCATTTTTTGATGTTCTCATGAACTATTTTTGCTTGACAATAATCATAAAAATGTGTATTTGCGTGACATATTCTGCCATGCAAAAAAACGGGTTTGACTTCAATTTCATGAGCAATGCGGGACAGTTGGACAGCTTGCATCCAGTCCATCCATCTGTTAGTCAACAATTTGGCTTTCTTGTCAAAATCAGTGTATGCCTGCCCTAAGGATTCCAGAGCTGCTGGTCAAAAAGGCATTACTGACCAGTTGCAATGTTATTTTCCTATACCTAGTGAAAAAATCAACTGGTCAGTATCAAAAGTAACCAGATAATGACCAGCTGTCCGACGCTTAAGGCGTGCCCTGGTCAAAATATCACTTTTTGCACAAATTACATGTGTGCATCATTAATAGTGCGTTAATCAGATAATATTTAGAGATTATGTCGCTATCATGTGAAATATGCCTGAAATATGCCCAATATAGGCCAACCTTGGGAGACTCTATATTTGGGCAAGAACGAAGGCATATTTCACATCATAGTGACATATCTGATGTACTACATACCTTTATTCCCATGGCTACGTTGTATCAATGACGTCACATATCTGTGTGCGAGTAGAAATTTGATCAAAATGAAACATGACGTTGTGATATTGTCATGGTTAATAAAGGATCTAATATCAAAACGAGGTAAGATGGCTATATCAGGGTAATTGGGCAATATCTGTGGATACCTATCTAACTGTTCCATTGACTTCCATACAAATGCTTCGCTAGGTTTGTAATACATGTTGTAATTGATGCTGAGAAGTATGTATCAGTGACAGTTATAGCTTCTCATGTTTGCAGTTTTGTCTAGGCACTCTATGGTAATTATTTTTCAAGAAGTCAAACTTATGTTTCAAGGGAAAGTTCATACAAGTATGTGACTAATGGCTACAACGTGAGACAGTCAGTTGGGACGTATGATATTCCACCAAGTATGCCCTCTCCAAACATGTCTGAGGTGAAGGATGATGACAAGAAACTCAACCCCTCCCTAATATGGGCATTGTGCCGATCATGCGGGTCATGCTATATCATCGCTGGTATCGCCATATTTCTGTTCTGTATTACTCAGGTTGCTAAACCTTTACTCTTGCAGTAAGTTTAGTAGTTTACTTATTTTATGTTTTATATATCTATAAATGATTATTATCTACTGTATCAAATTAAATGTTTGTCAAAATCACATGAATAACACTGGATGATTCCCATGATAAGCCTCAAATGCATTTACAATGTTCTAATATTGATTATTATCAGTTATTAATCATATCTCATAGTAATTATACAGGAGAGTATAATGCATCTGGACAATCCTCTTAAAATGAATTAAAATGATATTTTAATTGGTTGATAGAATAGTATATGGTAAAAGGCCGAACGCCGAATACATTGAAATTGCGAACGAGGAACGTTCCGGGTATTACGTTCGCCCTTGTGAGATTGAGGTCCTTTGTCATTTGTGCTATATTATGTATTCAAAAGTAATGATATAGAAAAGTAATGATGAAGTAACATAAACAGAATAATTTGCTGCCTAGTACAATATGGTAATGAATAAATGACCAATTATTTCATTCTGAAGGAGATGAGAATATTATAGACTGCATCATTCTGACAATTCTATTCCTCTCTTGGTATGCTTTAGGTTGCTACTTGATTTCATTCAGTTTGAGACACAGTTTGAATGGCAAGGCTACATGATTGCAGTCATAATGTTTGCCAACTCAATGTTATCATCCATACTTATACAGAACCATTTCTACAATGCATATCTCTTTGGGCAGAGACTCAGGTCAGCGGTTACTGCAGCTGTCTACAGAAAAGTAAGAATATGGAAAATCAAAAGCAATACTTTAATGAAAGTTTATTTGTTAGGCTTGATGTTGCATTTCAATATATTGTACTTCTATTTCACCAACCTCTCCTTACATAGTTTACCTTAGCTTGTATCTCATACTTGAGTGGGTTTGGAATAGATCTGTCTTCAGACACCAAACTTTAGAGAGAAATAGAGTAAAGTAAGAATGAGTAGACAAACTTGGATGCCGATTCCTATAATATCTCCCAATATGATGCCGTAGTTATTTCTAAATCAGCTCATCAGCAATGATATTAATAAATATAGTCAGTGTATAGTTGTTTCTAGATACCCCAAACCCACTCAACTTTGAGATACACCAGTTATGTACGGTCGGTTTTGGATATAGGCTATATCCCTTGGGAAATATTTATATCTCCCCTAAATATATCCCTCATGATATACCCTATATCCAAAACCTTGTCTTCTCTAAGTAAAATGGTTTATTGAATTTTAGGCATTAAAACTGACAAGTACATCAAGGAAAACTGCTACTGTTGGTGAAATAGTAAATCTGATGTCAGTGGATGCCCAAAAACTTCAAGATGCTCCAAATCTCTTCCATTATCTCTGGTCCTCATCTTTACTCATTATAGGTATCTATTTCCTTTGAATCACTGTTTTAGTCATGCTTACTTTACAAGGTGTTTTGCTACACTTCCTTTTATAGACCCAAACAAACTTTGCAGATCATCTCTTCATCAACTAACTACCTCTGTGTCCTTTTTGATGATGTTTTTAAAGAAGCAAAAACTACCGTATTCTCTCTAAAAGGTACCCTCCCGGAATTAACATCAAATATAGTGAAATATTGAGAAATTCTAAAGACCACCCAAACAAAATATTTAGTGAAAAAATCATCGCAGATGAGATGAAAATCAATAAATACCATGATTAAGTTCTTTTTAGTCTTTTTTTGCTGGTATTAAGTCAATCTTCAATATTTCCAAGACCATATTTGTCATAACGTCTTTGGGGATTGTGCACTCTTGAGAGAGAATATGGTATTGGGGGGGGGGGGGGTGTTTCTCTATGCTAATCAATTAAAGTTTAAGTATAATGTACTTGCATTATCATTATTATTCCTCAATTTTATTTTTATCTTAAAATGATATAGAACATACAATTCCTGCATATAAGATAATGATAAAAGACCATAGTTAATAATACTAGCTGAATACTTTATTACATTGTAGTTGTGACAGCCATGCTGTGGCAGATTCTTGGTGTAGCAGCCCTGGCTGGCTTGGTGATCATGTCTTTCATAGCTCCATTCAACACTGGATATGTCGGCTCAAAGATCAAGGGACTCCAAACTATACAAATGAAGGAGAAGGATGAGCGTATTAAACTGACCAGTGAAATACTCAATGGAATCAAGGTATTACATCTTATCTTTCTTTTATGAAGACTTAGTTGATACAGTTTTAGGTATTTCATGGTATTGTTATATATAATTAATTTTTTTAATGTTATAAGTTATAATTTTGTGTTTTATATCATATAGTCTTTAAACTGCTCTTTCCTTGTATAAGACAATCATGGCTATTCACTCTGCGTACCTAATCTGTTCATTCAATATTCAAATTCTCATTCAGGTGCTGAAAATGTATGCCTGGGAACCATCATTCAGTTCCAAGATCCTAAGCATTCGTGAGAAAGAACTAAAAGTTTTACAAACAGCTGCTTTCTTGAATGCTTGTACAACAATAACTTTCTTTATAGCACCATATTTGGTAAGTAATGATTCATTCCACCATATTTGGTAATATATTATAAATGTTGTAAAAATTATTTGTTTTAACCATATATTTTTGTAAAAATCCCATGAACCGCAAGTGTCATTTTATTTTAATGGACTGTGAAGAAAAATATTTGTCAAAGAACAGATTCACTATGATCAGGTATAAATTAAAAAACATTTTATTTAGTATCTTATAGTTTGTACACTAAGACATATACATTGTACATGTGTTTGATCCTCTTTTTGTGATATATTTTTAGGTGTCATTGTGCTGTTTTGCTGTTTATGTGCTGTCTGATCCTAAAAATGTGTTAGATGCTCAGAAAGCATTTGTATCAATTGCATTGGTAAACATTCTCACTGATCAGATGTCAGCTCTTCCACAGGCTGTATCTTTCATGGTACAGGTATGGATCTTTTCAGTCATATTCAATTGGATAATGCATATGATACTCAGGTATAGCTATGTGAAAATGGCTTGGGCAAATATGGTAATAGTAACAGATCCATGTAATGAAAATATGAGCAAAATAATTTATTTACTGGCAAAGAATAAGAAGCCTCTTTTACCTGTACAAGGTGACAAAATGGCAATAATTTTGGAGACGTGATTAATAATGTACATATTAGTATTTTTCATTATTGCATGTGTTTGTAGGCATTGGTATCTTTGAAACGTATAACCAAGTTTTTAATGCTAGAAGAACAGGGTCCTGGTTATGTCCAGAGAGATGACCATGCACGTAAGGAGTACAATTCTATTTCAATTAACTCCTCCCTTTGGAAATCTATATAATACTAAACAAGATGGAGATCAGAAAGCACAATGAGCGATAGTAATTATATATAGTAGATTAATAAATAGAAAAATAGAAATGAAAAGCCATGAAAAAATACCGGTATATATTTTAACTACTGTAAGACATTACAGGTATATATGCTTTCTGTACAATGTTAAGTTGTGATACAGCTTCTTATTACTTACAGGGGAAGCTGTCCAAGTGACCAATGGCTATTTCAGTTGGGAAAGGGACCAAAGTCCAACCTTGAAAAGGTAATTGTCCTCTTCATTGGTATTTTTATTTTATCTATCATGTCTTAAACATATATTTTCTAGATTAAGTTATTTATGTCAACACATTATAAAATAAAATCTGTGGAAATAATTCTCTGGTGTTTTCCAGTGTATCTTGTTTAAAAGCAATAATTAAAGTCAAAATTACATTTTAATTTAAAAAGGTGGCCTTTACATACTAGTTTTATACTTCCCTCAAAAGCAGTGGAGAGGGGTTTGTTTAGATTCTGTGTTTCAATACTTACAAGCATAATTAATACAATGTTTCCTGACAATTTGTTCATATTTCTCATATGTACATGTACAGTAAAACCTGTGTACAATGAACTCCTATGGAGCCACAAAAATGTGTTCCCTTGGAGGTAGGTGTTCATTACAGAGAGGGTAATTTATATAGAAGTCGCTCAGTAGAGTATGTGTGGAGGAAGGGTGTCTACTAGAGACAGGTGTTTACTAAGACAGGTTTTATTGTAAATACAATCTCTGAATAAGTTTGGCAAGCAGACTTCTTCTTTTGAATCACTAATCTAAAGTCTGTAAAAATCATCAAAGTCGTAAATATCCAAACTGCATGTTTTGAAATTGACAGGCTTTCATATGAAAACTTCTGTTTGGCAAACTTATGAAGGGGAGTGTACAGACAAGAATGATAAATCATTTTTGATAATTTAATGATTTCTAGCAGTTTTTCTCTGAAACTTATTAGATGTTTGAAGGGATTTGCTACGCCTTGGCTTTGTCATTAGCTTGTAACCCTTTCTTCTATATTGTAGGATCAACTTGAAGGTGGCCCCAGGTAGTCTTATTGCTGTAGTGGGTCAGGTGGGCTCTGGAAAGTCTTCTTTGATGTCAGCCCTGCTTGGAGAAATGTACAAAACTGATGGCACTGTGAATGTTAAGGTAAAAATATAAATGACCTTTCATCAATTATAGCACATTCAAACATGACCGTGCTCTATTCGAATTTCTCAACCAATCAGAATGCAGCATAGCCAATATAGAACGTTCTCTAATTCTCCATAGATGCACGACCATGCTCTATTCAATCTGCAATTTGCATTGTTTTGAGTAACGTCACATCTCAGCTGCACATCTGGGGCTCTGTCCGGGGATAGCTGTTCCACAGACACGGCTTTTACTAATTTTTATGTTTGAATCGGAATAAATAATGATAGGCCATTCAATATGGTGAAATTCAGCACTCGTTGGACAGAATGTTAGTACAAATGCACTCACCTTCGGTTCGTGCTTTGTACAACATTCTGTCCAACTCATGCTGGGTTTCACCATATTGAATGGCCTATCATTATTTATTCCTTAAATAATATCAGTTTAAAGTGGACACAGCTTGGACCATCTAAAAGTATCTACATTGAATGCGTATCGGTATCATATGTTTAAGAAAATGTACATGTTTGCGAACAAATAATTCAGAAGACAACAAAATCATCGATTTAATTCCTCACTAAGTTATGTAAACAGAACTTCAAAAAACAGTTAAGATCTGCACTTCTAACCCAGATGGGTACAATTCTACTCTAGTGAATGTTGAATCCACTTGTTTTAGTGCTAGTAAGATTACTAGGTTCACTTGGCTGGAGAAATGTTTACATGTATGTTTTATAGGGTAAATTAGCATATGTCGCCCAGCAAGCATGGATTCAGAATCTTACACTGAGAGACAACATTCTCTTTGGCAAAGATATGAATGTGAAGTTGTACCAGAGAATCATCAATGCCTGTGCCCTGGGACCTGATCTCAAAATACTCACTGGTGGTGATATGACAGAGATAGGAGAAAAAGTAAGTTAGTCAACAGTGTGTTGTTGTCTATAGATTTATCCTCAGAGAGGTTGGTCTTTTCCATACACCCAAATAACTAACATTCTTGATAAGTGATTGTACATGTAGAACTCTCATATGTTGGTGTTCATATAACATACATGTAGAATACGATTACATGGAATAAGAGAGATGAAACTGTGAAATTAAACCTGGTTGTTCAAAAGAAAATTTGAATGTTATTGAAAATTGACATGACCTTTTGACCATTTTCCTCAAATATCTCAACATCTGGACAAACTTTGGTTTGGTACAGGGTAGATTATTCTCTACCTATCAATCTCCCCTATTCAAAAGAAGACCTTCCACAATCTAACTGGTACATGATTTTTGTGATGTTAACTCTGATGTTATATTAGGTGAATAAAAGTATTATATATCTTTCCTTTATTTGGTTCTAGGGCTTAAATCTGAGTGGGGGCCAAAAACAGAGGGTTAGTTTAGCAAGGGCAGTGTATCAGGACCTGGACATCTACCTGTTTGATGATCCCCTCAGTGCAGTTGATGCCCATGTTGGCAAACATATCTTTGAACAGGTGGTAGGGCCTACTGGAATACTGCATGATAAGGTAAGAAATGACAAGACATTTCAATATGTTAGAATCAGAGTTTTTGTTTTTTTGCCTCTCAGATATGAATAAATTGGTAAAATGGATCACATAGCAGTTTAGATTTTACAATATTGTGAGCCATCTGCAGCAACAATTGGATCATATTGAATAAATTCTCTGTAATTTATAAAAAAATTCAAAAATTTTATAATATTTTTTTTATTTAGACCAGGATCCTAGTGACCCATAGTATCAGTTTCCTAAAAGATGTAGATAAGATAGTGGTACTGAAAGATGGCCATATATCTGAGATGGACACTTATGACAACCTACTGAAACAATATGGCGCATTTGCCGACTTCATCAAGACATACCTGACTGAGAACCAGGAGGAGATTGAAAGTATGAGTGAAACAGACCCGGAAAGTGAGTAGTTCATGGAAATATGAATTGAAAGTATAAGTGAAACAGACCCGGAAAGTGAGTAGTTCATGGAAATATGAATTGAAAGCATGAGTGAAACAGACCCGGAAAGTGAGTAGTTCATGGATATATGAATTGAAAGTATAAGTGAAACAGACCCGGAAAGTGAGTAGTTCATGGATATATGAATTGATAGTATGAGTGAAAAAGACTCGGAAAGTGAGTAGTTCATGGAAATATGAATTGAAAGCATGAGTGAAAAAGACCCGGAAAGTGAGTAGTTCATGGAAATATGAATTGAAAGTATGAGTGAAACAGACCCGGAAAGTGAGTAGTTCATGGAAATATGAATTGAAAGCATGAGTGAAAAAGACCCGGAAAGTGAGTAGTTCATGGAAATATGAATTGAAAGTATAAGTGAAACAGACCCGGAAAGTGAGTAGTTCATGGATATATGAATTGAAAGTATAAGTGAAACAGACCCGGAAAGTGAGTAGTTCATGGATATATGAATTGATAGTATGAGTGAAAAAGACCCGGAAAGTGAGTAGTTCATGGAAATATGAATTGAAAGCATGAGTGAAACAGACCCGGAAAGTGAGTAGTTCATGGAAATATGAATTGAAAGTATGAGTGAAAAGGACCCGGAAAGTGAGTAGTTCATGGAAATATGAATTGAAAGATCAAGGGTTCAGTCCTGATTATCATCTATATCCCTTATCTACATAATAAATATTTCTGTGACCTACGATGTACATGTACATGTAGTACTTAAAATAATGTTACATTTACATATTGTGACCAACAGCATTTTGAAAAAAATACATTTTCAAGTGTTGAAGATATTATAAGATGAATTATTTGGAATTTTCACTTGGCTTTTATAACATACAATTTTGACTTGAACATTGAATTTTAGGTGCAGCTGAATTGCGCTTATTGCGGCAGAGAGTAAATGTATTGTCTGGTGAAGAGAGTACTGATATGACAGAAAGTGATGCATCAGTTATCAGACGACAAAGGCGAAAACACAGGTTTTTAAATAATTTCTTTGGGCTATATGGGTAATCGATGTAAGATGTAGTCCTCGCTTGTCTACAGCTTTGTTGCTGGTCGGTATGAATCTCTTGAAATTCTACTGGTCATAATGATAACAAAAGCACCTCTATATTATAAGCGTACTTTACTGTTGAACAAACAGCTTGCATTTATATATCATCTTTTTTCTTTTAGTTATAGAATTTATTTATTAGAACTTCATCTTCATATCCATCTTCAAGATAATAATAGAAGTAAAACTTTTGTATCTCCATTCATATTGCCTCTTGACATTGAGACAATATGATTTTCTCTGTATTAGAGTTACAGTTATGTAGTTATACTTTTTCATGGTTACACTTCTTGATTCATATAATCAGAAAATGTAAGGCCAACAATTTGTATAAATCCCAAAATACAAGCCTCCCTAATATATTCCAATTGTGACCATGTATGTTAATTGTAGGAAGAACAGTAGAAAGTCTGACACCAGTGATAGAGAGAGATTGCAGAAGAAGCACTCAACTAAGGTGGAACAACTCATAGAAGAGGAACAAGCTGAGAAAGGATCAGTATGTATCCATAATCATACTGCACCATTAGTTTTTTTTTGTAATTAGTTGTGGACTCATCCTTTGAACATACAACTATGTACCATAACAGCTTGAGCCATTAATCTTCAGGAATGTCACATTGAATATTGATGTAACAATGAACCATTCAAACAGGTTTCATATCCAGCCCATCGTCAGTCATTTTTGATTTTCCATCCTGAAACTTGTATACGAAGTCTTGTCTACAGGTTCCAAGCCAAGCCATTTGATGGTTTGATCTGCAATTTTTAGGGATGTTTCTTGGTATAAAACTTAGTTGATTAGTTTTGGGGCATTCAAAAACTTGCCTATTTTCAATATGGCTACCATTTGTGTTGTGAAAAATTCACTTTTTGAGCCATAACTCGATTGCTTCGATTTGCATGAAAATTTACAGGTACATGTTTGTTCTCATATAAAAAAATGTCTGAGGTTCTAAAGTTTTGACATAAATTCTTGCAAAAATTCAAAATGGCTGCAACTTTTATCGAAGAAAAGTGACTTTAACAGAGCCAGAAATTGGGAATTATTACTTAGATTTGCATCAAAATTTCCCTCTGTTCTCATATATAATATCATTGAGATTTCAAAGTATGGACAAAAATTCTTGGAGCCAAGTTTAGGAATTATTGCTTCGATATGCATTAAAGTCATGTTGCAGTACCAATGAGGTTTTGAAGTCAATATGGCTGTCAATTAGGCAGTAACTGAAATTATTACACCATGTGAGCCAAGTAACCATGATACTATGTATTAAAAATGGCTGCTCAATTCAAAATATGCTTAGACACTTCAAATGCCTGATTATTTTCATAATGTTTTTATAAATTCATATCATGTCGAATGATTTAATGTCAGATTTACTTTTCCACTGAGTTCCTGCATCACAGCACATCATGGGTATAGAATATTTAATGATGTAAATCTATGTCATCTCTACTTGCATCTAGTCTAAATTTGGAGGTACCTATATGTAATAATCAATGTTTTTCAGGTAAAACTCTCTGTGATAAAGTACTATGTGAATGCTGGAGGAAATGTAATAACAGCAGTAGGAATGACAGCACTTTTACTTTTCACAGCTGCTCAAGTAAGACATTATACATGTATGATCATCAATTCAAATATGCCAAATGTGTCTCAGCCAATCAGCTTGGAGTATATCAGTGCATTTTTTCAAGGTGTATGGTCAACTGAGCAGAAACATCATTTTACAGTGCATTTTATGGATTCATAATGAACTGAGCAGTGCCATTATTGGTAAAAGAGTGATGTCATCACAGTGCATCATGGTTTCATAAAGAACTGGGTGTCATTTTTATGAAATAATCAGAAAAGTGATGGTTGATGCTTGTTGGTCAGTTCCTGTTACAAATGGCAGGTGGTGACATTTTGCATGTTAATGCCTTGTTTATAAATGCATGCATGTACATGCATGTAGAAAATGTATTCTTTGATCAAATACCAGTTATAGACCAAATTATGGAATTTGGTCCAAATTTTATATGGCTGATGCCATATGGACATTGAAATCTGCTGAAAGAGGAATTTTCAGATTTTATGTACTGACACCTTATTAGCAAAGGAATCTAGTCAAGAAGAAATGTGAATTCAAAATTGCCTCCATTTCTCATGAAAATCATGATTTCTCTGATAATGCATGTACCAGTCACCAGATTTGGTCCAAAAAAAGAATTTAAGACATGGCATCACATCACATTGTCGTATAGATTTTGCCAAAAGTAGACAATACTACTCAACTATTCCCTTGTTATTTCTATCATGTAATGTCCAAAATGATGTACTCTTCAATAAAATATTACTGTATATGTTTCTTTTGTTGGGATTTGCTACTCCATGGAGTTTTTCTAGTTGTTATAGCTATCAAGTTTTGTTACTGGGATTTTATGTTTAGCAGCTGACATCTGTTTTTGCCATTTAGAGGTGGTGACATTTTGTCATGTTGATGCTGTGTTATAATTTTCTTTCTTTGTTCTTTTCAGGTGGGTACCAACTTCTGGTTAAGTGAGTGGAGTGGAGATACCCTGGTGAATGGCACACAAGACTTGGGCCTAAGGGACATGCGACTTGGAGTTTATGGTGCCCTTGGGGTTGGTCAATGTACGTATGTATGGAATCACATGCAAGGTGTATGGTGCACTTGGGGTTGCTTAAAGTTGTTTATTGGTACCACATCCAAAGTGTGTGGTTATCTGGCGCCTGTGGTGTTTGCTCAGTGTAAGGATATGGTACCACACTACCACATGCAGGGTGTTTGGTGTTCTGGGGGTGTATGGGCCCTTATTTATGAGTTAATTTAATATATCTTCTGGGTCAAAAATTGTTGTCTCAAAAGCATTCATGAGAATGTAATGAATTGTTGAAGTAGTGTATAGTGGTAGCCTGGCCACACGAAACCAGACAATAGTTTAACAGAGTCAACTGATTTAATTACTTAGAAGCAAATATTTATTATTCAATATCTTTAGATCCATTTATTTGTGAAAACCTTATCTAATTATTTATGAATTCCAGCTCCCATTCAATGTTACCAGCCTAACAGTAAGGATGGTGATCTTAGTCCTCTCAGTATGTATATATAAATCATATCATCATTTCCAGGTCTCTCCATTTTTGTACTGGCCATATGTGTTGCCTTTGGCAGTGTCTCAGCATCTAGAATTCTACACAAAAACCTACTCAACAACACAGTAAAAAACCCAATGTCATTTTTCGACACAACTCCAATGGGTCGAATTATAAACCGATTCTCAAAAGAAATGGACATAATTGATGTTAATATACCTCAATATGTGCAGCTGTGGTTGATAGGATTGTCACCATTTATGGCAACATTGGTGGTGATCATATACAGTACACCAATATTCCTGACTGTTGTTCTGCCATTGGGGATTATCTTTGTTGCTGTACAGGTAAATGTTAATACTTAAACCTGAATTAAAAAGTGCTGTTCTCATTTGAGGTCTTGACAGTCATAATTAATTATTATCTTAAAATGACATTGGGATTAATTGGACAAATTCACAGAGAGGGTTTCTCCTAAACAGATTTTAACTAGTATTAGGAATTTACGTGTACATATTAGTCTGAGTCATTAAGATTTATGTTGGTTTTAATTTTGGCATACAATCTAGATGATGAATAAAGCTTGTGTAAGACATTGCAATATTCAAGGTACCAAATGTTAAACTTTCAGAGACTATTCACCAGCACAGCAAGGCAGTTAAAGAGGATTGATTCCATAAAACGGTCCCCTATATATTCCCACTTTAGTGAAACCCTGACCGGAGTGTCATCCATAAGAGCCTATAGACAGTCAGAGAGATTTATTGAGAAGTCTGATAAACTGCTGGATGAGAGTCAGAGTGCCTGGTATGCTATTCTTGTGGCATATAGGTAAGCTGTTATAAAAACATGAAAGATAAGTAAATAAATCTCAAACTGAAAATCTCTGTTGAGATTTTTAAAATGATTATGCATCCTAAATTATATTTGTGAATGATTATATTGAAATGTGACACTGAATTGTGTGATGGAAGACTCAAGTTTGACATTCTGATACCTTTAACATCTTTCTATTATCAAACTAGCAAATACCTTCCATTGATACTTGAGGTCACTTGCTCTCTACTAGTTATTGGTGCATGTCATTTCTGGCAAAACTGAACAAGTCAAGTTGAAAGAATTGAATTCTCGTGAAATAACTATGATGACTTCAATATAAACCTACCACAAGCATAGACAACATATTGGCATGTTAATGTCTCATCTAACTTGGTTCTTAAATGTATTAATGTTAACTTTCAGATGGATCAGCATGTACTTGAACATAGTTGGCAGTTTTGTTGAACTGTTCGCTGCAGTGTTTGCTGTCATGAGCAGAGGAACAATCAGCGCTGGTCTTGCTGGCCTCTCTGTCTCTTATTCTCAAAGAGTAGGTGCTTTATAACATTTGGAGGTTATTTATACAGGACTGTGGGATTATATATTTATCATATCAATAGAACATGTATACTACAAGAATGGGATTGAGTATTCGGTATATAATTTGGTATGTCATGTTGAAGCTATTTTAAGAGACCAAAGAACATTGCAAAATACAGTAATAAAGATAAACATGGAAGAGCACATACAGTCATACAGAAAAACAAACCTACAATATGCCAAAAGAGTACAAATATTATGATAAAACGTTTTATTATTTCATTAATTTGTTGAGAGTTCTAAATTAATGTACATGCAATGTAATGTAATGCACTAGAGAGAGGTGTTCACTCGAAAGAGGTGTTCACTAGAAAGAGGTGTTCTCTTAGACAGGTTTTACTGTACTTGTTTTTGTTTATCATCTTGTTGCCTTTTGTACTTTGATTGTAGATAATGCTTGCGATGATATTAATGGTAAGAGCAGCTGGAGAACTAGAGACATATGTAGTAAGCGTGGAGAGAATAAGGGAATACTCACAGACACCTAATGAGGTATGCAATTCACATTCATGGATATGCGACTCTTAGACATTTGATCCCAAATATAAAACTTCTTTAAAATCATAACTACCACCAATAAATCATCCTTCAAGATCGGTCCTTCATTGCTTTGTTAGGACCTAATGTAATGCAATGAATTACTCTTGGGCCAAGGATGCCAATAAACCTTATTTTGAATAAAAACTGAGGCCCGTTAATAATGCCAAAATGTCAATATTACAGGCCCCGTGGCGTAAGAAAGGGAAGAATCCCCCTAAGGGCTGGCCTCATAATGGTGTAGTTAAGTTCAATGACTACAGCACCAGATATAGGCCTGGATTGGATTTAGTGGTCAAAGGAATCACAGCTGATGTCAACCCAGATGAAAAGGTATTTTGTGTTAAAGAAAGTACATGTAGCTAGATATCCTGCAAGCTTATGCACATATAAAAGAGAATTCCAGAGATTGAGTGAAATAAGTAAGGAATTATTAGAGCTTTATTTATTATTGAGGTTTTATTTAAAGTGAGTCTTCCTCACAATTTCCTTGACAACTTTAAATCTAAAAAATAAGTAATTGATGGACCACATTGCAGCATTTCATGGACAAATAGAAACATGCAGTACATTGCAACATTGTATAGAAACATACAATACATTGCAACATTATATAGAAACATACAGTACATTGTAACATTATATAGAAACATACAACTTACATTGCAACATTATATGGAAACATAGTACATTGCAACATTATATAGAAACATACAGTACATTGTAACATTATATAGAACATACAGTACATTGCAAAATTATATAGAAACATACAGTACATTGCAACATTATATAGAAAAATAAAGACTGTTGTGTATTTTGGTTTGTTTTGTAGCTTGGAGATAATGTGTGTGGCCTTTATTATTTTGATTTTTATGCCATGTTACTTCCCCCAAAATTAACATGACTGAAACTTTCTAAATTACAAAAAGCCAAAGCTTTGATTGCCTATTTTTTAGATTCAAAGTTTTCATTAAATATGTCATTTTGACTAACTCATTTTCATATTTTCTGTAGATTGGAATTGTAGGCAGAACAGGGGCAGGAAAGTCATCACTTACATTGGCATTGTTCCGTATTATAGAGGCAGCTGGTGGTTCAATTTGTATTGATGGTTTAGATATTGCGGACATGGGCCTTCATGATGTGCGCCCTAAAATAACCATAATCCCACAGGTAGGATAATGAACACTTTGGCCTGTTTCTTGAAAATACCATGAATTTCATTTTGTAAGATATAATTATCTGTTATGATATATTACCACATTTGAATCATTATATACAGGTGAAATAAAGTAATGGGGACATACAATGTCTAATACCTGTACCTTTACATGTTCATCATGAAATTCTTAAAATTACACATTGACTGCATTTTAAGGATCCAGTGATATTCTCTGGCACCATGCGAATGAACTTGGATCCATCAGATGAATATAGTGATGACCAAATTTGGCAATCGCTTGAACATGCACATTTAAAGTCTTACATATCGGGCCAGAATAATGGACTTGACTTTGAATGTGGAGAAGAGGGGTCCAATCTTAGGTGAGTTATCCATACACTGCAAGTAAATCACTCACAATAAAACACCAAAAGGAGTACACTTAGTATAACTAGTCTAGCTATAAGCCTCTATGACTCCCGTGTGTTGTAGGGGGGGGGGGGGGGGTTATCACAAGGGCTTGTAGCTAGACTAAATATTACATAAACCCCTTATTAACTGTAACAAAACTAACACATGTACCAATATAATTAGAAAGGATTAGGCATCAGCTTGAACAATATTTTGAATATATGAAAGGTCCAAATATGAAAATCTCAAGTGCAGATTATCTCATTCTGACCCCAAGAAATCAATTGTCAATGACATTCTTGAATTTTAAAGGATTATAAACATATTTAATGCAAATAATTAAGTACATCTCCAATCACCAAGATCAGACCACATTATAGGAAAGAAGTTCATCGGATTGTAATGTAAATTTTTAATTGAATTGAATATTGGTACCTTGCAGTGTGGGCCAAAGACAACTAGTGTGCTTAGCAAGGGCATTGTTACGTAAGACAAAGATCTTGGTGCTGGATGAGGCTACAGCTGCAGTTGACTTGGAGACAGATGACCTCATACAAAACACAATCCGCACATCATTCAAAGATTGCACTGTTCTCACTATAGCACACAGACTCAACACAATCATGGATTATGACAGGTCTTGTAATATCAGATTATTATAGTCATCACAAGTAGAGTAAATCAAAGAACTGCAATTAGCATCAAAACATCAATGTCACATTTGTAATAGTTTACATAAACCAAATCACAATATATGTGTGAGTTTTGACTGGTATCTATATATATATTTCAGAGTTATGGTGCTGGATGCTGGGAAACTTAAAGAATATGACAGTCCATCTAATCTTCTGAAGAACAAGCGTGGCATCTTTTTTGGCATGTCCAAAGATGCTGGACTTATATAAGATTCTTATAGAAAAGAAAACTCATTGTTTTCATGGGTTTTTATGTCTACTCAGTTTCAGGAGGACAATTTAATGGATCAGTTTTAATCAGGGATGATCCCTTGTATGAAAATCTCAAACTGATTAGGTTTTAGGCATTCTGGGTAAATATTGATGGCCATTTTTGATTTTCCATCAAAAAATCTTCTCTGTAAAGTCTTGAATACGCCTTTTACAGGCAATCCTTTTGAAAGATGCATTTTATATTTCCAAGGATGATTCTTTGTATGAAAATCTAAAACTGATTAGTTTTTGGGCATTTTGGGTAATGTTTAGGTGGCCATATTGGATTTTTCGTCCTTAAATGGTGTCTCTTCAACTGATTTGTGTTGGTCACTGAGGATGAAAAATCTACAGGATCACCCATTGGCAGGGACATGTTGTACATGTTTGTGTCCTTGTATGTCCAATATGTTCAGTTCATCTGATGAAATCTATCTGGAAAATATCAATTTTGGTAAAGTTTACTAAACCATCAAATAGGCTTTTAAACCATAAAATATGTCACTGTATTTAATGGGTAACAGATTTTTCCTATTTGACAAAAAACGAGACTGGCCATGGCCAGTCAGTCTTTTTAATTAAAGAACATGGTTAACTATGGTATAAGAAGAATATCCTATGATAAATCTTTGATTGATACCCTCCCTTGTACTGTTATCAAACTTAATCATGGATAAAAATCATTTGACCAGTAAATCATAAGATATTCTCTATTAACAGTATTCAAAGCAGGGGTGTAGCCAGCTTTCAGTCAGGGGGGTGCGATCGCCAAAGAAATTTCCGTTTTCAGTCAGGGGGGGGGGGGGGGGCATAAACAAGCCCAAAATTTTTTTATTTTGAATTTTACAAAAATTGATGCAACTTCCTTAAAAATTGAGCTAGAAGCTTCAAATGAAAAGCATTTTCAAGCTCTTTTCTTCCTCTTTCTCATGGTTTTATTTTCAAAGGTTATGCGCACCCAACGCACCCCCCCCCTCCTTGGATATGCCTATGCAAAGTTACTGTGATGTTCATAGGATATTACTCGCTTGTAGATATCATATCCATTCTGGATAAAAATCATATCACTCATAAACAATAATGATATTCTTGTTGAAATATGGGTCGAATTTTATGGTACGATATGTGCCTTTTTGTGCATGATTGTAGACATATTAAAAGCTGATATTATGAGAGAAGAATGGAACTAGAGAGAAACATGGATTTTTGTTCTTATCTCCACAACTTCTCAGAATTCTCTGTATTTTCTAGTTTTTTATTAGATTAATCAAAGTGCAATAAAACATCACATATATACATGTAGTGCTGATATTAACATTTAATATTATAGATATATTTACTAATTGTATTCCATTGGATGATTAACTTATGAATATTAAATCATAATATTGTTATACTGAGTTCATGTTATTGTTATTTAGTCTAATTCGTGTATTTTGAATTGATCATGTATTGTTAAATTGACATGCACATTCATAAATTCAGATTTTATGATCTAAAATAGCTAGCCACATATTATCCCGTGCCAGGACTATAGTCCTGCGAACGTCTTATTCTTTTGCCTGTACGATTACAACATGGGAGAATTTTCTACGCTTCTTACACTTAAGATACCTATTTCAATAGATTCCTTGGTATTTTAGCATTCTTTTCGTGTAGTTGAATCCACAATTGTCTGGGTTCGGCAGAACAAAGAAATTTTCGTTTTTGATCGCAATATTTGCGTGTAATATTTAACTTATTTCAACCGTCAAATTCCTCCATTTTTGGTACTTTCGGGCCATTTCCGGGTCAGTCAACGGGGAAACCCCTTCTAAACCCAACCGCCATCTTGGAAAGTGATGGAATATCTCTCGATGAAAAAGAAAAATGTTCCCATTCTGCCGATATACCCAAACAATTCAGTAGGACGGCACATTGAAAAAACCCATTGTTGTTTACCAAACTTTATATCAAAGTGGTGTAGCGATATATGACGTCATCGCACTACTTGTTTCTGGTCCGTTGGCTACCATCTTTATGAGGTCCATTGAAATGGTAAACATTTAAACATTTGAAAATGAAAGTGACGGATAGAATTCTACTGATCTCTTCTTTCGATCTATCTCATTTTAATGTTAGAAAAATGCACATGAATGGAAGTAAAATGCAATCAAACACGTGAGACTTTCACTCATTTTGTACCCTATATTCGTGCGAAATTAACATTGATTAAACATCGTTTTTTTAAATGTCTGAATCGCTTAAAAGTTATAGTAAATACGATATTTTATAAGTACCAAATATCAATCAGTTCCGATAAAATGCCTTCATTTGTTACATTTTCTGCGAAAACGGTTAGGCATAATTTCGGTAGAAATGTGTATTTTACGACGTTATATGCATGGTTGAATCCAAAAAGTAGCGTCATTCAGAAAATTCTCATGTGTGCGTAAAAGCATGTGGATATTTCATTTTGAGTAACTGAATTATCAAATTGACATATATATTGTCTTTGGAACATCACCTTTACACAGAATTATTTTCATAATGATTGCTCGTTTTGTTCGTTGATAAAATGCAATTTTAGACCTGCAGCTGACTCATATCAAAAATTATTTAGCAATGAGTTCAGGCTCACTGATTTTTAAGATAGATGAAATGAACAACAAAGAGAAAGGGTTATGTGTGCGGTAAAGCATGTGGATATTAAACTTTCAATAAATGAATTACAATTTTGATGTTTATATGATCTGAAGAACATCACCTTTACACATAATTATTTTTATAATAATTGTTCGATTTCTTTCATGATAAACTGCAATTTTAAACCCGACATGTATTAAAGAAGTATCGGACAATGTATTAAGGCTCACTGATTTTTAGGATGAATAAAATGAGCAAAAGGAGAAAAGGTCACGTGTGCGTAAAAAACGATTATCATAGTTTATTTGGCCTGCTTTTAGAATTGGGAAAACAAAGGCAAGGTTTATGTTTTATGAACATTCTGATTTGACAGCAAACTTTATTTTTGAGTGTATTAAATCAAATAAAGCTTATTGCGTCGGGACCTGTACGTTCGCCCAATTAAAGGCAAATGTGCCGTCAATTAAAGAAACATGCACAGTGGTACACCGTTTTTGGAAAACATAACACTGATAATAGAAATTCATCAATTGCTATGAAATTTGCACCATCATTAAAAGGAATCTCGAATTTCATGATGACAAAATATCGGATAAATATGACAAGAAATAAAAATTTGTTACATTTTTTCCCAAAAAGTTGTAAAATAAAAATAAACTAAAAAAATAATATTTTAACGACAAAAAATAAATAGTTCAACTGTTTTGATTCTACATGACGTTTTCAAAGAGTAGAGAGCTAGATTCAAGGCACCGTTCCTGCAAGTTTCAAATGAAAATATTAAAAACTGCGCGAGTAAGAGGACCGCAACTTTTTATGTCTACACTGACAAAAACTTGAAATTCCCGTTGTAAAGACATAGTCCCACGCGGAAGTGCACGTCATAAAGCTTATGGGTTAAGGCAATGTGCCGTCCAACTGATTGTGGATTCAACTACACGAAAAGAATGCTAAAATACCCAGGAATCTATTGAAGTAGGTATCTTAAGTGTAAGGGGCGAAGATAATTCTCCCAAGTTGTAATCGTACAGGCAAAATAATGCGCTCGTTACAGGACTATAGTCCTGGCACGGGATAAGCCACATACAGCACTCTATGCAAAGCTTGATCATTGATCTCCTAATGAATATCAAAACACGGGATTAAAACTCTCAGAGACTGATCAATCAAATATCACACATAGAATATTACAGGCCTACTTGAATTATATTTGACAACAATTTTTTCACAGACTGGCAAGATTACATTCAGTTTTTCGCAATGATTTAAAATAGCTAGTCACACATTCAGCGCAATCACAGGTAGTAATCAAACAGCACGCTCCTGCAAAATCCGCACATTCCGGTAAAAAGTCGTGAGATTTTGGAATTTTTTTTTCTTGTTAGTATATTCAGCTAGCGGAATGTGGTTCACATCATCTGTGTTTTTGTGTGATACTTAAATAAGTCTAGGTTGTTAGTGAGACTGCACACAAATTGAAATCTCAACTGTGTGCCAGTTTATGAAGAAACTTGAGGTAAGCTGACGTCAGCCATGGATGAATAGGGTAGGTAAATATGTGATTCGACTTATTGTCATCGTGAAAAGTAAATTGTGATTAACACCCCAGTCACATTTGTCACACGGCGGCCGCAGGTCGACCGCAGATCAATTAAATCGGTGAATTTCTGCGGCGAGCGTAGAAAAACTACGCTCGCCTTGCGGCCTCCGTACGGCGAATGCAGATTTTTACAGGGCGCAGGGAAGGCGTAGAAATTATAACTCGGAGTTATAATTTTTGTTCATTTCTGAGGTCCCCGTAGAAATCAACTGGCTCAACAAGATCGAATCATTATTTGTTAATGTTTCACGATCACTTTTCATTTGATATTACATCCTAGCACTATGAATAACATTTATGAATTGTCCTGGTGTAAATAAAATGAAAAAAGTATTATTTATCAACAGAAATTTAAAATTCACCGTGCGGCTGCCGTGGGAAATGTGACTGCAAAATTATGAGAGCGCAGAAATTCTGCGGCGAGCGTAGAAATGTTACTGGCCGCAGAAATGATAGACCACAAGGTCGCCGTAGGAAATGTGACTGGGGTGTTAGATGCAGTTTTATTACCAACCTGTATGTGACTTTTAATCCGAGAATACGATGTTTACCCGCATCGTGCGGATTTTGCAAGAAGGTGCTGTTTGATTACTACCAGTAAAACTGTCGGATTCAACAAATTTTTGAAAAAACGTCTGTCAACAAGGAACAGTTTTCAAAATAAGCAAATAAGTTTTCATTGACTAACATTCACACCTCTGAAAAACAATAGGATGTACAGCGAAACCAATTTTCCATGTGAGCGGTTGGAGTACCCTAAATCAGTGTTCATTGTTACCAGTTGACATGTGTTCCTTACAAGTTTAACACGTAAACTGCTGCATATCTGTCTTTCCAGACTGGCCACAGTGTTGTGATATAAATATTTTTGAAATACGGCTGCAAAAACTCGACATCCTCTGGATATTGGAAATAAGATCCTAATTTCAATAATTATAAATAATGGCCTTTTAGTACCTTTATAACTTTTAACCAATATGTCTTTATTTTACAATAGGCCAGGCCCTTTTCACCAATGCGTTTCCGTTATGCAGTCAAAATGATAAGAAGAATGTATTTAGTCCTTTCAAAAAATATCTCTGTAATTGATAAGTCTAATATTTCTATGTTACGAGATACTCATTCATTACAATTTATAATGTATAATGTATCAGTGTATTTCATTGCATTTTATGTCATGATCATTTCCACATGTTCCATGAAGATAGTCCGGAAACCAAAGTTACAATTCAAGCAGCAAATATTTTCAATACAGAATATGTTAAGGGAATGTTGTTTAATAAATCAGCTTATCATTTCTTTTTCCACATGGGCGTGGAAACTATTAAGACTTGATCCCAAGTGAAACCATACATCTGTTTTTCTATGAAATCTCACAATGAACAAGATTCAAAAGCCAAAACATGTAAATCTGTATCATCCAAGCTGTAGAGAGTGTTAAATCTCTACTCGAGACTCGTGTAGAACATAGAATGGCACTAATAAAATAAATGAAAAAATGACCCCTGGGTTAAATTAGACAAACGGCAAGTGCCTTTGCCGTAATCAACCAGGCAAATAAACTTTTGACAAACGTCATCTTTAAAGTCAATATTTAAACGTCAGCGTACGAGCAAATTAGGATTTCTATAACAACAACATCGTTTTTAAAAATTCGATAATTTCTATTGAAATTTAATTCAACAGATTCAGTTCTTTATAGGTTGTTAACATTTATTTGGACGAATCGTGTGATTTGTCTAATTTGACAAACTTAACGTTTATGATTAATCTTTAATACGTTTCCCTGTGTAATTAAATTGTGTCCGTTCAAAGTTCCTCATTATCGACTGTTTGGTTTATCTAATAAAATCAGAACAATCTAAGTCGATTAAACTATTATCTAAATGTTTTTTACCAGACGTATGACAGGCTGCATCCTGCTTTCAGTCAATAAAGGAACATCACTGATTGGGAAGGGATTACATTCCTTCCTAGGGTATTTGTTGGAAGTGACAAAAAGTCAGTACTTTATATAATTGAGCCCTTTTGTTAAGGTTATAAGAATCACTTATCAAAATGCCTTTTTAAATTTCATTGTAATCATAATTTATACATTCCTTATAGTTCTACCTGACAAACCCAAGCAAGTTGTTGCATACCATAAAAGCCTTGTAAAGATGCAGTAAACCCAATTTCAAGGGGTTCCTAAAGGGGATTTGAACCAACATTTTCACTTTGTACGTGAACTTGATATCATAGACTTAAGTTCACTTTTTGTAACTTAAAAAGAAGATGCCTTGTCGATCCCCTCTCCCCATTTGATGCCTCTCATTGTATTTGTAAACTGAGAGCGTTCGATTGTTGTGAGGTCCTCGGTCTGGGTCGAGAATCTGCTCTCCAGTTGAGATAGTGTAATACAAGCCATGTGCAAGAATACGGGGGTCGCTGGTATAGTTACAAAGTAAACTCAATAGTGTAACATCACGTCGAGTTTGAAAATGAACCTGGTTAAAATACAGTAGCTTAATTTAATTAGCTCAAACTTGGCTCTTCGATTTCTATTTAGAGTAGAGTGCCAGGCGTATTCTTATAAGCAAGAATGGATAAATTCTACTAAAATATTGGTTAATCATATACAGGAAAATTAAACAAAATGCTTTATTTGAAAACAATGCAAGGGAACTCAACCAAACAAAATGATCACGTAGATTTCGTTCTTTTAAAGCAGTTAAACAGGTTCCAACCCACATATTTTTTAAATTATCTACAAGATGGGTAACATATTAAAACTTTGCCTGGAAAAATACGGTTGAAAAAGAACAACTTCTTAGTTTAGAGTGGTCGAGAAGGTACATTTCCGCCTTCCTAAAAATGATCAAATCCGAATCGTACGATGCAGTTGACACTATATCGATTATTGAGAATAATTGACATAACTGAGAAAATAAAACTTCTGATCTAAAAAATAAATTAATAATATTGTTTATCAAGTCACACTTATATAATTGGATAATTGTCAACACGATTAAAGAGAAGTTCTACAAAATGCATTCTGGGATTCTAATACTCATCGCATTCTATTTCTTCCAATGGATGAATTTACCATGATGGATAGGAGGAGCCATCAAAGAAAGTAATTAGTTTTACGTGTAGTGTTTTCCATTCTGTCAGGTGTCAATTGTACCTTGTTGGCATTGCATCTGAGTGGCTTCGATAGCTTCTTGATAAAATCAATTGAAAATTCATTTATAAATGTCTTTTGTTACGAAATATTAATCTCCAATAAATAAATTACATTAATAAGTATGGAATTAAACTGTTGATTAATTTTCCTATGATTTTTGCAAATATTTACACAACACTCGCAAATACGTGAATAGGCCTTTCAACTGAACGTTGACATTTTCATTCCGTAGTATGATTGTTAACTCTTGCTTGTTGATATCAAGAATCAAACATTTAGCAAGATTTAACCACCCGCCCCCTCCCCAAGAGAGAGGAGTGTATAATATACATATGCTTACCTCGTTGTTTACCTCACTTACTAAAAATAGGGAAGAACTTAGTCGAAACAAAAAAAAACAAAGAAATCATCATGATTCTTTCTTGCTTTCTCTGATATTAAAGTGATAATAATACATCAAATAAAAAAGCCAAAAGCCCATTATTCATCCGACATATCGCTTTGGTGAAAATTGCAATCCATAGAGGTTTTCTCCAAAACCCAACTCCTATTATCCAAATTCCAAAAATTGAACACGATCTCAAACGATTAACACATTAAGGAAAATACAGAAGTCTCAAATGAATGATGGTTATGTTTTAAATCGTATCCGTAACAATTACTCAACGACGGAATTATCGCATTCTGTCCATATTAACCAGTGGAGATTACACTGCGAAATTAGGCAATAATGGAATTAGGCAAAGTCAGATTAAACCTAGATAAAACCATAATCATATCGTTCCATGATATTTGAATAAGGAGATACAAAATACTTCCCATGGAATAATCATAACTTTCTCACGAAGTTTTAACTACCGAATTAATACTTATCAATTTGCATCATTATCAAACACAAACAATTGTATTTGCGATTATTTAACTATTATTAACGTTAAACCCTACAAGTTAATCCAACGTATGTTTACAAACACTTCGGCGATTTGAAAATTTAGGAGCAGAGAACTGATTAACATTTGCCGATAACATCATTGATTTTTTAATATATCAGATGCTGGAGATATTCTGGTCGTACGCATTTAAAAAACTGCCAGCGATCGAGAGGCGGGGATGTTTACTTCAGGTAATGTCACGGATTTACGAATGTCAGTATATTGAATTAGATTCATTTCTGCAACGAAATGACATTGCCGTATGACTTCTTTAGACATAGTGTCCCACCTTCTATATTCACTAGCATTGGAATTGACACCTCCAGGGATTAACGGTAGCGCCTAGTGGGCAGGGCAGATAAGAGTTTAATCGGATTAAATCTGGACTTCTCCACCTTGTTGCCTCCGGGCTGGTAATATATACCACTACCTGTTGAGGAATTGTCATTACCTGTCATCGCACAACACGAGCAACATCTCACGAAAATAATATATTAAGACACATTAGGATTAAATTTGAACAATGTTTTTGGAGATTATAATTGCAACTTGCGTCCTGTTTGGAGATTTAGTCTCAGGAAGTTTATTGAATCTAGCAAGATGCAGAGCTGCCTGTCTGGATAAGGTATTATAATTTGAGTAATCTTAATTACATGAGATATGTTAACTCAAAATCAATCTTAAGTATAGATTTACTTTGAGTAAAAAGTAGAATTATAAATTGAGTAGTAAATATTTTTAAACGTATAGACTATTAACATTTCTGGCTTCAAAGGATTTCATCGTTAATTAATTACAAGTTCTGAGGTAACATTAGTTTTCGATTAATATCAAAATGAATGAAATAAATAGGCGAAATATATAAAATGCCACAAGGATTAATATCAGGATCTTGAGACGATGAACAAATTATCACAAGCAAAATAAGTAGGTTGGCTGTTTATCTAAAGCCAGGCTATGGATTTAATGATGCCAGGGGTGTTGTTGTTTTTGAAGCATCAGTAGAGTTTTAATGATGTCCATGTGGCATTACCTATTAGATTCCTCTGATATACTAACCAGAGATATCCTGTAAGATCAGATAAATATTTTGACAAGACAACTTTTAGATCATTGAGAGAACTTCTCAATATTTCTCCTCAACAACTTGTAATGAGTAGAGGTGCTCATTAGGTACATATAAATATCATTGAAATGCTGTTTTCTAAAACAATATCAAATTAGATGTTATTTAATTTGAATTAGCCTAATTGAAATAATTCCTCAAATAGAATATTATTTTGATATCAAATATTAATTTCAGTGATTTGCAGTTTGTGTTGACAGGAATGCAATAAAATGACATTTCTTATTTGATTTAACACACCTTATTAGTAAGATAATAATATTTAAGATTCATTAAAGATGTAACTTGATACTTTTTTGTTTTGCAGTTTGTACCATCCCCTGCTTTGCCAGTGCAGTGCCTTGATACTCCAAGCTGCTATATGGTAAGGATATCAGTCATACCGCTGTTCCGTATTACATGTACATCAGTTCATTTAATAGACCAGGGCAAATAAAAGTATCTTAACAATATTATCATACTATGATTCCAAACATCAAATAACTGAATAATAAACTTGTATAGTAATATGTCAATGTTTATTATCTTTATTTCAGTGTTTTGAGACATGCAGTTATTTGAGCGAAGACTATGACAACTGGATTCAAATGTGTTCCCACAATGGCATCTGTGTAAGTGTACCTTTGAATAACATTACAAATTCATAATAAAAGTAAGAATTTGAAATCAATCAGACAAACTTCTTTCACATGCATTAGCATGCTTTCATTTTCTAAAAATTAAAAAAATTAAAATTTTGTCCATTATTTCATTTTTTGACAGACACCTTATTTTTATTCCTATTAATGCATGCTATAGGATAAAAAGAAAAAAATATTGGTAAGTCAATGAATCAAAGGTTATGTCTTGATGTTAGTAAAATATTAAATCCACAATATAATATTTTAGGTTTATGTGAAATCATAAATTCAGCCTGGTTTTAAACCTAAATGACCTTTAAGAATTACTAATTTGTTAGATTTTACACATTTATTCATATAATCAATCATTGCAGAGAGTGAAGCATCGTTTTATTGTGAAAAATATCAAAATGCATGCTATACATAGATTTGTACTTGAATGACCTTGTAATTTAAAACAAAATAATTGTGTTCTTTTGTGTTTATAGCAACCTGGATGTCAGCAGTCTTGCAAGTTCATTCAGGAAAATCAACCAGGTAAGTCTACCTACTTTGACATGCTTTTATATGTACAATATACAATATGTATTTGATAAACCACCATTATTGCATTGTTTAGTATGTGTCAGCATAGCTTAAATAGCAGAGTGGACATATAGGTTACTAATAGAAATAAAATGCGATGATTCCTTGAATATGAAACTATATTAACATTGCAATACATTTATTACACTTGCGCTTTGATTTGGATACATTGAACCAATTTAAGAGAAAAAATTGCTATTCCACGAATTTCAATTTTTTGCAGTTAATGAGATTTATTTGTTATGCTTCATGTTAATTTATAACACATTACTTTATGCACAGTGTATGCACTTTATTTTTGCACTTTACCAGTTGTGGTATTTTAATGCCCCCTGTATTCAAAACAATTGCATGATGCGAAACTTTGTACATGGGCTATGTACAATACAAATTCTGACACAATGCAAGTCATTAAGTAATACAGGTGCAGGCACATTTACAATTTACATAACATACTGTGTATGTGTAACTTATCTTGATAATATGTCTCTCTTCCAGCTAGGACAGCAAGCCCCTTGTGGAAAGATGATATGGCAAATCCTCCCAAAATCTCACTGGATGAGGACTGGATGAAAGTGTCTTGGAAGAAACCACTCGTTCCTACTGGCCAATCCGATAACCAACTTATCTACATCGTCCAGTGGAGAAAAGTGAATGGAAATCAAAGAAGATGGAGAGTGAAAGAACAGGTAATTATAATACAATAGTACCAGTAATTGCATTTTAATCATAATTTATTGAACTGCATCTGAGGTGCTTTTGCAATTAATAGCATCTGTGATTCAATTTTATAAATCATTACTAATTTTATTTAACATGATATTTTTTTAGACTTTGACAACCCAAGCTTTGTTTGACGTAGATGAACTACCCAACCAACCAATGGAGTTCAGAATCACTGGTATAAGCCAATCAGGAATTGTATCAAAGATGGTTCTTCGACCTGAATCCTCCACTCCAGTCCCAGCCCAAACTGAGCACAAACTGAATATCAGTATCGTCTTAGAAACAACCAATGAGAATACTCGTGCAATTCTTACCTGGCAACAAGACCCAAGAGCTAAAGGAGCTATGTATCAAGTGGATGCTTTCCTTAATGACTGCAATGAGTATGGTAATACCCCACATTGTGGTATACCCCCAGAGCATTTCTTCTCCCAAGAGACACCAGCTGGCTACAAAAAGAAAACAATTGTTGTACTGCCCGATCTGACCTTTAATTCCCGCTACATGGTTAGTGTCAGCATGATCGGATCCACTACAGTGGCCAGTGAGAATATTGAGTTTGTCACCCCTAGATGTGACACACCTGATGAATCATTTACTCGCTGTTATGAGGAGCAGTCTTCAGGTAAATATAATTCTGCATACAGTAGTACACTTACAATGTCTCTAATTATGATGTTTATCTTTTATTGAGAACCCTCATTCCCGGGCCTCATTAAGATGGCTCACAATTGTGCTAAGTTCGGCTGACAGTGATAGTTCAATGAGAATCCTTCAAAACATGTCAATTTCTCTTCTCTAGAATAACAATATCATAATCCCATATTAAATCAAAAAATAGCGGAATTACTTTACTTTTATCACAATGAGTTAATTCACTAAATCTGCTGAAGGGATAATGTTTCCCTTTAAATACAAGCTTAAAATATAGTGTATTGTATTACAGAATCTAAGGACAAGACATGGGTGATTGAGGTTGAATCCCTGGTATCCAGCAGTGAAGAGAGTGACAACATTGATGCCAGACTTACCTGGGAATCGCCTGACCCCCAAGTTACCCAGTTCAATATCCGATCACATGGAGAATCTCTGGAAGAAAATGAAAAATTAGCTATCCATGTTACCCAGACAACAGATAACTTTGTTCAACTTAAACTTCATAAAAATCAGCGATACACCGTTGATGTTGTTGCAGTTGTAAATACATCAAATGAACAATATGAAATCAATAGTATGACTCTGCAGTTCAACACAACAAACAACTTCATCTCCATTGGCAACCCACATGGAAACCATAGCAACCTAGTTCAAGGTATGTATAGCATTAAAAGATAATCAATACTAAATATTTCTCTTGGAATCATTACAACTGGTCAATTGCTGTTTATTTCTATGACCTACAGTAGATATCCCCACGGTTTACAGTTGGGGGTGAATATGCATAATATAATTGCAAACAGATAATTATAGAGTGATGGAGATCATCAATCTGTATGTACTGGTTAGTTTCACCTGGGTAAACATCGCTTGAGTACAACCTCCAGATTCAACATTGCTATGGCAACAAAATACTAGCAGATTGGAACAAATCAAAAAATGTAGAATAGCTTCTCTGATTTGTTGATTTTAATCATATATTTCCTCACATTTTTGCAGCCATCCTTATTTGAACTTGATATCTAATTTCAGGCATTATCCCTAGCCTCGTTAAAACAGAGAATATAAAGATAATACTGATTTGTGCTGTAACAACTGGATCTCTTCTCCTTATCATCATCGCCATAGTGATATACCGTCGCTGTTATGGCAACAAGCACACTATTGTTGACAAACATGGTGTTGTGAAAATGAACAGCTATAGATCAAACTGCGGCCATGGTAAATGATTCTCCTAATAATTGTCAAAAATAAATATTATTTTAATCAGTGCAAATAATGTCAACAAATAAATAATAAATAGATAAGAATAATTATAATATAAAATAAATATGCCAGTTACAGTATTTCTATGAATTTACATAATTAAAAAACAAATGTAATCTTTATTACAGTTGTGTCCAAACACTACTCCAATGCCCTCGTCCTGGTATCAGATGAGTGGGAACTAGACCCCAAAGAAATTAAATTAGGTTCCCAACTTGGCCAAGGGGCCTTCGGACGTGTCATGACAGGATACCACAATGAGAAGAAAGTCGCAATTAAAATGCTCAAAGGTAAATATTTGAAACATGATTTTCAAAATCCAATAATAATACATGTAGTTATGTATTAAATCCATGAAATGTACTGTATACCAGTATATATTAATTTCTTTAGAAAGTCTCATTAATATTATGCATTAAATATATTATGTAATAATTAGTTGTACAGGTTTACTTACTTTATATTAGAATTCCATAATGACATATTTTTTCTAAACTGAATAATTATATTGCTACATACTTGTAGTACACCCTCCTTCTGTTGAACCATATGATAGAATGAATAGATATCAAGATTGAATTCAGGAGAAAAGAATCATTTTTGTTGGGCAAGAATGGGCAGACATGTTCAAGTTGAACTTTCAGACAAAATCAATTCAAAAATATGGCTTCGTTTTTTTAACTTGCCCAGTTTCGCTGGTCATCCATGAGGATTTGTCCATGTTGATTAATTATGAAGCCCTAATTCAATTAACATGAAAAAGGAATAAAACTGAAGAGATCATCAGAACTTGTGTTTATTCATTTGTAATTCAGAAATGAATAATGAAATTGTCAAACATTTATTATTTTAAAAAATTGTTTGAATATTTAATTGATTTGTAGTTTGATAAATTAATTTAAATTTCATTGTTTATTTTCAGAAAATTGTCCATATTCTTACAAAGATGATTTAATGTCAGAGATTGAAATGTTGAAGAAGTTGGGAAGTCACCCAAATATCGTGCAGTTCATTGGTGCATGCACCATCTATGACCCAATCATCGCCATGGTGATCGAATATGTACCCCATGGTAACCTCCAACAATTCCTCAAGTAAGTTGAAACATTTTGTATTTAAATAATAGATAGAGAAATAACTTCGAATAAATCTTATTTTGATTCAATGCAAATGTGTATATTAATCAATCTATTAATTTTACTTGTAGGAAATGCAGAATGGAAGGTCAGCTGACTCGTTACGAAGATGGGTACCATGAACTTGACTATTCTTTCATCAATGAACATGGCAAAATGGAAAGCTGGACAATTACTCCAACTGATCTTCTCTCATTTGCACGTCAAATTTCAATGGGGATGGAATTCATCGCAGAAAAACAATATGTTCATCGTGACCTAGCTGCCAGGAATGTACTTGTTGGACAAAACAAGGTTGTGAAATTATGCGATTTTGGTCTCTCCCGTGAAGTGACCCAGAACAATCAATACCAAAAGCTTACAAGTGGAAAACTTCCATTGAAATGGATGGCATTGGAGTCCTTAAGAGACAGAGTGTTTACATCACAGAGTGATGTCTGGTCTTATGGTGTCCTCTTGTGGGAGCTAGTTACTATGGGTAAGTACATCTGCACCATACTACGCCATAAGGCAACCAATCATTTTCATTGGCACTCCTGACAAATTATTAAGTGGCACACTTTACAAATATGGCAAACACAATAGAATGTACAATTAAATTAAAATGTTTTCCAATTATTGCGTACATTCACATTCTGAGTTATGACTGGTGATCAAAAGTCAGTAGTGATATTTGAACTCACGTCATAACAAAACACCTGGATATTAGAGAGCCCTTAAACTCATTGATTTTCTGTCATCCTTCTAATCTGTTGAATATGAGACCAATTAGTGCAAGAGATACAATCATATCTAAAAAAACTCATCAAATATTTTAATTTTTTCAAATTATCCTCTATTTGTCAGTCTTATGTCATAATACTCTGTAAGAGGCCTATATTGTAAAAATGATTATTTGAATACCCTGGATGAACAAATCAAATCGGGAAACAATTTTACCATGCATTAGGACTAATATTTAATTGTTTTGAATAATTCTGCCCTTCCAATATACATGTATTTTTGCACCTAAAAGCCGATCACTGATGTTTTGTTCCTTTTTTTGATTACAGGTTGTTCCCCCTATCCAAACACAGCGCTGGCAGACCTTTACACTGTACTCTCACAGGGCTACAGAATGCAGCAGCCCAGTAACTGCTCCACTGAACTGTAAGTACAAACATTCAGAGATATTTTAGAAGCACAAACCCACAAATTTTAAAGACAAATTGCAAACCACTACAATCATTTTCAACAAATTCATATAAAAACGTAACTTAAACAAAATACTTTTCAATTAAAGTTTCTTGCCAAGTAATATATTTTTTATCTCAATTTATCTATAAACATAAAATCAATATTGCCAAAATTATTTATGACTTTCTTCTTGTATTTACAGTTATGAGATGATGGTGCGTTGCTGGGACAATCGTCCAATGAATAGACCAACATTTCAACAGATACGAATTGAGCTTGAAATCATGCTGACCAAGGACAGAGATTATTTAGAGTTGGATAACATTGATATCCCCCTTGCCCAGAGCACTAGTAGTAGTATTAGTGAACTTGATGAAACCTTAAGTGACCTTGAAAATGACAATGTGCCTGAGTTCAGTGAGTTGCCACCGAAAAAGCAGTCGTTGAAACAGAAAAAATCATCAGTTGGATCGCATCATTCTGTCTCAACAGATCAATTATTGAACAGCAGCAGTGAGATAGAGACATCTATAGATATGGAAATTGACTATGCAACAATGAAAGAAAAATTACACCAAATGAGCTCAACACAGATTTGAACATTCAAGAAAGTGCTACTTTATCATTTGATGAATATAAACATGATATAAACATTGATTTATATAAATTAATTATGACATTCAAAAGTGCAAATTCAGCCAGTGAATAGCTGGCATATCAAACTACTGTAATGATAACTCCACTTTATAAAGATAGCTCAACTCTAATTTACTAATTTATAAAAAGCATATACATCAAAAATATGTAAAAAGACTGTAAATATTATATAATGAGAAAATTATTTGTTTACATATTGTTGTTAGAAATATATTGATTTTATCATATTGTTTTTTGGTCTCATCCACCAAATGTCAGCGATATCGATTTTTATGTGCAATCTATCTATTGTCAAACTATTGTAAAACATTAACACTCCTACAGAGATTTTGTTTTGCGATTAAACTGAGCAATTATATATTTAACTATAATGTTGAAAGCAAAACTTATGAATTGCAAAAATATTAATATGTAAACTAGTAGTGATGTGAATAATTAAACAAAACGTTACAGTCACAGAAGTTGAATTCACAATATTAAGTGCAACTTGGAAAAATAAATTGTTACACAAAGATGCCAAAACGACAATCACATACATGTTCATGCCATGTAAATGTATTTATATTGTAGATAATATATATTATATATTTAATAAATTATTTACCTGTTTTAAAATGATTGTTACTTCTCATTTATAGGGTGGGCAAAAACCGTGACCACACTAGAACAAGACACGTGTGAACAGTATCGCACCCTTGAATAGACAGTTTTCGGGACAGAACGTTTGCCTTTAATACCCAGAATGCTCAATATCTAGCCTTATCCATTCTTAACTTCATAAAAAATTAACCAGTTCTAGACTTCCATACCAAGAAAATTGGAAACCAATCCCCATTACAGTTCGTGTAGTTCGTGTTGCTTGATTTAAAGGAAAACATTGACTTTTGCATGTCATATTCTACCAGACCGCGCGCCTATTCATTTAGCAATTCAATAAAAAATATTGACTCTGTTTTTATCTTTTCAGTTCGGCCGATCCGTCCTATCAATATAAACCTCCCCCTCCTAAAATGATGGGATATCTAGACGCTATATGACCATGACAGTTCTAGTATCTTCACTAAGATATTGTTCATTAATGAGGGTGATGAGTAATTCTTGAGTAATATCTTTATAATAAGGCGACCATTTTCTCGAGTACGACACTAGTTACTATACTCGACCCTGCAAACGATGCTGACCCACAAAATCGTTGTATCTATAAAATTATCAATCCGCTTAAAGGGGTCATCTACCCTTTTATTGTCAAGAGTCGCCGTTGGAGTTTATAACTACAGTCACCATAGAAGTTGCAGCCAGACCATGGAAAGGTCCCATATGGTAGCTGTACGTCGGGCGTACGTTCGACTAACGACTGCCTTAAAAATCTAGGAGCTACAGTAATTGACCTGTTATAAAAAACTAAACCCAAGGCTGACCTTGCGTCATCAATTTAAAACAATACGGCAACCGTAGTTTAAATGTTTCCTCAAAATCCAAATACGCCGCACGGGTGCCGTTGCAAATGTGACGACTTTCACAAAAATAGTTGATCTTCGCCAGAATTTCTTATAAGGCGATCGTAGGTTACTTTCTTCTTAGGCCACTATATATCGTGGCCAAGAATTGACTAGAGACTCGAGTAAATCATAGACAAGTTACTAGCTGCAGAAATGTTGATACCGTGGTCGCCGTAGCAAAGACCGAGGCTTAAATCAACTCAGTAACAAACTCAATGTGTTACACATTCTTACTGAAGTCTTGAGATGTAGCAAACATCACTGGGGGACCCAGAAGCTAACAGGGCGTGGGCACATTCAAGTCAGGAAAAAACATTTTTTTCTGGGCCCACCCAAGGGGGGCATCCCCCCCTGGATCCGCCAGTGAACATGATGTATAGTGCCCTAGTAGAGCCCTGCATTTGTTGGTTCAAAAAAAATTTGCCTGAGATTTATTTTCCCCGGGTATTTTCCACTGATTAGTCTAGACTACAATTTTATTTTGACATATCCTCTGATCACTATATATGGAATGATGGAATAAGGAATAAATACATCTATATTACTCGAGTCTCTAGCTTATATAGAGAAGGCTTTGGACCGAAGTAACATCTATACTTTATACCAGGGAATGAAATATTTGATTTTTATCTACAACACTGAACACGTTTTGTGAATCAAGCCCATGAATCAATCAACTGATAAAACTCTCACTCAAGACATATTGACACTTCAAGAAAATTTGAAACTTTTAAATTTGCCGCCAAAAAGGTAGGCGTGGCACTTTGAAAGGTTGGCCAGTGACATCTGTTGAGCAAGATTCTTGAGTTAGAATAAATCTAAAATTTTTCAATAAATTAGCAAATAATTAACATTTGCCTATTTCGGACAACTTGATTCATTGATAAGAATCGTAATAGATAACTCATTTTGCATTAGAAGTGAACACTTGATAACAGGTATGACGGAAAAGAGTCAAAATGGAACTTCAACACAAGAAAATTTTAGAGAATTTTGTGCCATTGGAAACTTGGAAGGAGTACGTGATTTGTTGAATAAGGGAATGGCTGTCAACTCACAGAATGCGATGAATGGATGGTGAGTGCAAGTTTGTCCTTTTCAGTGTTAACACCAAAGTTGGGCATAAAAGTTTGATTTTGACATAAATATGTACGGGGTCAACCCAGTTGTCCGAAACCCAGTTGTCCGAAACCCAGTTGTCCGAAACCCAGTTCTGCGAAACCCAGTTCTCCGAAAATTAAAAAATTAAATGTCTTAGTAACGAATCTTGTCGCAACTTCGCGAATCAGGACAGCATTGGTATCACGTTGACATCGGTTAGCCCGGTCAATAATGGGTCCGAAAGTTCACGATCATATATAGTCTATATTCTTACTAGATTCTCGGCACATAGACTTATATGGACATTCTACAAATTTTGAACCGCATTGTCCAGCACGAATCGCACTCCTTCTTGGTGAAAATTCAAGACTGCCGCCAACATTTTAGACAATTATCACAGTCGAAGAGAATATTCTGGCGAAAGGAATATCTATCATTAGAATAACGTATGGACGTCCGTGACAATTATATATATTCATTTGATAATTTTTTTCATTCCCTTTTCTCAATAAAATATGGTTAATTATGTTTTCCAATATCAATTGATAATATTTCTACCCTGAAAAATATCTAAAACCCATTGATTTCGTCCAAATTTTCGATAAATCAATAAAATATGCTCATTTTGTATAACTTATATATGTGGCATATATACATATCAGATGTCTATCCTTTTTTCATCATAATATAAGAGGTTTGTATGTTTTAGTAGAAACGTATTCCTTTCCAAACATTTAGATTTAAGAAATTCTCCCATTGGTGATATTGTTCAAAATCAAAACTGTGTTTTGCGATATATTGAACTGTATACGTCCATGGTTGAAGTAAGTGTGTAATAGTTTGTAGTAGAGCCAAGATTTGATCTGTATCATGTACGTACCCTGCATAAAAAAATTCGTTTTTAGTGTGCCATAGATGTCAACCATTAACTATTGCAGAATCAAAAAAGTTTTGTGAAAAATTAGGATAATGTTTCAAAAGTTATACACCGGACAATAAATAACTATACTAAATGCAGACAGGGAGTTTTAATTGCCCAAAAACTGAGTATCAAAATGCATTTGTATCTCTTTAGTATCTTGCATGACTCGTTCATATGAATTCTTTATTTCTACCTCGTTCCTTATACATTCTGAGACAGTTCAACCTTTGCCCCACGTCCTGTTCGTCGTTAGTATGTTGTCACTCGATATAATAGTATAGTTTCCATATAGTTTTTGAAATCTCGCTAAATCTCGTTTTTCGTGAGATTTTAAGAGACTTGCATATTAGACCTCTAATGACTTACATTACCTTCTTTTAAATGGCATATTTGAATTCAGTGAAATGTTTTCTCCTTTAATAGCTTTGATTTACACAGTTATGTAATTTGAATAATTTTCTATGACAATTTAAAAAAACTTGGGCCAAATGTCCATAGATGCAATGCTAAAATTCTTTAAATCCGTGGATTATTTGTATGTCAATCAACATTTGCATGTTTAATCACATCATGTACATAAACAGGGTCATCATGTGGTATATCATTCAAGTTTTATACAGATTCAACAAACACATTTTGATAAATCATGAAATTAAGCCATTTTCCAAATTTTAACATGTAAATGAATGGAGTTCTAGCCCAAGTTAAAAGCTGAATAAAAGATGGCAGCACGAGATTTCATTGATTTTTCTGCTATTTAGAAACTATCCTATTGCCACGCGGTCCTAACTTCGACCGTTAATTTGAATTTTTGACCTACCGGATATTTGAAAATCAATTACGAGTCTCATACTGCACCGTTTTTCTTCAAACTTGTTCCATTCAAAGCATGACAAAAATCTCTTTCTGATGGTACGTTATTATCTTAAACAGAGTTCCTACTTCCAGCGTAATTTTGGTCCCCAGCTGTAAGAAGGCCTTCTAACAGCTGGGGAGTGGGGACCAAAACGCTGCTAGAACGAGGGACTCTTTACAATAAAGTAATGCACTGACAGAAGTGCAGTTTTGTTTTGCTTTTAATGGTATAATGGAAGAAAAACGGTGCAGTATGAGACTCGCAATCCTTGATTTTCAAGGATCTGGTAGGTCAAAAATTCCAATTAACAGCATTTGACTATTTTGAATTTCACAAAGATTAATTCAAAATGATTCCAAATATGTTTAGTTGCTATAAGTTCCAGCAAGATTGAATATATGTCTCTAGGACTTGCATGTTTATCCAAAAATCTATAATGCTTCAATTTACAGTCATAAAACCTTAAACTTACATTTGTATTAACATATACGTACATCTGCTTGCCTCACTAAATATTTTAACTATATATTGAAATGGCAAAGATTGCTTAACAGTTATATATTCTGCCATCCGTTTGACCCTAGATTTGAGCTTCAGACCCTATATTTAAGGGGTCAGTACCCGGTGTTTGTAACAAATGGCAGGCTGTAACAATGTAAATGTTAATGCCTTAATCGTTAATGGATGAAGTGGGATGGGAGGTATCCCACTTATAGAGGTCCATTTAACATTAATGAGTTGGTCTTGGCACTCTGAAATGTTCCACTTGACATATTTCACTCCAATCCATCTAGCTCTATGAACGAGCACTCTTTCATTGGTAAAGGGTGTATTTGAGAGAAAAATATAAACTGAACGATTCCTCCATGGGCTAGTATTTAGCCTAATAAAAACTGTCGAAAGATGAAAATACAGGTGATACAGATCTTCAAATAAACAAAGTTAAATTATGCTATTCTCATTGCAAAGTGGCGTTTACATATTAACATACATAGGGGTCTACAATTTTTAAACCAATTTTCTTTATGCCCCATGGGGCTTTTTGAGAGGGAACAACATTTTTCCAATGTGTGATGGGCGTTCATAAAAGGGAAATAGTTTTCCCAAGCCAGTGGGCATTTATTTAGTAAAGTTGACGTCGTGTACATCTTTTGAAACCAAAAATTATTCTTCATTTAGGTACTCTGTTCGAGAAATAGAGATTAAATTCAAAAAGATGAAGTGAGTAAAAGTGTAAAATAAATCCCCGGGTTTTTGGAAAAGACCGACCCCACCGACCACCGACCGGTCGGTGTTTTCCACTGGTAGCCTCAAAACAGGGTTTGAAGAAAATGTGTAAAAGTCCGACCATATCATGTAAAAGACCGACCATATTTGTAGCTTTAGAATATTAATAATTTGATTTTGAATGTCAATCGTTGGACTAGGCAACGTTTTTTACCGATTTTGTACCTTGCAACGAATGGCAAGCAAACAAATTGGTCATGACCGTCTCCTCTCGATTAATTGCCCTGCCTTAGGTCCTAACCTATCATTAACCAACCTATCGTTTCTACGGGAATCTATCCTAATTTTTTACTGAAATTTTACAATTTCGAAACAAAAATGATTTGTTATCGTCATAGCCTACTGAATACTGAACACGATATAATGTTACATGCGTTCTCTTATCGGGATTAAAAGCTTTTTTTGTCATATCAAATGTAGTTTTTACCAGTTGACGTTTAACAACTGAGAAATCAAACATAACGTTACGACGTCAACATCGACGATGTTTGTGTGTTTTTGTTATTGCGTTTCATATGAATGAAGAATGAACTTAATGCAATGTTACGTGCGTTTTTTTTCCAAAGTGACTAACCAGGATGAAATTGGTCTTCTAACAACTGAAACATCACTTAAAAATATGACATTACACACCACGACGATGTAACGTTTTCATCGTGATTTGAAATGATAATTATACGTTTTTAAATCACGACCCAGTAAAGGTACTATAGTCATTGGATTCCCAGTTTTAGTTTTACTTCTAATTTTGCATTTTTTCATATTTATGTAAAAGACCGTCAGCCGACCACCGACCACATGTACCCAACTGTGGAGAGTGACTGGTCGGTGGTCGGTGGTCGGCGGTCGGTGTTTTACGAAAACCCTAAATCCCTCGTTCCTGTCATTCTGGTAACGCCGTGTAATGGATGCAATTCAAAGTGAGAGAGAGATCTATACATCAGAATGCGTCCATGCCATTAATTTTGCCAAATACATGACATGAAACTGGCTTGAGGTGTGTCCCCCTTTATCTGGTAAATTATGACTAAATTTTTCGGACAACTGGGTTTCGGACAACTGGGTTTCGGAAAAATGGGTTTCGGAGAACTGGGTTTCGGACAACTGGGTTTCGGAGAACTGGGTTTCGGACAACTGGGTTTCGGACAACTGGGTTTCGGACAACTGGGTTTCGGACAACTGGGGTGCACCCAATATGTACAACAGATCAGATAACGCTGCCTTCTTCAAAGGCTGGCTGTATTAGTCATATAAATCCGACCATCGTATGCTTCATTTGTCGTTATTTTTTGATAATTTGGATATTTATTTTTTGTTATTTTCTTGCATACTAGGGTCGTACACACTTGCCGGTTCTAAATTGAGGTAAATGCTTTCCTGACCTGTTTAGGCAACCAAAATCACACAAATTATGTATTAGAATATGCTCTTCATCGATAATGTATTTAATCCTACCTTACACATGTCAAACGCTTGATAATTGAAGAAATTTAGAAATTTTTCTGAAAACAAATTTTTTCCCCATGTGTAGATGCATTCTGGGTAATGATTGTCTAAAAGTAAAAGTCTAGGTGAAACGAAAAACGAAATTACAATAAATAACAACAGCCATATTGAGATCAAGATTTCAACTCGAAAAAGTTTATCATGGAGGAAGGCGTCTTATGGCGATTGAATCGCCTTCTCAGACACCAAGGAGGGTGAAGAAACCGGGAACAGATATGTTGGAAAGATATTCAGACCTACACAGATGAAAATAAAAGACGTTGATAAAAACGTGTGATTTCCAAAAATGCACATTTAGTCACCTCCATTTCGTTTCAAATTGGAAACATGATCAGAGTATACATTAAGATAATAAATAATTACGATTTTGTTTTGGTTGCATGGTTTCACATTTAGACTGTATTCAGTGACCTTGGGAGCCATATTGAAAATTGGTTCAAACATATACGAAAATGATTACATTTCTTTAATAATCAACTGTTTCCTCTTTCCTGTGTTTAAGGTAAGATTTGTTGAATGTTGAAAACAAAAATAAAATAACAAATATCGGGGCCAAATATCCAAATCATCAAAAAGAAACGTGAAACAACAACATTAAGTCGAGTTCACTTGACTAGGCTGTATATAATATAGACTTACTCTACCAGCTGACAGAATTAAGATCTGAGTAGTTCCATTTGTGTAGCCAGGGGGAGTGTGCGAGGGGTGCCCCCAACTCATGAAAAAGCATCTACTTTTCAAGTTCCAAACCTCACACAAGACGAGCGATAAGTTTAAAGGCACGCTTTGCGTATTTTCAACATTTTGTGGCAAAATTTCATAGTACAGTATTTCCAATGGATTGATAAGTACTTTATCTTTTATTTGACACCAAAAACAGCTCAAACAGGCCACATTGAAGCTTCCAATATGTTATCAAAAATATTTTTGATCTGTCAAGCTTTAAATATCAATTAAAGTATCATATTAAATATCATATTATTTGATACATTCATTTTTATAGAAGTGTCGCCATTTTTTAAATCAAGAGGATTTGGTTCAAATTTTATATGCTACTACCGAGGGACGAAGGAGGTCTGTTCAAGATGAAAGCTGAATTTCAAAATGGCCACCATTTTTAGAAAAAAAATTGTTGATAACTCAAATACCATTGGATGGATTTGGTTCAAAGGACAAGGTGCAATTATTGGCAAATATCCCTATGGTCAAAATGAATCATTCGTAGGTGTAACATGAAGAATAAAATGTCATATAATACTTTGGAAAATATTAAAGTGCTCGACACACATAAGCTGAGATAGGGAACATTTCGTTCAGTTAGGTTGTATTGACTTACATGGGGCTGTGCACCATTGACTTAACATGAGGATATCAGCAGATCCCAATAGAGGCCATTGGTTTCCATTGATTATCACAGAAATACCAAAAATACACTATGACCTGAATCGATTGCAAACTTAATAATTTCACAATACGACACAAATGGTTTATCTCATCAAATGTGCAAATATGAAGTTTGCAATTGATTCAGGTCATACTTAAAATTAAAAGATTGTACATTTTTTCATCATTTTTTCCCTACAAAATGGCTATAGAAAAATGCTCCAAAAACAACTTTTACACTTATCAAATATCATACAAGTTTGTAAAACCAAAGATTATACTATTATATTTCATTATGTAGTAACATATTTGGATAAGATGCAGGGATGCGTAGGATGTAAATGGATTTTGACAGTCACAAAAATACTTCCTGGTTTGGAATCTATGCCTCTACACTTCATGATTGAATTATGACCCTAATAAGTGGCCTATACATCAATACAGTGCTGAATATAGGTCAACAAGATACTAGTGTGCATATAAATGTAATAATTGAAGCAGAATACTCATTTTGAAAAATCAGATGAATTATTTTTTTCCCATGGGGAGATCCCAATGGAGGGTGTATAAGGTCCTTTTATATGCTATACGCTCTTAAGAAGTTTTCGTTCCATAAGCACCTGTTCAGTTTGAAATTTTAGAGATGCAAGAGCAGACTAGTGGCAAGATTTAATTAGATTTTGGGCATGCTGGGTAAATTACTTGGTGATCATTTTGAATTTTCCATAAATCTTGTCATAAAAATTCCAGGAAACCATTTATCTGTTCAGTTTTGAAATTTTTATAGATGCAAGAGATGACTAATGCCAATATCCTATTAGGTTTTCCAAGTTGATCACTTTTTTACTTTTCACATTCAATGGCACCATTTTCAATGCACATTTATATATATATTAACAGTACTGTCAACCCCCAAAGATTTTCTCGCGGGACAGATTTTTTAGACCCAGTGCCAAAAATTCGCGGGATTTTGCGGGACATCTACTAAATTCGCGGGATTTCGCGGGACATTTAAGGGATTTGCGTGATTGCGCTTATAGGCCAATTTTTTTTATCAAATTTGCGGGATTTCGCGGGACCATTCGAGGGACAAACACCCTAATTGCGGGACAGATTTTCTAGAAAAAGTGCCCTAAATTTGCGGGATTTCGCGGGACATCCACCTAAATTTGCAGGATGTCCCGGGACATTCAAGGGATTTGCGTGATTTGGACTAATGTAAAAGCGTGTAAAAGTACTTAAATCAAACTTTCAGATACTAGTACTGATTAATCAAATATAATGCACCGTTACATTGTAACTTAAATAAACGTCAACATAACTTCACAAAATACGCATAGAAATATTATTTCAATTGAAAGCCCATGGTATAGGGTTTCGATTAATCTACATCAAATTATAGGGAATGAGGTTACTTTTCTAGATAGGGTTTGTAGAAAAAACCGGGTACCGGGTAGTAAATCCTCAATGATGGGTTCAAACTTGGTACCCGGTCGAAAAAACCGGGTACCCAAAAAACGAAATATACGAATATACAACATAATTAGATCATTAGAAAACGTGTAAGATTTGTTTTGAATTTACAAAAATGTATGTAACTTCCTTCAAAATTGAGATAGAAGCTTCAAATAAAAAGCATTTTAAGCCTCTTTTCTTCCTCTATCATCATGGTCATATTTCCATTGGTAATGAAGGGGGAGGGGGGGGGTGTGATCGCACCATCACACCCTCACCTGGCTACGCCAATGACATTGTAAGACGATTTGAATAACAAGGCAAATCAATTTTACTCTATTTTCAATAGTTCGTATGTTGGTACGTGAATTGTTTTGATTATGATTTAAATCTGTAAATTGCTATCGTTGCTTTAGTAGAGAGGTGACGTGTGTTAATTTACATGATGCAATGTGTAAGATTTTGATTATTAATCATAGTTTATGTGCGATCGCACCCCCCCCCTCCATAACCGATAAAAATATGGTCATGACGATAGAGGAAGAAAAGAGCCTTAAAATATGCTTTTTATTTGAAGCTTCTAGCTCAATTTTGAAGGATGTTACACACATTTTTGTAAATTCAAAACAAATCTTACACGTTTTCTGATAATCTAATTATGTTATACTCGTATATTTGTTTTGTTTTTGGGTAAGCTTACCTGTTTTTTGACCGGGTACCGAGTACCAAGTTTGAACCCAGCATGGAGGATTTACTACCTGGTACCCGGTTTTTTCTACAAACCCTTTCTAGATATCAGCGTCCATTTATTGTAACTCGCGTTTGCTAACATTTGCTCAGTTCTGAGATGAAGGCCACACGGATAGTAAAAAGGCCAACGTTGGAACTATTTGACCTACATCCCTATTGCCGTAATTAAAATGAAAGTTGAACCCTTCCTCTTTATTTTGATACCAAACAACAGCATGCTAGGTACTTAAAATTAGGTAAACTTTACTCCTCAAAAGTGCAAAAACTTAGCTTCTTATATAAGATTAGATAATCACAATATAGGGGATTGCAACAATTTCGGAAATTCGCGGAGGTCGAAAGCCACATTTGCGGGACTTCGCGGGACATTGCGGGACACGCGAATTAGCCTAATTTTGATCGAATTCGCGGGATAATCCCGCCATTCACGGGACACTTGACAGCTCTGTATTAATCTACCACATATTATGTATGTTGCCTACATTGTTGTAATAAACATCTTTGTAACTATATACTTTCAGGACAGGTTTGCACTGGGCATCAAAGCGTGAGCACAAGTCTATTGTGGAGCTGTTGCTACAACATGGAGCTGATCCTAGTGTTGCAAACTCTGCTGGTGAAACAGCAGGCCAAGTGACAGGCAGTGCTGATATACAAAGAGTATTAGGTAACACTTCAGAGTATCTTCATGAACATTCTGCTAAATTATCACTGTTAGATACCAAATGGAGGATGATCAGGACTCTCGCTAGGTTTTTAGACTGTGGTGCAGCACCAGACTCTATTTAGGTCCCACCACAACCTATTGGCTAATCATGATTGTTTCCACAGTCTAAACTTGACTGAATACACAATAATAGCATGTAAAAAGGATTAGATATAACCTAAATATGATTTATCACAATTCAACAGTTATGCTGAAGATGTTTCCAGCATGCACACTAAATATTTCCTGATGAGAGCCCTGGATCATTTTTGTGGATCAATGTTCATTGATGAAAAACTGCATGATTTTAAAATAATACTAGAATAGTATTTGGCCAGACAGGGTTCGGGGTTCCCTCAAACCCTCGAACCCCATCAGCTACAGACCTGCCCATTAGAACTACTGTTTCAAACACAAATCCAAGAAAGTACATGTATTTCAAAACATGCACCAGATCTCATCAGTCATGGTTGTACTAACAGTCAATGCACAAAATTATTTGTATCACTAATACCAAGCATTGAATCTGGATTGTTTTTAGAGTAATAATTTGATGTGAGAGCATGTCTCGATCTTTTTCTTTAAATCCCCGCAATTGGTGCTGATTGAATACATGCACATTACTGTTTGCGCCATTGAGCACTCGATCCACACACAAAAAATCAACAGAACCCAGGTGTTATCAAAGTTTACTGTAGAAAATAACCTTCTTCATGCAGTGGGCATGTAATTTGGGAATAACACTCACTTCTATTTAAAAACAGCCCTTGTATCGTAATCTATAAAGTATAAGCTTTAACTTTTTAATGTCACAACATGTTGACTTGATAATATTTAGAAATGTTTTCATCAGAAGTACTGTGTGACACAAATAATGCCACCCACTAATTTTGGAATGACTTTCTCAATAATTGAGGAATCTTCATAATGTTTATGTGTAGATAGAGTGTTCAGTTGAGGAAAGATTGTTATAATGCTTACATATAATCGACAACTTGGGAATTAAGAGATATGTCATTTTTTGTGGAGGCATGCTCTCACACAAAATCACTCAAAAATGTAAGTTAGAAAGTCTGTCTTTCTTAAAAGTTACCTAATAAGCATGTCAGTTCATCAAATTTGACAAAATTATTTTTAAAAATGGGTAGATAGGACAAATTATTGATAATATATGTTTAAGTTAGTGAAAGCAATTCAGAAGTTACTCAATGGGAGACAGAAATCCCAGTTTGTATTTTTGAACATTTTTTGACGATTTCACTAAGAACATCCCTGGACAGAAAACTTGATATCTCTAAATCTAAATCCAAGTGCACTCTTTTCTCCTTAATTATGAAAGTTAATGGGTAGCATGTTTTGTGTCACCCTGTACATGTAATTAGACATAGCGGTTATGGGGTCCTTTTTTACAAAATATGAGGTTAAATATTTTTATCCACTACAAGGGATTGTCCTCTACTCTGTTTTAAACATGAAATGGAGATTCTATATAGCGTAAAAAATATTGAATATTATTTTTAACATAAAATAAAATGACTCTCTAACTCGGTTTTTAATACTACCAGAGTTATGATGAAAACATATGCATTAGGAAACAAAATATTTTAAAATCACCATATTTTAACATAAAAAATGTACGCTTTAGTGTATACAATGTAAAAAAGGAAACTAGGTACGAAGTGCTAATCATAGACCTTAATTACTTGTCTTTTAAAAGATTGCGTAAACATTTAAAAAATTAATTAAACTTGGAATGTTACTCTACATCTATCTATCTATATTTCTTTACAGGCGATAATTCAGATACCAACATTTCTTTTTTATTTTCATTTGTAATTAACATACATGTTTCTCGTTGTAGGTGCTACCCCAAGTGAGAACAAGAGATCTGAGCTTCCTATAGTACCCAACTATATCTCAAACCCAGTCTTCCCTCATGTGCAAGACCCAAGAGCTGGCAACATGGTAGATCGAGTAAACAGTATTGGTGAGACTAGGCAGAGTCGTACTGAACATATTACAAATGGTCCTATAGCCAAGAAGGAATATTCTAATAACCCATCAGGTATAAAACATCTTCTGTGTATAAGAAGTATCTTGCCATGCATGTGTATTATCAACCAGAACTCAAACTGAAAGTAAAGTATATTTTCCTCAACCGGACCTTGACAGGTTCTGTTTGTGATGTCACATTTAACCCTGTTGTTGATATTTAACAAATGGTTAACAAAAATAAAACAAAAAATTACAAAATATTTGTAATGTACCTGGATAAAAAATTACTCGCATGTAGTTTTGATGAATTATATCGGGTAGAAACCATTTTTTAAATTCAGAATCACTGAGTTAACTCTTGAGTTTTGATTAAATCTTGTTTTCAGAGATTGTATTGAAAGCAAGAGTTGCAAATGCAGTGGAGACAGACTTTATAGAAATAGAATTGGAGTGGGCCAAGCAAACATATGACACTCTATTGAACCTCATGTGCCATGAACTAGGGGTAAATAAAGCTCTAGTCTTTAAAATTCGAAAGATGCCAAACACAATAGTTCGCAAAGATAAAGATGTGCAGCGGCTGACTGACTTCCAAGAATTAGAACTTGTGTTGACAAATAAAGCAACGAGTGAAATGTCAAGGAATTATGTAACATCTAATGGGCCTTCCCTGAGAGAAGTAAACATTGTTTACTAAACAGTAAACATTACTGATTCTCCATGCATATGTTTTGCATATGGTGTACATTGTACTTAAGATAACATGGCAGTATTCAAGGTGGACCCATGTATGGTTCACTTTAAAATGTTAGTCAGACTTGGAGGAGTCCAGTGGGCCATTTCAATCAATTTAAGGACAAATGTCTTTAGACACCCTTAAGGTCACTTGATTGATGCAATTGAGTTTTATCTAATCAAGTATACTTTTGTAAAATTGAAATGATTATTTCTTGAATTTATATACATGTATATACTTGTACTGAGTATGACTTTCTGAAAAGCATTATATTTTACTGTGGCTCTAAGCAACATAATATATGACGTTGCTTTCAATACATTCATGTAAGTTTATATACACGCAAAGCTGAGGTTATTGTTATGCAATAATTTAATCCTGATTTGAAGGTGCCAGTTTTTGTCAATAAATAGTATTTATATTATTGCAGTTCATTGACTGATTTTTCATACTGACTTATCCAACTCAACTGTATTGTGCACTGTGCAGAAGAAATAGAAGTCACTATCAGTTGACAGTAAAACCAGGGGGTTTCACTCCAATATACTTCTTAATATCTATGTGCCGCCCAAAAGACCCTCTTTTTGAGCATTTTTTCCATGTCAAATTCCTCTCAAGATTGAAGGTTTCCATGTTTAATTCCTCTGAGACTTATGATTGACTAAAAAATCAACTTTTCTAGTAATTTGAATTTTGACTTAAAGGGTACTTTCATAGACAATTTTCCATGCTTTTTTCCTCTCAGATTGGGCAATTTCCATGTTTTATGCTCAAAGCCAAAATTGGCAATGCTGCACATACCCATCCAAATTATTTGGAGTGAACCCCCGGGCAGTAAAGGAAGTGGCTTATAGAATTCCAATGTATGAAGTGTATCATTCAGTACCCCTAAATGGTGCACAAGTTGGTTGTGTATTATTGAGCTATAAAACAATTGTTAGTTATGTTTCTAATAACAGTTTGAACAGTCTATTTCATGCTTATCAATTACACTCTATACTTTGGTGCCACTTTAATGCAAACTGTATGTTTCCAATTCATCTCAATCAAAAGATAAAGCAGACAATCAACAATATACAATGAATTAATATGCATTTTTGACTTTTTACAATTCATGTTTTTTTCCAATGTTGCCCATTGTGTTTCTTCACTGTGATGTAAAATAGTGCAATTGAAATGACTTGAGAGTTGAGATCCATTTTTAATTTGTCAATTAATAGTAACAGAGTGACATAAGTATATTATATGTGGAAAGAGCGATGACATTTTTACTTGCTAACACAATGACCTATATCTTGAAAAATAAAGGTCAAATGGCATAATTTCTAAATTTGATTCTTTGATATCCTGTATAAATTCGAAATATCTCAGGGGCTATTATAGGGTCTTAATAAAGACACTCGTCCTTTTACCTAAAGCGTTGATATACTGTACTATGTCCAGTTATATATTTTGATGATTGAATTCAGATGGGCTACAAAATGAATATATGGATTGTTATGTCATTAGATCAACTGTATATTATAAAAAAGAATAGAATAGAACAGAATAAAAACATTAGCGATATCTTTTAATTGATCATCACCAATCTCTTGAAACCAGCTTATATATTAAGATAACTAGATGGTGTAAACGTTCCATGTATACGTTCCTCTCACTTTTATGATTTATTGCAAATAAATAAAGATTCGTGTATAAAAGTAATTCTTAATTTCGTTTTACCCTTTTAAATAATTTTCTTTTAGTAGAACTTCATCCTCCGATCACAGGGCTTCAAAATCCAGAATATATTCTTTCTTTTTACACCCTGCTATAAGCAGTTAGCATTTCCCCTATTAAGAACTCGCAGTCTGATTGGCTGTCACAACACTGGGACAGAAATCATGTGTAAGTCATTGCGCATAATTAGATCACGTGATTCAGTTTAATCGGGCGCTTCCAAATTGGTTATAGCAGGGGGAAGAAGGAGGTACGGATTCTGGGCACCTGTTTAGGAGGATGGTAGAACTTCTACCCAAATATGTGCACTAATAGCATGAGCTTCCTTGACCCTTTGTTTGCCTTCTAGGAAAGCCACGTCCCCGTCTCCCGGTTACCTGTGCTCGTGATGTTGGGCTTGTGGGCGGGCATACATCATCGGGGTACACATCTTGTCATCAAAACTCCAAGAAAACTGCTTACCTGTTCAACTTTAATTTTTTACAGATACAAGAACAGACCAGTGCCAGGATATTAGGTTTTGGGTAAATATTTGGTGGCCTCTGAATTTTTAGATAAAAAAATTAAGTGCGATATTAATCACCAAGGTGTCTTTACACTAATCCTCCCTTTCCAAATTCCATGAGATTTGATCAATGAACACTTTCAGGGTATGGTCGGTGACTACCATGTTCCATCTATTCCGGGCTTAAATATTTATCATTGATCTTTTTTATTTTATGAAAGTTTATATTTCCATGTATACTTTTTCATAGTCCACAAAATTTCAGTCGTGTGTTTCTGACATCCTCAAACGGATAAACGCCATTTCGATCAGTCGAATCGTTTTGCTATATTTTATAATTAATGGAATATAATTTTATTATAATAAATTGAATATAATTTTTTATTATAGTTAATGGAGTATAATTTTTTCAGTCGCAAAGTTGATTTCTCAATTGTTTGAAGACAAATTTCATAATAGTAAAAACTCTAATAGCTTTCAAATTGTGCGGTTATGACATATTAGATCACGATGGGTAAATGCACGTAGCGTGTCGATTTGAAATATGACGACAAAAGCACGCACATATATCGGGTGTCCAAAAAGTGAGCCGCTTTTGGTAAGTATCTTCTCAGTAATAGATATGCCGAATTCTTCGAAATTTTTTATTGAGGAACGATAGGGTATCATAAGCAAATGCTATAAATATGATTCAAGAGAATGACTACACAGTGTGCGAGTATTGTCAAATTAAAATCTGCATGCCAAAATTAAGGTGACTTATTTCATTCTGAAAAAGCCGTTTTTTCACGCAGAAAAATATATTCATATTGCACACGGATGAAATTTGTATATTTCAGATTATTTAGTGTTTAGTGTAATAAGCCCGTGCCCTCTTGTAACTTGAGGTCGATCCACCATGTTATTTTTTCAGAATTAACATGGCAAAGAAGCATCAAAATATAAGAGGTTACAGACTTTATAAGCCAATTCACAAGCACTCCAAGATATTCAAATGTCATTCGTGAGCAATATGAATATATTTTTCTAAATATTATTGCACAATAGTCTTTAGACTTCTTATTTTTTAGGTTCAACTGCTTGCCTTTGAACCAGATTAACAGACAGTAGACTGGTAGAATGCATCGTTAATCCTTCCAAACTGATTTGGTGGACAAAACGGACTTTGGAGACTTAAACTGTTTGACAGATGTTGTCACCTGATCATTTTTTTACAAACAAATGTTTTCAGTCAGGCTCCGTAACTGAGTCAACTTCCGAAATTCAAAATCGAGAAAATCGCATATCCTCAATTTTAATACCACATTTGTTACGTTTTTATTTAAACAACTTCATATTTCAATAAATATATTTTGAGAAGGTACACTGGGGATGAACTGGAAACGAGGGAGGTTTTGCCTCGTATCAAAATGGCGGCGCGTGAAAAAAAATTCATTTGGTAAGATTTTTGTTTTTTACAATTTTCGTGCTTTTATCCTTCAAATTAAAACTTAATATTTGGCAAGTAAATAGTTCATAAGTTCCGGTTTTATGATATGATTGCAAATTAGAAATCAATACAGACATTGCTGAGATATTTACATTTCAATTCTCTCACTTAGGAAACGAGGCACCTGTCTACATTTTGTAACAGTGAAACGAGGCAATGTTTGACTTGCAACGAGGCATCTATTCTTTCTGTGATAGTGTCTACATTTAATGATCTTATTTCCACCGTTCTGGTCACATACGACCGATTACGTTTTACACGATATACATGATCCAATGCTCCACTTGCAATGTTATTCAACACGGATATAAAAACTGATGATCTATTTATTTTCTGCATTTTTTCAACTACTCGGGGAATTATTGTTTTGAGTTCTTCGAGATCATCGTCGAGATCACCGTCTGGATCATCGTCGAGACCATCGTCATCAGGGTAATCAATTGTTGGTTCATCATGCGATTGTATAGATCCATTGGACTGCTCATTTACAAAATCAGAATTTGAGATGTTTACACCTGAAAATGAAAATAAAGAAAATGCCATTACTATAAAGAATATATCTGATAGCAGCTTATACTGCTACATGTACATGTAGAGCGGGATGAAGAGGGACCCTGGTTTAGGGCACATTAATAACTCCTAATATGCATACCTCGTACAGGGTAGTCAAAATAATTTTACATTTCTGGCAATTCATAACTCCATTTGCGATCAAGTATAAAACATTTACAAGTTTTGCGACATCAGTTAAAAGGAAATAAACGCTCATGTGCGCCTATATAAAGGGGAACATTCGCCCAAAGGCATACCATATAGAAACTCAGTTGCTATTAACCAACAAAACACAATCAAACTGTTAATAATTTGAATATATATTTACTTGATTCTCTCTCGATCCGTCGTTTTATTCTCAACTGCATATCAGAATTTATCATCACAGTATGCCCTACCTTCTTAAGCGTTCTTACACGTTCAATGGCAACGCCAAAATGATGAGACGTGTATACAAATGAACCTGTTTTCTCATCTAACGTTCGTTTCCGTACAGAGAGATATATTACCATCATGCTGTTGCATCATATGGAATACAATATCAGCAACGTTGTCGTTTCCTGTGTTACAGAAATAGCATTTGAACAGAGACGCTTCTTTTTGTAGGCCCCGTTCTGTAATAAAAACAAAACATTTTTAATTAAATATGGTTGCCTCGTTTCATTCTTAAGAATGCTATTATAGCTGCCTCGTTTCCTTGAGAAACATGCCTCGTTTCCTAAGTGAGAGAATTGATATGTAAATATCTCAGCAATGCCAGTATTGATTTCTAATTTGTAATCATATTATAAAACCGGAACTTATGAACTATTTACTTGCCAAATATTAAGTTTTAATTTGAAGGATAAAAGTACGAAAATTGTAAAAAACAAAAATCTTACCGAATGAAATTTTTTCACGCGCCGCCATTTTGATACAAGGCAAAACCTCCCTCGTTTCCAGTTCATCCCCAGTGAGGTAAGAGGTTTTTAATTTTTTTTCTGTTGGAACCTTGGAAAATAATTTTAGTGTTTAATTTATGAAAATTATACACTGATTGGACAACACCAATGCAAATTAAGCTATTTAGACGATCTTCTTAATGCTTCTTCACATATCTTCACATAAATTCAATTTTCGAGTCAGGAAAACTTGAAATGATTCGCGCTTGCGCGGAAGTAAATTTTGGGCCCATAAAATCACCAAATTTTGAAAATTTGAGGCCCATTTTGGATAATTTGAAAGACCAAATTATGCTCAGAAGACCTAGGCCTTTTTGAGGCCCTACAAATTTTTTCTGGGCTCATAAATTTTTTTCTGGGCCCACAAAAAGGGGGGGGGGAGACTTTATCCGCCGCAGTGCGGAGCAGTAAGTAAAAGTAACGATTTGTCGAATTGGTTTTGCCTATACTTCAGCCCAGATAAGGTTTGTTTTGTTATTGGAATATTTTTTACCACCCTTTGAAATTTCATTTTATTCAGGTTCGTTTTAAGCCCGGTATACACCAATGGGGCATTATCCATCAAAAATCAAACAACCCGCGATTATTTTGATCCTAAATGTTATACCACAAGACCAAACACACAGAAGTTTGAGAAATTAATGAATTCAAACAAAAATATACTCATAAAACTTTGTAAATTTTTAATCGAGGCTGGGCAAAAAAATGTTCTTACATGTATATAAATGTTATTTTAATGTTTGTTACTGTATTAGTTAAGTTTGTCTTTTGTACTCTTATACCCTATAAGGGGTGAATTGAGAAATCAATAAATAAATAAATAAAATAAATAAAATAAATAAATAAAACATTTACCGCATTTCCGAGCGACGCCTGTTTTCAAGAACATTCCCGGGAGTTAGTCAACTCAAGCACAAGACGAAACTCGGTATCAATTAAACTGCTACATCTAGCGGGGATTTGACACGAGGAATATCTGGAAATAATATTTGAAGGTATTGTCCATTATATCGTTACAACATTTCTTTGTTCGAGATTTATTCATTCCATGAACTTCAAATAATTAAAGTACAAAATTTATAATGTTTTATGGGTGGATTAAGATCAGTTATTTTCAGAAAAACGTGATGCAGATTCTAGACGAATGTATTATCGCCCACAGATGAATTAAAATATTGCAACACATTCTATTGCACAGGCATCGGAGCAGATATTAGAGTTGTCCTGAAAAGAAAATACCTTTCCACTCTCTGGGTAGAAGGAGAAAATTTGGAGACGATCATGTAATAGGAGGTGAGATACTAAGGAATGTAATACTTGTAGAATCACAGCACAGGGGCTTGTCTCGAGGCGTCCAGCTGTTCATGTACCTTAAACCCAATACCACAGCTTTTATTTATTAATCTGAATGTTCTTGTTGCCGTGATTGGGTTTAAGGTCAGGGTGCATGATGAGAAATTTTCTGCATCCCTCAATTGAGTCACATGTTATTTTTCAAACAAGAATCACTCCTTCCCAACATTGTCTATATCTTCCAGGTTTGCACAAAGAGTGCACTTATGTGCCTAGAAAAGACTTGTGAGAAGAATGTTTTGATAAAGTGAATAATAAACAAGAAAATTCAGTGAAAAAATTCAGAAAATTTTCAGAAATATTTTTTACTGAATTTTCTCGTTTTTTATACATTTTACAAATCAAATCTTCTCACAAGTCTTCTCTGGGCACATAAGAGCACTCTTTGTGCAAACCTGGAAGATGTAGACAATGTGGGGAAGGAGTGATTCTTGTTTGAAAAATAACATGTGACTCAATTGAGGGATGCAGAAAATTTCCCATCATGCACCCTGACCTTAACTTCCGTGCTATGCTTTCATTGGTTTCAAATTCTCACTATCAGTTATTAATATGCGCATGAAATTCTATGCGCTGACATACATGTAGGCCACCATTAAATTTTGGCATCAAGAGCCAAATAGGCACGGATGTTCAACCTAGGGCGGGCCACAAGATATGTCAAATAAGAAGTAAGGCCCAGACTAAGTTTAACTTGTTGAACTCTTGTAGCACTATGACATGTATGCTGACAGTCACACAGAGATATCTCATAAATAATATGCGCATGAAATTATATTCATACATTGAGATCCTAAATAATAAGGAATGGGTTCATAAAGAAAAAAGTTATGGTTGCGATAGTACCAGAGTCGGGGGGTAGGGTGAGCAGGCAAATCAATATTTCAACAATCAACTCCTGGTTTGCTCCTAATATCATTGAAGTACTCAGGATTAGATAAAATACTAATTTAATCCTCTGCAACCTGAAAATAGTATGTTTTTTCTTTTTTTAAGTTTAAGAAAACAATAATTGTCTTTTTCTGAATTTTCAAAAGTTTTTGTCTCCTGTAATTATATTGGTTGATAGATTTCTAATGAACCAATCATATTGCTGGAGACAAACAACTTTGGAAAGAACAAAATTGTTTTAGATCTATTTGTTTTCTTAAAAATACCAAATAAACATACTTTTCAGGTGAAAGGCTCAAATAAGTATCTTGTAATAATCAGACTTCATTTTTGCTTTACAGGTCAATGTTCAATGTATCTACAAGAGAGAGCAGATGATGTATAGATCAGAATATGAAGACAACTGGGGGGAATATGAAACCTTACAACATTACCCTGAGTGTGATGGAGATGGAGACACTGAATCTGACCTTGATGATCTTGAGGTCAGACTTTACAGTCAGATTCACCATGGAAATATAGATGATGAGGAGCAAGAAACCAGTGACCAACAAAATGAAGTGTTACTTAAATCACCTATTAAAGATAATGATTATACATTATCTAAAATTGCTGTGTCTAATTTATCAACAACTGTGGCTAGTAATAAGGCAAAGCAAGAGACTTCTAAATCGAATGCTTCAATAAATCTTGAACATTTTTTAACTAGAAGTGGTGATGGGGATAAAAGTGATGAATCTGATCAAGTTATAACTATCAATCAAATCAAAAAGTCGAAGAAAAACAAGGAAAAAACAGAATGTAAAAACAAAAGACAATCTAGGTTTGGAGAAGATGAGGACTCTATCACTCAATGTAAAACCAAAAAGAAAAAGGTGAAAACTAAAAGATATCTTGAAAAAACTGATTTAAAGCATGCTGATGGGAAGATTGATAGTTCATCCTCAGATGTTGAGGATATAATCGAAGTTAGTCCCAAGACTAAGCCTACTAAGGTCGACTGTATTGTAGTGACTGATACTGAGGATGAAGTGATTGTGTTAGGTGACAGTGATACAAATAGTGATACAACAAACATTGATTCAGCTGATGCGATTGAGGACGACAGAATCAACCAAGGTAGTGAAGACATTTGCAAAAAATCAAGTGATGAAGTTATGTCCTTTGATGAAGATTCAAATGACAATGATGAAGAATATGAGGATGTAGATGAGTCTAAGACAGATGAAAGTGAAGACGATGATGAAGATGACGTAAGTGATGAAAGCAACAATAATGAGGACATGGCTCTAGATATTGATATAGACACTGACGATGAGGATGACATTAAGGTTCACACATCAGGAAAGCCTGCTATTGTTCTGGACTGTTCTGAACTTAGTGATATCGAAGATATGAGTCTTGGGGACATTCACAATGCAATGGGAGGTATAGCAATTATTTTATAATTTTCCTACATTATTCATCATTCATTCTACCAAAACATGTTTTGTGCTATGAGTTTTAAAGGACAACTGAAATAGCTTTTCTCAACTTGCAGCTACAAAAATGTGGTTTTCTCCATTGTAAGCCCACCATAGAGTTCTTGCGATAGCCATTATAAAATAAATGTTAGATAACTGCTAACGGTCATAGATAACGAAATAAAACTAACTGATAAATCAAATTGGCCCCCACGTGATTAGTAACGTCATATACAAAATATAGCTTTGGTTTATTGGTTCCATAGTAATCATAACGTCACGGCAACCATAGGATTGTTGTGTAAACAAATAACAAAACATTTTGGCATTATGACGTCATGATCTAATGGACCAAAACGGGCCACGTGGGGACCAGTAAGAGATCACGTGGGGGCCAATAACGTCACAACCAATTCGAATATTGCTTATTAAGCAGCTATAACGATCGTTAGAGTGAAATAGTTTTCACACTACTGATGAGAAAACATGTCCAAATACATCTATCAAAAAATTATATTGATTCCTTTAGGTTAAAAATACCATTTCATATCTGCTTTAAGGTTAAATGGCAATAACTTATTCTGATCCTAAGTAAATCTAAAATGTTCTCTGACTGCAAAAAGATCTAGTAGGTATATTGAGAAGTCCTCCCTCCATCTGCATAGATCTATCCTTGATAACCCAAGTACCAGTTGACAGATTTAGTACCAGTTGATGGAAAAGGTCCAAATTAGACTTATGTATTATGGGGATAGGATCTCTGATTGAGAAGGAATTTCTAGTATTTATGTTAAACTCACTTTGGCCGAAACTTTTCAAAAAAAAGATATAATATTTGATACCCTAAATACCAGTTGTCAGATTTGGTTCAGATTTATGTGCTGATGCCATATAGGACTTTGCTCAAAAGGATTTTTGGTGGTGACATATTGTTTTGGTCTCCGTTGGTGGTTTGCGGTTGGTTGTTGGTGATAGGCGACTGTTATGAATTCTTACAACTTCCAATAACTTAAAAATACTGTTTAGACTGACTTCAATTTTTTTCAAAATCATCTTCATGTTTTTAGAAGTTCAAATCTGATTTTATATTAAAGATTTGACCTTCAATGACCTCTTCAAGGTCAAAAAGGTATTTTTTCAACTTGCTTCAAATTGACCAATTTAAAAAGAATCATCTACAAGTTCTCAACGGTTCAAATCTGACCTTCAATGACATTCTCAAGGTCAAAAAAGATTTGACCTTCAATGACATTCTTAGGGTCAAAAGGGTCTTTTTTCATCTTGCTTCAAATTGACCAATTTTTTTCAAAATCATCTACAAGTTCTTAGAAGTTCAAATCTGACTTTAGATTTGAAATTTCACCTTCAATGACCTTCTCAGGGTAAAAAAGGTCTTTTTCAACTTGCTTCAGATTGACTTATTTTTTCAAAATCATCTACAAGTTCTCAGAAATTCAAATCTGACTTAAGATTGAACTCATAATATTGTGAGCAACTAAGTCTTGACATTTTGTCATGTATGCCTTGTTCAAGTTGGTTAGTGAATTATGTTAGTGAATTATGGTAATTAAGTTACCATTTCTTGATATATATGTATTTTGTTCAATTTATTTACTAATTTCCTATGGTACAGAGTGCAGATTTAGCAAAAATGAGACAATAGAACTGCCTGATTATCTCTATCATATAATGTTCAAAATGGTGAATGATTAACATAAACTTCTACTGTTTCAATACTCTAGATATTTTGTATTCTTGAAATGTATGTCCATTTCTAGAGTGTGATTGGAGTATTGACCCTGCGGACATACCACAGTTCCATGTATCCACTAGGGGGCGCTACTTCTTGAAGAGCATTGAGTGCCGCAACTGCAGGAAGCGCGGACATTTATCTAAAGAATGTCCAAAACCAAAGGTTAGGATAATATACATGCTCATCATTTTGTCATCATTATTGTATCAGATATAAATGAATGCATCCGTTGTATAGTGTCGTTGTTTAATTGGTCCTGTTAAAATGCAGTGAATATGACAGGAAGAAAAGTCCCTGTTAAACTCTGACTCAGGCAAGAGGGAGGTCAGTTGTAAAAGAGGCCCCTATCCATATTAGAGAAGGTCTTCCATATCTATTGATGTAAATTTTGCCTTGCGGAACTTTTTCTTGCACTTCATCTGCCTCACATACAGCAGTGATCTCCCCAGCATTAAAGCAAGTGGGTGGAGCACCCACATGAGGTTTTAAAAATGGACTTGCCCCCACCTCAAAATCCATTTGCACCCACTTGAATGTGAGAAAACCCCTGAAAAATGGGCATATTTTAACAAATTTCAGTCTGAAATGTAAAAATGAGAATTTTGCAACCACTTGAGAAATAATCCTGTGGGAAACAATGTAGAGTGTGACCAGAAAAATATTTTGGAAAAACTTCTCAGACATGATGGAATCTTTAAGGCTTTTTGTGTAAATATAGTGTTAAATGCAGAAAATAGTGGTGTCCTTATATTGCATCTGTGATTTTGAAATTTAAAGTAATCTTGGTTTTTGAACATGTATGCTCTCATGTGAAATTGTCCAAAAATGTTCAAACAATCTTCTGAAATTGGGATGCCTGTTTAAGCCAATATTCAAGTCATTTCTGGATTATTTTCATATATACGAGGGGGGATTCATAAGTAGTGGGACTTTTCTGAGGCAGCAAGTCCCTGTGTACATATCTCAACCAAATTTGGCACATGAACGGACTGGGATATAAGGTATTGTTTGGTGAAATTTCAATTTAATTCATTTTGTTCCCTAGCAACAATGGTTGCTATGGTAAACAAAAGTAGGGGTTAACGGAGCAGTTAAAAAATGAAGGGCTTGATCAACATAAATGTGCTCATAAATATCTCAAAATGACTGTTATTTTCAAATATTTGGTTTCATATTGTCTCAAGCCTTGTAGTCATGACAACTGTAACATATATAACATCATCATGCTATTGTGATGGCACACAAAGCAGTGACACCAGGACACTGCCATTTTCAGTCCTTCTTGGATGGAGCAAAATTTGATTAAAATAGCGATGAAAAAGCAAGATTCACGTATAAACATTCGTGCTGTGTACATATCTCAACCAAATTTGGCACATGAACGGACTGGGATATAAGGTATTGTTTGGTGAAATTTCAATTTAATTCATTTTGTTCCCTAGCAACAATGGTTGCTATGGTAACCAAAAGTAGGGGTTAACGGAGCAGTTAAAAAATGAAGGGCTTGATCAACATAAATGTGCTCATAAATATCTCAAAATGACTGTTATTTTCAAATATTTGGTTTCATATTGTCTCAAGCCTTGTAGTCATGACAACTGTAACATATATAACATCATCATGCTATTGTGATGGCACACAAAGCAGTGACACCAGGACACTGCCATTTTCAGTCCTTCTTGGATGGAGCAAAATTTGATTAAAATAGCGATGAAAAAGCAAGATTCACGTATAAACATCCGTGCTGTGATTAAATTTAATGCTTTGAAGAAGTTTTCAGTATTAGAGACCTATAGAGGTTTGTTGGAAGTCTATGGGAAAGAAGAAGTAAAAAAATCTACAGTATATAGGTTGTATTCTGTATATGTATTCTGAATATGCTGCGAGAGCCGAGATAACCAATCTTGGAAAATATGGTTTTGAGGGTGCATACCTAGAATGGTTGAGGAGATGCCAAAAATGCATTGATTGTAATGGTGAATACTTTGAGAAAGAGTGAGATTGCACCAGAAGGATAAGGAATCAATAGTCTTGCACATAATTGATTTGCTCCACAAAAGGACTCGCTAGAAGTCACGGATTAGATCATGTCCTGAATATCAGTTGAGACTTGTATATTTAACTAGCAATAAGTGACAAGCAATATGCTCCGTGGACCCTGTTGTGACGTCATGATTGGAACTCTCACTTTACTGAAGTTGGGTGTAACTTTTTGAAATTTTCACACAATGATTATCACATGTTTGTGGTTCTGTGTTCCAAGTTTAAATGAAATCTGGTTGATATAAGTGAAGTTATAGCATATGTTCCACTACTTATGAATCCCCCCTCGTACATGTATTATCAATAATATGTCTACCTATTTTTTTCGAAAATAATTTTGTCAAATATGATAAACTGACTGGCTTATGAGGTAATTTTTCAGAAAGACAGGTTTCCTGCACCAGAGCATGGCTCCATGGAAAATTTGATATCTTTAAATCTCAAAGTAGTTGGTGCTATATAAGTGCACCTATGTTTCATGAATTGAACAATCTGTATGCAAAAATTCATGGATTCTCATGATTGAGAAAGTTATTCCAAAACTAGAGGAAGAGGGTAACATTTCTTCTGGTAAAACCTGCATACTAATAATCACTGATAGAATCTGTATTGTAACACAATCTTTAGACCATCCAAGCACAGGAAAGAGTTTGAGCACATCTTTTGGAAAGGTTTTATATGCTACTTTCAATCCAAATAAGCCTGAGGCTTACAATGTATAATGGGATTTGCTTTGCACTAGAATTGTCACAGTCTGCTAGTTTGACAAAGTTTGACCTGTCTCCTAAATGTACTCTAAAACTAAAATAAGATGTGTGACAAATAATGCTATATACATGTAAGATAAAGATAAGTTTGTTGTTCTTTATAGTGGTAGGTTACACAAATCAACCCAGCCCACCTGGGCTTATCAACCACTTAACAAGTTTAAACATTTTAAATTATACAATTAGTGAAATAAATATCAATCTGTGTTATACATATGGTTACGTCTTTTGACAAAGCACTCCCTTACAAAATGAGCAAATTGTCTTGTCATTTTCTCAAACAGGTACTTAAACTTTTCTACATTTGTGTCAATACATTTAAAATTGTTATCAATAAAATACCTCTGTCTAATTTCATTATAAAAATGGCAATGAAACACAAAATGTATCTCATCTTCCAAACAATTTTGTTCACATAAACAGCATAATCTTTCTTCTAGTTTTTCATTCTTAAAACGACCCGTTTCTATTCTTAATGGTAAAATACCCATACGCAATTGTGCTAAAAGTGACTGTTCATATTTACTTAAATTCAATGTCAAATACTTTTCAGTTTCATAATTATTTTTAAAAGTTGCATAAGTCCTTAACTTTGGTTTTGAACTAACCATATCTGGCCATCTATTTTTATAATCATCCATACGATTTTTTAGCACAATTTTTGTATCACAATATGTCATATCATTGAAATGTTCAGTAAGATTACATTTCTCTAAAATGCTTTTTACAGTTTGAGACCATTTACTCTTACATTTAATGTCCCATAAAAATATTTTCTTTGTCAGTCTCCCATCTTCCAGCCATGATAGGCGGTTAAATAATCGAACTAATTCAATTTGCTGTTCTAAAATTAAAGGTGTCCACCCAAAATCTCCATGCAAAGCATGTAAAGGCACAAATTTGTGTACTCCTGCATAATACCTTTGTGCTCTATCATAAATTAAATTACAATATTTTAAATAATCATGTGCTCCCCATACTCCGACTCCATAATGTAGCACTGGCAATACACAAGCTTTAAATAATTTTGTAAAAGTATTAAATCCTATGTCTCCATTAAACTTGCACTTATTAATTAGAGCACCTAGAGCTCTACCTGCTGAAGTATCATTTTGACAAGCATTTTCCAACGAGTCTTTTTGCTCCATAGCAGTTTTATAGAATTGATTATCAAAATTTAAACTATTTACACTGTACAACTTCTTATAATCATTTTCCCATTTTTTAATTACAGATTCTGCTTTATAATCTAAATTACCATTATCATCAAATACCTCAAGAGGAATACATTTCTTACGTTTCGGGCCAGTTGTTTTTATAAAGTTCCAAAACTCCTTTGGATTGCTATCATTGGCCTTTTCTATAGATTCAAGTATATTCCTATCATATTTTCTCTTTGCAAAACGGAGCTGTTTATCAAATAATTTGGCTGCATATTTAAAATCATTTCTATACATTGCTTTCATATGCTGTCTACCTGTACATTTCAAAAAAAACTTTTCTTTTTCATGCATATCTTTCCATAGTACGCTAAGTTCATCTGTCCAATTAAGGTTTCGATTTTTTATGACAAAAAGCTCCAAATCTTTTTAAATTATCATTCATTTCTTTTAATATAATTGTACATAGACTATCATATTCACCATCAATGCAATCTTGATCAATGACGCTCAATTTTTTGAATCCAGTCTAAAACAATATTTTTCAGCCTATGTGATTCCATAAAGTTTGCTGGCATATTACGTGTATTATAAATTGCACCCTTATAATAACTGTAATCATTAGTGTTACTATCAATAGCATCTGTATCATCTTCTAAATGCTTAGAAAATGAAGCATCCTCATCATTTACTTGAATTTGAATACAAAATTCTAATGACAATAGTGAATGGTCAGGTGACTTACATCTATCGTTCAACAAATGTTCAATGTCAAGTTCCTGAATAATATCGGTGCACAATTTTACCTGAAATTGCTTGCAGTTGCTTAAAATGTCATGCGGTACAATAAAATAATCTACGACAGATTTACCCTGCGTTCTACAACATGTAAAATTATCTAAATCACTGGTTACACGCCCAAATTTGACTAAAAAATTAAAAGATCCACACTTAACAGCACAAAAATGATATCAATGATCGCATATTTCATATCAAATAAATGTAGGATGTACTAAGGTTTACCATTTTTCATGATATTAAGTATTTACAGAAGCATAGCTTGTAAAGAAACCAAGTTTAACAATACACATTTTTGTATCTTTTAAAAATTCTAATAGGCTATTTCCATGACTATTTGAAACACTATCTAAATTCCTACGTTTATTATTCTCTAAAATACTATCTATTTGGGGTATATAATCATCTTTATTCCCAATACGTGCATTCAAATCACCAACTATAAAATAAGCATCGCATGATTGGGAATACAGATATATGAGAGATGTCAAATGATTAAAAAATCCATCAGCATTTCTGCCATAAACTGATTCTGCCGGTGGAAGATATGTACAATAAATTATAAATGTGTATTTGGAAATTTTATCAATGAACTGAATAGCAAGTATGCCATCATAATGTTTATCTATTACTTCTATGTTATAAATGTCAATTAAATTCCTTTTCACAAACATTCCAACTCCACCATATGCTTTTGGTGATTTTTTATGAACAGTTTTCCTCCTGTGTCCAAACCAAATGTACTTATTTTCAAAAGTGTTTCTAATGATATCATCATTATTAATATGAGTTTCGTTTATACAGATTATGTCACTATCATTGAATGTGATGATATGTTTCCTTAGCTCAAGATTGAAATCTGTCCAGCCATTAACATTAATATGAGCTATCTTGATAGTGGGCTGGGATACATCCTAATCATTAGTTCCCCATGAATTGTTAACTTCAGCATGTAGACCTCGAGCTCCAGATCTTACACCACGTCCTCTAGGGGCCTTAGATCTAACAGCTTCATTCGCTCGCCAGTCATCTTCATTTTCACCATGGGGAATATTGTAAGCCGGTCTATTGTTGCCTCGCATCTTTGTCTGTCCACTGCCTCTGCTTGGTGCCCCACGACCTCTTGAGGTCCTAGATCTTGAATTATTGACAGTCTGCCAATTACCATCATCATTCTGTTGTTCTTCCTCATCATATGATTTTTCGATCAGCCTGCCATTTGCTGTCATCCTATATCGCTCACCACCAGGGACATATCTGAGAAGTTGTTTAGTGTTGATCTCTATCAGTCTTTCTGTGTGCAATTTCGCTCCATTAACGTATACATTGCTGAACTTTTGTTTGTTTTTCAATTGTTTTTTATTTCTCAATATTTTCACCTTAGATTCTATTGAGTTTAGCTGAACTTTCACAATACCTGGTTTGTCATTTCTCATCTTGGTACGTTCAGAGTTCATCACTATATCTTTATCTAAGCCAAAACCTTCTGCAATTAAGGTTTGAGCTTTGGCAGTCACATTTTCATTTTTGTGATATGGCACATTTCTCACAATTATGCTACGGTCTGGGGGAAATCGTCTAATTGGCGCTCACCTCTGTCAGCATTCTGAGAGGCTTCAAGCTGACTCATACGATTGTCCATCTCCTTAACTTGTTTGTTGATTTTATGCTCAAAAGCAAGAGCGCCTTGCTTGAAAGCATCCAGATCCACTTGTAATTTTTGCTCAATATTCAAGATGTGCCGTTTTATGTCTTTTACTTCACGAAGAATATCAGCCCTAACAGCAAGCACTAGATCCTCTTTAACTGCCTTTATGAGCTTGGCTTTGACATCCAGTAACAATTCATTTTGTAAAGATTCTGCCGTGCTGGATTGGTGGCTAGTTTTATTAGGAACTGTTGGCTTGTTAATGTGGTTCTGCTCATCAGAAACTTTGGTTTTAATAGGAGCATTTTGTTGAGTAGTACTTCCTGTGGAAATGAGTGATGGAGAGGCACTGCTGTTTTGAGTGTCTGGTATCTGTGTGTCATCATCATCATGTTTAGTAGACAGCTTATTCTGTGTCATAGGTGTTGAGAATGTATCGTCATTTCCAACATTTTGCTGCTTAGTTGGTGGCGAAAATGAATAGCTGCTATCATCCTCATCCCATGATGATGGTGTTGCACTGTAGGACTTTCTCCCTTTGGTTTTATTGCGACTTTTGTTTCGTTTTCGCTTTGACCGTGCTCTACCCGACATGGTTGTACTTGGCTAGAAATATCAGTATCACGTATCAGAGTAAGATGCCATTATGTGGAGCACTTTGTTAAAAGTTTCAATTTTTGTTTGTAATAGCCCTTCGGAGGCCTCACCAATTAATGTTTGTTGATTGCCTTCATTGTGGTTGCAATATACAGACTTACTATGTATCCTATGTACACTGGCAATATGCCACCTTGTCTATAGCCTAAATTTTAATCCTATTAATATGCTTCATGCACATAGTTTTTCACCTATCCATATGATTTTCAAATTCCTTCACATGAATTCCATACAATTTTATTCAATTATCTCTTTAATCGATTTATATGTCCGTATTTTGATTGCTTCTCAGTAAAGCTGAAATGTTCACGAATCCTGTGGTATCCAAATGATGATTGAAAATCTGCTAAAAATATATGTATTTCCACTTACATTGGAGCCAAAAGTTTTGTGACTTTGCACTCTGATATATATTGATCAGTTCAATATACGGTATATTGATTAATCACAGAGTGTGATTCTTTGAATCTTGTATTTAGAAAATAGCTGTTTGCATTCTGTGTGGGTTGGATGGCCATCTCCAGAGAAACTGCCCCAACTCTCTCTGCCTCAACTGTTCACTCCCTGGACACATTCAGAGGAACTGTGGAGCACCTCAGAAATCTAGGTACATAGAATGCAATAGGTGCCACATGTATGGGCATATAAATAGGGTAAGTTTGACTTGGGGACTCTTACAATATGAGAATTAACAAGATGAATTCAATATAGGGGATGAAATTTATGTTAGGATAAAGAGCCACAAAGCCACTCCATGTGAAGTGATATTTAAATATTTATCCTATAAATAGGTTTTAATAGGTATACTGATTGTAAGCGTTCATGCATGGAGTGGGTTGGCTCACGGCCAGGCCAGATCAAAACGTATGCGCAGTATGCGCCATGAAGAACAACCTGTCACTTTTCATTGGAAATAAAAAAGATACACCGTTATTCGTTCTGAACAATGGTTCAATTCTATCACGCAAAGTCTTTGTCAGTCATACTAGAACGTGTTTATCAATAATAGGTATTGATCCTAAAAAATACAGTGGACATAGCTATAGAATTGGAGGTGCTACGTCAGGGGCAAACGCCCAATTCGAAGAATGGGAGTTAAAAGTGTTGGGAAGGTGGTCAAGTGACTGCTATAAGAGATACATAAGAACTCCCATCGAGGTGTTAGCTAACTTCTCAAAACGATTGATACAGCAGTAGTTATTAGGCAATTGTATTGATAAAAGCGTAAATGTAATAATTTCTACGTCCAGGTCGTGTTGGGCGCTTTTGGGCGGTTATTATTTTATAAAATAAGAATTGGAACAAATGATCGTCCATTTTAGCCCAACACGACTTGTTCTGTCATTTGATTGATTATTGCGTTGGTGATTAAAGAAAAACTATTAAAGTAATTTTATTGTCATTTCTTTAATAATCTTTGAATATTATAGTCTAAAATTGAGGCTCCTCAACAATTTTTACGGTTACAGTAGTAAATATTACTTGGCTGAAAGTTGCTAGACTCAAAACTATACAAATGAAATTGAAAAAAAACAGCAACAAAATTGCAGTAAAATTGGCAGAGTCCATTTTTGGTGAATGTGTAATTAATTTTCATCTTACATCATTCAAAAAACAACTTGGTTTCCTCACAGATATGATATTTATATCTGCCTATCATTGTGCTAGATATGTTTTGTTATATATTTGTAGGAGTGCCCAGATCATTGGAGGCAGTTTCATCTATCAGTGAGTACAAGCACTTATCATTTTCATTTACTATCGTTAGAAGGATCAATAATTCATATATTATGTCACTGTCATATTCCTCAATCTCAGATTGGTCATTCCTTACGTGTTTGGTCAATAAATTCAGACGTAATAAATTTTGTGTAAAAAGTTAATAATTCCAATGAAGTTTGAGTGGGGATATTGAAAGGAAGTCCATCCATCCATATGCCTTTGATAACTCAAAATGATAGTTGACAGATTTGGCTCAAATTGCATATGCTCATGCTTCAGGGACATGTGACCTCAAGAAGAAATTAATATAGCCACTTAATTCAAAATGGTCACCGTTCCATGAAAAAAATGTGAATATTGGTAACCCAAATTCTGGTTACCGGATTTGTTCAAAACCTAATATTATCTAATGAGAATTAGACTTCTACTGAAGAAGGGTTTTCAAATATGGCTGCTACAAAATTGTTGCTTCTTTTTTACAAATATGATCCTTGATGATCCTTATATTTCTGATATCTAATAACTCTCACCCTCTGCCAGAAAACAATGTTAATGACCCAATCCTTAGTACACACTTTCATAGTGTTTTGGTCAGTTACAACAGTGTTTGAATGTGTGACTTTTCTAAATCTATTCGTAATGAAATGTCAGCCCAATGGCATTCAAACGTGGACTATAGAAAGCATCAATCCTTTCACTCTGTGCTACTGTCATTTGTTGCTTCCAGTTTGATATAACACCTGCAAGAAAGAGGACAATATTAAACGTTTCTTCTGATTTTGATGAGAGTTGGAAAAATGTAAGCTGTATAGAATGCAATATTCGAACTTGACCATGCTCTATCAGAGTTTCTCATCCAATCAGATTGCAGCATAGTCTTTCTCTAATTCTCAATAGAAAAATACCTGTTCATTGTGTATTCTGTTTTCGGGAATCTGCACTGTCCTGTGACATAACATTTCGCACTCATTGGACATAATGCCAGTACAGGTGAACTTACCTTCAGTTTGTCCTCTTTCTACTGTACTGTCAAACTCCAATTTCACAATATTGAATTGCCTATCAGTATTTATTCCTTAATTAACATGTGATCAAACATATCTTATTTATATTATACATGTATTACTAAGATAATGATATGTTTGCTGGTTTACCTTTCCTCATATGTGCAGCGGGGGTAGTGTCATCTATTTTACTGGATTTCTTCACGCGAGTAAATGCATCACCAGTCGATGGGTTAGCTTTCATTTGTTCAAAGGTTAGGTGGTGAACTATTTTGGAAATTGTTTCTTCATCCAGATCTTTGTTTAGAAATGATGCTAGTTTATGTATAACTCCTTTCATATCCTAACAGAAAAAAATAAATTAATAATTATGCTTTATGTTGTTGAAGTGAAGCAATTCAAGCAAGAAGCAGATATATAGTAAATGACAAAATTACAAGCATCATCTACGATATTGCAAATTAAAAAATTCTTTAACAAATAATATTTAAGAATATTCATGTTATCTTGTTAAGTGCTAAAGTTACCTAGGGTTCAAAATGCAAATTCAACCAACACAAAATTGATTTCTGACAAAGATTACCCAGGGAATATGAGAAATGTCTCAAAATGGCCAAAATGGTTAGTAAAGTTTGAGAAAGTCAGGGAAAACTCAGGTAATTTTGAGTGCAATTTTGAGAATTGGACCACTAACTGAAAAGATACATGAAATAAAACATTGCGACCCAAATGCAAGCATTGTTCCCAAATCATATGTACATAAAGTGTACATGTAGTGAACATGTATATGTAAACCAGTCTACAGTGATCCATCTTTTTTATTTATTGTACTTCTAAATAAAAGAAAATGATATTTTGTTAAATATTAATATTGATCAGGTCTTACAGAGAAATTGTTAAGTGGTTGAACTGTACCTTTTTCATGTCTTCATATCTTAGAAAGAAGATGTGATCTTTTGTAGCCTCTCTCTGTTTCCACCAACTTGTCACATGACTTAACCATGTACCATATAGAACTAAAGAATAAACATATAATCACATAGGAGTGACATTGAAATTAGTGGGATACATAATCATTAAGGAGTGACTTTGAAATAAGTGGAATGCATAATCACAAAGAAGTGCCTTTGAAATTAGTGCACACTGTTCCCTCTTTGGCAGGATTACAGAACATTCACTTGGTCAGAATTTCCATCAATGGAATGTAAGGGATGGGAATATTACCATCTTACCTTTGTCATTATCATCTCTAAGATGGCTATTAAGGAGTATATCTAGGGTAGGTCTGGTGGTGTAATTATTGCCAAACACATTGTACAAATGTACTTGGCTCACTAGCACTGACTTGGGGTTCCTCAACACAACAATGGTCTGAAAATAATAAAGAAGCTCAACACTAGGTTTCAGAGCTCATATATTGTGGCCTATGGTTTGTTCTTCACACCTATCTCATTAATTTTTGTATGTAAATATTCCTGTATAACACTTACACTGTTTTAATTATTAAACAAATATGGCCTATTCAAAACTGAGTTATCATGTGATTTCAAATATTATCAATGAATTTTATCATGGAGACTTAAAGTAATTTAGATATTGAATTCTGTTTCATCAAATGACATTGTATGTTAATTGCAAAACAACTTGAAACATTTGTAGAAAAACAAAGACCATTGCCTTTGTAAAATATTTAAACAGAACAACTCTTCTGAGGAATGATAAATAAGGCAATGATATTGCATAAAATAATTTAACGTGCAGACTGTATATAATTTGCTAAAGGCTTTCCTGGAGCATCACAGATCAGTTCCTCATGGTCTTATATTGATTATAACAAATGGCTATACTGTACATGTACTCATTTATTTTAGGACACCAGTTAGGTTATGGATGACCACTTTAATTTCGTCTACCTTGCATTTGCCAGTTTTCACCCCTTCAGGCATAAAGTCATAACCCAGATGTGTGACCAGGATCCTGGGGGAGGGGGCCATTGTGATGTCATCAAGGCATTTGCCATCCCCCTCATATGTAAAGATATCATCAACTTTGCCATCAGTGTCTGCAGATATTACAGTTATATATGAAACATATACAGTTACTATTTGTTAGATTGTTTTATTTTATATGGGTTTCAGTCAGTTCTTTTGTTGCCATTTGTGTTTCTCTCATTTGTATAAAATGGGACACATGGGACGCAGGAAGAGGAAAACAAATAAAACACTAAATTGCCATCATCATCTCCACTCTTTTTTTGGCTATAACATGTTGCAGTTTTTAATGCTGATATGATTTTCACCTTAAACCTAAAATATGTAGTATTTTGTAAATATAATGGATAACTCCATGTCAAAATGAAAGTGAAACCACTGGTATATTTTCCTGAATAGTTGTCCATGAATATTATTTTGAATGCACTTTTAACAAAATTTCCATTGCATTTAAAAATGATCTTGTTTATACTTACATTGTTTGGCCATCTCAAACCAATGGAACCTGTCGGTGATATGACTCTGCTTCACAAGTTCTGTGTTTCCTTCCTTTCTAACCAGGTCTATCAGCTCAACTGCCCAGTGAGTTCCTGAATGATATTTTACAAGTACACATCTTCATATTCTTCTGTGAAAAAAGCTATAAGGCTTGTATCAAGTCATGTGTTACACCTCTCATATTAACAACAGCAATACAATGTAGAGAGGGGGGGGGGGCAGAGGCTCAAAGCACTGGGGACATCCATGGATTAAGTCTTGCACTAAGCCTTCATACATGTCAGAGAAAAAAGGTGATAGAAAAATATTCCTTCATTATTCAATTATATTCTGTATACTGTACTGGTACAGTATAATATCATTCCATAGCACACTGTTTGTTTAGTCAAGAACATGTGGCCTTGGATATAGGATTTAAGCCCAGGATTTAATGAATTTTAGATGATTTAAACAAGTATGTCTTTTTCCAGACTTTGAATGAAGGAGGCAGCATGAGCATGGAGTATGTGTATTTCCCTCCAGACTTGCTGTGAAACTCAATCTCCATTTCCAGAGGATAATACTATATCATCACTTATACTGAAATGCCCCATTATAAATAAACAATGTACTAAGAATGGTATAACCCTGTACCTGTATATGTTTATTATCCATGCTGTACCTGATCTTTGGTATGAACTAATAACAATATCATCTTCCCTTATTGGCAAATTCTTCAGATTTTTTATTGCTTCCCAATCTGTGAAATTCCCAAACAGGCATCCATTTATGATTTTTGATTTGAATTTGAATATATCTGCAACCATCAAAGTTTTTTCTGCCATCACTGAATTGTCAGCCGAATGGTCCATGCAGTGTCTTCTTTATGGTATTTGAGTATTACACGCCTGTGTGTTGTCTTTGCTATCTATACTTCATGAATGTTTTATTGCTGTGTTATTCTGTTCTTCCCATCTGTTTACTGTGAACAATATTGCACACTGTAAATCTTGAAGGTCAAGTGTATGTACAGTCTCTGAACTGATAAACATAGTACTTGACAATGTATATATGTTAAGTTAATCAAAGCTATTATATTGTGCAAATTGAGGTGTTTAATATTAGAGTTGGAGGAAGAAAGATTTCTTCACTTGAGTTGTTTTGCGTTCATTTAGAGCATTTAGTTCATTTTTGGTGAAAGTTAGAAAGTTAGGTCATAATGGTAATACTGGGACGTACTGGTTTGAGGATGCTAATGGGCATTCATTTCCTGTGAACATGGACAGATACATTGAAGTTATGAGAAGAAAATTTATCCTTGCACTGGAGCAGAAGCGAGGAGTTGACATGGATACTGTTTTCCATCGGCAAGATGAAGCAATAAACTGCACTGCTCTAATACTTCACTTTAAAATCTCGATCATTACTTCCCTGAAGACAGACTCATTCCCCATTGCATGGTTCACACCTGACTTGCACATTCTCAAGACATATCCTCTATAAAGCTTTTTGGTGGGGATACTTTAAAACAGATATTAGGAGAATTCCTTACATCAACATGGACAGGGACATTACAATGTATGCAAGGAGCTTTGATTGAGCACATTACAAACTATTGGTCTGTGCTCACATTATGATGGTATATGATAAATAAAATTTGCATCACACAAAACTTACATCTTATTGTTACAAATGCAGCACAATCAAAATTGTAAATTACTTTTTTGGACCACCCTGTACAATATGTACAATGTACATATTCTCATTGCAGCTCAACATCTGAACTCAACAAAACCATACCTAACATTATATACTAACAATTACATGTACTTAGATGTTTATTTAGCATTAATATGTTCTCTATTGTTTCAAGAAGTTGATGTGTGAGAACAAAGGACAGTATTAGGTAACAAAAGATGCCAAACCATAAACTAGTAAACTACACAACCAAATGAACTGGATATTTTGCTATGTTTCAGACAATTCCTGGGGAGAAACTTGTAATGGGAAGTAAGAAGTATCGTGAGAATGAGATCACATGTTGCTACAACTGTGGTATGGACACACACTTTGGACATGTAAGTTTATCTTGTACATATTTTGTTGTATAAAGAATCTATTGTACATTTTCACTTTTTGAGAGCAACAAAAACCTTGGAATTCATCTATATTTTTGACAAAAGATGTTAATTGGCTAATTCCCAAATCTCCAAGAATCTTTTCTCATTTCCCCTATTTCACAAGAACTCATTCATATTTCATTTTTTATTTAACTTACTATGGTTGTAGGAATGTGATGAGCCAAGGATTAATCAGTACATCAACCCCAACTTACCATTTGTACAACAATACAACAGGAGTGTATCTATCCAATTAGAGCAAGGTTTGTACATTTTAATAGAGATTAAAGATGTTAAGCTTAAGCTGGTACTGTATTTTACAATGGGACATGAATGGAAAGATTTTCATTGAAACAATATTTTCTAATTAAAATGTTGGTTTTAAAGAAATCTGGAATTCAAATATTTTGCTGTGCAAACTACAAAGTTCCAATTGTATACAAGTACAATGCTCAAACATGTCTAATAAATCAGAGAAATTTAAAGAAATGGCTTCTCATTAGATAATCAAACAAAAACTGAGAATTATGAAAACTATGACAATAAATCACAATGAGAAATCTTAGCCTTAATTGGGGGTCATAACACTAAGAGTAATACATGAAAACCATCACACTTAAAATGTATGAAGGATATCACAACACAAAATGTAACCAACTAAATCAGACCATATTCCTAGTTGACACACAATAAGTTGTGATGAGTATCATCACAATGGACAATAATCATTGGTTGAGTTGAGATGTTGTTGTTTTAAAGAATACAGCAACATAATTTAATATTTTGATGTCTTCAGATATGTTAAAATAAATAAGATTTAAACTGTACATGTTTTTGAAATGGATAATTTCTCTTGCAGGTTTGTTTGACTGTTCTGAACATGAACAGGGGCCACCTCATAAGAAACACCATATAACATTTGGTGAACATGATAATACTCATGAACCACCTAAAAAAAGATTTAAAGCCAAAAATCAGAAAGAACCACAAAACTTGATGTCCGTTCAAGTCAACAAGAAATGGGCCAGCTTTGCTCAAAATGTCAGTGAAAGATTACAAACTAAAGTGACAAAAACCAAAAGTAAGAAACAAATGCGCAAAGAAAAGGAGCTTGAAAGAGCTAATCAGCATTATGCTGAACATATAGCTTTAAAGCAACACGCTTCTGGTGATTTTCCCCGAGGTAAAAAACAGAGTTCAGATTTTAAGCACAGCAGAATGCAGGAAAATTTAACTATACGAATACAGGAGGACAAGCAAGAATCTAATGCTAGAAAAGTTGGAAAATGTAAACAGAAAAAGATGGCCTGGTGGGAAGGTAATAGAAAACAGAACAAACAGAATGGAAAGTCTGCTTTCAATGATGAACATGGCACTGAATGGTGGGATAAAAACGCAAGAAAACATAAAAACAAGCAACAGAAAATTCAAAATGAGAGTAAGTAGTTTGTTTGAGATGTAAACCCAAACTCTTTTAAGTTTGGAAAAAATTGAATGATGTTTCTTCAGTTTTTTTTCATATTCTCAACGGATTTGTCAATTTTGTTTTCAACAAATAAATTTAAGACTGTAATGAAAAAGTTGACATGCATTTTAAAATATTGGTTCCCACATTTTACGATCAAATTGTTTTGAACACGTGTTTCTCTTAAACCACTCATCAAAACATTCTGAAAATTTTACACATCGTCAATTTAATGGTCATCTTTTGGATGATAAGATTATAATTTGAAATATATATATACTTTTCTCTATACTGTTTTAGAAAACACATCAGACACTTCTTTTGTTCTTGGTATCATATGTTCGGAATAAAATGAAACATCTGTCCGAACCTCATTGGAACAAAACGACATAAACACAACGTGTTTAGGTCTCTCAATATTTTTGCATACTTTTTGTTAAATCAACCAAAATTTTCTTTGTATAACTGTAATATTGAGATGTCTAAGAAAATTTTGAATATGCTATTTTGTTCCAACAAGGTTTGGAGAGACATTTTATTTCATTCTCAAGAATTGGTAGAAAGGAACAAAAAACAATTGCATTAAAGACAAAAAATGTTAACAAAAACAGTTATATGTTGCCAATCAGTCAACACTATCAGGGCTTGCATTAATGGCGTCCCGTACATGTTAAGGACTCAAAAATAATTTGGAGGACACAAAAATTGAAAATATTTCCGTTTTTTGGACGCAAATTTTTTTTAGGTCAATACTACAATGTGTTTACAGCGATACCTAGCAAAAAAAAATAATTATGACCTCTCACCTTTATTTGAATCGTATATGAGGCTCAACATGTTGAATATTTACAAATAATCATGATTCTTTTGAATTTTTTCGACTTTGCTTATTTTTAGATTTGAAACCATGACACGCCACAGTTTTTCCTATTCAGAAACAAATATTAGGTTATTCATGAAATAAAATGTATTCATTGTCGAATGAACGAACATGCATTTATTCAGTCCGTACTTAACGTTTACTTCTGTTTTAAATTCGCGGCAAGAAATCAAAAACTGAAAGGTGTTTTGGTAAAAAATGCTTTTAAAATAAAGTTATACCTCAAAACAGGCTAGAAATAGGGGACACACTTTTTTTTTCAAAGGACACACTTTTTTTTTTAAATTGCGTCCTTGGGACTCACAAAGAACAGGTCCATTTAACAGACTATTGGTCCACTTAGACTTTTTCTGAAAAACTCATTCTTCCATTTACTTTTAAAACTAATTGCAAGTTGTAGATAAACCTTTCTTCTTGAGATGTGCGATTTCAAAAAGTGGCATAAGTTCTCCGTTTCTTTGAAAAATTGGCAGTAAGAACCCCTATCACAAGGCTGTCTGAATATGGGTTCACATTATGTTTACCATCAAAATAATATCAAAACTTATGATTATATAGAATTTAATATATGGAACATGTGGCATACACGTATTCGGAGAAGAAAATTGACAAAATCTAGCGATATATGTAGTTTACCTATGCAAATCTAGAAAACATTGTCATTTTTCGTTCACTTTGTTATCAAGTTTTAGCATGGTGCTCATTCCCTTTCATTGAAAAGTTAACTGTCAGCCCACACTCCCACAAAAAATATATTGAAACTGTATCATGCAGAGACTGTAAAGTAGCTTCTCTGCAAATATCATTTTTGTGGGAGTTTGGGCTCACCACTAAAACTTAACTTTTGTGATGAAAATAAGCCTGACTGGTTTATGTTTTCAATATGGCTGCTAACCTGGGCATACATGTACACTACATAACTGCATGTACAGATTAGGCCATCCAAAATTAATTATATGTTGGCATTCTGATGAAGAGCCTTATATTAAAAACTACAAAACCTTCATTTATTTAAAGGGTTTTATATATTATTTAAGAGTGAAAATGCAATAACACATTGTGCCAAAGCAAGTAACACACCTCTTGAGTTCAGATGACCTTGTTAATGAAGTTTACATACATGTAGTATTTAATCAAAATCTTGGAACTCATTTCGCTACAATATAATCCAAGATCACAATTCCCTTTGTCATTTATATACATTACAAGTAGAGAGTACATGGGGACATTTTGTTTTTTCTGAAAACATAGAATTTAGTGACATTATTATAAGAAAATCTTTGAATGGCCTAAATGTTTTTCTAAATAGGGAATAAGTAGAAATTATTTTAGGCAATCCTTTGAGTGTCATGCCATCCATACATTATGCTGCCTTATATTTTATGATATATATTGAGAGAGGATTTCTCTGAATTATTTGTGTTTCAAATATGGGAACTGCAAATTGGCAAATAACTTTAAAAGTAAGTGTACATTTAAACATTTTAATTTCAAATGCCAAATAAAATGCCAAATGCCAATGGGCATTTAGTAAAAGTGACCCTATAACTATTTAGAATATGGCAAACATGTTTAGAAAACTGGCGAGAAGCAATTGAAAAAAGAAAATCCATTCTTTTTGAAGTGCCCTTGTGTGCATTTAATTTCAGTCATTTTATCCTAATTGCCCATGGGCATTTAAAATAATAATCACATCCCAACTCTTAAAACATGCTTAGGATACTGTTAGAGTCTCAAAAGGCAACAAGAACATTCATTTTTGAAACAAGAAAATTCAGTCCCCCTAAAAATGCCCATATCGGTATTTATTCTCAAGATTTCCAGGTAATTGCCCGTGATAATTTATTAAAAAAACTTTTTATTTCTATTCACATGTCTTTTTATCAGTCACAATCAAAATAAAGCCAAATGCTCTCATTTCTTGGAATAATAACATTCAAACTTTGACAAAAATAGCATCTTTCAAAGTTGACCTTTAAACCACCCTAATGTCAAGGTCAAATGTCTAAATTCTCAGAAATCACATTTTAAGTAATGAGTCATACTTCCTCTTCAACTCCATGTCAATATATACTTGTTTTGTAGGGGGGCTAAAAGAGGGGTTTACCGCCACCTGTCCTTTTCTAACCTAATGCAGGCGCTGACTACATAAAGGACTGTGTTTTTTTACAAAATGTTTTCAATTATTGATTTAAGAGAAAAGCATTGTTGAATTCAGTTCACCATTGCGATACTTATCCTTTTACAAGAACAGATCGCATAAAATCGACATGGCCATGCCTCCGGTGAAAGCTAAGACTAAGATTTGCCCGCCGCAGTGGTTTGTTGAAGACTCGGACTGACATAAAAGTATCGTCTAGTCTTAGCCGCCATTGAATCTTTTTGCTTAATGTCTTAAATAAATTATAATATCTGTAAGTCTATGACCAATGTTGAACATTACAACTCTACCTCGATGCTTGTAAGATCACTGCTAATGTTAGTACTTAAAGTGGCAGAATGACTAAAATTGATCACGTTTATTAGTTGTAATGCATTCATGTAATTCTACATTGCAGAGCATGATACAAACCTGCAGCAGTCAAATACGGGATTGTTCCAGAATAAAGGAAAACAAAACAAGAAAAATCAAGGTATGAATAATATCATCATACTTAAGACCAAGAAATAAGGTGTATTCACCACTCAATAGTATGATGCCATTCATAAGATTTACTTATTTGTAGTCATTTGTAGCATAAATATCAAAACAAATATTTGAGGTGAATTACACCTGTTCATCTGTCAATGATTCTAGCAGCTGGAGAACAGGTCATTGTTGTTAAGAAGTTCTCTATTAATATTTGTGCATATATCTCCTTGATTGTATGGAACACAGTTTCTTTGATTGCTTGAAGTTGATGTTGATTGTTTGATGTACTTACAGGTAGAGGAGGTTTTAAAGTTACAGTATCTAATAGAGGCTTCCGCACTGCTCATAGGTAGAGGTAGAGGAAGGAAAAAATAATAATGACATATTCATAAATTCAACATGGACAACTGGATGTACATCATGGGACATGTTTAAGTGTTGATAAAAAGTAACATTTTTGAATAATAATGACCTTTAAATGATGACAATGCCATTCAGAAGTGACATTCAATTGATTTATAATTTGTGTCAGCTATGTTGATATTTGTGGTCCAACCAGGTGATGCATAGCTTAATCAATTAAAGAATGAGAAACATGGGAGTAACATAATAAAAAATGTAAACAAAGATCGGTGTTTGTTTTAGTTATACAGTTCTTAATTTTGGTGGAGATGAACAAATGAACATTAGTTCTGGTAACATTTGCTTATGGCCAACTGAGATTATTGTATTCCAACTTATTCCAATCTATCAAACATCAAACTAAGAAATCAGAGGTCATATTTATAGACATACTGTAACGAAACATTCACATATTTATTTTCATTTAATTTATTAAATATTCTAATATTTTAATCTTAAACTCCTGTAGGCTTTCTATATTTTAAAATCATTTGACCTAATATAAGTAATAATATAATATAAGTGTGAGTCTGCTTCAAGAACAAGTTGGAATTAATAAATATAATAAAAAGCACCATACCTACAGTAAGTGTGTAATTATCACTACATTTTCAGATTATATTATTCATACAGTACATTAAGTTCTATCATATTTAAAACTAGTGTCCTGGTCCCAGTGGCAGAGATCAACTGGTTTAAGAAAGCAAATTTGTGGGATTAACTCTTATGGACCTGCCATGTTTTTTGGTGTGTAGGTTTGAATTCTTAACGACATCATTTTTTTCAATGAGATTCTAGAGGAGCTAAGATTTGAACATAAAACCATTATTTTCAAAAGAATTAAGTTTTCTGAAAAAAGTCATGCTAAATCCCAATTAAAACAATGTTTAAAAAATCTTGATCTCCTCTTTCAAGGATCACAATTGTAGGGTTAAATCACAACAAGCGTGTCAACAAGCTCATCTTGTTGCATTGTTTTACATTTCCAATTGGAAAATTGATGAATTTAGAAGTGAAGTAACTGTGAGTCCTGTGAGTCTATTACATATTAAATAATGGTATTCTTGGCCAAACAAAACAACTTCCATTTATATATCAAGTCATCTATTATCGAGGAGTTGCAACAGGTGATCCACTGACATACGCCATGACAGCAGATTGCAACATGGATGCCCTACGTGCCTCATCTTCACGTATGTGCATCAGTTCATTATCACGTTGACGTAACTTATCACGTAATATTTGAGTCTCTTTTTCTTTGTCTTGTATATCTGCTTCATGTCTGCTTTCCAAATCTGGAACATAAAAATTAATTTAGTTCAAATTGTTATTTTCTATATTGAGATGCACTAGAACATTTTCCTTTTTATGTAGGAACAGAAAAATCCATTTCTTTATTAGTTTATTGGGCTTCAAAATGTGATCATTTGAATGAAGTATTTTCTCGGCAATTGATCAATAGAATTCACTGAAAAATTGTACAAAGTACCCCAGAAGTATCTTTAGCAAGTTGTAAAATTATAAAAAAGATCCAGTAATTATTCTGTGAATACTAAGAAATTCAAAATAGCATGTCAAAGATTCCCATACCGGAGTTCTGTGATGAGACCTTCATAGTGTTTGTGTCAGCTATCAGGTGGTGATAGCATCCGTCAATTAGTCAATTTAGATTGTCTGTGTGTTTTAATTAATTTGTTTTATTGTTCCCAAATATCCCAAATCCATTCATTCTCAAAATTTATTGGAGGTGATATTGTTAGAATAAATACAGAAAAGTATTTTTGCTTGAAAATGGATTAATACGAGTAAGTGACTTTGCGTAAGTGACTTTGATTGAAATTGGTTATTTTGACATACCGCACCATACAGTCTTTAATTCAACAATGCTCACATAATATGTACCCAATCTGTTAGATATTCATAGCACCAGCTGGGGATACTCTGAAGTATCTCAAGTTTAAGTTTTCAAAGAATTTGGTTTATCTATTGCTGAGAAATAACTTGTCAACGCTATGAAATTCTCATTGTGTTGCTCCAGTATTGAATCTGACATGCTATCTTGAATTTCTTACTACTCGCATAATACACAATCTTTCTAATATTTTAACAACTTGCTGAAAATATTCATGGGCTACTTTGTACAAATTTTCATTAAAGTTAATCAATTGAGAAAATACTTGTCAAAAAGCGATTGGGACACCTGATATTACCACATAAGCCAATTGTCACCTGTTATTTCCCTGCGCAGCTTGATGACTCTCTCCTTCAACTCTTCCTGCTGCTGTCTCTCACTCTCCACCTTCTTTCTCTCCTGGTCCACCTCCAGCCTCACTTTGCCCACCACTTCTTGGATCTCATTGTCTTTACCTGACACTTGCTGAAGTAGAGAAATATAATATGTAAGCACAATGGCCAAAGGGAGATTAAAAAGACAGAGAACATTAGAAAAGAATACTAATTATATTGAAACAAACTCTGACATCTCAACCAATGGTGAAACACAAGTATTGCAGTGTGAAACTAAACAATGAAAATGAAAACTTAAAACACATTGTTAAGTGGCAGACATATTCATATTATATGGCAGTCATTTTCAAAATTGGTGCATTCCTCATATAAAGTGGATCCAGACAAATTTGTCGTTGTGTTAATTGGATTGGGAATATTCCTCAGAAATACCTGGTACATGCTTGTCTACTGTCTATAGATTTTGAAATAAATATATTTCATTCACCTGATTTAAAGTATCAATCTTGCGTTTGAGGTTTTCAATCTCCAGGATCTGTGTTGTAGTCTTTGATTGTAGGTCTGTTATGAGTGTGGCCTGGTGGTCACTATGTTTGCTCAGGTCTTCCTTAGACACCTGTGTAGCCCTCAGTTTGTCTTCATACTGCCTACATTTGTGTTCCTTAAGTATGTTCAATAAATATATTACACAGGGCATTAATAATTGACAGAATGTAACAACATAGTTGCAATTACAAAAAAGTGTAACAATTTGTTACAGATGCCAAAATGTTGAGAATATCCATTATCTTGTTGGTGACATAACAAAACCTAAAGGCATTAATATTCAAAATGTCATCACCTGCAATTTGTTACATTTGTTACAGACGCCAAATGCCGAACACCAACCACAAAACATCAACTGTTGAATGCTGTCCACTAAAAAGTTGGGAGACCAGAACACTTCTGGTGGTGACATAAAAATTAAGCCTAGAGGATGTCAACTATAAACTAGCAATGGCAGACAATAGAATTTAGAAGTATTTCAAAGCCAAAAATAAGAGTGATGAAAGATGAGTAATAGATGCAGAGATGGAGAGTAGACGATGAGTGGAACAGAAAGGGCTAATCAATCCCTCTGTTATATTCATGAACCCTCAATTTTACTTTTTCAACCAACCTTGAACCCCCCCATTCTCTACTGAATAGGCAAGGACATTTTGTAGAACCAAGGACAATAGTGTTGACCATTAATGTCACTACATATAATAATAACACATAAAGAGTTTTTAAGGTAGAACTTCACTGTCGATCGACTTTTTTCTACAATTCAGATTTTCATGAAAAAAATCTAGATTGAAGATATACTGATGTATGAGGGGGGATTCATAAGTAGTAGGACGAATGCTATAACTTCACTTATATCAACCAGATTTTATTCAAACTTGGAACACAGAACCACAAACATGTGATAATCATTGTGTGAAAATTTCAAAAAGTTACACCCAAGTTCAGTAAAGTGAGAGTTCCAATCATGACGTCACAACATGGTCCACGGAGCACATTGTTTGTCACTAATTGCTAGTTAAATATACAAGTCTCAACCGATATTCAGGATGTGATCTAATCCGTTACTTCTAGCGAGTCTTTTTGTGGAGCACATCAATTCTGTGCAAGACTATTGATTCCTTATCCTTCTGGTGCAATCTCACTATTTCTCAAAGTATTCGCCATGACAATCAATGCATTTTTGGCATCTCCTCAACCATTCTAGGTATGCACCCTCAAAACCATATTTTCCAAGATTGGTCATCTCGGCTCTCACAGCATATTCAGAATACATATACAGAATACCACCCATGTACTGTAGATCTTTTTATTTACTTCTTCTTTTCCATGGACTTCCAACAAACCTCTATAGGTCTCTAATACTGAAAACTTCTTCAAAGCATTAAATTTAATCACAGCACGGATGTTTATACGTGATTCTTGCTTTTTCATTGCTATTTTAATCAAATTTTGCTCCATCCAAGAAGGACTAAAAATGACAGTGTCCTGGCGTCACTGCTTTGTGTGACATCACAATAGCATGATGATGTAATTCATGTTACAGTTGTCATGACTACAAGGCTTGAGACAATATGAAACCAAATATTTGAAAATAACTGTCATTTTGAGGTATTTATGAGCATATTCATGTTGATCAAGCCCTTCATTTTTTAACTGCTCCGTTAATCCCTACTTTTGGTTACCATAGCAACCGTTGTTGCTAGGGAACAAATTGAATTAAATTGAAATTTCACCAAACAATGCCGTATATCCTAGTCCGTTCATGTGCCAAAGGTTAAGATATGTACACAGGGACTTGCTGCCTCAGAAAAGTCCCACTACTTATGAATCCCCCCTCGTATAACAAAATATGTGAAAATTAGAAAGATTGACTGTTTGGTTACTTCTAGAAAAATATTTAATTTAACATGGGTTTCAAAGAGAAAATGCATTTTTTAAATAAAAAAATTGCACAATTCAGATTCACAGTCCGGATCTTGAGAAAAAAATGAAATAACTTTGTATAGTATGAATGAATCAGTGGGAAAATATTATTATTCCATTGTATATAATGATATTGCCAAAAATGTCTCGATAGATCAACATGAGTGTGTCAAATAAAAAGAGATCAAGAAAATGTTTTCATTTTTGGCATTAAAGATGCGCAAACTGACTGCATATAGACATTGGAGTCCTAAATTAATCACTAAAATTGAATTCAATAAATACCAGGTCGTTCAATGGGTTTGCAGAAAAATGCTCCTATTTCAATGGTTTTCAATGATGGTCAACAATAACCATTACTATAGTAGCATGACTTTTGAGCAGGCAGGGGATTTTGATTTTGATGTCATACTATTCAAAAGAAAAAAAACAACAGAATAATAGGCAAACTTGTGAGTGAATCATACTGTATATGCCATTCCTCTTATCTGCTTATCTGCATTATAAATGCTATTACTTCTCATAGTCACATATATTGTCCCAAGAAGTGTACAAAGTACTCTCTGGTGTTTAATGGAGTCGCTGGGATTCAATCCATTCATGACATCTTGTTCTGAAGCCACCAGGGACACTTGTTTGAAGGGCCATCCAGACTGCAGTTGAAAGTTCTTGGTTTTCCCATACCATACATGTCTTGATTCATCAGACATATTTCAGATGCTATGTAAATAAAAGGTTTCATAAAAAAGTAAGCCTCTTTATTAATATTACCTCTTCTGTTTTGATCCTATGTTTCGCTTGAATGAGATTCTCTTCAGCCTGTAATCTGTCTTGCATAGCAGCTTGCCTCATGCGACTAAGTTCCTCATCTGCCTCTATACGCTGCGTCTCTAAACGTTGTATACGCTCCTTTAGACTGCGCTCTATACTCTCTGTCTCCTGTCGCACCCTACTGATCTAGAAAATAACAGCTGGGTTTAACAGACCAAAAGTGGACTTAAAGGACAACTGAAATAGATTTTCTCAACTTGCAGCTACAAAAATGTGATTTTCTTCATTGTAAGCCCAACGTAGAGTTCTTGCGATAGCCATTAAAGAAATGTTATATAGATAACAGTTAATGGTCATAAATAACGTAATAAAATTAACTGATCAATCAGATTGGCCCCCACATGATTAGAAACGTCATATATAATTTATAGTTTTGGTTAATTGGTTCCTTTGGTAATCACGACATCACGGCAACCATATGATTGTTGTCGAAACAAATAACAAAACATCTTGTCATTAAAAAATATTCTAAAATTGAAGCAATTTTTTGTTTAGCCTGCTTACTATATCTGATTCTCTCTTTAAGCAGCTATAACGATCGTTAGAGTGAAATAATTTTCACAAAACTGATGAGAAAGTATGTCTAAATACATTTATCAAAAAATTATATTGATTCCTTTAGGTCAAAAATACCATTTCATTTCTGCTTTAATGTTAACCTCCTGAAGACTGAATATGAATATAAAACATATTTACTCTGATTTCTGGTGGTGACATACAATATCACTAGGGCAGAGCATTTGTACTGAAAGGAGCGTTTTCAGTACAAATATGTACTGAAAAATGTACTAGTTTTGTTTCAGTACAAATTTAAGTATATTTTTGTACTGAAAAATGCACTGAATTTTTTTCAGTATATTTTTCAGTACAAATTCATGTACTGAAAAATATACTGAATTTTAAGTACAAATTTAAGTATAAATATGTACTGAAAAATGAACTGAATTTTAAGGACAAATTTAAGTGCAAAAATATACTGAAAAATGCACTGAAAATTTAAGGATAAATTTAAGAGAGGCTAGGTTTACTGTAATCAAGTGTTTTCCTTTTAATAAGTTATGTTTTTGGATTAAATTATTTAAGACGCATCCTATAATAATATCTGATTGCATTTTCTCCATCAATAAATTTCTTTTTAGCCCGATCAAACCTATCAAATATAATGCATATATAAGGGTTATGTACTGGGAGGTTTTGGATACCCATATTTCCTGAGGGATAAACTCTTTATTTAAAACTGATCATACATAACATGTGTATTCCATACCTTTTGAGGTTTCTAGATACATTCTACCTTATTAAGTTGTAAAATTCAAAAACATTAAAGGTACACATTTTCTCAGTCTTAAAAATAAGTTTTTCATGAGATTTTCACTCATATTGCTTGAGCAAATTAATTAATTGATATCAAAATTAATATATAACATGAACATAGAACCTCATTTGTCCGAGTATAGCAAAATCCATGGTATAGATGTCAAAGTCAGGAAGATATCGTAATTCAAAATCTAAGTATATTTTTCAGTATAAATTTACATTTAAATATGCCCTTAAATTTCAGTATATTTTTCAGTACATATTTGCACTTAAAATCACACTTAAATTTCAGTATATTTTTAAGTACATATTTGCACTTAAAATCACACTTAAAATTCAGTATATTTTTCAGTATAAATATATACTGAAAAATGTACTTAAAATTTCAGTACATTTTTCAGTACATATTTATACTGAAATTTGCACTGAAATTTTAAGTATATTTTTCAGTACATATTTATACTGAAAAATATACTTAAAAATTCAGTACATTTTTCAGTACATATTTGTACTGAAAACGCTCCTTTCTCCGCTCCTCCTCCTATATCTATTAATAGATGAAATATACTTTGAGAACATTACCTCCTTCTGTTTAATTGTCTCAAAGTCTCTTGTTGCCTCCTTGTGTTTCTGTTTCTCCTTCTGTAGCCTCTCTGGAACCAAGAAGCATGTTTAGATAGAAAGGCAGAATCAGACCTATAGGGTGTGACATAATTGCAAGTAATATGTATTATTGACCTCCCAATGTATCACTTACAACCTCAAAAGATCCCAAAATATCCATGATATCAATTGGCAAAGTTAGTTTTGTTCTAAGTTTGTACTAAATTATCACTGAATTGACAAAATGTTAGTACCAATTTAGTACTTAGAGTTTAGTACTATATTATTACTAATATTTTGCTACTAATTTAGTACAAACAATTTTTTAGTACTATGTGCAAAATTGGCAATATATTCTATGAGTACCAATTTATTTAGCTCATGTACTGGTACAAGAGGATTTACCAAAATTTTCCTTCTTAAATGGCTAACAACTTTTACAAAAAAGTAATATGAGAGCTCACTTCACAACATTTTTAAAGTATTTGATGAGTAAAGAATGAATTCCATGGAATTCAATGTGAATCTCTTCACTATTTAAAAAGAAATCATTGAAACTTTTAAATGGGTTTGAGTGGGTAATAAGCCAAACAGGAAATGTGGATCACAAGGACATCATACTGAATAGATCTTTTATGTCTAAAAATACATTTTCACATGAATTGTAAATAGATTAATGGGAACCTCAAAAAATGAGTTCGGATTCATAAAGGTACGACATACCATATTCTCTCTAATAAATGCACTGTGCGGGTCCCAAATTCTAATTCTACACAATGTAGATGTTCACATTGACAACTTATATATAATAAAATGTGTTTATTAGGAAACACTCTCTGTGCTGGATGTTCCTTACAGAGAAGTATTTCATAAAGCAGGTTTCATATGATAAGTATATACTGAATCAAAATACCCAGTGCTGATGTTTACATTTTTTTATATTTGGACAGAATCAACATGTTATCAATTTCATTGGAAGAAAAGTACTGAAATTTTAATGTCTTATTCTTTTCCAGAAGTTGTTCCAAATCAAAGTATGGTACAACTGGACAACTGCCCCATCCCAAATTCATGAACATACATTTATACCTTCTATCTGTGCTATGTTGAGGGTAGAATCAGCTTGTTGGTGGGTTAGTTGTTCCTTAAGTTCATATATCTGTTGTTGCTGTTGCCGACACTTTCTGTCGAAGTCCTCAACCTGTATTTAAATGTTTGGTTCAATGTATGAAGCTATATATTAAAAACTAAGGGTGGATATTTTGAAAAAATGATAATCTTTCTCCAAAATATGAGAGAAAGGACCATGTTACATATTGCAAGGGATTTTAGACAGTCATATCTTTTACCAGAAGTATTTTCTGGGCATTAATACAGTGGTTTTTGTTAAAACATACTGTACTCCGGGTATTGTTCGCATGCGATTTAATTTCTCTTTGTTCGCGAATGTAGTAAAATCGCGAACATTTATCGTCATGAAATTTGTCTTTTAAATCTCTGGGATTTGACTCGGGACTTTTGATATGTTTCGTTCGGTGTAAAACGTTTCATCCAGTGTTGTTGGGCGATAATTATGGGGTATTGTTCAACTTTATATCAACAATTGATGTACTTGCTAAGCTCATGCATATGTAAAAAGGCAAAGTATATTAATATTATCAATATGGAGTTTACAGAGCTGGAGAAAAAAATTCAACTTGTGCAATCCATGAAATGTCATCAACTCAAATCCGCGAAATTAAATAGCCGCGAAATTGCAATTTTGAAAAATCACGAAATTTTATAGCGTCAAAATTTACCAGGAGTACAGTAATGTTTTCTTTCAAGTGAACCATGATGATAAATATATAAATCGAACAAATCAAAAAATTATGAATAGGGACCCTGTGTCAATAATCTTTCCAAAATGTTGAACCTATTTACTCAAAAGAGTAAATTACTCTGATTTTTATTGCATGAAAAGATTATTCAACAAGGGGTCTAAAACTTCTTCAAAAGTAGAATGGTTTGAAATTCTAGTTTTGAAGATATCAATTTTTGCTGACCAAAACTATTATATGCTGAAAATAATGGATATCATGAGTTTTCCCTCGGGGAAAATAACATGGGATATGTGGTTTTTAACTTTAAGGCATTTCAAACACCATCCCCTTTTCAGGAATTGTTAATACTAGATAGAAGCAACTTTTGATACTACATTTAGTATGTTAAATTGAGAAAAATAAGATCCTAATAAACCTAACATTTTTAAAAAGTGCTAAAGTAGAATCCAAATCCATAATTTTCCAGAGAGTTGGATTGATATTTTACTATCATGGTGACTTCACTTGAAAGAAAACATATTAAAATCTCTGATGGATAAGCTTTACAATGATGTAAACCAAATTAAAATCGGAAAGGAACTGATGGAGTTATAGACGAAAACGTAAAAATCATGTTTATAGCCCAGTTAGTAACAAGCACCTGCTACAATAATTTGTTCATTGGAATAACTAAACAGCATCTCCACGAAATAGCATATCCTACCAAACAAAACATATTTTGCTAAATAGCAGCCATCTTGAAAAATTCTTCTTGGAACAGAGCTCCTTTGTCCCTAGGTACCAACAGGTATCACCATCCACTGGCATTCATGTTATCAATGATTGTTTTTAACGAAAAGTAGCAGCTACACGTATTTTCCAAATGTCTTCTAAGCAAAGCTCCTTTGTACCTAGGCATCAACATGTACAATATGAACCAAATTTGTCAACTGGTATTTTAAGTTATCAAAGATTACATTCTTTTATGAAAAATGGCAGCCATTTTAAAATTCAGAGGCCATTTTGAAAATTCCTTCTCAAGTAGAACTCCTGTATTCCTAGGCATCAGTGTATAGCATTCAAAATATACTCGTCCACTGGTATTTGAGTCATCAAAGATTATGTTTTTTACGAGAAATTCAATGGCCATCTTAAAAATCTCTTCTTGAGCATAGCCCCAATGCCGCTAGGCATGAGCATATAAAATTTGAACCAAAAACATGTCTACTAGTATTTAAGTTATCAATCAAAGATTATATTTTTGATTTGAATGGTCATATTGCAAATTCCTTCTTCAGCTGAAGTTCCACACCCATAAGGCATAAGCTATCACCCAGACACACATATGGACGGGTGGACAGATGGACGCCTTCTCTATATCCCTTTCGAACTTCATTGGATGGGATGATGAAGTGCTTTCAGATAAGACCACCAAAGCTGACTTAAATGTGCTGTGAAGACATCAAATGAATGACCCCAGTGAATGATGTTGTGAAAAGACATTGAGAATAAAACACCTGTGCAATTATTGCTATAAATGCGGAGAGGAATTTTCATTTTTACCATGTTTGTTTGTTTGGCAATTCTAGAGGTCATATGATCCTAGAATAGATAAATACAAGTATTATTTGTTTGCCACTTTTTTTGTAGATGAAAAGAATTTTTCTTTGGAGTGAACTCTGATTTCTGAAGTATGAAAGTAGTCTAAAGAGTATAAAATATAAAACATAGGAATAATATGCCGCGAAATCAAATCCTTGCTGTAGTGAGCACTAACCAACAGTGAACGTTTTTCTTGGCAAAGAATGTTCACTATACACTGGTTTTACTGTACCTCGTACATTAACAAAATGTGTGAACTCGCCATTAGAGAGAGCAAAATTAATGAATAACATATTATAATAAATATGTATTTATGTTTACCACACTACTTGTCATTTGATTTCATTACTTTTCATTTATTGCTTGGAAGGTTACCACACTACTTGTCATTTGATTTCATTACTTTTCATTTATTGATTGGAAGGGAGTAATAAATATAAACATATATTTCAAATGAAACCTTTTAAACATTGTTTATTTCTTTTTAAAAATATTATTCAAATGTGTTTGATTGGATAAGGCATAAAACTGGCAGTGCACATAGATTGCAGGTTAAAATATAGGTATAAGCATCAAGTCATTATTTGCAGTATACTAGTAAAAAATTAACATTACTATTTCTATTTCGGGAGGACCAAATATCTGAACGCTGAACTGCTCATCTGATAAGAGGTAAGTAATGGGGAATATTTCACAACAAAAAGTACAAATATTATGAAAAAGTTTATCCAAATGTATGTAAACTTTAATAGTATCTGAATTGTTCATTATAGGTTCATTATGGTACAGTAGGTGAACTACTGTACCATATAAATATGGATATAACTCTTCATATGAACAGATACTACTATTAAATCTTAGATATGATATGAATATCTATTAATCATTGACTCGAAAAAAGTTTGTATCAATTCAGCATACAAATGAAAAAAAGTTAAGGTCATCTGCACTTTACACCGTTATTTACACTGTTGTTTAGATATACTTCATTCTTTTTAAAGTCAACAGTTGTTTACCTTTATTTTGTGTCTCAGAATGATAAACAAATAATCAGACATAAAAAGCATCTTTCAGTATCAAACAGTGTATGTTGTAAAAATCCAAGTAAACCTCTATTTACATTCCAGTGTATGACACACAATTATGACTTCAATAGCAGACCAATTTGATGGTTTCAAGGCATTGTTCACAGGAGAGACATATGAGTGTAAGCTTGATGCCAAGTCCTTAAAGAAGGCTAAGGATGAACTAAATGAAGATCCCAGAGAGAGGGAGGCAGCTCTTAAGCAATTCAGACAGTGGGTCAAAGAACAACCACATTATACATGCTGCTTAGGTACACAGATTTTATATGTGACAGTGATACTCATGCTTGTCCTGGGCAGAGAAGTACTGTGTTTTTAAAGCAGCCAAACATCCAAATAACTTAGCCTTTTTATTTTTTCGTGAAGCCACTCAGTAAAATTACGATTTCACTGCAACCTGATGTCCAATCAAGATCATTCAAGTATCTACATGTATGTGTTCCTGACACGTTTGGGCGTCCGGGAATAACAATGTCTACCCAACGTTTGCACGCAAAATTGACTTAATATATGACTGAAATCGGGAAGACATAATTTGACATTCACAAACAAAATTGCTTGTGAAAACTATTTACAAAAGTGTTCCAGAGACTCTAATCTACTTGGCTAAGGTTTTATTTGAAGATACCTTGCCTTATTAAGCAGATAGAGGGGCACACAGAACATGGAAGCCAATGCTATGTTGAAAATTTTCTATATTTCAGTATTTTTTGGGTAGACATTGTCATTACTGGATGCCCAAATGTGCCAGGAAAACATAGATACTTGAATGATGTTGATTGAACATCAGGGTGCAGAGAAATTGTAATTTTACTGAGTGGCTTCACGAAAAAATAAGCAGCATTTTAAGCCACCTTAATCCCATCAGTGGATTATGTTACAGGCCTTCTTTTCTACAAATAACAAAGCATATTTACCAAGAAAGATGATGGGCCTGATATCACGGGTAGTATCTAAAGCCCCGCTATGATTTAAAAATCGCGAGCAAGTTCCCGCTGAAATCGCGAGCATAGTCCTGTTTATTTGTATCACTTTGGAAAATGAACCAAAAGGATGAAAATACTTATTACCGTTCTTTGATACTCCAGCAAAACTTTGAAAACAGATTTATTTGACAAAAAATGACATGAAAAATGATTTTTTTTTACTTGCATGAAGGAAAGGGGCGTCAACATGCACGTTTGCATAATTTACTGTTCATATATTACCTTTATCGTTAAAATAAAGGCAATAAATACGATTTACATACTCCATAATAAATATCGGATCAAGATGGTCTGTATTGATAAGTTACTGGACAATGACACCTGCCATGGGGGTCGAAATACACTATTAAAGGTGTTCCAGTGGCCCCGCTGAAAACATGAGGAGGCCCCGCTGAAAACATGAGGAGACCCCGCTGAAAACACGAGCAAATTTCACGACTACCCGCTTCGATCACGAGGAAAGCTTCATCATTATTCCATGAATATAGTGAGCTTCTTTATATGAACGTACACGATAACGTATTAATGACAATCACATAACATATCATTCTATGGCAACATCACAAATAATTTTTATATGTAAATATACTTTGTACATTTCGGAGTTAAATGTACATATTCTACATAATTCACTATTCCAAGGATTATACTTCTGAGGACACATATATTGCATTGGTTCTTTTGTCCGACCGTTCATTCGTGCGTGCATTCGACCGAACGTTCGTTCGTGCGTGCGTTCGTCTGACCGTGCGTTCGTCCGACGGTCCTTTCGTTCATGCGTGCGTTCATCCGACCGATTGTTCGTTCGTGCGTGCATCGCCCAACCATGCGTTCGTGACAGCGTTTGTCCGACCGTCCATTCGTTCGTTCGTGCGTGCATCCGTTCGTGCGAATGTCCGTCCGTTTGTGTGCGCATGCGTTCGTCTGACCGTCCGTTTGTGCCTGCTTTCGTCTGACTGCCCTTCATGGGTTCGTCCGTCTAGGCATCCGTTCGTCCGTGCGTGCTTTCGTTCAACCGTCCATTCATGCGTGCGTTCCTCTGTTCGTTCTTTTTGCGTTCGTTTGTGTGTTCGTTCGTGCGTGCGTTCATTCGTGCGTTTGTTTGTAACTACGTTCTTGCGTGCGTGGGTTCGATCTTTTGTAAACTGTTTTCTTCTATCTTTCCTTCATGCGTTCTTTTGGCCGCCTATCCGTCCGTTTGTTCATTCATTGTTTTTTCGGCTGTTCTTCTGTCCATCCGTGCGTTCTTTCCTCGTTCGTTTGTTCGTTTGCAGGTTTATATCAAAATTTGTCTTTCCACTGCCATATGAAAGAATGTAAATAATCAAGAAAGCAAGCAAGGACGTGAGGAAGTAAACAAGCAACAAAGTAAGTAATTGAGTAAGCAAGCAAGTAAAGAAGGAATGGAGGAAGTAAATCGAGGAAGTGAAAGTGGGAGTTATATAAGTAAGCAAGGAAGGAAAAAAGGAAGGAAGGAGGGAAGGAAAGAAGCAATGAAGCAATGAAGGAAGGAAGGAAGGAAGCAAGGAAACCGAGGGAGCAAGGAAGGAACGATGCGAGTAAAGAATTAAGCAGGGAAGCTAGCAAGTAAGGAAGCGAGGAAGAAAGGAAGCAAGGAAGCAAAGAAGGAAGGAAACGAGGAAGCAAGGAAGGAAGGAAGCAAGCAAAGACGCAAAGAAAGGAAGAAAAAAAGCAAGGAAGTAAGTAAGAAAGGAAGGAAGAAGGCGAGAATGCAAGGAAGCAAGGAGGGAAGAAAGCAAGGAAGAAATGAAGCGAGAAAAGAAGGACATGAGGAAAGAATGAAGGAAACGAGGAAGCAAGGAAGGAGGAAAGGAGGAAGTGAGGAAGCAAGGAAGGAAGGAGGCAAGTGAGGAAGCGATGAAGCAAGGAAAGAAGGAAGCGAGGAAGCAAGGAAGGAGGAAAGATGGAAGCGAGGAAGCAAGAAAGGAATGGAGCGAGAAAGGAAGGACGCGAGGAAAAAAAACGAAAGAAGCGAGGAAGCAAGGAATGAGGAAACAAGGAAGCGAGGAAGGATGGAAGCAAGGAAGGAGGGAAGTGAGGAAGGAAGGAAGCGAGGAAGCAAGGAAAGAAGAAAGCAAGGAAGCAAGGAAGAAAGCGAGGAAGCATGGAAGGAGGGAATGAAGCAAGGAACGAAGGAAGAAAGTAAGGAAGTGAGGAAGAAATTTGTGAAGGAAGCGAGGAAGCAAAGAAGGGGAAAAGAAGGGAGCGAGGAAGGAAAAAAGCAAGGAAGGAAAGAGGGAAACGAGGAAAGAAGGAAGCGAGGAAGCAAGGAAGGAATGAAGCGAGGAAGCAAGGTAGGAAGGAAGTGAGGAAGGAAAGATTGCGAGGAAGGAAGGACGCGAGGAAGCAAAGAAGGAAGGAAGGAAGCAAGGAAGAAAGCAAGGAAACGAGAAAGCGAGGTGGGAAGAAAGCGAGGAAGGAAGGAAGGAACTGAGGAAGAAAGAAAGGACGGAAGCGAAGGAACAAGGAAGGAACGATGCAAGGAAGCAAGGAAGGAAGGAACTGAGGAAGCAAGGAAGGAAGCAAGGAAAGGAACGAGGAAGAAAGGAAGCCAGGAAGCAAAGAAGGAAGGAAGGAAGGAAGCAAGCAAAGACGCAAGAAAGGAAGGAAGGAAAAAAAGCAAGGAAGGAAGTAAGTAAGGAAAGAAGGCGAGAAAGCAAGGAGGGAAGGAGGGAATGAAGCGACAAAAGAACAGCGCGAGGAAAGAATGAAGGAAACGAGGAAGCAAGGAAGGAGGAAAGAAGGAAGTGAGGAAGGGGGGAAGCAAGGAAGGGAGGATGCAAGTGAGGAAGGAATGAATCGAGGAAGCAAGGAAAGAAGAAAGCGAGGAAGCAAGGAAGGAGGAGAGAAGGAAGCGAGGGAGGAAGCAAGGAAGGAATGAAGCGAAAAAGGAAGGACGCGAGGAAAAAACGAAGTAATCGAGGATGCAAGGAAGGAGGAAAAAGGAAGTGGGGAAGGAAGGAAAGAAGGAAGCGAGGAAGCAAGGAAGAAAGCAAGGAAGGAAGCATGGAAGGAAGGAATGAAGCGAGGAAGGAAGGAAGCAAGGAAGCAAGGAGGGAAGGAAGCGAGGAAGCAAGGTAGGAAGGAAGCGAGGAAGGAAATATGCAAGGACGGAAGGAAGCGAGGAAGCAAGGAAGGAAGGAAGCAAGAAAAGAAGAGGCGAGGAAGAAAGGAAGGTAGGAATCGAGGAAGGAAAGAAGCAAGGAAGGAAGGAAGCGAGGAAGGAAAGAAGCGAGGAAGCAAGGAAGGAAGGAAGCCAGGAAGGAAGGAAGCGAGGAAGCAAGGAGGGAAAGAAGCAAGGAAGGGAGGAAGCAAGGAAGAAGGAAGGAAGCGAGGAAGCAAGGAAAGGAGGAAGCGAGGAAGGAAGTAAGCGAGGAAGAAAGGAAGGAAGGAACGAAGCGAGGAAGGAAGGATGCAAGGAAGCGAAGAAGCAAGGAAGTGAGGAAGCAAGGAAGGGAGGAAGCAAGGAAGGGAGGAAGGAAGCAAGGATGGAAGGAAGGAAGCGAGGAAGGAAGGATGCAAGAATGCGAGGAAGCAAGAAAGTGAGGAAGGAAGCGAGGAAGCAAGGGAGGAGGGAAGCAAGGAAGGAAGCAAGAAAGAAAGGAGGGAAGTGAGGAAGGAAGGAAGCTAGGAAGGGAGGAAGCGAAGGAATCTAGGAAGGGAGGAAGCGAAGGAATGAAGTGAGGAAGCAAGGAAGGAATGAAGCAAGGAAGCAAAGAAGGAAGGAAGCGAGGAAGGGGGAATCAAGGATGGAAGGAAGCGAGGAATGAAGGATGTGAGGAAGCGAGGAAGAAAGCAAGGAAGGAAGGAAGCGTAGAAGCAAGGAAGGGAGGAAGCGAGCAAGCAAGTAAGCAACAGGATATTGATATAGGAATAATATTCATAAACATTATTCTGACTAAATCATTTTAGGTTCACCTAAACGCACGCTTCTTACCGAATATCGACTTGTACTCAAAGATGGAACAGAGGGGACAGTTGAAATACAGAAAATACAGAATATTTCCTATGGACTATGTAGTAAGATCACACGATAAAAAACGTTATACTTGTACAACGATTTGAAGCGCAACATAGGATATATTGTGCTCTCGATATGCTGTATTTCCACTTGATTTCATCTCGTGCCAATACAGATTTTTTTTAGCACAATATATCCTATACTGCACTTCAAATCATTCAATAACTTATATTACTTCAAATTATGAAAATGAGGTTAAATGTTTAACATTTCGTCCGATCTAATACTCATCACATTTCTCAGATGATCTTTCTTATTCTGTAAAATGGCATGGAAATATGATACTGCAGTTTTCCAACAACAACGTATCATAATATGAACTATATTAACAGTTGTGTTTGTTGTTATTGAGAATTGTATTGACAAATAATGTATTCATCAAACTGGGTACAATAGTGGATCAAGGTGGGTACGAAAGTGGGAGATTTTCAGGGTATATTCGGGATTCACTCCATTTTTGAGAGACACTTGCTCCTGTTTTCAGCGGGACCTCCTCATGTTTTCAGCGGGGCCTCCTCCTGATTTCAGCGGGATCTTTGCTTAATTGCTCCTGCTAGAAGCGGGGCCTTGAGGGATATGATAAAATTTAAATATAAAATGTTCTGTAAAGCTTTCGGAAGTGAAACTCGGTACATCTTTATTTCATATCACTATCGTTATTTCAACCACAGGACAACATCGTTCTTCACCAATAACGTATAGAAATATAAAGATAAAGATTCAAAATGATACTTTCTCTCTTCAATTGACAAATAACGAACCACAGAACGACCGTTCGCGATACATTTTTTCCAGCAGTTGCTTTTTTAGTCTCAATACCATGTAATCATTGGGAAAAATTAAAAGAAAACGTTTTGTAAATCATACAATTCAAGAACACAAAAAAGAACCCATGACTTCTTTTTATTCCTCGCGATTTCAGCGGGAACTTGCTCGCGATTTTTAAATCATAGCGGGGCTTTAGATACTACCCGTGTGATATATATGAATAATAATGAAACAAATGCCAATTCCAGATTCTACATTTTTGCTGATGTTCCTACGACGCTGCAAATTCAGCCAATTGGAGGCAAGGAAGATGCTGGATCACTATATCACCATGTCTGTGAAAATGGTACCTGAATGGATGTTAAAGAATGACATCCTCGATCCAAGAGCCAAAGCTGCATTTCTCACAGGGCAAGTCATAAGAAATCGGAATCAATATAATATAATAGTAGCTTGAATTGTAGTATAAATGGTGACTGAAATTTTACCAAAATTGGTGACTAAAATTGTAGCATAAACTATGGTATATTAATATAACAAACAAGGCATTAACATGACAAAATGTCACCACCTAGTTGCTCACAATATTAAGAGTTCAATCTCAAGTCAGATTTGAAATTCTGAGAACTTGTAGATGATTTTGAAAAAAAAAATTGGTCAATTTGAAGCAAGTTGAAAAAGACCTTTTTTGAACATAAGAAGGTCATTGAAGATGAAATCTCAAATCTATAGTCAGATTTGAACTTCTGAGAACATGTAGATGATTTTGAAAAAATTGGTCAATTTGAAGCAAGATGAAAAAAGACCTTTTTGACCTTAAGAAGGTCAGTGAATTTCAAATCTATAGTCAGATTAGAATTTCTGATAACTTGTAGATGATTTTGAAAACGTCATTAAAGGTCAAATCTTTTTTGACCTTGAGAATTTCATTGAATGTCAAAACTATACTCAGATTTGAACTTTTGAGAACTTGAAGATGGTTTTGAAAAAAAATTGAAGTCAGTCTAAACAGTATTTGTTAAACCTGCACATTGCTCTAATTTAAAAACGCAATATTTCGACATACATTATTTTTATATTTTCATACAGCCAACAAGATTACTAAAGCTCTAGCGTACAGTTTGACGTGATTAAAAACTGTTTTTCTGCGTAATATCAAAGTACAATCATTTAGTTAAAAAAACAAAAATAAATCCCCAGGTGGAGCTCGAACCACTGACGTCTACACATGCAGCAAGCATTCTACCACAAGACCAGCATCAATCTATAGAACATGAGGAGTAATTTAACGTTGACGGTGCATTATGCAGTTATGTTGTTTTTAGACCATCCTGGTATGAGCTCATTCTCGAATCATTACATTTTCCAACAAGATGGGGCTCCAAGCAATAGATCTCACAAGAGTTTCAAATGTTTAAAAGAAAATGTGCGTAGATTCATCTCCCTAATCACTGCCTCCCCCAGATCACCCGATCACCCAACGTCTGAGACTACCACATATGGGAGAACTAACAGAATTGGTGTACTATGAATCCTTTACATCAATTCAGTCTCTTGAGAACAGAATTGAATTAATGAGAAGTGAAATTCATTGTCTTTAGCAGCATATCAATGATGCTATTGGCCAATTTAGGCCAAAATTGAGGGGTACAGTTGATCAAAATGGTGGACATATTGAACGTCTGTTTATGTAAATAAAGTTGACAATAAAACTTGTTTTTGCAAGTTTTGGAAAACCTGTTTTGAAATGAAAATGACATCATTTCTATTATGGACGCTGGTTGACAGACATTATAATAAATTTGAACTTATGATGTACCAAATTAAAGATAAGTAAATTCCCTATCCACTGGTATATAATATGACATGTTTTCATCAAGAAAATCAATATTTGTTTTTGAAATACGAGTGTCCCATTTTTTTTGGACCACCCTGTATATTGAACATTCTAATTCAGTTGTGATGTCACATTCTAAATTTAGAAACCTTCCAAAAATAATATTGTCTGCGAAGCAATTCAAAGCACAATCCTCATAATGACACATTTATCGTGAGTATTTGTACAATAGATTTGCCCCATTTGTTCACCATTGCATATACTTTCATTAAATCTTACAGTTGTCCCTTGAACAACCCAAGATTGTGTTTTAGAGCGATGTGCAGGTTTAAGTTATTGGAAGTTGTAAGAATTTGTTACAGACACCAACCGCCAACCAACAACCGCCAACTACCAACCACCGTAAAAAAAACGGAGACCACAACAATATGTCACCACTTAATATTTCTTATTAACTCTACTATATGAATAAATAAAAAATATCTGTCGTAGTCGCATTCTACGATTATTGGTTGTGCATTTTAAAAATAGTTGTTGACATAAAATTTTGAAGCAATGAGGGTTTTATTGAATAATCATGTCCACTCCAGTGTCAATAATCGTGACTTGCTAGTCTGTTTTAAGCCGCTGTAGTGAACATAATTACAACAAATTAAGATGATTGCAGAGGAAAATATAAAATTTTATGTGTTAACCTGAATAAGGAGAAATGGAGCTGTTTATCTTAGGAATTAAGCAACAATATGATCTTTTCAAAATAAACTGTTTTGAAGTGAATTAATTAACTTCTCAATTTTTGATAATTGTGCAACTCAAGTTTTCTCTGCTACTTGTCCCACCAGTGTCTTTAATATATAATATCAAACATGTACAGGGTTCTGAAAGAGTTTTTTCAATTTTAGACTTAACATTGAAATTTGAATTCTAATAAACTATTTGACACGTTTTCTCTCACCCTCAGGTTCTGTGTGCCACTTCCCCAGAGAGATGATCAAGGGAGACGCCTCCTACTAATGAAACCAGGTAACCTCAGCTCATTAGATGAATTGAACTCTTCTGAAATGTGGCACTGGACTGCCACATAGTTTGTTAGTATATATTGACCCATTTATGTGATGGCAGAGGACACTGTAATGTTCAATTTCCCTCAAAGTCAGTCTACAGAGCCAGTATATTCTACACTTAGGCTGCTATATAACGTAAAGTACAGCATGAGCTAATGGTGTAATCAGTGATCAAGTATTGAGGTGTTCCTCTTACAGGTTCTTTTAATATTACATCAACAATGGGCTTTAAAATAAAACTGTTCCACTTGTGAGGTGTTCCACATACAGAAATGTTCCACTTTTCAGGTGTCCTGAATCCCGAGAAAAATGAGTATGATGGTACAGATGTTTACAGAGCAATTGGGGCAATGTTCATGGTGCTGCAACGTGAGGATATGACACAGGTACTAGATAGAGTAATACAGAATATTTGGGTGAATGTTTATGGAACTGAAACATGAGGATATAACACAGGTAATACAGAGTGTTTGGGTCAAAGTTCATGGTAATGCAACATAAGGATATGGCACAGGTAATACAGAATGTTTGGGTCAATGTTCTTGGTAATGCAACATAAGGAGGATATGGCACAGGTAATACAGAGTGTTTTGGTCAATGTTCATGGTAATGCAATTTACAGATATGGCACAGGTAATACAGTGTGTTTGGATCAATGTTCATGGTAATGCAATTTACAGATATGGCACAGGTAATACAGAGTGTTTTGGTCAATGTTCATGGTAATGCAACATAAGGATATGGCACAGGTAATACAGAGTGTTTGGGTCAATGTTCATGGTAATGCAATTTACAGATATGGCACAGGTAATACAGAGTGTTTGGGTCAATGTTCATGGTAATGCAATTTACAGATATGGCACAGGTAATACAGAGTGTTTGGGTCAATGTTCATGGTAATGCAACATAAGGATATGGCACAGGTAATACAGAGTGTTTGGGTCAATGTTCATGGTAATGCAACATAAGGAGGATATGGCACAGGTAAAACAGAGTGTTTGGGTCAATGTTCTTGGTAATGCAATTCACAGATATGGCACAGGTAATACAGTGTGTTTGGATCAATGTTCATGGTAATGCAATTTACAGATATGGCACAGGTAATACAGAATGTTTGGGTCAATGTTCATGGTAATGCAACATAAGGATATGGCACAGGTTATACAGAGTGTTTGGGTCAATGTTCATGGTAATGCAATTTACAGATATAACACAGGTAATACAGAGTGTTTGGGTCAATGTTCATGGTAATGCAATTTACAGATATAGCACAGTTTATACAGAATGTTTGGGTCAATGTTCATGGTAATGCAACATAAGGATATGGCACAGGTAATACAGAGTGTTTGGGTCAATGTTCATGGTAATGCAATTTACAGATATGGCACAGGTAATACAGAGTGTTTGGGTCAATGTTCATGGTAATGCAATTTACAGATATGGCACAGGTAATACAGAGTGTTTGGGTCAATGTTCATGGTAATGCAATTAACAGATATGGCACAGGTAAAACAGAGTGTTTGGGTCAATGTTCATGGTAATGCAATTTACAGATATGGCACAGGTAATACAGAGTGTTTGGGTCAATGTTCATGGTAATGCAATTTACAGATATGGCACAGGTAATACAGAGTGTTTTGGTCAATGTTCATGGTAATGCAATTTACAGATATGGCACAGGTAATACAGAGTGTTTGGGTCAAAGTTCATGGTAATGCAATTTACAGAAATAGCACAGGTAATACAGAGTGTTTGGGTCAAAGTTCATGGTAATGCAATTTACAGATATAGCACAGGTAATACAGAGTGTTTGGGTCAATGTTCATGGTAATGCAACTTACAGATATGGCACAGGTAATACAGAGTGTTTGGGTCAAAGTTCATGGTAATGCAATTTACAGATATGGCACAGGTAATACAGAATGTTTGGGTCAAAGTTCATGGTAATGCAATTTACAGATATAGCACAGGTAATACAGAGTGTTTGGGTCAAAGTTCATGGTAATGCAATTTACAGATTTGGCACAGCTAATACAGAATGTTTGGGTCAATGTTCATGGTAATGCAATTTACAGATATGGCACAGGTAATACAGAGTGTTTGGGTCAATGTTCATGGTAATGCAATTTACAGATATAACACAGGTAATACAGAGTGTTTGGGTCAATGTTCATGGTAATGCAATTTACAGATATGGCACAGGTAATACAGAGTGTTTGGATCAATGTTCATGGTAATGCAACATAAGGATATGGCACAGGTAATACAGAGTGTTTGGGTCAATGTTCATGGTAATGCAACATAAGGAGGATATGGCACAGGTAATACAGAGTGTTTGGATCAATGTTCATGGTAATGCAATTTACAGATATGGCACAGGTAATACAGAGTGTTTGGGTCAATGTTCATGGTAATGCAACATAAGGATATGGCACAGGTAATACAGAGTGTTTGGGTCAATGTTCATGGTAATGCAACTTACAGATATAGCACAGGTAATACAGAGTGTTTGGATCAATGTTCATGGTAATGCAACTTACAGATATAGCACAGGTAATACAGAGTGTTTGGGTCAATGTTCATGGAAATGCAACTTACAGATATAGCACAGGTAATACAGAGTGTTTGGGTCAATGTTCATGGTAATGCAACATAAGGATATGGCACAGGTAATACAGAGTGTTTGGGTCAATGTTTATGGTAATGCAACTTACAGATATAGCACAGGTAATACAGAGTGTTTGGATCAATGTTCATGGTAATGCAATTTACAGATATGGCACAGGTAATACAGAGTGTTTGGATCAATGTTCATGGTAATGCAACATAAGGATATGGCACAGGTAATACAGAGTGTTTGGGTCAATGTTCATGGTAATGCAACATAAGGAGGATATGGCACAAGTAATAGAGAGTGTTTGGATCAATGTTCATGGTAATGCAATTTACAGATATGGCACAGGTAATACAGAGTTTTTGGGTCAATGTTCATGGTAATGCAACATAAGGATATGGCACAGGTAATACAGAGTGTTTGGGTCAATGTTCATGGTAATGCAACTTACAGATATAGCACAGGTAATACAGAGTGTTTGGATCAATGTTCATGGTAATGCAACTTACAGATATAGCACAGGTAATACAGAGTGTTTGGGTCAATGTTCATGGTAATGCAACTTACAGATATAGCACAGGTAATACAGAGTGTCTGGGTCAATGTTCATGGTAATGCAATTTACAGATATAGCACAGGTAATACAGAGTGTTTGGATCAATGCTCATGGTAATGCAACTTAAAGATATAGCACAGGTAATACAGAGTGTTTGGATCAATGTTCATGGTAATGCAATTTACAGATATGGCACAGGTCAGGCGCGTAACCAGGTATACGCGAGGGTACGCAGTCGCGTACCCTAAATGATGGAGCAAAAAATAAATTGTTTTAAAAAATAATGAAAAATAAAAAAAAGTAAAGCAAAATAGTTTGTTTCATGATCTTTCCTGGACTATACTTCCCTTCAAGACTCCAGACAAGTTAAATTGAGAACACTCAAGAAATACAAGATGAACTTGGGGACGGCTACAGCCGCGGGAGTGATATTGTAAGGGAAATTGAGACATACAAACAGAAGTGGGCCGATGTACCAATAGGTGACAGACCATCAACGCTAGAAGATGCGGTACAGCAAACCAACCGTGTCCTATACCCCAAAATCTCCACTGCCCTGCGGCTGTTGTTGGTTCTCAGCTCTATGAGGCGTCTCAAGACTTATCTCAGACCAACTATGGGACAAACTCGTTTAAGTTCACTGGCATTGATGCATATTCACAAAAACTTTATTTTCGATAAGCGTGGAATTGTAAGAGAGTGGGGGGCAAGGGCCCCTCGCCGTTTACGCTTTGCATTTGTTTAAAGGCCCCATATAAAGTTTAAACCACTTTGGCGTATATTACACTCCCCTCCATAAGTTTGGCAACCTTAGTTCCGCCATTGAACTACGTGTTAAAGCCCCTTTATATTTGAATTTTTTATTTATTTCACCTCCGATGAAAAATACTTATAATATTGATGCGAACTTAACTTGACTTAATTTCCAATACCTCCTTGCTTTAAACAACGTAATATGTACGGTAATATGTGATTATTGTCGTTCAAGTTAATTCTTGAATTATAGATTGTATTTCAAATCGTATCTATATCAGAACAATAGAACTTCAATTTAACTATTACATTGCTGGCGCAAAAGTACAAGATCAGTATAATAAAACTGCAATCTCTGTCTCTTTTCAAATCATAACAGAACAACATTTTTAAGGCACTTTAGAACAAGCTTAATCAATGATAATCAGCTAGAAACGAAAAAAGGTTGTGCTCGTATAAAAATGGATCTTCTCCTATTCGTAGGAATTTTCATTTTCGCCATTTACCCACTTCATCATTTTTATTTAGTCTCCATTTCTCGAACATAAGTGTCGAATGATGATATCATTTAATGGGCAATAATTTGTCATGTGTGGTTTTATTTTACATGTATCACGAACAATACAATCAATAGTGCCCTATTACATAGTCTGATATCGCTCAGAACGCACCATTTAAGGTGTAAAATCAAAAAATTTACCTAATTTTGCTCGGCATTCGGCCTCGCGTACCCACTCCCAAAATCCTGGTTACGCCGCTGCAGGTAATACAGAGTGTTTTGGTCAATGTTCATGGTAATGCAATTTACAGATATGGCACAGGTAATACAGAGTGTTTGGGTCAATGTTCATGGTAATGCAACATAAGGATATGGCACAGGTAATACAGAGTGTTTTGGTCAATGTTCATGGTAATGCAATTTACAGATATGGCACAGGTAATACAGAGTGTTTGGATCAATGTTCATGGTAATGCAATTTACAGATATGGCACAGGTAATACAGAGTGTTTGGGTCAATGTTCATGGTAATGCAACATAAGGATATGGCACAGGTAATACAGAGTGTTTGGATCAATGTTCATGGTAATGCAACTTACAGATATGGCACAGGTAATACAGAGTGTTTGGATCAATGTTCATGGTAATGCAATTTACAGATATGGCACAGGTAATACAGAGTGTTTGGGTCAATGTTCATGGTAATGCAATTTACAGATATAGCACAGGTAATACAGAGTGTTTGGGTCAATGTTCATGGTAATGCAATTCACAGATATAGCACAGGTAATACAGTGTGTTTGGATCAATGTTCATGGTAATGCAATTTACAGATATGGCACAGGTAATACAGAGTGTTTGGATCAATGTTCATGGTAATGCAATTTACAGATATAGCACAGGTAATACAGAGTGTTTGGGTCAATGTTCATGGTAATGCAATTTACAGATATAGCACAGGTAATACAGAGTGTTTGGATCAATGTTCATGGTAATGCAATTTACAGATATAGCACAGGTAATTCAGAGTGTTTGGATCAATGTTCATGGTAATGCAATTTACAGATATGGCACAGGTAATACAGAGTGTTTGGGTCAATGTTCATGGTAATGCAACATAAGGATATGGCACAGGTAATACAGAGTGTTTGGATCAATGTTCATGGTAATGCAACTTACAGATATGGCACAGGTAATACAGAGTGTTTGGATCAATGTTCATGGTAATGCAATTTACAGATATGGCACAGGTAATACAGAGTGTTTGGGTCAATGTTCATGGTAATGCAATTTACAGATATAGCACAGGTAATACAGAGTGTTTGGGTCAATGTTCATGGTAATGCAATTCACAGATATAGCACAGGTAATACAGTGTGTTTGGATCAATGTTCATGGTAATGCAATTTACAGATATGGCACAGGTAATACAGAGTGTTTGGATCAATGTTCATGGTAATGCAATTTACAGATATAGCACAGGTAATACAGAGTGTTTGGGTCAATGTTCATGGTAATGCAATTTACAGATATAGCACAGGTAATACAGAGTGTTTGGATCAATGTTCATGGTAATGCAATTTACAGATATAGCACAGGTAATTCAGAGTGTTTGGATCAATGTTCATGGTAATGCAATTTACAGATATGACACAGGTAATACAGAATGTTTGGGTCAATGTTCATGGTAATGCAATTTACAGATATGGCACAGGTAATACAGAGTGTTTGGGTCAATGTTCATGGTAATGCAATTTACAGATATGGCACAGGTAATACAGAATGTTTGGGTCAATGTTCATGGTAATGCAATTTACAGATATAGCACAGGTAATACAGAGTGTTTGGGTCAATGTTCATGGTAATGCAATTTACAGATATGGCACAGGTAATACAGAGTGTTTGGATCAATGTTCATGGTAATGCAATTTACAGATATGGCACAGGTAATACAGAGTGTTTGGGTCAATGTTCATGGTAATGCAACATAAGGAGGATATGGCACAGGTAATACAGAGTGTTTGGGTCAATGTTCTTGGTAATGCAACATAAGGATATGGCACAGGTAATACAGAGTGTTTGGGTCAATGTTCATGGTAATGCAACATAAGGAGGATATGGCATAGGTAATACAAGCTGACTGGGAATTGTCAAAGTGGTTTATATTACAAGGCTGATTTTATGTTTAATACATGCAGGCTGATACAATGAAGATTTCATATAATGTTTTTAATTAACAAGTATGTCATCAAAACTGATTCTAACAGAGTATCAATAATAGACTTTAAGGTACACGACTGTTCTAGGTGAATGGCTATGTGTTTTTCCAAGACTACACAGGGATGTCCCCCAAACATATCACCTTCTTTGGCATAGAAAACATGAAGAAATCAACAAAGTTCTGGCAGGTAATTAGTTTTATTGCCATCTTTAATGAAATCAATCTAATATGGGGGATAGTTGTCTCGCGACCTTTGTTTTTGATGGCGCGAGAACTTGTTCTTGATTAAAACAGAAAAAATGATATTCTAGAATCGACAGTGTTAAGTCCGACTCCACTTATGTATTCTATCTCAGTCTTATAAAAGAAGCTGAATTTGCAGTCAAAAATCATTTATTTCTTGAGATATGGCCATTTTTCTTTTTGCTGCTAGAACAGAGTTTCAAAGATTTTGAATTGAGATGCATTTACGTACTGTTATGTAATCAACAACAAAAAAAGAAATACATTTTGAACATTTAAAAATGAATAAACTATTCTTTCACTTCAATATGTCAAATTCGGTGATAATATAGCATTAGACTTCTATCCCCCTGTGTCTAATTTCCATTCCAGAACATATTTTGAATATTTGTTCCCTTATTTTATAGTTCATTCTACAAATACAGAAAAAAACATTGAAAAATACATAAGGCTTTTTAAAATATATAGCCTCTAAAATTTATTTCTAAATCAAGTACATGTATAGGATTCCACTGTGTAGTAGATATTTAAGAATAGTCTTTATCAAAAGCGATCCTCATTACTTTGAGTTATTAAATCAGATGGTACCAATCAGATAAGGGAGTTATCAAAGACGTAAAATATAATTTGAATAATATTTTTCTTCTCATTTCTGTTTTATTAAATCAATACTTTCTGTGTATATTCAATTTTTAGGACAACTTTCCAGCCAGATTCAAGGAGATGCACTACTATAACACAGGGGCTGTGTTTGAGGCTATCATGCAACTAATAAAACCATTTCTCAGCAAGAAAATACAAGATAGGGTAGGTGATATTAAGTATAAAATCAGAGCTAGTGAGGAACCTTCACAAAAATTGATTCAATTTTAAAATAATTTTGACTCATATATTTTTTGCCATCTCTGTTTTAAAAAAATCCCTAATGAGCAGTTGGATTTCATTTAGCAAAATCAACACTGAACAAAAGAAAGTCATTTTTTGGAATTGTGCCAAGCAAATATAAAATAGCACATTGGTACAATGATGAAAGACCAAGATCTAGATATGAATTGTTGTTTCAGATTAAGGTTTATGGAAACAACATGGAGGATGTATATAAGAATATACCCATGAAGTGTCTTCCCAGTGATTACCTACCAGATGACTATAAAGGTTCAAACACTTACAGCATGATGGAAATTGTAGGTGAGTGAAATACATTAAATGCTTTAACACAAAATTGCTCAATTTCTGTGATTCTTGATTTTTAAAGTTTTGATGACATTTACATCAGAAGTGTATGTTGATTCAGACTGGTGGTATTTTTATTTTTGGGTCAAGTAATTTAGATTTAAAGGTTTGGCTGCTTTTGGTGACATAATAAAAAGAGTAAAAGGAACAGAAAAACAGATTTTGTCTTCATATTTTTTACATCTTGAATAAACTTGCAGAGAGCTTCTACAAGAAGATGAGTGAGCTTGAAATAAGCAAGAGGATCAAGTACTGCTCCACAGAACTAATGGGATTAGATGAGTCCAAGAGACCCAGCAACAAAGATGAACCACAGGCATCATTCAGGAAATTAAACATAGACTAAGACTGCAACAACAAAAAACAAGACACTTAAAGGCTTCTATTTTGCATGTGTACATAGCCTGATGTGAGCAACATCATATGATTGGAACATTTATGGTGCAAATACACAAACTAGACAACACCAACGCCAAAGCATAGCAAATCCCATCAAACAGCCATGGCTGGCATTTTTACAAACAAAGCATATAGCAAAAACGAATGGCCACCTTCTACCAAAAGTGCCATTATATTAGACATTGTGCCATGCTTATAGTATTCACATACAAAATATGAACAAAATCGCTCCACAACTTTTCGAGTTACAGTAACAAATTTTTCAAGATGGCTGCCATGTGCTTCTTTAAGATCTACATTTCTAGCTTTATTAATGTCCTATATCATTTTTTTAACATTTAAAATATATTGCCATTACAGTTTTACATATTGTACCTAAATTACTGTAAAATCGACAAAATGGCCACCATTTTTGAATGAGTGGCCATTTTGAAAATCGATGATCGAGCAGAACTTTAACTTTTATAGGATATATGTTTTCAAATTATGAACAAAATCAGGCTAACGGTATTTGAGTTATTGCCCGGACGGATGTCTGTCAACACATTGGCAGCTAATTCAAATTCCCTAGGACAATTGGATTTGTTTTACTTTTAAAATGTTTCTACAAAAGGTGGTCAATTGTTCTATGAGTAGCGTCTCAAAAGCTTGCCTTGTTTCAAAATGGCGGCCATTTTTATGACGTACAAATCAGGTTTTTAGCTCTTTTTTTTGGTTATAACTCCACAAATTGTCCACCAATTTGCTCGAAATTGTACAGATACCTTAATTTATAAGTTACCAATAATGCCTACAAATTCAGCAAAACAAGTTGTAAACATTCAAAATGGTTTCAGCTTGTTTTTGGTCATAACTCCAAAAGTATTCCATCAATCTGCTTGAAATTCAACAATGTCTACAAGTTTCAGCAAAATATGTCGCAAAGATTAAAATTTGCTGCCAATTTTATTGTAGAAAAATTAGGTTTTCACGTTTTTTCATCATAACTTCACATTTATTTTATCAAATTGCTTGAAATTGTACAGGTTCCTTAATTTATAGGTTATCAATACTTGGTTTACAAGTTAAGGCAAAATATGTTGCAAACATTCAAAATGGCTGCCACTTTTATTGCAGTAAAATCATGTATAAAGCTACCTTTTAGTTGTGAAATTCCATTGTCCTAATTTCATTGTGGAAAATGGTATTTATTGATCCAAGCTAATTTCAGCTAGCCAAATTCTTCTTCAAAATTATTATCAACCTTTCATAATCTTTAACTATTCTAAGCTCCTACTGTAAAACATTAAAAATATTGAAACCTTCCAATGTGAGTGCAGTACCCATGGTGCTATTTTTTTAATAATATAATTTTATGTAACAATATCATCATCAATATCATATCATCTCTTGTATGCTAATATGCGAAATTTTTGTATATTACTCTGTAAATGTAGAAGTTTTTACTTAGATAGTCTTTTAGTGAGTAGTTGTGACTAATGTAAATGCCAATATTTGTTAATGCTTATTTTTACAAATATAACTTAAACACATTTTACAATGAAGTATCTTTCATCCATATATATGCATACATGTAGCAATAAACTGATGAAGTAAAATTTAATTATTTATCTGTAATGTTATGTGTTCCCACTTAAAAAAGGATCCCTTTAAAGTGATCATAAGGCAACCTACCTTAGCTTCCAAAGAGATGTTTCTGTCATGTGATTCAGATATCTCTTTCAATAGTCTACCCTCCAATGTGGCCCTTTCCTAGAATTAAGTCAATAAGGATTTTAGATCATTTATGACATCAGAAAAATAGTGATTTTTTCTTTGCAATTTGTGTCGATTTACTACGCTGAACCCTATTTCAAATTATTATGACCACCACTTCAGTGCCAACTCTTGACGTATCTCAGTGGTATTTGCAGGATTTATCATGCTGCTCCTCTGCAAAGGGCTATAGATATTGCAAAATAAAAGTTTGAGGGCAAAACTGGAATTTTTGTGTGTTTAATTCTTCCTTAAATAGTATAATGCATGCATGGGAATGAGTAAGAAGAATGAATATCATATTATTGGAGAAGTTCATAAAACTCAACAAGACACACAGTGATAAATATCGCACTTTGAAGAGCAAACTGGCCACCATGCAATTTACCCAGCATGGCCAAAACCTAATCAGACCTTGACACTAGTCTGCTCTTGCATCTGTAAACATTTCAAGTTGACAAGGTTAGCGGTTTTCCTGCAATTTTGATGACAAGAATTTATTTGTAGTCTTGAACTTTGGAAAATTTAGATAACATTGTTTGTGACCTAATTTGATGACCTTCGACCTCAGTAGGTGTTTTGTAATTAAGCTGACCTAAATTTAAATCCAAAATATCAATTTAGAAAATCAACTTTTTGACATTTTCAAGGTCACTGAAGGTGAACGAAAGGTCAAATCTGAAATCTAAGGTCAGATTTGAACTTCTGAGAACTTGTAGATGTTTTTAAAAAAAAAATTTGGTCAATTTGGAGCAAGTTGAAAATTCAAAATGGCCGCCAAATTGAAAAATTCAAAATGGCCACCATGTAATTCAGCCAGCATACCCAAAACCTAATCAGATCTTGGCAATAGTCTGCTCTTGCATCTGTAAAAATTTCAAGTTGAACGGATAAGTGGTTTTCCTGGAATTTTGATGACAAGATTTGTTGAAAAATTCAAAATGGCCGCCACCTAGTTTACCCAGCATGCCCTTAACCTATTCAGATCTTGGCACTAGTCTGCTATTGCATGTGTAAAAATTTCAAGTTGAACAGGTTAGCGGTTTTCTTGGAATTTTGATGACAAGAATTGATTTGTAGTCTCAAACTTTGAGAAACTTGGATAACATCATTTGTGACCTAGTTTAATGACCTTGACCTTCGACCTTTTTCAGATCTCAGTAGGTGTTTTGTAATTAAGCTGACCTAAATTTAAATCCAAAATATGAATTTAGAAAATCAACTTTTTTGACCTTTTCAAAGTCACTGAAGGTGAACGAAAGGTCAAATCTGAAATCTAAGGTCAGATTTGAACTTCTGAGAACTTGTAGATGTTTTTAAAAAAAAAATTGGGTCAATTTGGAGCAAGTTGAAAAATTCAAAATGGCCGCCAAATTGAAAAATTCAAAATGGCCACCATGTAATTCAGCCAGCATACCCAAAACCTAGTCAGATCTTGGCAATAGTCTGCTCTTGCATCTGTAAAAATTTCAAGTTGAAAGGATAAGTGGTTTTTCTGGAATTTTGATGACAAGATTTGTTGAAAAATTCAAAATGGCCGCCACATAGTTTACCCAGCATGCTCTTAACCTAATCAGATCTTGGTACTAGTCTGCTCTTGCATCTGTAAAAATTTCAAGTTGAACAGGTAAGCAGTTATCCTGGAAATTTGATGACAAGATTTGGTTTATGTCACGCCCGCCCGCCCGCCCGCCCGCCCGCCCAACAGCACAAGACGACGACAATATAGCACTTTTTCAAAGTGCGATAAAAAGATGATTATCTAACTACCAGATCCCAAAAATTACGATCAGAACCCACCTCTTTCTCATGTGCTACTTGTTGATGTAATGAGGTGTTGAGCTCTGCGTTCTCTTGTCGTGACTTCATTAACATTGCTCCCAAGTCTGTTACTTTGGTCTCTGCCATGGCCAGCTCTGATTCTGTCATTGACAACCTATATGAGACAATGTTGAAATATTTTAGAGGAGCAGTTTTATCATTATGGAATAAACAGACATTTTGATTTTAAATTTGAACATACTTTTTTTCTTGAATACAATTTCAAATGATTTTTATATTTAATCTATACAAGACAACAACATTATAACACTTTCAATATGTGAAAAATAAGGGTTAAATTTATTTTTGAGCAATTGTCATTACATTCATCTAGTTGTAAGTTTATGAACACTAAGTGCCATCTATATATGAACAGGTTTATTTAATACTTGTATTGAAATAAAAATCATTATTCATGAATTTGAGTTATGTGTGCAAGCAACAACACAGCATAAATGTATGGATGGGTAAATCATTTTGCAATTTAAAGACACGGAAGGATAAAACACTTACTTTGCTGCAAGAGCATTGAAAGCTACTTTTCTTTCTTCCAGTGTCTCCTGTAGTTGGCCAACTCTGTGAGATGCCGATCTACAAACATAAATAAGGGTTATGTACTGGGAGGTTTTGGATATGGGGTTTATCCAGAGGGAGATATGCATATCTACCTGAGGGACCGTAGGGACCGAAGGTAGATGTGCATATCTCACGAGGGATGAACCCAATATCCAAACCGACCATACATAACTGCTTTATCCTATACCAAGTAGAGTTTTCAGGGGCATATGGCCATTTCAATAGTACAAGTTGTAAAAATAAACAAATCATTCATATGCAAAGTCATTTTATTGCATTACCGGAAGCGGGAAGATATGCACCAGAAGCGGGAAGATATGCACCGAAGCGGGAGATATGGCGGGAGATATGGAGGTTCTAGATATGGAAACCTCAAAACCAGGATACGGGATATATCTTACCAACTTATCTCCCTAAAACTCTACTTGGCATAGGATAAATCCATGTACAAGTCATGATTGTTTCTGTATAAGTGGTGGGCTGGGTAGATATGGCGATGGCCATGGTAATGGTGGTAAGGGGTATTTTTATTTTTTTATTTATTTATTCATATATATTTCAACATGAAATGTACAGTAAACGGGTGACACTTCACGTGTATATTCCCGTGTTTATCATCAAACATGAAATGTACAGATTGGGGATCTGCTTGTGTGATGAATTCTTAAAATTTAAAGTAATTTTAGTTTTTATTAGTAAACCATACTTACCTAATATTGCCACTATGTGCTAACATCCACCATTGAATCTATCTATGGCCAACTTCCCGGGAATTTCTTGAGCATATTACACTGTGCACCCCCGCACAAATGCCCGGATATTCCTCAATTATTCCGCTATAACAATTATGAACATTCTGCTGTAAGCGGAGGAGGAGGGAGGGACATATTTGTAGTGGCAATATTAGGTAAGTATGGTTTACTAATAAAAACTAAAATTACTTTAAATTTTAAGATTTTACTACGCAAACCTTTACTACTTACACTAATATTGCCACTATGTGCTGAATCCCAGCCAAGTAGGCGGTGGGTTAAACAGCAGAAAAACCACGGGAATAGAATAAATTTGCAACAAACTACAAATTGATCAACCCTACAACTTTAGGTTACCCAACTTTACATCCTAAAGCCTTCGGGACTAAGGAACTTAATAACCTAGTACAAGTTCTGGGGTGAAATGTTTAAACTGTGTTAAACACTTAACAAAACTAATTATTCAGATTCACTATGCTAAAAAAACTCAATTGGCCACTATGATAAAAAACGGACGTCTATCTATGGCGGGGTAATTCAACCACCAAAGGTCAACAACGAACTTATACCACAGTACAAATTCTGACATTCTGATTGGCCATAAAAAAAAGAAAAATGTCAGAATATCTTCTAGCATAGTCTTAGACTTACATACATGACTTGGAAGTAATTTAAGCTGCCCATTGTGCCTGCTTTAAACATATCTTCCACTCGACTTCTGTATACCTTGTACATGTATAGATAACAGCTAATAATTGCTTGATCCAAAGATCTAAAGGAATTATATTGAAGTTCCTTAAAAGTATCTGGTTCTTCAAATCAATGCAAACTTTTCGTTCTCTCTTTTGAGTAAAGGTGAGACGAAGTACTACATCGGTTACCATATGTTGGACTCTTAATGATCTTCGAACTATGAACACCAGTTGTTTAAATATTCTTGGGATTGTGATAACTCCGAAATCCCAATTACATCTTTAAATATTAAACATCTGGTATAAGTGCTTCTGCAAAGCATTGTAACCCTTAAAGGCTAAGCTGTGTCTGAATGATAAACTACGTAGAGATTCATCATTTACTCATTGCCATTAGGATCACATGTTCAATCATTGAAGAACCCATGTATACCCTCCTTACAAGTCGAGTATGCTTGGTTGTTTACAATTCAACAATAAAGCTGTGCATATTACCGAACACTTTCTGAAAAAATCGGTAAATTAAAGATAGTCATGTATCCAAACATGTCTAAATGATACCTGCTGAATACAATCCTAGATCTTGGTACAAACCCAAGAAAGAGATTATAATGGTTAAGAGTGAATAGGTTCAACTGAACCACAACACTAACTCAAAACCTTAAAGAATCATTCGACTCTAGAAGAAATTCTCAGGACAAGATCATTTAGGAACTGGTTCTGAAAACCCTCTGATAAATGCTGACAATTTACTAGAACAATAGTACAACATAATTGTACGATATCATGATAGAATATATCATTAGAGAGTTCCAATTACAACAATTACAGGTAAATAAGACGACTACCAAGTAATTCAGTGGCATTCTAGTCTTATAGCATATATAGTGTGATAAATTCTGCGTCTCTTGGTAAGAAACACCTGCAATGTATTTATCCACAAACTTGCTAGGGAAGATATACGTTTCATGTATCTTCTAACATTGCTGTTTAGTCATAAACAAACATGTATACTATGACTTAAGTATGAGTAAATAAACTCATTAGAATGCAATGGAAATGCAAGCTCACATTAATAAGACTATGATGTTCTAAACATCAATATTCTTTGAATCTGGAACAACAAACAATTCAAGTGAGGCGTCTTGATGTCTAATAGTTACTAGTATTACACATCAATTGAACTGTAGTGTCAGATGTCACACTATTGTTTTCTTGCAATATAGGTGTTAAAAACCCCATCACGCTTCTCATCCTTAAAATCTACAGGTGTTTCACTTTCTCTTGTTGAAAATGAACCCTGATTTAAAGGATAGTCTAGCTGTCAAGCAACGTGGATATTGACAACTACGTTATGGTTTGCATCTTTGAACACAAAAATGTTCTTGGGCAACTTTCATCTACCTTGTAAGTGTTCAAGAACCGTTCCCATATAACATGTATAAATAAAAACGAGAATTATTCTCGCATTGAAATCCTCTGTTAAACACCACAAGAGGTTGACCACCATCTGCCTCAATTATGAATGGTACAGAGGAAAATAAAGCAACGTTAAAAGCCTTATTCAATTGCCAAATAGAATAGGCAAACAGCACTAAACTACAGTAGCTAATAGGAATCGAACCGATGACTATGTGGTTCCTGAGAATTTACATTCCTGTGACAGGGCACCAAAATGCCTTGTTAATTACTTGGAATCTTGACATCATAAACCTTAGATGTATATTTGTCCTATTAAGGGGGTAGTGACATTACTAGTCTCAGGACATGACGATTCCTTAATTCAGTGTTCTACTCAGAACAACATCTGAAAAAAATATACTGTCTCAAAAATGAAACTATTTGATAAAGTATAGATGGAGTTGAAGATAATTCGTATAGAAATATCTCCAAAACCGCACGGAAACGACTGTGATTTCCGTTAAAGAACATATGTATAACAGTCAGCAGAAAATGTCTGTGATTCTTAAAATCATGAGACTGTTACAAAAATAACTTGGTCACAATTTGATCACGACAATTTTTGGCATATGTGTGAAAGCATTACTACTGTTAAATTTAATTGACCAATGCGTAAAAAGGTAAGTCTGAATCTCTTGTTTGGAAGAGCTCATGTCAAGACAAACGAAACCATGTCTATAACAAAGAGTACACTAGCTCTTGAGTATATAGTACTTCAGTACCACTAAATGATGTATTGAGGTTCTACCACCAAGGAAACATGGTAACAAATGATTCCATGGTGAAAAACATAAACCTCTAATCAACATGTAAGATCTCTCAAATAGTGATTGAACTGACACTGATGATACACTGATTTAAAGTAAAAGTGTGGCTATTTAAGACACAAATATTTACACAGAAGCACGGCACGACTGTGAACCTGTTGAAGATGATACTGCCATGACTGAGGCTGGCTCAGTAAAACACTCTTCAAAACAGTGATTAAACTTAAACCGTGTTTAAAAATCATTTTGACTATACTCTGAGCAACCCGAACAAGGTCAAAATAAACAAATATTCATTCTGTGTGTGATGTGGTAGCAAACAGGCCAATGGTCTGGATATACAGATATAGGGACTTATAAGTAAGTATAACTACTTCCCCTCGTTACAAATAAAAACTTTGGAATAACACCCAAGGTTGTAGTGAAAAACACAGAATTTGATTTACATTCTCTTGAACTGACTTACCAAGAGATCTGAAAAGTCATCTTAGACTTCAATTATCAACTTTTGACTTCAAAAGTTGTCAAGGCCAAGAAAAATAAAGGAAACAAAACCTTCACTGAGGTGATGTTTTAGACATAACCTTACTTTAACTGGCAAACTGAAAGCCGCCAAATGCTTAAGTTTTCAAAAAACCTCGACTGTAATCTTAATTCCTCAAACAATTAACACTGAGTTGAATGCTTTATGAGAAGCATCTGGAGAAAGTAACCTATGTCAAAGATACTTCCGCCAACTCAACTCTGAACGTTAATATTCCAGGAATAGAGTCTAAATAGGAGTATTCAGAAATGATTCTTGAGAATATAAAGATTTCAGTCAGAAATGACAAGTTCATGACATTGTCATTTGTCAACGCATACAACACTTCTTATATGAATAAGTACTTGTGTTGTTCAGTTGTTGGCTAATATAGCTAGAAGAATAGTCTAGTGACTCAAAACTAAAACAATCTAAGTCACCTTCTACTTCTCTGTTGAAGAGACTGAATCAACCAATAACAGGATGATTGTGATCATCCATGAATCGTTTTCTTCAGCATATATTAATAACATCTACAATTACTTGAAGAAAACAGAAACGCTCAATCAGAGACAATACTTATAGGTCTCTGATTCGAAAAGATTTTACATCTACTTGAAAGATGAGTAGGCTAAAAATGCTATATTGGTCTTTTCTGTGAAGAAGATGACGACTTCACAGTAGGCCTACTGTTAATCTTACAGTTACTTTTGTTAATCTTTAGCCTATCCTTTTTCTGAACAGTAGACAAACAACTCAGTCCAGAAATAACTGAACCAAATGCATAAGTGACAAACTTATCCTGCTGCGCATAACTAGTACAAAAACTAAATGGACTAAATAAACCAATTATACTGTGGTCAGCATACGTGTTCTATGTATGCAACATTATATGAATACTACACCAGATTTTACAACATACAGTGTTATTTTCTAAATACATTTAAATGTATGTGCACAAGTGTCTTCATCTGAACATCATTGTGATCACGCTACTGTAAGATGAAGAATATCTTCTTCATCGTAGGATCATACAGTCCATGCTCGACACATGTCAAATCCTAAAAGACAAATTTACTGGTGTAGTTATTTCTTCATGTTTACATAATTCATATCGGGACTGGAGTCCTTTTATAAACTATGCATAAAGAAAAGAGATGATAACTGCGTTCTTATGAACACGTATGTGTTTTCATTGTGGACTTACAACCAAAAAACACATGAGCAGTAAAGAAGCCATTTCGTCTGCGTTCTCCTGAACACGTATGTGTTTTTATTGTGGACTAACAACCAAAAACACCTCAGCAGTAAAGAAGCCATCTTCAGATGTAGATGTAGATAATTTTTCAAATTTCTCATATTCATCTGGAAATGAACACGTTTATGTGATAAATAACCTTACAGAGACGAAAAATTGAGAGCTATGTAAACTTGAACATTTAATGTTTTCTTTATGGACTGACAACCAAAAGAAAGACCTCAATGTAAGGCAAGGTACTGTAGGCATTGGCTACCTTCTTGGGGCTTCCTTACTTTCTTATCTGGATTGAAAACCTCTCATGTAACATAACACAGAGAAGAACATGTAATATTACGTTCTCTGTACATGATGTCTTCTGATGGTCTGTTGACCCCTGTGAAATTGTCATTTATATATGACAAATTGTCTGGAAAAAGGTCAATTGACACTAGAGACCTTTTCCATATGCTTACTATAATCTCATGTCGGGACTGAAGACCCTATATGGAGCAAGCAAAGATAAAACGAACGAGGTAAGATCTTCGACATTTTATAGATCAGATGTTTTCTTCGTGGACTAACAACCCAAAGAAAAAACCTTGAAAACTTGTCTTATAGTTCCATATGATCTATTTTCCTCGTCCTCTTACTTTCATTTGTAACTGATGAACCTGTAGAACAACTAACTTCCTAGTTCCGTGTCCATAGTCACAAGTTATTTGTAAATTTATTGCGATTCTAAAATTTCCGTCTTTACAGAAGGAAAATGGCGGAATAATTTGAGGAATATCCGGGCATTTGTGCGGGGGTGCACAGTGTAATATGCTCAAGAAATTCCCGGGAAGTTGGCCATAGATAGATTCAATGGTGGATGTTAGCACATAGTGGCAATATTAGTGTAAGTAGTAAAGGTTTGCGTAGTAAAAGCTACTATCTATGTCTGACTAAGAATGTGTCATATAATGCCCACTATGGTTATCTGAAATTGATATTACTGATTGATAAAATATTTTTTCATAATAAAAATACTTCCAGATGATGTTATTTCAATAGGTAATGAATTCCAAATTGATGGTGCAGTAAAAGATATCAAAGCTTTACCATAATTTGTTCGAATTTTGGGTTTGTCATAGTTTACCCTATTTCGGGTGTTGTAAACATGTCTCTCTTGGATGGTACTGAAGAGGTTTGGAAAAATTTTATGATAATTATGGAGTTTATTAATCCATTTGTACATGAAAAGGCATTTCAACTGCTTATTAATTTCAAATATATTCAAAATGTTCAGTTGTTTGAATAGGGGAAGGGAATGTGCTCTGTAGTTACTGTTTGTTGCAATACATGTAAATTTTTTCTGCAAAATATGAAGGGAGTTTAACAAACCACTACCTGCTTCACCCCAGATAAGATTGCCATATATCAAATAAGAGTAAATAAGGGAATAATAGATGCTCAAGAATGCTTTATCATTTAACAGTTGTTTGACCCTATTATATATAGAATACCAATGGTTCTGGAGATTTTAGCATTTACGGACATACTATGACGTTTCCAGTTTAAGTTTTGATCAATTGTAATACGAAGAAAACTAATGTTATCAACCTGGTGACGCTTCTTTTTATTAAGATAGATGTATGAGGAGCAATTCTAAAACATAAGCTTCAATTTGTGAATTTGTTAAAATATACCAGTAACCATTTGAAACTACATATGCTGAAAATTGTATTTTCCATCAATGTCAGATCCTTAAAGTCCCCGTCTAAAGTTTGAAAATATTTTTTTGTCAATCATTTACTATTTGTCAGGACTTAAAAAGTGATTTTAGAAATTTTTGAACAAAAAAAATTTTTTCAAAAAAAGTTGTGAGCATTTCATTTCTCAAATATTCAAATTTCCCGCCATTTTTCAAAAAAAGTTGAAATTTCTTAATCATCAAATATTTCTTAATGCATTTCAAAAAAGATTATCTTTTTAACACTAATGCAAAGATTGAACAAAGGACACACTATTTCAATAATAAAATGCCATATTTAATGGGCCACTTCAATGTTTTAGCATATCAAAAATATTTTGAAACATTAGTGATGTCACTAAGGTACCAAAAACTTTTTGAAAAAAATTGAAATTTTTTTTTCGATGTCAATCTTTTCTAAATATGCTAGACTTTCATAAAAAAACAATGTTGATTGTCTAACCAGGTTAAAAGGAAGAATAAATTATGTTTTAGATATCATTGTACCATTGGTTTCTATGAGAACTAAAATTTTGAAATGCATTTTTCTTGGAACCATTTTCATGCACTGATAAGTTCATTTCTAGCTTATTTATGAACCGATTTTCTTATTCTTTTCGGCAAAAAACATGGGAGGATGAATGCTATACATTGGTATGAATTGTGGCTAATTAGAAGATATGAGTGACCTCTAAAAGTTGTTTTAAAATAAATTCACAAATTTTGGAACAAAAAGTCTATCAAAAACCACTTTTTGAAATTTTAAAAAAAAGTTTCACATATCACACTTTGATAACATTGGGTAAGACTACAATATAAGCCAAAGTGGTTTAAACTTTATATGGGGCCTTTAAAGAGATCCAGTCGTCCAGATTTCTATTCTGGACAATCAGTAATGTCCCAGAACAATTGCTCATAAAACATCATATATATCTTGAGACCAAATCATAAGCACAATATAACCAATATATTGAGGAAATCAACAGGACAACCGACAGAACAACCAACTGTCAGAATTGAATGCAATAAGTCAAAAATAATATGCAATGTTTTTTTGGGGATTTATCTATATTTTAACCCCTTAGAAGTAATGAATATGGGTTCGGTGAGCCAAAATCTGTTGAAACTGGAAAAAGGAAAAGGCCAATTAGACTGAAACAAATTTGAGCAGGCTTTCTAAATATTATTTTGAATTTCTATTGATGAAAGTGGAAATTCATGGCTAGGAACAATCATCTAATTGATATAATTAACGAATTAATTCAAGCCTCAGAATTGGTAAGTTGATCAACAAACTTGTCTTACATCAAATAACACGGAAAAATCAGGGGGTTACTCAAATTGTGTTTTTAGGAGACCCGATCTCTTTAAACATGACATTTTTAACTTTCAATATTGGAACCTTCTTTCATCAGGAAATGAACTATGAGGCTCTCATTTACGCAGCTAATATCACATGAATCACCTTCCTCATATAGGCACACTACCCTACCTCGATCGCGCATGCGCGAATCTTTTGGCTTTCAAACATGTCGCTTTTGAGTATATCGACTGCTTAGTCAAAAGGTTAATACGTTTGGTGCTCGGAGTGAGTCAATATTGCTATTCGCTACACTTCAGTGGTGCAATAGTGAAGTCCATGTTCCAAGTTATATGATAGTTGAAGAAATAATGTAAATAATATCGTTTTAAATTTTAAAATATTTGATATGTCATAGTACACGGTACACAGCTGCAAAAGTTGATCAATACAGGGTACAAGGAATGTAAATTGTTCAATAGTACAGGGAGCGAGAAAGTAAGCTGATTATACAGACATACTATGTCCCGACCTCATGTACATTTACGTTGCAAACAGTGAAAGTAATGCTAAAAAGGCCGCCTGTTGATGCTTTGAGGTGTCATCAATTGTTATTTAATCCAAATAAAGTAAACATTATTTTGTAGATTTAGACACGGGCTTTCAAGTCGTATGCATTTTAGTCATTAAATTAACAAGAACGCTAGATTATACGTGTTACTAGGGTATCAAATTGAAATAAAATAATGAAATTAAATATCAACACGTTAATGATAAATGACTATCCGCTATCAGTATTAATGACTATTTGCTACACAGAATAATTAAAATTGCCTGAACTACATATGAAGAATCTTTCTATAGAACCCCTTGAATGGTCTAATTCACTACCGTCCTAAAAACCCGACCATTCAAAATGTTTTGTTCAAATTCACAAAAATACAGTTGACTAACATACTAGAAAACGTATCCACCTATAACACGATGACACGCAGTTTAAACAACAGTTAACTGGGTTTTTTGTTACATATCAATGTAACATTTTCGAAGGGACACTTACATGCTCCCTGTACGTTGATAGATTTACTGAAATGTATCGTGTATTGCATTTGGTTTTGCTTCGCTGCGCCCACTATTATCTATCTTTGCCTATAGTGGTTTTTTGCCAACAATATTCTACACACTCCTTGATGAATCAATTCTATGTCTGGTAGAACACTAGAAATATATGTAAAATGTATTTTACGTTCAGAAATATGGAATTAAACCCACGTCCTCCATTTGCAACTAAGCTGTACCCTGTTTCCCTTTTAAACGTGGTCACGTGGTAGGGTAGTGTGATAGGGAATGGGTGTTAGACTTGTGTGTTTTAGACCTTAAACATTGTGTGTCAGTGTTGTACTACTAGATTTATATTACCTTGCTGTCTTCCTAAGGACATCATCTTGGTTGTCTAGCTTGTCCATCAGATCTGCTACCTGCAAATATACAGTATACCTTACAGATATCAATATGCATATAAATCAAAGTCATGGGTAGATTCGGGTAGGGGTGGGGGGCTTTATCCGTTTCAAAGAATCTCAGAATTGCTTATAATAACTATTTACAAAAATGTTCCTGAGACACTAATCCATATAGCGTACAAACTTTGGGTAGACATTGTCATCCCCAGTTGCACAAACATCTCAGGAATGCATAGATACACAAATGATCTTGATTAGACATGGTGGTGCAGAAAATTTTGAGTGGCTCCAAAAAATAAACACACAAAAACAAGTAAGCATATTTTTCATTGAATCAGAGTTTCTCAAACATGATACATATACAGTAAAACCTGTGTAAGTGACTCTAAAAAGTGTTCCACTTGGGAGGTAGCCATTTTGAATTGAGCAGCCAATATACTGCCATTTTGAATTAATCATTTATCTTGAAATTCCTTCCATCAAAAGCATCAGCTTATAAAATTTTAGCCAAATTCATCAACTTATCGTATTTGAGTTATTAAATATTGGCTGCCATGTAGAAATTCAGTGGCAATCTTGTACATTTCTTCTTGAGCAGAACTCCCAAGGCATCATCATATAAAATTTGAAACAAATCCATCAACTGGTATTTTAGTTATCAACGATGACAATTTTTTACAAAAAAATGATGGCCATTTTGAATCAAGTGGCCTTATTGAAAATTCCTTCTCAAGTAGAGGTCCTACACCCATAAGGCATAAGCCTATAAAAATTTGAACCAAATCTGTCAACTGGTATTTGAATCATCTCTGGACAAACAAGTGGATAGACAGATAGATAGAAACTTCTTTATATCCCTACATCTTCATTCAGTGGGGTAATTATAAATTCATAATTTCTAATATTTCACATTCTTGAAGTTTTTTTGGATAATTAGGGCCTTACATAGGAAAGATACCAAAAATAATTCATTGCACTATAACAAAATACTGCTAAGTGCCAAAGTATGATTTTACCAATCATTCAAAACAGATTACAAATTACAATGTTCGAAATTAATAACATAATCATATCATAAATAAATGAACTGATATTAACTTTAGAATAAGTGTAGATATGAGATATTATTGGTCTAAAGTTTAATCCATATAGAGCATAGGAATCTGATCTGATGAACAAAACAAGAATAGTATTTATACAAGGGAGTAAGTTTTCAAGAAATACTTAGATCTATTTTATAAATATTAATATGGCAATTGTGCCATATATATTGCTGCTATTATGGTGTGTAATAACTCCTGCTGTGGCACAAAATGACGCAACTGAAGCAGAAAGTGTGGTAACTAATGAAGCCCAAGCAGCGGTAAGAAGTTGTTTTTGTTGAACTTGAACTTAAAAAGTATGCATGTATTCACAAAAAATTACACTTTTTATTTCACGCAATTGTTGTTCATACTGATATTTGATAAAAGCTATAATGAAATAAAGTTACATGAAGTTAAAATCTAGATACTGGTACATTATTTATAAAATCTGTTTCAATTTTCATCTCTCAATTTTATTCTCAGAGCTATTTGATGCAATTTGGCTATATTGCACCTATGATGAGATCTTCTTCTGGTAGTTTACATGATGCCGTAGTTGACTACAAAGAGGCTATCAAGTCATTCCAAAGATATGCCTATATACCCCAAACAGGTATCATTTTAGATATTCAATCAAATAGTGCAAACACAACAAATACTACTGTACTATAGTAATCAGTATATACAATGATTTTCATTTATAAAAATATCTCATGTAGAAAATGATGCTATAGAAAATAATCAATTGGACTAGCTTGCATCGGGCAATGCTTCAATGGCATTATTATAAAAAATTATAAATAATGATAGGAAATGTCTGGTAAATTAAATTATTTGGCCCCCACTTTATATATTAATTATTGTAATTGGTAGTTCAGGATATGATAACTTATAGAGATAATTGACAGCCTACACTTTAGGAAGTCAATCAGATAATATAATATCTGATAAATTATCATAGTGCATGAATTTCACTGCAGACCATTCTCTTCAACTTTTGACAAATTATTTTCTGTTAATTTTGCTCATCTGATATCTAACTTTGATAAGTCCATGGTAAAAGTTACTTAGTGACATGACCTTCTTATACATAAATTTGCTGTTGGTTTGAAATTTCTTTTTTTCTATTGGTATCATTAGCCTTTTTTAACTTGATTGTTTTTAGGAAAATGTAATTTAAGCAGCAAGTGCTTGCTACATTGACCAAGTGTTGACCAATGGGGTGTACATTTACATTAATCTAGTGTTTCTAAATGATTCTAGTTCTACAAATACAGTGAATAATGTTTAATTCAAAAAAATATATGTTGATAACTATCTTTTAAGAATAACAAGAGTTTTGAAAAGATGATTAAAGTATATCCTGATTGTAAAATACCAATGCCTGAGCTTGGATACTACTGCATTAATACTTTGCTCAAGCAATCCCAGGCACGCTATCTAAAGGTGCACAGCAGATTGCTATCCAAAGGTGCACAGCAGATTGCTATCCAAAGGTGCACAACAGAATGCTATCCAAAGGTGCACAACAGAATGCTAATATAAATAGTGTTGAGTCAAGCTTTAATTTCACTATTTGCTTAAACTTTGCCAAATTTGCTTAATTTTCATCAAATTTTCGTAAATCTTACAAATATGCTCTATAAAAGTTGGTCCAATGTAATTAATATTTGCCAATTTCAAACCCTGTGGCCCTGATGAATACACCCCTGTGACAATTCTAGTCAATTACAAATATAACTAAGTCAAGGCTACGAGATGCATGAATACATGTATGATGGTACTTGGATAAGGAAACTATCATTGTCCAACATATTAAATCACATGACAGGATTTGATTTCACAATGTTCATCCATATAGCCTAGCTATAAAGCCTATATTTATATAAATATCCAAGCACAATTTTCAAATTGTCATACTTCAGAGGGTAATTTTCATTTACTTGCTTCCATGTAAAATTCTGTATGCTTACATTTTCAAAGTTCCAAAGTTTTCAGACAATTCTATTCAAGTATTGAGAAGTCTCAAATTTCTACCTTAAAACATTTTAAAATGTTGTAGTTATGCAGTTTGGTATTGATTTAGGTGAGATAGATGCTGCTACCATTAGAATGATGAACCAGCCCAGGTGTGGTGATACTGATAAAGATCCTGCTACTGGGAGAACGAAGAGATATAAAACATTTGGTAAACATCAAAACAATCTCTTTTAAGAAAGTTAAGCATTGTATCAATTTAAAAATATTGAAATGTTTTTTTTGGAATGTGAAATTGATGAATCTAATAGTACATGGCATTATATTTTGAGATCATACATCATCACGCGGTGTTAACTTCGACCGACTGAATTTTTGGCCTACCGGATGTTTGAAAATCAAGGATTACGAGTCTCATACTGCACCGTTTTTCTTCAAACTTGTTTCATTCAAAGCATAACAAAAATCCCTTTCTGTTGGTACATTATTCTCCTAAACAGAGTCCCTACTTCCAGCGGCATTTTGGTCCCCAGGTGTAAGAAGGCCTTCTAACAGCTGGGGACCAAAACGCTGCTAGAACGATGGACTCTTTACAATTAAGTAATGCACCGACAGAAAGGCAATTTTGTTTTGCTTTTAATGGTATAAGTTTGAAGAAAAACGGTGCAGTATGAAACTCGCAATCCTTGATTTTCAAGCATCTGGTAGGTCAAATATTCAAATTAACGGTCGAAGTTAGGACCGCGTGATCATGTAGCTATAACTTACGGAACAATGTTTATCACTCCTTGACATTTCCATGATTTCAGACTGAATTTTTCAAATAACGTCCGATGCCCTTGCAACTTTACTCTTTGTTTAAATAAAGAATTGTATACTTAAATGATGGGAATAATGATGCTAATGATGAATGATGATGATGATGACTTATTAAAGGTAAATGGCCAAACAATAGGATTACGTACAAGATATTGAATTACACTCCTGATTTATCCAGGGCTCAGGTTGAACGGGACTTTACTAATGCATTTAAGGTATGTGACACCTCAAATATATAAATCCACAATCAGATGTGCCTTTAAATTAGTGTCCTTATCATTATAGTATCCTTATTATTACATAAAAAATGATACAAAATATATTTTTTAAATAAGAATATTCAATAACCCAATCACTAGCACAGGTATATGTATGTTTATTCCTAATAATAAAGAATCTCATCGACCCACACATGCTAGGTGTCCAGGTAATAAAGGGTTGAAGCACTGACTGACGCAAATGCTACCTGCTGACGACGCAAGAGCACCAACCCCCAAGCCCACCCATCAGTCCAAAGTCAATGTCCCTTACCATTATCTCTAGAGACACACCACTTTTGACTCAAGGAGTGTAGCGATGCATCATTATTGCTGTTTACACAAATGAATGATTTTAATTTCAGATCTGGTCAGATGTTACAAATCTAAGTTTCCACCGTGTCTACACAGATGATGCAACACTTACAATTAAGTTTGGATCATATGACCATGGTGATGGGTCACCATTTGATGGCCGAGGACAAGTACTGGCTCATGCTGCACTACCTCAAGGTGGATATATACATTTTGATGAGAGTGAATCTTGGACTGCAAACACTGCACAAGGTAGAGATTTAAATAGCTATGATAAAAAATAAAATGCTAAAACAAACAAATTCTTCTCATTTTCAAGTTGTGCAAATTTCAAATGGGTGCAATCCCCTTTTCAATACTCAAGTAGGTGATATACCCACTTCAATGATGGGGAGATCATAGTTATAATATAAAATGTGATCTGATATGAACCTCAGAAGACACCATGAAGCAAATATATTTCTAATCTTACATGTAGGTACAAATCTCCTGTGGGTGGCAGTCCATGAGTTTGGACATGCAATAGGCCTGAGACATAGTGATGAGAGAGATGCTGTTATGTATGCATACTATCAAGGCTACAAACCGAACTTGAGATTACACACAGATGATATACAAGGCATTCAGAGTATCTATGGAGGTTTAGGTAAGTAACTACAAACAGAATAGAATTGATATTTTCTACCTTTATAAGAGAAGAGTTTGTTATGATGATCAGAGAAAATAATACAGGGAAACATATGGTCCAATTCAAAATATAAATGAGATTGTATTTTAAAAACAAATTTTGATGCTATTATCTTAAATCAGATCCATCCCATTTCTACAAACACATATACCTTTCAAATATCAATAATTGTAATTTACTTCATTCAGGTGTTCTGGGGTCTTGGACACAGTGGACTACTTGCTCAAAGTCTTGTGGCACAGGTGTTCATTCAAGAACTAGATCCTGTAGTTCTGCAAAATGTGCAAGTCATACAAGGGAAACTAGAAGCTGCAATACACAAAGCTGCTCAGGAGGAGGAGGAGGAGGTAGAAGAAAACCTAAAGCTATATTAATGCACCTTTTATTTCTATAGACTACAGGGACTCATAATGAGTATAAAAAAAATCAAACCAATAATACATAGTATAGTACATGGGTATTTCAGTATTTCTTGAGATAGAATGGAACATTATCTCTTTAGTTTTAATACTGTCTCAGATGAAATGATTTATAGATACATGTATACATGTAGATATATATATACACAGTTTCATAAGAAAAAAGCTATTTCATAATAATTATTCTAATCTCAATCCACAGCTGATGTATTATAGGTGCTCTTGGTTCATGGACAACTTGGGGATCCTGCTCTAAGTCATGTGGTAAAGGCTACCATTCGAGATCCAGGACTTGCAACAGAAACCCATGTCCAAGTCATACTAGAGAAACCAGGGATTGTAATACACAGCGTTGTCCAACTGGGGGAGGTAATGTAGAAAGCATTTCAACAGCAAAATAAATAGCACCAGTAGATTTTTTTCAAACAATGTAACTGTCATTTGCACAATTCATCATTGTACATATGTAGGTGTTCTTGGTTCATGGACAACTTGGGGATCCTGCTCTAAGTCATGTGGTAAAGGCTACCATTCAAGATCCAGGACTTGCAGCAGAAACCCATGTCCAAGTCATACAAGAGAAACCAGGGATTGTAATACACAGCGCTGCACAAGTGGGGGAGGTAAATTAGATAAAAATATTGATGCTGAATAAAATAACTATTCGTTTACACTGTAATAGGTTTGTTTGTATAACAAACATTAAAATGAATGCATAAATCATCAAAATAAATTTATTTCTAAATTCTGATAGATGGTTGGGGGCCATGGAGTGCATGGAGTACTTGCTCTAAAAGCTGTGGAGGGGGAATGTGGGGAAGATCTCGTGTCTGTCATAGAGTCGGGAGATGTCCTGGTGCAACTGGTCAAAATAGAAGATGTAACACTCAGCCATGCAGCACTGGGGGAGGGGGTACAGGGGGAACTGGAGGTAATACATCAAACAAAAATAAATTGAATTCCCAAGAAAATTGCAAAACATGACTTTGGGAAGGAAGAAGTGATTATAACAAGTTTTTTTCTATTTTCTGTAACAGGCAATACTTGTGTGGACAACAATATCCATTGTGCATACTGGCAGAGGAATGGAGAATGCACTAAAAGTGCAAACTACATGAGAAAGTTCTGCAAGAAATCATGTGGTGTCTGTAGTGCCGGGGGAAATAATGGAGGTATAAAATCAAAATTATTCTATAAATAGGTTTAAAAGCATAAGTTTAAACATGCATCTATAATGATTGATTTTTATGTTTCGATAACAAAAAATTAGTTGTGACTTTTGTTAAAAGCTAAATGACATATTTTCTTGAAGGTCAACCATGCACTGATAGTAACCAGCACTGTGCATACTGGCAAAGGACAGGAGAATGCAACAAGAACCCTCAATACATGCGGGTAAATTGCAAAAAATCTTGTGGAGTTTGTGGCGAAGCAAACAACCCAATGGGTAAGGAGGAAGCATTAAAGCAATTAAAAATCTCACAGTACATACTCTTTTTTATATCACGTTCTGTTACATCCTGGTGAACAACACCATATAATAGACTAGATGCAAGTAGAAAAAATCTTGATTTACGCCATTTAATATTCAAAATTCAGTCAAAGCGATGTTATACTTGAAATCTACATGTAAATGTGCATCTAGAAATATGGTTTCGAAAATTGTTTATCAAGTTTGAAAATTAAATTATTTTTGAAAGTGTGACTTCTAGTTCGGGTTGATTCTCCATAGAGCCCATGTTACAAAATCACAAAAAGTAAAATATATTTTCTTGTATTGGTCAGATAACATTTTCATTTACTGGACATATTTTTATTTGCATAACTGATAGATACATAAGGGTTATATGAAAATTGAACCACTAAAACAGATGTAATTTAAGTTAAAGGGAACTTTCTACTGTACCCGCCATGCTATCTGACCCGAGTGAGCCACCTGGTGGTGAAACTGGTAACTACCTACTCGCATCTGCGTTATTGATATTGGAAACATTTAGAGTGTAGGAATTCTATACACTGTACATGTACATGATTCCATTACAGAGCAAGCATGCACTGACAATAACAGTATGTGTAGTACTTGGTCAAGGCAAGGAGAATGCGCTAAAAATCCTAGATGGATGCTGGTCAACTGTAAAAGATCATGTAGAGTTTGTACTTAACAGTTGCTTTTAAAGGTATAAAACATTCAAAACATCCATTCAGCTTGTATGTAAAAGATTTAAATCTTGGTAATACTTTTCTTAATGCCTTGGTCACATTTGCTCCGATTTTAACTACGGCACCCAGCTGATTGAGTATTTTGTTCAAAATTGAATACAATGTTGAACAAAACAACCAAGCGCCGGCCGATTGATCGGAGCATATGTGACCAAGGCATAAGAAATACATCTAGCATATTCTCTACACTAATATGAGTGTTGAGAATGCTAGATGCATGTATTTCTTAAGAAAAGAATATAGACATAAATACTCCAATAAATATTCACAATATTTTTGTTGTACAAATTTTGTTAGACTTTAATATTGTAGGCAGTCCTGATAGTTCTATCTAACATTTAGAAGAAGAAGAAGTGAATCTTCACATTAATATTGCTTACTGAGATTTTGTTATTTGAGATATCTTCGGGTTTTCGGAAAAGACCGACCCCACCGACCACCGACCGGTCGGTGTTTTCCACTGGTAGCCTCAAAACAGGGTTTGAAGAAAATGTGTAAAAGACCGACCATATCATGTAAAAGACCGAACATATTTGTAGCCTTAGAATATTAATAATTTGATTTTGAATGTCAATCGTTGGACTAGGCAACGTTTTTTACCGATTTTGTACCTTGCAACGAATGGCAAGCAAACAAATTGGTCATGACCGTCTCCTCTCGATTAATTGCCCTGCCTTAGGTCCTAACCTATCATTAACCAACCTATCGTTTCTACGGGAATCTATCCTAATTTTTTACTGAAATTTAACAATTTCGAAACAAAAATGATTTGTTATCGTCATAGCCTACTGAATACTGAACACGATATAATGTTACATGCGTTCTCTTATCGGGATTAAAAGTGACTTACCATTTCAGTACACCATTAGAAAGCTTTTTTTGTCATATCAAATGTAGTTTTTACCAGTTGACGTTTAACAACTGAGAAATCAAACATAACGTTACGACGTCAACATCGACGATGTTTGTGTGTTTTTGTTATTGCGTTTCATATGAATGAAGAATGAACTTAATGCAATGTTACGTTTTTTTCCAAAGTGACTAACCAGGATGAAATTGGTCTTCTAACAACTGAAACATCACTTAAAAATATGACATTACACACCACGACGATGTAACGTTTTCATCGTGATTTGAAATGATAATTATACGTTTTTAAATCACGACCTAGTAAAGGTACTATAGTCATTAGATTCCCAGTTTTAGTTTTACTTCTAATTTTGCATTTTTTCATCTTTATGTAAAAGACCGTCAGCCGACCACCGACCACATGTACCCAACTGTGGAGAGTGACTGGTCGGTGGTCGGCGGTCGGTGTTTTACGAAAACCCGATATCTTCTACATGAGAATTTTGGATATCACACAGTACATGCACTGTATGTGTATACAGTAGCATATAAGCTGTAAAGCAAAATTCAAGACCTCAAAATGATTGCTTATAATGCTAGCATATCTGATTATATGGATATATACAAAAGTAATCAAAGGTGTCTTCAGTAGAGTGCTTTCATCAGTGATTAATAATTAAAGTCAGGGTGCTGCAGTTTGGTGAAATTTCATGAACATGTGCTATTTACAGATAAAAATAACTCATTTCGCACATCATCTACATCTTTCATTCTTGCACAAAATTGCAAAACAATTCCAAAATGCACCCTGGCCTTAAGAAAAAAATAATAATGATAGGCCATTCAATATGGTGAATTTAGCAGCATGAGTTGAACAAAATGTTGTGTAAAGCACAAACCGAAAGTGCCATTGTACTGACATTCTGTCCGAGGAGTGTAAAATTTCACCATGATATTGAATGCCTGGGATTGAATGGCCTATCATCATTTATTTTTAGAGAATTGGGAATTGAGGTCCATGAAATAATCAAACTTGCTGTTATTTTCACCATTCCCAAGTTTGACGTTACAACACTGTATAGTACATGTACATAGATTCTCGGAAGCAGATCTAATAGATGCACGGTCATGCATGTATAGAGAATGGCTATGCTGCATTCTGATTGGTTGAGAAACTTAATTAAAGCAATTAAAAATCTCACATGTTTGAATTTCTTATAAATGAATATATAAAATTTAGTGTCCTTTATTTTCCAGGAATCATTGACTGAAGAACGTTTCACTCAACTGTGTGGAATCAGAGTTTAATGCCATCAGCTACAGAAGTGCATAAAATATTGACAATTATAGAGAAATCACAACTCAAATATGAAGATTAACATTTACATTATTTACAATTAAGAATTGATTTAGTACTACATAACTTGTCAAAATGAGAAGAGCTATAAACTCTTAGATTAGGAGAGACAAAATCATCTCCAAGAACTTGGACTTGACATGAAAATACATATTATACAGAGTACTCCATAATGTGATGGATATTATTCTATTTGGAAATAAAAGTAAATTGTAACTGAACACAATTAAGTTACTTATTTTTGTTTACAGGTATTATATACACATACTATACTATTATATAGAGGTTTTGTGATTTTTCAATGTTTCTCTGATCAAACATTTCTTTGACACATCTTTATCAATAATATAAACCTAAAATATAAAGTGTCATATCCTCCGAATGCAGGGTTCCAGACAGAGTTCTGGAGGCCTGTGTTTAGAGGATGAAAGTGTTGCGGAAAACATGAATGTGAGATAATGTGATTATACTCTATATTCAGTACTCTACATGAATTAATACAAGAATTGTCTCCATAATGAATGATAAATTACCAATGATCAAACCCTTTTAAATCATATTATCAAATTAGTCAAATTATATGAGTTATCAGGATAATTATATGTTTTTGTCAAAGGATCTAATGAAAATAAGAAGCATCGACAAGTAAGATTATAAAACAAGCAACCCAAAGGTGTACAAAATCTCATGTCTCGAATAATTTATCTAACTTAAACCACACACTGGGCACTGAGTGCACTGCATGCGACAATCAATCATTTTTTTGTGCCGCCACACTAGTTTTGGATAGCTTGCCAAGGGTACATTCTTTAAAAAATAATAATGCACACCTCTTTGTTTTAATTAGCTGGACATTCTTAAAAATAAAACACAGTTCATTCTATTGTGTTGCTACCTAAGTGGGATTTAATTATTAATAAAATATCAACAAATTCAATCACCTACTTTTCCAGTTTAAAGAGGCAATAAGGACTGTAGAGAGAAAATTCGAAAATTTTTATTTTTTCTGAGCTATGAGGTCAATACTTGGCTTAATACCTTCTTTGACATACCTATTTTCATAAAATGTATGTATAAACTATCAATTTCAGCATTAAGAAGTGTAAATTCAATTCAAAGCTTCTATAAAGGGAGTCCCACTTATAGATTTTTAAGATCCACCATGTTTCAAGAGGAATATCAGCTGAAATAATGTTCATCCAGAGGGTTTCTTTGTAGATAATGAAAATATATGTTAGTCTTGATGAAATATCCAAACCTAAATATATTTTGACACTTGTCGATGATCGTTGAATGGCCCCCCTGCACTATTTGTAGCACCTTTAAGTAAAAGCCTTAAACTAATACATATAAAAATGGCTGCCATTTTGCACCTTATCAAGTAAATTGGATGGTGTAATTTGCTTCTGAGGGTTCACATATAGAATTTCAACAAAATCGCTAAACCAATTTCCGAATTATAGCAGACTTTGAACGGAATCAATATCCAGTTTTATATGTGGTAACTAAAATACTGTAAAATCAACACTTAAATGGTGGCCATTTTGAAACCAGTGGCCATTTCAAATATTGGCTTTTGAGGAAGAATTTGTACTTATATACTACACATGTATGCATATGAAATATAGACAATATTTGTTTTGATTTTACTTTAATAACAATCAACCAATTAGTAATTAAATCAAGTGTGACATTAATGCCTTTTTACCAATTTGATGTCATCAATTCAGAACTAGAAATTTCTGATTTGAACAATTTTTTTGACTTATCTCTGATTTGAACAATAGCACTCTGTCAAAGAAGACCTATTTTCATGGTAATTTTTATTTTTTAATTTATGCCATTTGATTTGGATTTGAATAAGCTTCACTTTGGTGAGCCTCTCACTTGGAAATAATTTTATTTCCTCTACTCATGTCTAGATGGGTGGTTATGATGACAATTGTCAATTCTTAAAGTTTTCTTTCTCTCAAATGTCGGTTTGGTTATTTTGCTGGAATGAAATTTTTGGTGCTGCTGGACTAATTGCAAACACTTCTGCTTGAAATCCTTGAATAGTAGCATAGGACGTGTCTATTCCATTAAAAGGTCCATTTAGACTGCTCTTAACCATGAACTTAAATCTATTAATGGTGTTCAATTATGTTGTTGTTCGAATGGGTTTTTAGGCCCACTGCACTCGGCTTATGCAATTAATTAGTGTAGAAAGCAGATCAAGTTCATAAGGATTTAGTCTATCATATAGCACTCATATGTCAGACTTTCAGATAAAGAGAACCAATGCATCAAAATTGGTATTTGTTAATGTCCCTAAATGTGGCAGATGAGTTTTAGTAGTGTTATGTGGCCAAAACCAAGTAATTGGAAATGTCAGAAAAGGATGTAATTACTTTAATATAATAATTCCTTACTTTAAAATAATGTTTTATTGTAATACTACTTCACTATCATGGGTGGCATTTTGCCATAATTTTATCTTAAAGTTTCTCTCAGGTGAATTTTCACGGGATATGTAATGTGCAGCATACACACACAGTATACACATTTATCGTATGATCTGTAAAATGAAACCCTCTCATTGGTCAGTTGTTGTGCTGTACCAAACTGTATTGCTTCTGAGATTGTCCCCATTGATCATCTCCGTAGCAATACAGAAACTATTGGTACGGAGGGGACAATTTCAGTAGCAATACAGAGAATACAGTATAATTTCCTAGGATATCTCTTAAGTAAAGTAAATTGGCCTATGATCACAGGATAAAAACGTAATAGAATGATTTGTAGTGCAATATACAGGATATATTCTGTTCTCGATATTCTGTATTGGCACTCAACTTGGTCACGTGCAAATACAGATTTTCTCGAACAGAATATATCCTGTATATTGCACCTCAAATCATTCGATTACTTATATTAGCATTCAATAAATGCCATGCCTATTTCAACTGCGAAACATTGACCCATTAATATGAAAAATCAAAGATTAACATATTAAAACAAGGACACAAACATGTACATTATGTACCCTCTGATTGGCAATCCTTAGTTTTTGAGATGGTAAATCAACAAGGCATTAACATGCAAAATGTCACCACCTGGCATTTGTTTTACAGACAAAGACTGCTGAATGACCATGAACCACCATCAATGCTTCTGGTGGTGAAATACAAAAAAAATGTTCCCATGGTAACATGGTAACTGAAACTGACAAAAATTTGTTAAAAGTCAGAATTTTGATTTTTTCATGCAGAAAACTACATATAAGTAGTATGTATGGTTCAGGATTTCTTGTTTTATACTAATTTTTCTCTAATAGTATAATATTCTATAGTAAAGATTAGTATATTACAGGGAAGATAATATTATCATATAGAATTGGAGAATCAAAGCTTAAGTAAGACACATAAGATTATTGGTTCAAGGTCTAATCCTCCTTTAATAACACAAACACCAACTACACTATGAATTAGTTCCTCATATAGTTAAATCTCATATCATGTCAACTATAATTCTCTTGTTGTTACTGTGTGCAATAGCTCCTGTAGTGGCAGAGAATGCTGCAACTGATATAACCAATCAGGCTGATGCAACGGTAAGTGCACAATGAAAGAAATGTGTCAATCATTTGATTTTGGACTTAAAGTTCAGAGGTTAACGTTCAACCTCCAATTAGTGAAGACAATTTGAAAGTTCAGCCAAATTGCTTCCATTGGTCTTGGCCATCAATCAACCAATCAGCAAGTAGAAAGACATGTGTTGAAACAATACAATGTTGGTCAATACTGGTTTAACAATGACTTCAGAGGAAATGACAACAATTTACAAAGTCCTGTCTGACGACAAGCTCTGATTGGCTAGACGCTAGACCTACCTTAAAAACCTAAAGAGTGGAGACAAAGGAATGTGCAGGGTTTTGATTTAGGTGCAAAAAAGTTCATAAATGCAATTCATATACAAGGCATTAACATGACAAAATGTCACCACCTAGTTGCTCACAATATTATGAGTTCAAACTTAAGTCAGATTTGAATTTCTGAGAACTTGTAAAGTCAAATTTGAACTTCTGAAAAGATGTAGATGATTTTGAAAAAAAAATTGGTCAATTTGAAGCAAGTTGAAAACAGACCTTTTTGACCTTTTTTGACCTTGAGAAGGTCATTAAAGGTCAAATGTCAAATCTAAAGTCAGATTTGAATTTCTGAGAACATGTAGATGATTTTGAAAAAAAAATTAGTCAATTTGAAGCAAGTTGAAAAAAGACCTTTTTGACCTTTTTTGACCTTGAGAAGGTCATTGAAGGTCAAATGTCAAATCTAAAGTCATATTTGAATTTTTGAGAACATGTAGATGATTTTGAAAAAAAATTTAGTCAATTTGAAGCAAGATGAAAAAATACCTTTTTTGACATTGAGAAGGTCATTGAAGGTCAAATGTCAAATCTAAAGTCAGATTTGAATTTCTGAGAACATGTAGATGATTTTGAAAAAAAAATTTAGTCAATTTGAAGCAAGTTGAAAAAAGACCTTTTTGACCTTTTTTGACTTTGAGAAGGTCATTGAAGGTCAAATGTCAAATCTTAAGTCAAATCTAAAGTCAGATTTGAATGTCTGAGAACACGTAGATGATTTTGAAAATTTTTTTTAGTCAATTTGAAGCAAGTTGAAAACAGACCTTTTTGACCTTGAGAAGGTCATTTAAGGTCAAATGTCAAATCTAAAGTCAGATTTGAATTTCTGAGAACATGTAGATGATTTTGAAAAAAAAATTAGTCAATTTGAAGCAAGTTGAAAAAAGACCTTTTTGACCTTTTTTGACCTTGAGAAGGTCATTGAAGGTCATTGAAGGTCAAATGTAAAGTCATATTTGAATTTCTGAGAACATGTAGATGATTTTGAAAAAAAATTTAGTCAATTTGAAGCGCAGCAAGATGAAAAATATAAAGTTGAAAACAGACCTTTTTGACCTTTTTTTACCTTGAGAAGGTCATTGAAGGTCAAATGTCAAATCTAAAGTCAGATTTGAATTTCTGAGAACATGTAGATAATTTTGAAAAAAATTTTAGTCAATTTGAAGCAAGTTGAAAAAAGACCTTTTTGACCTTTTTTGACTTTGAGAAGGTCATTAAAGGTCAAATGTCAAATCTTAAGTCAAATCTTAAGTCAGATTTGAATTTCTGAGAACACGTAGATGATTTTGAAAATTTTTTTTAGTCAATTTGAAGCAAGTTGAAAACAGACCTTTTTGACCTTTTTTGACCTTGAGAAGGTCATTGAAGGTCAAATGTCAAATCTTAAGTCAGATTTGAATTTCTGAGAACACATAGATAATTTGAAAAAAAAATTTAGTCAATTTGAAGCAAGTTGAAAACAGACCTTTTTGACCTTTTTTGACCTTGAGAAGGTCATTGAAGGTCAAATGTCAAATCTAAAGTCAGATTTGAAGGTCAAATGTCAAATCTAAAGTCAGATTTGAATTTCTGAGAACATGTAGATGATTTTGAAAAAAAATTTAGTCAATGTGAAGCAAGTTGAAAAAAGACCTTTTTGACCTTGAGAAGGTCATTGAAGGTCAAATGTCAAATCTAAAGTCAGATTTGAGCTTCTGAGAACATGTAGATGATTTACAAAAAAATTGAAGTCAGTCTAAACAGTATTTGTTAAGTTATAGGAAGTTGTAAGAAATTGTTACAGACGCCGGACGCCAACCGCCGGACGCCAACCGCCGGACGCCAACCACCGGACGCCAACCACCAACCGCCGTCGCAAAAAAACGGAGACCATAACAATATGTCACCACTTTTGGTGGTGACATAAAAACTGAAATTGCATGATACTATGAGATCAATTGTCTGTTTTCCAGCAAGAATTTTGAGAAGAAATATAATATAAAATATCTATAACATATATATTTATTCTATTTCCAGAAGTACCTGATACAGTTTGGTTACCTACCATCCATAAGTAGATCATCTTCTAACATCTTGGCAGAGGCAATAGTTGACTACAGAGAAGCCATAAAAACATTCCAGAGATATGCTTATCTCTCACAATCTGGTATTAGAATGTTATCCTCATATTAACTCATGCTTTTTTAATTCATTCATTGTATCTTCAAATGCAATTTTGATTTGCACTAAGTATTTACAAAATAATGTCATATACTAAAAATAGGTGAAATAGATTCTGCCACAATAGCAATGATGAACAAGCCCAGATGTGGTTTACCAGACAGAGCTTCACAGAGTCAACGACAAAAGAGATATGCAACTCAAGGTAATATTGGAGAGGTTAAGCTACCGTATAAAATCCAAAACGCAACTTAAACGTATCAATCGGCCCTATACAAATACATGTAGAGTTCACACATAAATAGCCGTTCAGCTCTAGTGTTTGTTTAGACTACACCATAGCTTGATGAAGTTCAATAGCTGGTTTTCTAATACATATTTTAAACGAGCTCGTTTCGTAAGATTATTGGAGTTAAATCATGCGTAACATACATCATCTTCTTCAGAAAGAATTATACTCTGCATCGAAATCAAAATTGCAAGGATAGTATTCAACAGACATGAGTATAATGATTCCCGTTGATAGCAACGTGAAAAATTAAAAACTGCCGTTCTAAACACGCAACTTTGAAGTTGAACGGGTATCTGAAGTAGACTAAAGCGATACAATCCTATGTTGATTCAATGTACTTTGCGTTTACGTATACGTTTTGAAAAACCGTATTTGCTTAACCTCTCCATTGAAATGCATCCCATACCTACTGAGCTTCTAGATACATAACATTATGGGAATACTACGATACAGAGTATCTAGGAAGCAGGTTGGATACGTAGTTCTCTATCTAGTTCACGATTACCAAGCTCTGCAACCATCCCAGTCTCACTCCATAGAATGTTGACAAATGAACCTAGAATCTCAGTATGCGACACATTTTATATGTATGATCAGTTTCTAATACAGGGATTATTCATTATTCTCTCAAGGGACCGCATATTTCATAAGGGATCAACCCTGTACCTAAACCTCCCAGTACATAACACCTATATATATAATATATCCATCAAAACAGTAGTGTTCTATATCAAGTCCTTCACATTAAACATTGTTATATTTTGAGACTGAGCCCTTTAAATATTTCAAACACATAATCGGTGTCAGGTTATATTGGACAAATAGTGATAGACTTTTATTATGCCATTAAGGTAGTTGGCCCCGTCGAAGAATTACATACAAGATATGGAATTATACTCCAGACCTACCAAGATCACAAATCAATCGAGACTTTGCGAATGCATTCAAGGTACATACTGTTCATGCACTTTAATTCCTAGAAAAGTTACAATATAGATATTATCCTGTATGAGGTTCAGGATATAAAGATTACTCTTGTGACTATTTTGAACATGAAAATTTTCATGGTGGCCATGTTTAATCCAGCAGCCATCTTGAAAATTCCTTCATGAGGAAATAGAACTGCTGAACACCGTCCAAAAAAGATTTGGAGACTATAACAATTTGTCACCAGAGAATTCTTATATCCCTCAAAAATTTGAACCAAATCTGTCAATTGGTTTTGTGAGTATATCAAAGAAAAAATGGCAGCTACACATGTATTTGAATTCAGTGCCATCTTGAAAATTCCTTTTTGAGCAGAGTTATATATCCCTAAGGCATCAGCATTATCATTAAATTTGAGTCAACCCTGACAACTGGTATGTAGGTTATCAAAGACTTCATTATTTTACAAAAAATTGCAGACTTTGCAGACAATCTTTTTGAAGATGAACTTTGAAATTAATCACAAGAAAAATTGTAGCCATTTTGAATTGAGCAGTCATTTTAGAAATTCCTTCTTGAGCAGAGATCCTATCTCCTTCAGGAATATGCCTATAAAATTTGAGTCAAATCTGTCGGTATTTGAATTATCACCTGGACAGATGGATGGATAGACAGACAGATGAACAGAAGGATGAATGGAAATTCAGATAGTTTCCCCATAAAAAATACCCCAAAAATGTAATTCATTATACCTATATTTAAAGAGAGAATCAGATATAGTGAGCAGGCTAAACAAAAAATTGTTTCAATTTTAGAATATTTTTGGCTCATGTCATTTCTTGTCATGTCTATTTTCTAAAAATCACAGAAGTGCATACTTTAGTCCAGGAAAACTAAAGATTTTTACAATAATGTATTATTTTTCTAGAAGAATGGTTACCATTCTTATTATTTGGAAGAATTTAAACATTTTCACTCATTTTTGCACTTTGAATCATGAATAACTTCACCAATTTATAACATATTGTGAATCTTTTGGGAGATATTGTATTTGATATTGTAAGGAATAGATTGGTAGGTCAATTATAAATGTTGCTTGTAATTTTGTCACCCCCTATGGATCAGATTCTGCCTTTAATATTTACAGGTTTGGGCTGATGTCACAAATCTAAGTTTCCAACAAGTCTATACAAACAATGCAAATCTCAACATTAAGTTTGTGTCATTTGATCATGGTGATGGATTTCCTTTTGATGGACGAGGAAAAGTACTTGCCCATGCTGCACTTCCTCAAAATGGACTTATCCATTTTGATGAGAGTGAAAAATGGACTGCAAACTCCAAGAAAGGTATAAACCTTTACTGGGTGGCAGTTCATGAATTTGGACACTCCTTGGGAATGCAGCATAGCACTGTAAGGGATGCTGTGATGTATGCTTATTACGGAGGATATCAGCCTAACTTGCAGTTACACACAGATGACATCCAAGGCATTCAAAGTATATATGGTCATTCAAGTAGAACAACTAACGGTACAAGTAAGTCATAATCAGTTTGAAAAAGACCAGTTTACAGGTCCCTGGGGAAGATGGGATAGCTGTTCAAGTACATGTGGTGGTTGAGTTCAAAGAAGATCACGTTCAACATCTGGTGTCACTTCACGTCAAACAGACTTGCAGAAAACGACCATGCCCAGAATCAAATGACATACACAATAAGTTCAGTTATCTCCACAGCATTAAAGCAAGTTGGCAGCATCCACCTGAAAAGCTGTTTGCACCCACTTGAAAGTGAGAAAAATTGGGGAAGATGGGGTACCTGTTCAAAGACATGTGGGGGGGGGGAGTTCAAAGAAGATCACGTTTAATATCTGGTGTCACTACAAGTCAAACAAAGACTTGTAGAACACAACCCTGCCCAGAATTAGGTGACATACACAATCAAGTTTGAATTAATTTTCAAAGTTATTATTCCTTGATATATATTATTGGCTGTTATCAGGAGATTTTTTCTTAATGATATTCTTTCCTTTGATATAAATGTTTTAAGATGCCTGAGGAAGATGGGGTACATGTTCAAGTTTTTTTGTGATGATCTTAGAAGAAAAATATAAATGTTATGTAGGAACAAACAAATACTTACAGGTACATGGGGAAGATGGGGTACATGTTCAAAGACATGTGGTGGGGGAGTTCAAAGAAGATCACGCTCAATATCTGGTGTCACTACAAGTCAAACAAAAACTTGCAGGCCAGAATCATGTCCAAATATAGGTAGTCTCTTTTACTCATATTATTTAAATTAAATATAAATATCAATAATATGTGCAATTTTTCAAATTCAAATAACCATCTTATATTTTCCTGGTATTTGTTACATTTAAAAGTATATAATGTTTTTAAGTAACTGCTGACAGATTTTTATATATTGCATTCTAGCTTTGAGAAAAAATGAGAAAACAATGCTATAATGCTTACAGGACCCTGGGGGAGATGGGGGAGATGTTCAAAGATGTGTGGAGGAGGAGTTCAAAGACGATCACGTACAACATCTGGTGTCACTATAAGTCAAACAAAGACTTGCAGAACACAACCTTGCACAAATACAACAGGTGACACAAAATTATTTTACACTATATTTAAGTGTTCATGTAATGAATAAACTATGAGGACTGGCTATTAGGTGAAATAATGGTCAAGGGCTGAAGGCTCAAGGCCATTATTATCTTCATCCTTGGCCATTACTGTATTTCTCCAAAGAGCCAGTACGAATGGTTTATCAAACGTAAACCCTATACTGCTTCTTATGAAAGGTAGGTGGTCCATTAAGCTTACACTTAACTATTCAACTTTAAAAGGATTGGTATCGATATGGCAAAATGAATTTAACATCGTTTTTCTCTTATACCAATTATTGAAAACATTCAATGTAATGCTTAATAATGATTATCTACATATCTATAGGTACCTGGGGGAGATGGGGAACTTGTTCAAAGACATGTGGTGGGGGAGTTCAAAGAAGATCACGTATAACCTCTGGTGTCACTACAAGTCAAACAAAGACTTGCAGAACACAACCCTGCCCAGAATCAGGTGACATACACAATCAAGATTGAACTAGACAACAGCAACGCCAAAGCGTAGCAAATCCCATCGAACAGCCATGGCTGGTATTTTTACAAGCAAAGTATAAAGCATTTTTCAAAATGGCCATCTTCTACCAAAAGTGTCATTAGACAGTGTGTCCTGCTTATAGTATTCACATACCAAATATGAACAAAATCGCTCTACTACTTTTCGAGTTAAAGTAAATTACGTTAAAATAGCGGCCACTTTTCAAAATGGCCACCTTCTACCAAAAGTGTCATTAGACAGTGGGCCATGCTCATATTATTCACATACCAAATATAAACAAAGTCGTTCCACTACTTTTCGAGTTATAGCAAAAATCGTAAAATAGCGAGTAAAGGCCGCCATTTTTCAAGATGTGCTTCTTTAATATCTACATTTCTAGTTTTATTAATGTCCTATATAATTTTTTTACATTTAAAACATATTGCTATGACAGTTTTACATATTGTATCTAAATTACTGTAAAATCGGCACTAAAATGACCGCCATTTTTAAATGAGCGGCCATTTTGAAAATCAGTTTTCGAGCAGAATTTCTACCCCCATAGGGTATATGTGTACAAAATATGAACAAAATCGGGCCAACGGTATTTCAGTTATTGCCCAGATGGATGGACGGCCAGAGGCGTTCCTTATATCTCTCCGAACTTCGTTCGATGCGATAATTAATTTTCAAAGTTATTATTCCTTGATTATATGATTGGCTGTCATCCGAAGATTTTTATGATGATATTTTTTCTGTTAATCTAAATGTTTTAAGGTGCCTGGGGGAGATGGGGTACATGTTCAAAGACCTGTGGTGGTGGAGTTCAAAGAAGATCACGCTCAATATCTGGTGTCACTACAAGTCAAACAAAGACTTGCAGAACACAATCCTGCCCAGTATCAGGTGACATACACAAGTTTGAATTAATTTTCAAAGTTATCATTTATAGATATATATGAATGACTGTCATCGGAAAATTTTTTGTGATGATATTCTTTCTGTTTTTCCAAATCTTAAAAGAAAAAAAATGTTATGTACGAACAAATAAATACTTACAGGTACCTGGGGAAGATGGGGTACTTGTTCAAAGACATGTGGTGGTGGAGTTCAAAGAAGATCACGTATTACCTCTGGTGTCACTACAAGTCAAACAAAGACTTGCAGAACACAACCCTGCCCAGAATCAGGTGACATATACAATCATGCTAGGATTAACTTTCAAAGTTATCATTAACTTAACGAAGATAGGTATATGACTGACTGTCATCATGAGATTCTTTCTATTATCCAAAAACATAGATATGAAATAAATAAAATAATCATAATACATAAACATATGTTAACAGGTACCTGGGAGAGATGGAGTACTTGTTCTAAGACATGTGGTAGGGGACTTCAAACAAGATCACGTATGACCTCTGGTGGCACGATAAGAGACACAAAGACTTGTATAGCTCAGATATGCCCAGACATAGGTAGAACAATTTTTTCTTATATACAGAACCACAACCACAGAAAATGCAACCCTCCAATTTGGGAGGGTTATATTTGACAACATTTTTAAATCTCCCTATTGTCACCATTTGAGAAGCTATAGCCAACACAGCCGACATTTCTCATGATCTAAGGTACTGTACATTCAAGAGGACAAAGTTGGCTTTATCCCAAATGTTTGATTTTAACCATTTTTCATAAGGTGATCTCGCTTAAAACTTAATAAAAAAAGATATGTTAACTGTGGTAAAAAGAGCTATTTTATCACCACTGCAGGTATATGGGGAGCGTGGAGTAATTGGGGTTCCTGTTCTGAAAGTTGTGAAGGTGGATATCAGAGGAGATCTCGCTCCTGTATCAGAGGAACATGTTCTGGTGGCATTACTGAAAACAGAAGGTGTAACAGCCAGGCTTGTGAAAATCAAGGTTACTCTGATTCGGTATCTATTCCATATAAGAATGTTACAAAGAAAAAGAGACAGGGTCTGATATCTTGGTGTTCTTCCAAGATTGACCCTGACTCTTGCTCTCTCCTAAAACTTAACTCAACATTATAGATATATTATTATCAAATCAAATATTCTTCTTTTAAAATTATATTGCATTGGCATAATGGACTTAAATACATTCCCTTTCAATTCAATTACATTTATGGGCTGATCTTGTACCTAACCATAATTTCAATCATCAATTAAAATTTGCAAAGTATATATGCATCTGATTTAGATAACAAAGCAGCAGAAGACCCAAACCATATCATATGATTTAGATAACAATGCAGCAGAAGACCCAAACCATATCATATGATTTAGATAACAAAGCAGCAGAAGACCTAAACCATATCATATGATTTAGATAACAAGGCAGAAGAAGACCCAAACCATATCATATGATCTAGATAGCAATGCAACAGAATACCCAAACCATATCATATGATTTAGATAACATTATGCAACAGAAGACCCAAACTATAGCATCTGATTTAGATAACAAAGCAGCAGAAGACCTAAACCATATCATATGATTTAGATAACAATGCAGCAGAAGACCTAAACCATATCATATGATTTAGATAACAATGCATCAGAAGACCCAAACCACATCATATGATCTAAATAGCAATGCAGTAGAAGACCCAAACCATATCATATGATTTAGATAACAATGCAACAGAACCCAAACCATATCATATGATAAAGGGTTTGAAAGGGTACTTGTCAGCTCAGAGACTTCTTCAGAAGACAATTGGAATCTGGTAAAGTTACCCTGGGGCCTACTGATTTGTCGCATCACAATGTCTTTGAAAATCAATGATGATCTACATATATCTTTGGTAATGTTGAACATTCCTTCTAAAGAACTTACTTGTATGCTTCCAGGTGTGTGGGGAAATTGGGGAGCTTGGAGCAGTTGCTCTAAGACTTGTGGTGGTGGGACAAGGCGTAGATTCCATACCTGTCTAAGAGGCATATGTGTTGGGAGTTTTATTGAAACACAGATTTGTGGCCAACAAACATGTGGACCAGAAGGTAATTCTTTACTTGTGCAAAAAATAATATCTACGAACTTGATACTAACAGAATTCAAGCAGAATGATAGTTGACTTTATTTATTTGGTTTTATTTAGTCCTAGATTGTGCAGCTTCTATGTAAAAAAATGAATTGTGTGAAACTTCAAACTATTGATATTTCTTGGTAAAATATAATGGCCTGGCTCTTTAAATGAGACCTTCCCACCCAATGGCTCTGCAACCTCATTCATCCATGGCTATACTTGGTTCTGATAGTCACTGGTGGGAACTTGATGAGCAATGGGCATGTGTAATGATGCATTTCAATTATGCAATGCTCAGCATCAAATATTGATTGGTGAGGGAATTCCTTCATTCGATAGACAGTTTGGACTCAATTTTAGCTAACCTGTAACACAATTGCTAAGTTAGACTCAACCAGCTGTGTAACAGGTCTCAGTGTTATTTGTTCATCCCTAATGATGCACTTTTGTCTACTTTTTTATTAGAAGGCGTGCCATGTGTGGATAGACACATACATTGTCTATACTGGCAGAGGAACGGATGGTGTACTAAGAGTGTTACATATATGAAGGTATTCTGCACAAAATCATGTGGCTTCTGCACAGCTACTAGCAATGGTGCCACTGGAAGTAGCAGAGGTATGTTGACAAAAGAATTAGAACTAGTCATTGCTCATTTCTTATTAACATTTCAGAATATATTGTACAGTAAAAGCTGTCTTCGTGAACACCTCTCTCTAATGAACATCTGTGTCTAGTGAACACATCTTCCCGGCACACACTCCACTGAGTTCTGTATAAAATTGCCTCTCTGTAGTGAACACCTACCTAGGATAAACACATGATTCGCTCCATGGGTGTTAAATATACACAGGTTTGTTTAATGAATACACAGAATTAAATCTTGTGGTAAGGGCTAATGTGAATAAGTTATGATAAAAAGTCAGTCCACCCTAGTGCCCAACCCATCACTGTAATTGGATAAATATTAAGGTTTGATGTTGACTAAATCTAATGAATGGCTCATATGATTAGTTTTATTAAACATCGCTGTCATGATGCTATGGCTATGCTACAATACATTGAAGATGGCGGTGAGGGTTGGAAGGTCAATAAAGTGGACAAGTAGCATCATCAGTACTTCTAACTCCTCTGGTTTTGGCACCAATATCCTTAAGGGCTTTATGTAGGGGAGCAGCTGGAAAGCCTCTGCAACATACTTCAACTGCGTGATGTGATTAATAAAAAAATAAAAGTTGGTTTTTGTTTTGTTGTTTACTTTGTCATATGTTGTCCAATGAACACTTTCTACATTCCACCTTCCATGTTGGTATTCAATTACTGTATACTAAAAATGTGGAAAATAACCATTCTTCTTAAGGAGTGTGTGTTGACAACAGACAAAGTTGTGCATCTTGGAAACAAGCAGGGGAATGTACCAAGAACCCAACCTATATGGCCAGATATTGTAAGAAGTCATGTGGTCTTTGCAGTTCCAACAGTGCCAGTTCCCCTAGGGGTAATAGAGGTACACCCCCAAAATGCAATCTGATTTTCGACACCGTTTCGGTGCCAATTATCAGTGCCGTTTTGGCACCAAATGGAGTGACTAGTCCGGTAGCAAATTTTGGTGTCGAAAGGTTTCGGTGCCGGAACGGTGTCGAAACGGTGCCGAATTTTTTTGATGCCGAAACGGTGTCGAATTATATTGGCTGTGTACAGTATGTTGGATTTCTTTGGATAGGGCTTGTCTTGCTCAATGTTGCCAATGTTGTTTTTCATGTTTTTTTAAATTTAAATCCCAATTATCTAAGTATGTAATAAATTAAAGAAATCAAATTCGTTTTACTTATTGACCATAACAATGAAGTAAACATACAAGCATCAGTCATCAGTGTGTGATCACAATGTAATTATAAAAACCATCGAAGTAAGACTATTTATCACAGTGAGACTTGAATCACCATAGACAGAAAATGTCTTACTGAAATTCTGCATCAAACCCATTTCTCTTTACATAAACTACATATGTTTAGTTTCAGTTCAAGTAACATGGTGGTCTACACAGCAAAGAGCATGCCTGAGAGGACACAATGACAAGATAATACCAAACACCAGAACATTAAATGAATGCCGTAGAAATTGTCTGAGAGAGACAACATTCACATGTCAGTCCATTGACTTTAACTTTTTGCTGAAACACTGTATTCTATCCAGTAAAACATCACCAGTTCTTAACCCATGTCCAAATACAAATTTTACATTCTCTCGACGTATGAACTGAACAATGCCATGTATTTTCAACCTTGTACAAATGCAAATTTCATATAACTAAACTAACTGAATAGCTCAATGTATTCTTAATTTATGTCCTAAGTTACAGATTCTGAATTCTCTAAATCTACGAATTGCATGGACAACTCAATGTAAAACTGAATAAAAAAGCTGTAATAAAATATAAAAAAACAACAGCCCACTTAATTCCCTAAAACTGCCACATCCCGGTAAAACCGTTTTGACACTGCTATTGTACATGTGCAGAAAATTAATGTATTATGCTGCATTCTATTACTGATTCATAACAAAATACTATTGTCCCACTTTCAAACCAAGTTCCATGTGCAAGTATATAGTTCTAAAGCTCAATAATTGAATTCTTAAATGTATCTGTATTTTTGTTTTCTAGAAATATTGTTCCAAATATTCAATAGACACTAACATTCAAGTGTATGTTTTTACACATACAGTATTATAAGAAAAGTATTTAATAAATATTACAAGATGAGTTAAAGCAAATCATAATGATCTTTCTGATCGATTATCAACACTCAATCATTTATTAAACTCACTTTAATTTGGGGATGGTCTGCAGATGAAAGTACAAATGCTTATTCAATAGTTTGATAGCAGCAGATAGCCATTGATCATTTAATACATGTACCAACATTCAACAATGATATATTTTATGAATCCTTTTAAATGATATTATTTAAGGAATAAATAATGATAGGCCATTCAATATGGTGAAATTCAGCATGAGTTGGTCAGAATGTCGTACAAAGCACAAACTGAAGGTGAGTGCATTTGTACTGATATTCTGTCCAACGAGTTTCAACATATTGAATGGCCTATCATTATTTATTACGATTCAAACATAAAAAAGAAAACCTTGTTCAGAGAATTGGGGATTTAGGTCAATGAAATAACCAAACTTGCTGTTATTTTCGTCATTCTCAGGTGTGACGTCATAATACAACACAATATATGTACATAGATTCCTTGAAGCGGATTGTCGTGCCTGTATTGAGAAATAATGAACATTCATTATTGGCTATGCTGCATTCTGATTGGTTTAGAAATTCAAATAGAGCATGGTCATGTTTGAATCAATATTAGTGGGTATGCATTATTCACATTCATTGTGAGGTTAAGAATGTTGAGAAAAATGTGTCAGTAAAGTCTTAATTAATAATGATCTAAGAGAAGAAAGTAAAGAATCAAAGGATAGATCTGAGTCTGAGGTAACTTTTGTCATTTTTACACTTTTTTCACAGCATCCTTGTCATACAATAATTCTGCATTTTTTCATAATCAAAATCATATTTTATTGACTAACATTTTACACTCTACATGTATATCCTTTGCAGCCACTGTGATGGTATGTGGTGCTAAATCATATCAGACACAATATGAGGTATTACCTGCATTTGTTTGTCCCTCTTCAGCTGCCCCAGTTCTGAAGATAACATCTGGGTTCTCTCAAGATAGTCATTGGACAAAGTCTGTCGGTCAGCATTGTGCCCTATAGCAGTGTCTGAAATAAACAATAAATAGACAGCTTGAACATATCATATGAAACAGAAATTGGTATTTGAGATATCAAATTTCTTAAGCAAAGCTCCTTCATCTCTAGGTATCAGCATCCAAAATTTGAACCAAATCTGTCAACTAGTATTTGAGTTATCAAAGATTTCCTTTTTTACAAAGAATGGTGGCCATTTTGAACTGAGCAGCCATATTGAAAATTCATTTTGAGCAGAGGTCCTAAACCCATTAGAATCAAACCTTTAAAAGAATCAAATCCATCAACCAGTATTTGAGTAATCGCCCGGACACACAGAAAGATGGATTGCTTCTCTATATCCCCTTCAAACTTCATTCGGTGTAATGTAATGATTTTCCACACTCTGAGTGTTATCCCACCCTTATAATTGGCTTTTAAATGTGACAAGAAGCTCTCATATTTTCATATTTGAAGGTTTGTTTAATGGTGCATACCGAAGACTGTTAAGATTTTTGGAATATTTCGGTTCCTGTATTTCATGCAAATTACTCTGGTGTCACCATATCACACACTTTGATGTTTAAATCATCATTTTCTGTGGGGCCTCATTAAATTTACTAATTGTATTACCTATTGCTCTGATAATATCTGTTGGAATGTTGTTGCCTGCAAGCTCTAGTCTCGCTATGGTCTTGTTCTGTTGCAGAGACTTCAGCAGGGCACGCCCTCCAACTATACCAACATTATTCCAACGCACATCTGGGAAAAAAAATATAAATATTCACCATCTATAAATGCAAATAGTGAGAGTACATACAGCTAAAAGTTCATGTTGCATCCACTAGAATATTAACAGTACAATGTTTCTAAATTATTCCAGATATGCTATACTTACTTGATTAACACATCTGTAGATTTACTTGATTTTTATGTGTAATTTGTATAAGTTATTGTACAGTATAAAGAATAGATATCCATCCAAATCCAAATGGATATGACATGACACAAAGTAATTTTACCTAAAGAACGTAGAATTGGGTTGCGTTTCAAGGCAGTAGCAAGCTCAGTAGCACCTTCATGGTTAATCTGGTTATTGCGTAAGTCCAGTACATTAAGGGTCGTATTAGAGCCAAGTCCATCACAGAATATTGCAAATGAGTTGTCCAACATTCCCAATCCATTCCACTCTAAACATACACTGGAAATAAAAGTCAAGTAAAAATGGATGTGGAATTCAATATTCAAAATGCACAGTTCAATGGCAGAGACATTAAAATTGAACTTGTCTTACAATTCCGCTTTTTGTGCATTTGAATTTAGAACTCTTCATCTTACCAAAAAGTTCTTCAAAAAGATTTTGAATAAAACAAAAACTCCTCCACCAAGCAATAAAGTTAAGTAGATCTGAATATACATGACTTTTCCCTGAGCTATGAGGCATTTTTCTACTAACACTGAAAATGTATCAAGTTAAAAAATGACATTTTTACCTCAATAGAGTCTTATTCTGCTTCAGCATACGCCCAAGTGACTCTACGGCCTTGCCCCTGATGTTATTACCCTGCAATAAAGTACAGAATTAGCCAATGTTCAATTAAAAAAGGAACAAATATTGGCTACATGGCAGTGAATAGACTAGATCGAGTAGAAATAATCTTGATTTATGTCGTTAAATATTCAAAATGATATTCAAGTGATGTCATATTTGAAATCTACATGTAAAGGTTCATCTAGAAACATGGTTTTGAAAATTATTTATCAACTTTGAAAATTTAATTATTTTTGAAAATGTGACTTCTAGTTCGGGTTGATTCCTAATAGACCCCATGTTACAAAATCACAAAAAGTGAAATATCTTTTCTTGTATTGGATAGATAACATTTTCTTTAACTGGGAATATTTTAATTTGCATAACTATTAGATACATAAGGGTTATATGAAAATTGAACTGCTAAAACAGATGCAATTTAAGTTAAAGGGAACTTTCTACTATACACGCCATGCTATCTGACCTGAGCGAGCCACCTGATGGTGAAACTGGCAACTACCTACTCGCACCTACTTTATCAGACTGTTCTTACTCATTCAGACCCTTATGGTCCAATCAGATCATCTTTTATCATTTTATGTTAGCTCATATAGTTATTAGGGGCGGGGTCAAAATATCAATGTTCATATGGAGACGAAAGTAATTTCGTTTGGACAACAACCCCCCCACCCCCCCTCTAGACGAAACCTTAGGTCACTTCAAAAAAACATTGATTTTGATTGATTGCCGGGTTATTATTACGGTGAATTAACACACGTTCGCAATTTAACTGCATTGAACTCTTCAAAAGGAGAAGGGAAAAGTACGGAATTTATTTGAAAAATGATCGAATTATCGTCTTTATCTACCGATATTTTGGACCTATCACACAAAAAAGCTCACGAACTATTGAAAACAAGCCTTTTTATCAGAACATAGCGCCAGAAAAAGTGGGTAAGTCCAATTATATTTGTATATCAGATCCGAATTATCGATGTTTTTTTGGTCAACGAAAGTGCCCAAAAACCCCCTCCCCCCTCGCGAAAGTACTTTCGTCTCCATATGAACATCGATATTTTGATCCCGCCCCTTACCTTTAAATCTAACTTTTTGCAAGTTGTGTTTGTAATTAAGCCATGTGCCAGTGCCTTCACACCTACAACAATGAATCAGATTACTGTATCAATATTGTTTAAAATCAAATATGGAAATGTACTTCCTACATGTAAAAAAAGTAATGATAACTAAATACATGTTGTACAAGTGATAATAATTACTAAAAATATTACTTTTATATGTAATTTCAAAATTCAAAATATGAATTTTGCTACTATTTCTAAAACATTCAGTTTCAAAATAAAAAAGTATTAAAAATCCATTCTTGTTTATTGTTTTAAAGTTTATATCAAAAACATTTTTCAAAATTTTTTAGAAACCTTAGAATAACCATGTAACCATGACCATGAATTATAATTCCCTTAAGATAAACCCTGAATCCAAAATTATGAATAGCTAGAGCAGAGTTATTATACAGTAACATACAAATATTACAAATACTCCAGAAAGAGATTGCCTAAAGAATTCAAACTGGACATATTTTCTATTTTGTCAATAACAATAAGACCATAGACTTAAAGTAAATTATTAATGAACCTTCTTCTCCTATCATACAATCACACAATCTGATTTCATTGAAGCAGCGATCTGTGGCCAGTATCTTCCCAATAACTGCACACGTCTTCACAGTCAGACTTGTAGCTGATAGGTTAAGGCAGCCCCGCCCACTTCTTGGACTTTGTTGCGAACTTGAAGTACAAATACACATGTAACTAGAAAACAGCAAATCCACATATGTGTAGTAGCAAATCCTACCAAACGAAACATATTTCAATAAATACCTTTTCATTTTGGAGATTACATGATAGAAACAACCAGGAAATAGTCCAGTAGTATTGTCTAAATCTACACCAATGATGTGATTTGATGCCAATATAAAATTCTTTCTTGAGCAAAGGCCCATGAGGCATTATTGTATAACTTGTTTGCTCCAAATCCTAAAACTGGTATTTAAAATAAAAATACATTTCCCATGAAAAATGGAACACTTAAAGTATTGTAATATTGTCTCCTTTTGGCTAGATCTACATCCATATGATATGGTTTCATAAATTCCTTCTTAAGTAGCCATCCTATGGCCATAAGGCAACCAATCTGTTAACTGATATGTGAGCTATCAAAAAAAATTACATGTACATTTTTATGTAAATTGGTTACATATCCTAGTTTTCTGCATGAGAAAAATGCAAATTCTGCAAAGAAATTCTGCATGAAAAAGTCAAATACTGCACCAAATTCTGCTTGAAATCCCCAATTCCGCAATAAATTCTGCAAGCAACGACTTCATATGAACTCAGTCTATCAGGAAATCACAGGGAATTTAAATTTCATTGATATATTAGACGTAATCTTTAAGTGCAAAAGCCGGAAGTTGGAGAATTTTAAACATTGTTTTACAGAAGATTGCTTACGCAATTTATGAATTGTAAAAGTAATGAAAATCACTAACCCTTTTAACTGGTCTATAACTGTATCCTGTGGCTCAATGTGGTAGTCTTTACACAGTTGTATGTACGTGCGACGAAATTCATCCATATTCTGAAACTGTCAAGACATACACATCGCTTGTTTTAACAATTCAATCTTTCAGTAGATGATAGCTAGTGAAATGACCCGAGGGCACCCCAAGGGAATGACTAACTAGCAAGCATAGTGTAACAAGCCAGATAAAGAAATTGAAAGAAAGTGTGCTAAATTCAATGCCCCATGTGGGAATCGAACCTATGACCCTTGGATCCAAAGACCGATGCTCTACCGACTGAGCTATAAAGGATTAAGCCACTACAGCTGGACTGTATTAGCAACTTGCTATCAAGGGTCATGACTCTATCTCCCCCTTTGAAAGGACCACGCCCTCGTGGTCAGTCCTACTTTCCCTAGCAGTGACTACCACACACACACGGATGCAAAGGATACAACCAATGCTTTGATCCCACATATGACACCAATGTAATGACCCGAGGGCGCCCCAGGGGAATGACTTACTAACGAGCATAGTGTAACAAGCCAAATAAAGAAATTGAAAGAAAGTGTGCTAAATTCAATGCCCTGCGTGGGAATCGAACCTAGGACCCTTGGATCCGAAGTCTGATGCTCTCCCGACTGAGCTATAAAGGCTTAAGCCACTACAGCTGGACTGTAGAAGCAACTTGTTATCAAGGGTCGTTACACTAGGTTTGAACCTCTACTTAGAGTGAATCTGAAATTAAGACCACTACCACTACTACTACTAACCTGAAGATAGGCACACAGACGTGATGAAAATCACACCATCAGACAGACACACAACATTAACATGAGAAAATGTCAATACCTGATTGGATTTATAAAAAAATGGCTACCAGAAGCAAAGATGGCCTCCTAAAAGTTAATCAGCTATTAAACTTGATATATTCTATCATATATACATAATAAAAGTTAATCAGCTCTAGAATTTAGCCTCCTGCTAAAACTTAACTACTAGTATGGAATCTGTATTTAACAACTTGTACTGGTTCAAATCATGGCTTGTAGGAAGTAAGGTAGGATGGTGAATCAAGTTTAAAAACTAGTTCCCAAGGAACAGTGCTTGGACCACTTACTTATCTTCAGCCAGTATATAGCAAAATTAGGCTAACTATAAGAATTTTCAACTTTGATCATGAAAATGCTATCTTAGGACACAAATGTTGGTGCAAGGATGTAAGAGAAATATTTATGTCTGCTAATTTGCTACGTGAATATGAAACAAGACACTTTGGAGATAGTTCACTCATCCTCGATTCTGTTAAAACAGCGGAACTGCAACAATACATCGAAGAATGGAAACTTAAGATCGCCAATATGCCAAAACTAAGGATTTATAGGACATTTAAAACATCATTTTAAACAGAAGACTATGTCAAGAACTGTTTACCAAGGACATTCAGATCATTGCTTGCAAAAGCAAGATCAGGCACACTACCATTAATGCTGGAGACTGGAAGATATAGATCCACCCCAGTTGACCAGAGACTTTGCTTACATTGTAAGAACGATAATATATCCATTATTGAGGACGAGTTCCACTTTTTACTAGTATGCCCATCATATAACAATTTACGAGATGACTTGTTTTTGTCTGTTAAACGTATTTAACAAAAACAAGAACTTATTATTGATGATGAACTTTTGAAACTTTTATTACATGATTTTAGATTAGTGCGCCATACTGGAAAATTCCTGAATGCTGCTCTTATCAAAAGAGCAAGCTTCGTTTAATAATCTTATAATATTGTTTTCAAATATATTGTACAATGTGCCCCATAAGCCTAAAATAGGCTGGGTATTCTATACGAGGCACTTAAATAAATAAATATACATATACATACATATAAAACTATTTGCCGATGACAGCCTTCTGTTCATGATTAAAAGCAAACAAGATGCATTAAAGATAAATCCCCTATCATTCACAATTGTACCGTGCTAAGGTTAAACCTTTAGCATGTAACACACATCCCATAGTACCTAGGGACTTCAGATTGAATTAATTTCCATGAAAATAATTAAATCGATCAGCACAATCGCAAAATTAACACTGAAAGTGAAGGATTTGGAACTTCTCCATTGGTGAGTAGATAGGTGTTGATCTCAATATGCAAAAAGGTCCAGAGGGGTCTTGTTTGTGCTATTCTATGATACATTATTCGGGGATTCCCCATTATTCTCTAATCAAATTGCCGGATGTTATCACGTGAAAATCATGTGCTTCCTCAGTGCCACGCATGCACAGAGTAACTTTGAAATGGCGTTTAATTCAGTTAAACATCAGTTCAACATCATTTCAAAATTTGAAGTTACTTGATCCAAACTTGCAGAGAATACTCATAAAAGAATGCTTTCTTTGACTCATAATCACAAAAAAGTCGAGTGACATTTTAGATGGAGAAAAGCTTAGGCTAGGCTAGATCTATAAATCAATTTCATTCAATTTCAAACTCAAACTGTAATCTAGGCCTGTAAATATTCTGCTTTGATAGGCTTATTAGCATTTTTTAGAAGACTGACAAAGGCATAAGGAAGTATTTATATTCAAGAAAAATAAACAATTATTAATCTATCGAGATACTTACTATTTCTATGCATGAGATGCGATTAATTGTACGAATATTTCAAACACTCCACCATTTTCAAACGTCGCTAGAAGTTTCTCTCCTTCTTCACAGAAGAGCACAAATTTTACACATTCCTTATAGGTTTTTAGTGTTTTGCAGAATATAACAACAATAAAAACTTAAAATGTTGATAATAAATTGTATATCAATAACATTCCTATTCATTGTGATATCTTTATTGCAAAAACACGTCCAACTAAATATATAACATAGATGCAGAAATCGGAATGTGTCACAAGCACATGTGAAAAAAACACGCACGACAAGAAATGGCCGAAGATAAAATTGAAATTGACTTGAATCAGGTACGTATGCTATATTGTACTTGCCTTGATATTGGGGAAGATACACAGGGAACTCAAATTTCACAAAAAACATCGTCAAATCACAAATTTGTGAAGTGTAAATTTTAATTTCGGAAGTTTTTTTTCTATGTCTCACTCTCAGCATGGGCTTTCAATGCCAATACTTTTCCCTGAGACCATGGGCATTCAATAGAAGCGAAATCTAAAAAATAGGTTGACAATCCGACTGAAAATTCATGAAAATATATTTTGATCTCTAAAATCATTGATTACTATAAACGTAAAGGCTAGAGTACCGACAATTGTCGGTACTCTAGACTCTGATGTGGTGGCACGCTAGAGGACCGACAAATAAATTGTCGGTACGGGAGATATGCTGTGTTTACACGCTAGAGGACCGACAAATATTGATTTTCGAATTTTCTGGCGCATGCGCAATGCGCGGGGGGATATTTCAGATATCATACGGATATTTTTGGAACAAGTGCAAAACCCGGGGAGGGCATTAATCCTGATTACCCGGGGATTACCAAACCCAGTCAAAAAATGGTAGCCCGGGAACAGGGAATGGTAGTAAACGTTGAAAGGCCCAATAAAAAACATGAACAAGTAAGACGTTAGAGAGCTATTAATGCAGAGTAAACGGCTATATATATTCTAAACAGACAGGATATTTCTCCTGAGCCGATCAGGCGTAGAAAGGGGAGTTTGCTACCCATTAGATAGAAGAAAATAGCTAGAATGTTTTTTATCTGAAGCTTATGGTATGAGGTTCCATATCCATCCGCCAAAAGGTACTATATAGTCCATTTAAAAACCTGTGGTATCGTTCTAAATAACCCATAGTTGGCTTCTAGGGTACCTAGTATGCCACTATTTGGTATCAAAATAAAGAGGAGTTCAACTTTCATTTGAATTACGAAAATAGCGATGTAGGTCAAAATAGTTCCGAACGTGAGCATGTTTACTACGCGTTTGCCCGTCATATCAGAATTGAGGAAGTGGTAGCAAACGCGAGTTACAATAAACGGACGCTGATATCTCAAAAAGTAACCTGACTCCCTATAATTTGATGTAGGTCAATCGAACCCCTATATGGACAGGTGCATTTTGATATATAACACTATGGTGGGTAAGCGTTTTATAGTTGATCACGAACGCCATATGTGCAAAGTATTGTTATGAATTTTCGAATTTGGTGTTGGATTACGGTACTCATACCTTATAGCACAATTTTTGATGCATTTGGCTCCCTTACACGATTCCATCTCGCATGAGAGAGCTACCAAACGCAAAGTAAACAGTGATATATTCGAAATGAGATATTTCTCCTGTGCCATGGCGTAGTAAGGGTAGAGAGTGACGGGGGCGAAAGCATCCCCTCCCCTAACTGTATATCGACCCATTAGATAGAACAAAAAAAGAGCTTTAAAATGTTTTTTTAATTGAAGTTTGTAGGACAATTTTGATGGAAGTTGAATCAATTTTAGTCGAAATAAATTATGGCTCACTCCAAGTTAATGCCTGTACGATTCCATACTGCAAAAGAAGCACCATGCCCCCCTCAAAGGAAAAAAAGAAGGTCTTGCCGGGATTCGAACTCGGGACCGAGTGTGTTCAAGTAGTGCTCGCTAACCACTAGACTACCAGTGATAAGGTTATATCTAAATGTAAAAGTAGTGGATTTATTTTTGAAATTGTCGGCTCTCTAGCAAAAACACGTAGCAGCCACTTGCGTACCGACAATTGTCGGTTCTCTATCTGGCAACACTAGTTGACGATAGAGTGCCGACAATTGTCGGTACCCCAGCAAATACCCCTGGACAGTCTTTAAAAACCTACTTGTTCCACTAGTATTGAGATGACATACCGTCCTGATTGGTCCAAATCGGTAACAAATATGGCGGTTCAAAATTTTCGAATCTTCTAATAACGCTTCGAAGAAAAATTCAGCTATCTGTGAATAAATAACATGTGATGGGTTTGGTTGTCTGATATAAGAGTTTGTAACCAAACACGGCCACATTTTGCGCCAGACATGTCATTCCTGAATACCGGTCCAAGCCATAGTCAGAATATTGAATTTAGTAATGAGAAAAAAGTTCGACAGTAATTTTTAGAATTTTTAATGAAAATATTCTGAGGTCACATGATAACTTCTACCTGGAAGTAGCTAAGCAGTCTCAAAAAATCAAATAACTCGAATTGGGTCTCTCATTGTCAGTATTAGAGCAATTGATGAATCAAAATTGAGCTAGGTAATCATCAATCAGAGTCAGTTTTGTGGAGTTAGAGGTAGATAATTTTAATGGTAAAATTGTCAACGTCAAAATTCTGTCGACGTCAAAATGCGTCTTTAAGCCCTTCGACTTCAATCAAAAATCCTGGTTCTCCTATGTAGTAGGGATGCGTCCTAGAAAGCATTGTTGTGTGAATTCATGTAATTTATTTTAATTTGCAGGCTGATCTTGATAAAGCCATAGGAGCCCTGTTGAAACATGTAAAACAAAAGAATGAGAAACATGCTCTATTCCTAAATGAGGGAGAGAGGGTACTCCTGCAGTTCACATTCAAATTGATCCCAAGACTGAAGGGGCCTAAAACTATCAAAGTGTAAGTAAAATGAAAAACATATTAGGGTGTAAATTCAAAATCAGTTCATCTCTATTGTGACATGAAGAAAATTACCTTTTTTATTTAATTTATATTACTATTATATAAGCAGCTTTATATACTTTGAAGAAGAAAAGTGAACTTTGTTTCCAAACCCAGTCTATTAAAAAGTATTAATAAATAGATTACTTGTACAGTTTTCTTAAGATACAAACAAATATGATAACAAAAAAGTTAGTATTATTTATTAATCCATTAAATTAAAAATCTTTAGAATGATAGGATGATCATGCCAGTATTTTATTTAGTGTATATTATTGCAATTTTAGAGACCTCCCACATGAGATTAAGACAGATAACACTGAAGTTTGTCTATTTGTAAAAGACGTGGATGCTAAAAGTCGGGATTATGCCCCAAGTGTTAAACACTATGAGGCTCTGCTTAGGGAGAAGGGTGTTACTTCAGTAGCAGAGGTAAGATATTATACTTCTTATTATTACCTTATGTTGGAGGAACACGTAACTATTACTGTAACAGCGTAACATAGTTAATGTGATATTCATAGGATATCGTGTCAAAATAAAACTTACATTTTTATAACCTGTGGAAAAATATCTTATTTTAGCATATTTTCTCTAAACCATAGAATATGGCTTTTCAACACTGTTACTCCAGTGTCATATCTGATGGTTATCGTATCCCCCCTAATAGACACACATATACTCCCAATAAGCACATGACCTACTTTTTCTATGAAAGACCTTGAGTGACAAAAATCAAGAAAAAATAAACTCAAAAAAAATAATTGGGCGATAATAGATTTAATTCACTTACCATCATCTATTGAGCTGTTTCTGTCCACATTGCCATTTACATGCACAGAATCAACTTTGGGTGAAGGATTTGATCTTAATACCTTCAGTCTCTTTATTTCCTCAAAATAGCAGTAGCAGTAATCAGTACGAGTCCTACGATTGGTCGCTAGCTGAAGACCTGGTTTAAACCATCTTCTATTTGTCAAGTGTGATCACGTGATCATTATTTAAGAATGCATATGCGGAAGAACCTGAACCAAAAAAAGGAACCACGGCAGATTGCCCCTAAAGCAAGATATTTCTGAGCTGAGTCATCAAAATCAAAAGCAAATTGCCTCGAAATATGCAAAGAAAATGTGTGTTTAATGGTTGCATATAAGTTAAACTTCGCAAGTGATGGTATCTGTATCATTCAGTGACATACTGGGCTCGCTAGAACGCTGATTTAGACTGATAAATAGCAAAAGCGATACAAAACTTCATCAATTTTATTTTGTCCAGTGTAAAAACGTGACTTTGAATTCCCGTGAACATTTTTTCAAGGGACACAGTTTCTTGAGGGGGGCGGGACGCAAATAACTTTGAAATATGCAAAGAAATTGTGTGTTTAATGGTTGAATATAAGTTATACTTCGCAAGTGATGGTATCTGTATCATTCAATGACATACTGGACTCGCTAGAACTCTGATTTAGACTGATAAATAGCAATAGCGATACAAAATTTCATCAATTTTATTTTGTCCAGTGTAAAAACGTGACTTTGAATTCCCGTGAACATTTTTTCAAGGGACGCATTTTTGGAAATCAGTACGTCCCAGGGACACAATCTTAGACAAACCTATTGAAAACACTGATTCTGAGTGTCAGCAATCTCATTACTATTAAACAATCGCAGTGCATTATGGAGTTTCTGATTTCGGCATTATTTGCTACGTTTTGTAGAACAAACCTTTGTTCCTTTGGAATATTTGATTGAAGTACTAATGCAAAGATTTTCTCTGATTAAGAAGACCAGTCAGTGACAGAAAGCATTTAGATAATAATAATCGAAAAATATCAAAATTGGATGGAGGGGGGTGAATGGAGGGGGGAGTAATATGCAATAACTTACACTAATTCCTGGAGAAATGAACTCAGTAACTCAGTAAGAAACTGCAGAATGAAAAAATGGGGAAATGTGGAGTTACAATGTATATGAAATATCGTCAAGTAACATCTCTTATCATGCCTTATATACACAATACTCCCCCTCCATCACCCCCCCTCCCCTCCAATTTGAATTGTTTTCAATTATTTTTTATATAACTTATGGAAGCTTAAAAAAAGAAACCAACAATGGCATTAATTTTGTGATGATAATGTCACTTATTCTGTACAGGAGAATTTAGAAGCCACACATATTAGAGAGGACACTGTGACGGATTTGCTACTTGACTCAAAATGAGTAATTATGTCACCACCAAAAGTGGTGACATATTGTTATGGTCTCCGTTTTTTTTGCGATGGCGTCCGGCGGTTGGAGATTGGCGTCCGGCCGTTGGCGTCCGGCGGTTGGTGTCCGGCGTCTGTAACAATTTCTTACAACTTCCTATAACTTAACAAATACTGTTTAGACTGACTTCAATTTTTTTCTAAATCATCTACATGTTCTCAGAAGTTCAAATCTGACTTTAGATTTGACATTTGACCTTCAATGACCTTCTCAAGGTCAAAAAGGTCTTTTTTCAACTTGCTTCACATTGACTAAATTTTTTTTCAAAATCATCTACATGTTCTCAGAAATTCAAATCTGACTTTAGATTTGACTTTAGATTTGACATTTGACCTTCAAATCTGACTTTAGATTTGACATTTGACCTTCAATGACCTTCTCAAGGTCAAAAAAGGTCAAAAAGGTCTGTTTTCAACTTGCTTCAAATTGACTAAAAATTTTTTTCAAAATCATCTACGTGTTCTATGAAATTCAAATCTGACTTAAGATTTGACATTTGACCGTACCTACAATGACCTTCTCAAGGTCAAAAAAGGTCAAAAAAGGTCTGTTTTCAACTTGCTTCAAATTGACTAAAAAATTTTTTCAAAATCATCTACGTGTTCTCGGGAATTCAAATCTGACTTTAGATTTGACTTAAGATTTGACATTTGACCTTCAATGACCTTCTCAAAGTCAAAAAAGGTCAAAAAGGTCTTTTTTCAACTTGCTTCAAATTGACTAAATTTTTTTTTCAAAATCATCTACATGTTCTCAGAAATTCAAATCTGACTTTAGATTTGACATTTGACCTTCAATGACCTTCTCAATGTCAAAAAAGGTCAAAAAGGTATTTTTTCATCTTGCTTCAAATTGACTAAATTTTTTTTTCAAAATCATCTACATGTTCTCAGAAATTCAAATATGACTTTACATTTGACTTTAGATTTGACATTTGACCTTCAATGACCTTCTCAAGGTCAAAAAAGGTCAAAAAAGGTCAAAAAGGTTTTTTTTCAACTTGCTTCAAATTGACTAATTTTTTTTTTCAAAATCATCTACATGTTCTCAGAAATTCAAATCTGACTTTAGATTTGACCTTTAATGACCTTCTCAAGGTCAAAAAAGGTCAAAAAGGTCTGTTTTCAACTTGCTTCAAATTGACCAAATTTTTTTTCCAAAATCATCTACATCTTTTCAGAAGTTCAAATTTGACTTTACAAGTTCTGAGAAGTTCAAATCTGACTTTAGATTTGACCTTTGACCTTCAATGACCTTCTCAAGGTCAAAAAGGTCTTTTTTCAACTTGCTTCAAATTGACTAATTTTTTTTTCAAAATCATCTACATGTTCTCAGAAGTTCAAATCTGACTTTAGATTTGACATTTGACCTTCAATGACATTTTCAAGGTCAAAAAGGTCTTTTTTCAACTTGCTTCAAATTTACTTAATTTTTTTTTCAAAATCATCTACATGTTCTCAGAAGTTCAAATCTGACTTTACAATTGACCTTCAATGACCATCTCAATGTCAAAAAAAGTCAAAGAGGTATTTTTTCAACTTGCTTCAAATTGACGAATTTTTTTTCAAAATCATCTACATGTTCTCAGAAGTTCAAATCAAACCTTCTTAAGGTCAAAAGGTATTTTCCAACTTGCTTTAAATTGACCAAATTGTTTTAGGTGGTGACATTTTGTCATGTTAATGCCTTGTTAGAATTATAACCATTAACCATAAATTGTTTAAGCAATTACTCCTTCAAATTGACCATTTTGTGTAGAACTATTTCAATTGTCATATTTTGCAGGTAATTCCTCTCAAGAGGCTGAAGCTAGAGTATAAAGAGTATGAAGCCAGGGAGAATCTACTATTTCAATTGTCATATTTTGCAGGTAATTCCTCTTAAGAGGCTGAAGCTAGAGTACAAAGAGTATGAAGCCAGGAAGAATCTGTCTAACATGTTTGGAATATTTCTGGCTGATGAGGCAATAGTGCGCTTGTTGCCAGGCTTATTGGGCAAACATTTCTACAAGAGAAAGAAGTATGTTTCTTTTCAATATTAGTAGAGGGATGTTTGATTTGCTGGTAACTTTTACTTGGGGAGTAGATATTTCTAGTCTTAATAGGTTCATAGTCATGGTTGCACCAGTGAAAACTCGGCATGTCTGTGTTGTGTCATAGTGTAAGTCTGTAGGTCTGTTGGAAATATGTAAGTGTAGGGAGGGGTAGCACTTTATTTTAGAGTATCATCTCTTAAAAGGTTAGGGGGCCAGATCAGAGAAAACAAGGATGATATCAATATCATCCAATGTAATTTCCCTATATCATTCTAACAGCTAAATGATGAGCTTATACTGTGATATGAACCTTGAAATATTATCATTACATGTATTTCATATATACGTATATAGTACTAAGTGTTAAAACAGAAAATGCTTACTAGGAATAACATTAAAACATTGTAAACCCTTGTGTGAGTCACCAGGAATGTCAATGTGAAAAGAATCAAATGAAGTCTTATGAGGATTCCCCCGGGAAAGATATCAAGTTATTATTCCATACTTAGTAGTGTTGTAGGTAAATAACATTCAGGAATATAGTTATAGATATCTGAAGTGAGTGGGAGATTTCAGCGGGTGATATATATATATTTATCCCATACTTGGACGTGTTACAGGTACATAAAGCCGGTTTGTAAAAACTTATATTTTAATCAGCGGGCAGATATAGCTTTGTGCCCGCTCCAAGCGGGCAGATATAGTATATCTGCCCGCTACGTCATAATCGCCGCTCGCATATTTGTTCATAATTTGTAACATTCGCGTAATGACTGTAAACGACAATGGAGAAAACACAGACAATCGGGATCTGTTTGATGGTTTAAAAAAGGGAAGGAGCATCCAATTAATCAATCAAAAATTCGAGAAAATAAATGTTGGAATATTTGAGAGAACAGGAAAATCCGCCCACGGCCAAGAAAACAAAACTGGACATGAATATTCTAAAATATTTGCACGATTCAACAATGTGAACCAGATGACCAAGATTGGTATGGGATAAACATATTATCCTATAGTCTGTTCAGGATATTGGGATTATCCCTTGGCCAATATAATATATTTTCCCTCGGGACCTGCGGCCCTCGGGCAAATATATTATATTGGCCTCGGGATAATCCCAATATCCTGAACCTCTCTATATATATATCACCCGCTGATATCACCCGCTCATCAGATCAACAAATTCAGAGAGTAGATACTGAGCCAGGGGACTTGACTATAAAACCTCATAATCTTCTAAGTATAGAATAAATCAGTTATTAAATGCTTGATTTTTGATACAGTGTATATCCTTCGGTAAATACAATATATCAACCCTCGGTCCCTACGGTCCCTTGGGTTGATATATTGTATTTCCCTCAGATATACCCTGTATCAAAAACTCCCATTAAATAACCTCTATAAAGTATATTATCCCGATATCATCCAGCTAATTCCAATATCGTTTCACTTGCTAATATATAAATATATAAAATTTTGTTGACATCATTACACGATTGCATTAGTCATAACTGTGGTAAACTACATATCTAAAATATAAACATTAATTGAATTAAAAATACAAAAATATATAATGTTTAAGGTACAATACATCATTCATGATGCATATATATGAAAAGATAAGGATATGCTTTATAGTGTTGTTCACACACAATGCATTCTTGACTAATGCTAACTTCTCAAATGAATATGAATTTTCCAATGTGTCTTTGTAAAGTTATGTTTTTACTAGAAATTAGATCGACAAATGAATTGAATATATACCTGATATTGCTGTTTGTGGTTTAAAAAAGTCTTTTATTTACATGTTTTTTAAGAAATCCCACCCCTGTGAATATGACTGCCAAGAATCTAAAGGGAGCCATTGAGAAGGCAGTTGGTGGTACCAGGTGTATCCTCACTGGGCATGGCTCCTCATTGTAAGTATAAAATCTTAACCGTAAAACTTTGCTCAAAAGAAAACTGAACCAAAATATTTTTTGATATTTCTTATCAAGTGGCAGCCGAAATCTTGGTTTTTCCCTTTTTTTATTAATTTGAATATGGTCACTTCATGATATTAACAAACATGAAATATGTTTCATTGCATATAAGTAATAATATAAGTTATTCTTAATACTAATAGAGTTATCACAGTCACTTCCAGGCTTCATTTTCGGTAAGATATTTTTATTCCTCGCTTCTACACCACTTATAAGTCAAGTTGTGGACAATAATTTGGCTCAAAGTTAAGGAAGATAGTCTAGTTTGAGAATATGCAGGTGGTTCTATGTTTGGTATATTAACGAAGACTAGGAGTCCCACGATCAATCGGATAAACCGGCTCGTTTCGTAGCGATCTGAGCGAATCGATCTTGTGGCTATAATATCGCTGATTTCGATTATCATTCTGAAAGAGATTTAAGTCTACAGGTCTTGAAATGAACAAAATCTCCGCTGTCGAACAGTTTGTTTATTTTTTTTCGGACTCATGACACGCCACGACCTGCCGCATATTAAAATACGTGTGCCAACTTAGAATTGTGGTCAATTCACAGCATTGATAAAAACTCGAACATTAAACTAATTTATTAATATCTTCGACAAACAAGGATTAAATTAATCCACCTTTACTTTGTAACATCTGTAGTAGTCAAGTAAGAGACCAAGCCACGCAAACATCCGTAATATGACGTTTTTAATTAGTTCGAAATGTTCGTATTTTTCTTTTCTTTGCCGTTCGACAAATTACCCCAACTACTTGAGCTACAAAAAATGAAAACTCAACAATTTGAATCGAATCGAATCGTTAGGTTAATATCGAGATTCGAATCGAATCGGTGGAAAATGAATCGTGGGACCCCTAACGAAGACGCAATTTACATATTTAGTCCCTCGCTTTTGATATGTTGATGATCTTCATGAATATTGCCAATGTGACAATATTCCAGTGTATATTCCATATTTCATTCGAGAAATAAAAATATCTTACCGAAAACGAAGCCTGGAAGTTCTTCCATCTTGTTACGCTAACATATCGTCAGCGTAACTAGGTGAGTACCAGTGACAGTTTTGCATGTTTTGAATCACTTTTTAATATTGTTATATTGTAGTGCTATAGTAGTGGGCCATACTGAGATGAAAGCAGAGGAACTTAGAGAAAACATTGAGGTTGCAACTCAGAAGCTTGCAGATTCTATCCCAGGGGGTGCCATCAATGTGAAAAACATACACCTGAAGACAATTGAGTCTGTGTCTCTGCCCCTTTATATATCACTTGGTAAGTCTTTGCCTCTGCCCTTTTATGTATCATTTGGTAAATCTGTCTTTGCCTCAAGTGGAGAGGTTAAATTCACTAGATCTGAACTTGATCCTATGAAGTTAGATATCAGGTACATGAAAATCCAGTTGATTGCACATCCAAAGGGCTAACAAAAATATGAAAATGAATCCACTTTCATTTGATTGGCACTTTATCATAGACTACCATATTCACTTTAAACAATTTTCAGTATTGTGGTCAGTCTTATTTTGAAGGTAAGTTCCAAACTTTTCTTGTCAGTCCCATCCCTAATCCATGTTTTATTATCCCATCGAACGAAGTTCGGAGGGATATAGGGAACGCCTCCGTCCGTCTGTCCGTCCGTACGTACGTACGTCCGTCCGTCCATCCGTCCGGGCAATAACTCAAATACCCTTGGCCTGATTTTGTTCATATTTTGTACACATATACCCTATGGGGGTAGAAGTTCTGCTCGAAAGCCGATTTTCAAAATGGCCGCTCATTTCAAAATGGCGGCCATTTTAGTGCCGAATTTACAGTAATTTAGGTGCAATATGTAAAACTGTAATAGCAATATGTTTTAGATGTAAAAAAATTATATAGGACATTAATAAAGCTAGAAATGTAGATATTAAAGAAGCACATGGCAGCCATCTTGAAAAATGGCGGCCTTTACTCGTTATTTTACGATTTTTGCTGTAACTCGAAAAGTAGTGGAGCGATTTTGTTCATATTTGGTATGTGAATACTATAAACATTGCACAATGTCTAAAGACACTTTTGGTAGAAAGTGGCCATTTTAAAAAATGGCCGCCATTTTGAAAAATGGCCGCCATTTTAACCTATTTTACTATAACTCGAAAAGTAGTGAAGCGATTTTGTTCATATTTGGTATGTGAATACTATAAGGATGGCACACTGTCTAATGACACTTTTGGTAGAAGGCGGCCATTTTTCAAAATGGCCGCCATTTTAATGTATTTTACTATAATTCGAAAAGTAGTGAAGCGATTTTGTTCATATTTGGTATGTGAATACTGTAAGCATGGCACACTGTCTAATGACACTTTTGGTAGAAGGCGGCCATTTTTCAAAATGGCCGTCATTTTAACGTATTTTACTATAACTCAAAAGTAGTGGAGCGATTTTGTTCATATTTGGTATGTGAATACTATAAGTATAGCAAATGGTCTAATGACACTTTTGGTAGAAGGCGGCCATTTTGAAAAATGCCTGCCATTTTTGCTATATACTTTGTTTGTAAAAATGCCATCCATGGCTGTTCGATGGGATTCGCTACGCTTTGGCGTTGCCGTTGTTCTGGTTAGAACACAAGGTTGTCTTTGATGCAGATGCTTTATTATTTAAACTTCATTAATGTGCTGCAGGTGACAAGAATCATGTGAAACTGCCCAAGAAAATCTACATCCCAGAGGTGCCTGAACCAGAAGATGTCACTACTGTGGAAAATGCTAGGGTCAAGGTCAGTCGCTATGGCAACATAGACATTGTTTACCCTGGTCCTGGTGAAACCTTCGATGAACCAATAGATGATACCCCTGCAAAGAAACCTAAGAAGACAAAGAAAAGAAAGAGTTCTTCTGTGACAGAAAATGAAAAGACAAGTGAGGCTCCCATTGAGAAAAAAACTAAAACTGTAACTGAAGAAGATGAAGTGACTGGGTCGGAACCTTCTAAAGTAAAGAAACATAAAACTAAAACCCCAAAAGCTGAGATGCCTGCATCTGTTAAAAAGGCATCAAAGAGCATTAAAGAAGAGACTGTATTTGATGAAAGTGAAACGGTTGAAGTAAAGAAAAAAGACAAAATTAAAACCCCTAAAAGTGCAAAGAAAATTAAAGTTGAAGTGTCCACCCCAAAATCTTCTAAGAAACATGAAGATATAGGAATTGATGTCACCTTGAAACAGAAAAAAGAAGCTAAAACCCCTAAATCATTAACAAAGGTCAAAACACCAAAGAGTGCGCTTAAAACTCCCAAAAGTGGGAAGAAAAAGTAAAGAAAAATTAATTTAATGAAATAATTGTCTATGATATTGTGTACTTTACCTAAAATTATATTTCAAAAATTGCACTTCAACATTTTTCGCTCAGATGGATGATTTTGGTCTGTTCAGGTTTATTACACTTTTGTTTTAAATCCGTACTATCAGGACCTTGGAAGTATGAATTGATTTTAAACAGCAGTTATCATATTGGTACTGCACTCTTCAAACTTTAAGTTACTGAAACAATCCATTTTTACCTCAAAAAGGTAACCCAAAGAAATGTATGTTGATAACTCAGTCATTCAGCATGGGTTTGATATTAAATTTAGCACAATTAAACCTTTGTTTAATTTTCTTTGTTCTACCAAGTTTAATTGGTCTTTCTTCAATGGTCTCGATTTTATGGCTTTTTACTAAACATGCTCCAAATGATGAAACCTGCCACTCACTGGACATAAATCCCACTACACTTACAACCATTGGCACTTTAAAACAAGAGATGAAAGCCTTTACAGGAGATGTTTGTGCTCGTGTAGTGAACAGCTGTCCCATATGTTCAAGTTAGCCTCCAGACAAGACTTTGGTATTTCATAGCATGTTTTGTACAGTGGCCATAAAATTGCAAACCATTATTTAGAGTATGACAGTGTCCAGGTGGCTCCCTCGGGTCAAATAGCATGGTTTGTATAGTAGAAAGTTCCCTTTAATTTAAATTACATCTGTTTTAGTGATATAATGCTGGACTTGAGATTAGTGTCTCATGGGCCTATACGAGACAATTAGGACAATTAATTTGCACATTTTTTTTTTTTTTTAAATATTTGTAATCGTTACATTTAAAAAGTGCATATGGAAAATGGTGTAAACATGTGGAATTGATGATTAGAGATCATATCTGCCATGAATGAAATGCAGTTATGAACGAATAAAAATCATACACAACAGTGCATATGCCTTCTTAGTTTCTGTTTTAAAAGTTGTTGAGACAGCGAAGGTGCAAACAACCCACCCAATTGTTTTTTGAAAATGTCCTGATTTTCAACCTCTTCCACGAATGCTTTTTCAATTTTTGTTGCATCAATATGTTGCGAGACGCAGTTAAGAGATACAGAGACCGAGACGGTTCCTTCGAGGAACACAGAGCTCTGCTTTTAAAGGAATTTTCAAGGTGGCTGCTGAATTTCAAAGTGGCCATTCTATTAAAAGAATAATCTTTGGTAACTCAAAAACCATTAGACTAATTTGGCTCGAATTTTATATCCGGGTGCCCAGAGACAAACGCTTCCTGGTCAACTCAACCCTTCTTAGTCAACTCGACCCAGAGTAATCTCAACCCTTGGACAACTCGACCCCGAGTCATCTGAACCCTTGGTCAACTCGACCCTGAGTCATCTGAACCCTTAGTCAACTCGACCCAGAGTCATCTCAACCCTTGGTCAACTCAACCCTTAGTCAACTCGACCCCGAGTCATCTCAACCCTTGGTCAACTCGACCCTTAGTCAACTCGACCCCAATGGTTTACTTGTAGGTTAAAATACATTATTATACAATATATCATTACGTTTTGATAATATATTAAAGGAATAAATCAATAATAGATAATCATGGTAAAGGTAGACTTTCCTAATTTGAATCCTGTTTGATTAATGCAATGAATTTCATCCTTAATTCAGCAAGTTTTACATCAAGAAAATTTGAGTAGGATAAGTGATATAAAACCTTGTTTCTTTTGACAATAGAGTATAAAAATCTGCAGTAAGTTCAATAGCTTTCTTATTAGTAATGGAGTGAAGAGAGGAATCGGCATAAAGTAAAAGGTCTACCCAACAACTTACTGCAGATTTTTTATACTCTACACGTATTGTCAAGGAAATCAAGACATAGTCCCATATTATTGAATAGGTATGTACATTATTTTATCTCTGCCCCGTCTTCGAGTCTTCGTGATTATTTCCTATCAAATATATATGTGCCATTTATCTTTATACATCTATCATATTTACATTTTAACCTACTATTGTAATTATAACATTGTAACCTGCAAGGCCAATAATGCTTCGGTGTAGGACTTGAATTTATTTGTTGAAAGTATAATGAAATAAATATAACATAAACTTAAAAAAATCTCATATACACATAGAGTAGCCGCTAAGAGCTTAGAAGAATGGACCTTATATACAGGGTGTCAAATAAATATGTTCTCTCACCTTTAACATCCACATAATGTTGCATTACTTTTTTGTCTGCATGAAATCTGAATTGTTCTTTAGCACATTAAAACAAGGCTTCATGGAGCAAGTTTCAGATGACTAGCTCAACTTGATTCTCTTGAAATTAAAGGGGAGAACATATTTATTTGACACCCTGTACACATAGAGTGATCGAAAGGAGCTGAACACAATGGACTTCGTATACACACAGTTTGACCAACAGCAGCCGAACATAATTTTTTAAAAATCATTTTATTTAACCTTGGGTTTACAATTTTTACATTATTATACCCCTAGGGATCTACATGTGCGCTTTTATGGTATCATGCAAGAAATTAGATTTACGGTTGTACAAATCTCTGCGTGTCTGATGAACGTCAAATACGTTTTTCGTATCCCTTGAGGGAGGTTAAGTTACACAGAGAACCTGAACGTGGGTGTGTAATATTTCGACCTTCGGGGATTACTGTCCCACTCTCAATTCACTTTCCAAGGGACCTATAATTACAATTATTTTCCATTTACCTTTTATACTCAATAACCCAGATGCGAGTAGAAATAATCTTGATTTACGTCATTAAAAATTCACAATTCAGTCAAACTGATGTCATATTTGAAATCTACATGTAAAATTACATCTAGAAATGTGGTTTTAAAAAGTGCTTATCAACTCTGAAAAATTAATTTTCTTTGAAAATGTGACTTCTAGCTCGGGGAGATTCCCCATAGACCCCATGCTATAAAATCACAAAAAATGAAATATCTTTTATTTTAGTGGACAGATAATATTTTGCTTTACTGGACATTTTTTCATTAGTATAAGTATCAGACACATAAGGGTTATATGAGAATTGAGCCACTTAAATTGATAATATTCAAGTTTAAGGGAACTTTCTTATATACCTGCCATGTTAATTGACCCGAATCAGCCACCTGGTGTTGAAACTGGTAACTACCTACTCGCATTTGGGTAATTGACAAAGTAAACACTACAAATGGGAGAACTAATCCATTGAGGACCATACCATAATTATACACATTCACGTTGGGTCAGTTTTTTTTAAAAACCACGTGTAACTTATTAACTTCGCTAATGTTTCAGGTATGCGTGTACTTTCTCTACCACAACTCTCAATGCTTATGTGAACTTCTGCATACAACGACTGGACATTCAGAATGATGGATTACATAATCTGATACACTTCCCATAATTGTGCGTCTCAGCTTCCCTTGTCCACGTGTCCCGATTACAATAAAGTCACAGCCCTCTTCTTTGGCCACTTGGCACACAATCTCACCAGGTTTTCCCCAGTCCGACCTACTTTTTAGAACGTCGACCTGCAACGATAGATATATCAAAAAAGGAAAAAGATGGGTCCAAAATTTTTCAGGAGATATGAGCCACCCCTGGTTACGGGCCTGTGTCACACTTAAAATAAAACCAATATCCTGCTTCCCCTGTGACTGAGTAGTTTTCAGGTTTTAGGAAACGCAAAACGTGAATGCCATCCGAATGTTAACCGACACACTTACCCCAGCATCCTTTAAAATAGTTGTGTATTCTAATTTACAAGATTCAACTCGTGCATCTTCTTGCTCGATCATTTCTTGAAACGCTGCTCCGCTTGCATAATGAAGTCCTATAACAGAGAGGGGAATACATCATAAATTACATCAGTGTCATGTTTTGAATACTGCATAGTATGTTACTCGAAGTTACTGTTGTATGACCAAATGAAATAATACTTACTAGCTTGGTCTAGATTGAACCATTCCTGACAGTGGATGACAACAACTTTATCGCCCGGAACTCTAAGTTTGGTCAGGTAAACTGAAACCATTGTAATATTAAGAGACTTGTTTGTTATTGTTTTAATTAAGGATTTAAGCCCTGGACTCGGAGCCTCAGTGCAATGTGGGATGACCATTCCTCTGAAGGTGTTACTTTCCAAACTTTGCACGAGAGGCAGAGCAGCGAGTGTTAATTTTAAGGAAACAACACCTGAAAGGAATGGTCGTTCTACAATGCATCGAGACTTGGGCTTCCAAACATTGCACAATATCTTTCTACCGTGTCACTTTCAAGATACGAGATCACTAAACTTACATATTTTGAAATGAAACTTTTTGCAAGGGTCAAGTTGGCAAAGCATCAATTTCAATCAGTAGAGTCAAGTTGTCACCTTAACAACCACACAAGGATTGACCTTGGATGCGGTGATTGGTTATGTAATGCACTGAAATTATATGATGTACGGATTGACTGGACACACCTTGCCTAACTATGTGTGAATTCAAGCTAGGCAAGGTGTGTCCGAATCCAGGCAATCCGCGACAAATCATCTTCGGAATTCCAAGTGGTTGGAGCAAGTAATACCTTGAGAATCAAGATGCGACAAATATCAACTATACCGGTTAGCCCTTTGATTACGATTGTATACTTGCAAGTAACAGTATGACCCCGTTTGATTGTATACTTATACTTACAAGCTACTGCCCCTTTTGAATGTTCACTTTGATCTACAGCTATTGCAACAGTTCGTCCTTTACTAGCCTCGGCCATCCTTAGCCTTGTATGGTCCAATTTGTCGTACAGGCTCCGATTAGTGAAATATAAACGTTTGTTTCAGTTTTGTAATATGCTTCTAAACAAGTAATCGGTAACTAAATACTTCACAGAACTGTAAACTTGAATAGTACAAGCAGTACAGCTCTTGAGAATATAAAACCTTTACAATCTACACAGCTACATGTTTGTCCTAAAAAGTTTACATTTAATCGGGGTCGTTCAATGTTTGCACAGTGTTGCGGTCATACATACCATAGATCAGCTTTAGACCGACCTTACATATATTATATATATTATATATATGTTATATATTATCTTTTCGAAAAATATGTCGATCTGATATATATTTAAGGTATACTTCTAAATGAAAAAATCTTTTAGCGCAGGCTAGAGAAATCTAACCTGTTCAATGTTCATGGTGTTTCGGTAGTTTAATTTTGGTATAAGAAAATCTATAGCATGTGTAAATACTGACTAGAATTCAGTTGTTAAATGTCAGAAAAAATGATCGAGGCTGGAGATAAAGACGGTATATATCTCACATAGATGTCATCTTCATAGTCCGGCTTTCTCATCTGGCATTACTTAACCATGTAAAAGCTCCACCAATTTTCATGAAATTAGAAATAATTCATCTCTCATCTAATAGAAATAATAAAGGAATCGACAGCCTATTCAATTGTATTGTAAATGTACATCGTTTGAAATCGTTGAAATGGGATGTTGCCATTTATCACGCCATGGCCCAAGGGCTGGCCCTGATATGTTGCTGTATGTTTATTATATGAGTCCGAGATGTTCAGAGTAAACATCCAATACATGCCTGGGTCTAAAGAATATGTATAATCACAAGGATGCGATAGAGACATCAAGCCAAAATTTAAGATTTATCTTGAATTTTGCAAAAATCGACGCAACTTTCTTTCAAAATTGAGCTAGTAGAAGCTTCAAATAAAAAGCATTTTAAAGCTCTTTCCTTGCTCTATCTCATGGTTATAATTTTATTTATTATGGGGGGGGGGGGGGGTTGCGATCTTGGGAATACCTGAAAGATTTCATGTTTAATTTCGTGTGTATTCGCTTTGGAAGCTTTGATTACGTTAAAAGATTTTCGAGCAACGCTCGATTTTTTTCGGAGTTAATCTATTGGTTAGAAAATGTTGGGTTTTTCACATTTCCTTTGATCATTTTTTCCCCTGTCGTCTAACAGTGTCGATTATTTTTACGAGAATATGTTTCTCTAAGTTACTATTAAGATTGGTTGAAGATTTAATAGATATAGTTAAGATTTAGTCCAATAGTAGTAGTAGTCCAATTTTATTGAATATACAGTGCGTATCAAAAAAAACACGCAACAGATTGTTATCTCGGAAAAGCACAAAACCACTGATAACAGCATTGATTTCATTCAATGCACCATAAAGCAATGTGTCTCCTCTTTACAATGGTATATCATTCATTGATATTTGGTCATGATTGGGCGAGTAATCATACCATTTGCAAAGTGGGCCAAAATTAGCTTGGGGCCAAGTTATAAACATCACAAAAGTCAGTGTACGGAGCTCGATGGAATTTTGGAAGAAAACATAAAACCAATGCTGACTGCATCCTTTTCATTCAATGTACCAAAAAGCCAAATTACTCCTCTTTACAATGGAATATCATTCATTCACAGGGAGTTATCTCTGGCCGAATAATCATTAATTTCGCAAAGTGGGGCAAAATTCAGCTCGGACCCAAGTTTTAAACATTGCAAAAGTCAGTACAAGGGGCATAGGGGCTATTGGAAGAAGGTGTGACAGGTGTGGCATACACAGTAAAATGTTCATACTCATACTCTTGCAAGAATACATCCTTCACCCCTCCAATTTGCCACCACTTCCTTCCACATAAAGATGCGCTCATCTGTCCACATCATGCATGGTTCAGCCCTGAATCATGTGTAGGTTAAAGCAAAGAAAAGCAGCCCATGGGCAATTCTTTCTCAAGGTTTTGCAATATCTGGTGGAGGAATTGTGAGCACAGATGCTCCTGAGATAGCTCCAAAAGAAAAAGTCACAACAATTCAAGTCAGGGGAACTTCCATTGGCACAATAGCCCTTGCACTGATTTTTTCAATATCTAAAACTTGGCCCAGAGCCGATTTTGACCCACTGTGCAAATGGAAGGACTTCTCAACCACCCATTACCACATGTGAATGAATGACATATCTTTGCAAAGAGGAGAGACGTGGCTTTATGATACATTGAATGAAATTGATGTAGTCATCACTAGTTTTGTGATTTTACGAGATAACTACTTGTTGCGGTTTTTTTATACGCCCTGTATATACATACATTTATATCTGCCCTGTCTTCGACTTTTCTCTCTCCACGCCTAACCATCGACAACGTGTACAGTGACAAAATATGCCGTCGTACACTTTAAATGTACGGTGTCACTATTCTAACTGATATGAAGCAAAAACGATGATGTGGGTGTGGTGTAGGTTTTAAAAATTAATCTGAGGAATACTTAAGGGATTTTATGTTTAATTTCGTGTGTATTCGATTTGGACGACATTTAACTTTCTAATTCCGTGAAAAGATTTTCGGGCAGTGCTCGAGTTTTTTCGTAGTAAATCTACCTATTAACAATGATCGGTTGGAAAATGTTGTTTTCTCACATTTCCTTTGGTCATTTTTTCCCCTGTCGCCTAAGGGTGTCGATTATTTTTGTGGGAATATGTTTCCCAAAGTTACATAATTAAGATCGGTTGAAAATTTAATAAATATTCACGTTTTTGCTAAAATAATATTTTTTTAAATCATAAGTGTACGTTGTCATCTCGATGTACGTTATCCCATTGAACTTACATATCTGAATTCACAATTGACCCTTTTGTAGACAACGTATTTTTCATAACACTAAGGGGCAGTAGTCTAGATGAAAACAAAGAATTTATCACTGAACATTGTTTTGGAGTATATACAATGTTTTATTGCATATTTTGAAAGTAAGACATGTCCTGGTCAAAAAGTCACAAATATGCAGTTGTGGTAGGTTGAGCGTTTTTTTCTATTGTCTTTTTAAAATTATGTAATATTTCTGAAAAGGGGCGTGGCACATTTGGTAGTATTCATGTATTTAAATGGAGTTATCCCTTATCAGTTATTTTTCTTTAATTTATGACTTGCAATATACATATCTACCTGCGAACATTCTCTCTCTGAAAAAATACAGTAATTATGCAAATTAAGTCATTAAATCAACACTACCGGAACAATGTAAACTAAGTGCAGTAACGATTGTCTGATTTTTATAACGGGTTGACCGTTGGTAGAACGGAGATTTGGTATCATTGTAAAGCTAAGAATATAAATGTGTTACAAGTGGAGTTAATTCCACTTGAATAACATAACCCTAAAAGAGTAGAATAAATACGATCTAGTATTTCAATTATGAGTATAATATAGGGGTAAAAGAAGTGTATAACAACTGTGTTTTTATGCATATTAATTAGCTTACTAATTAACATATAAATTTAATTCCTTTTTTACATTCTCAATTTGATTATTTGTGCAATATAATACACTATTGTAACGGTCTGCTTAACGAAATTATGAATGCATAAAGCTTTCGCAGTTGCGGCAGTATGATATTTTAATGTCTATTTCACTGAAACACAAAAACGGAGCAACACTTTACATATGAATCCTGTGTGATAGACTAATTGGAAATAAACCGGTTTTGTAACTTCGAAGAAGCAAACCACGACGGAAAACGCAATTCGAACGCGAGTTGGAAATATTTATCTATAATCTGATTGGTTGATTTTGTATCAACTCACGATTGAATCGAATGTTAGATCGCCAGCGTTGTAGGGCGGCAGACGATATCGGGAGGCACGACTACAAGGTAGGGCTATGCACATTTTCTAGGTGAACAACATTCCTGTTTCTGGACTTGGCGTTACTTCGGCTTACAGACTTCATCAACAGCAATATGCAGCAATGAGCAACCCAAGATAAGGATTCGTAAGCTGTGAATCTACAGCAGTCCATTGGGGTGCCGTAACGGCTGGAATTCGCTGAAGGAATAGCGTCATCACGGGAGTTGAGACCACACAGTCAGCCAAGCGCATCAAGAGCAGCCTACACTCTATGCAAGTCCCCTATCATCGTGATCAAGTCCACGACGACTTCAAGGGCCAGTCCCACAACCGGTTGCCTCTTATCGTCTCGCATAGCTTTTATTATCTTTTATAGACATTTTAAATAGACATTTCTGTGGTATTATTTTGAAAGACATTTTATAAAGACATTTACATATCTAGAGTAATAGATTAAATTAAAAGCATCATAAATACCATTGTTCTTTCTCTCAGTGCAATATTACTATTTTGATCATACTGTTCTCCATGTTGATTTTAAATAAATAAACCTTGTACATATTGTTATATTTTACATCACTTGTCGTGTTGCATATGTGTTGCATGTTGTATTTGATATATTAGGTTCTGTTTAAAAAGTCCCTTTCCCTTCCCCGTTTCGTCCGGTTACATTTGGTGGCAGCTTACAGACAGCAACAACTACGTCTGCGTCTCCGGCCTTTGAAAAAGAGGGGGAAAAGGTGTCTGCAAGCAGAAACCAGAGATCTACATTTCCGGCCCGGAAATTTACGCAACACGAGGTAAACTGCTCAGCCATATGCATTTTCGCACGCATAGTGAAGCTACGGGATATCCATCCACAGTTTCCTGCACTGACCTGGTTGCCCATCCAAGTTGCTGCAAGCTTGAAATTCAAGATTGAACAAGGTATAGGTGTGGTTGATATCGTCTCCAGATAGCCATTTCCCTTGTGCCTGATCGTGACGTCGCCCAAGAGCAGTATCATAAATGTACGGTAATCAATAACCAGGTACATTGTAGTAGCTTGTAAAACACTGTAAACTTTTTGTAAATCTTAAAGTTAGTGTTAATGTAGTGTAAATTCTAGTATAGCTCGAACTAGTGTAAATCATACTGTATCCTGTATGCATGGATGCATGCGTAGTTTAATTGTAGGCCAGGGAATTGTAGGTCTTATCGCAAAAGGTGTAACCCCGTAAAGCAAGATACAGCAGTACGGCAACGCGGCTTACAAGCAGCCCAGTAGATTCTGCATGTAATACCCTGTCAACGCGGTCCAGTAGTTTCAGCTACCAAGTGTTCGACGAGTCCAGTCGAATTCAACTACTTTAACAGCTTATTCAACGTCGACCCCGAGTCCAGTGCAGAAACGCCGAGTCGAGCAAGTGCAGTACAGCAGAGGTGTGCAGTATAGTGTATCTCTAAAAAGTACCATGAGCAGTGCAGTGTAACGACGCTGTAGTGAGGCAGTGCAGTACCTGT